TGCTGTTTGAAGAGTGTCATGTGTCTGCTATGTGCTATGTCGGTTTTGAGAGCCATGATGGCTTTGAGGGTGTTATTGATGCTGGCAGAGAAGTATTGTCACATGTTCTGGACGGTTTCTGGAGTGAGTGGTGGCAGCAGGCGTGTTGTGCGGTCTAGATGTAAGTGCCACTGCTGGTGTAGATCGAGACTAAAAAATGCAAGCCGAAGTGCGATAATGAAAGTCCACACTCATGGTCTCGTAGGGATTTATATGTGGACGAGGATAGGAGCAACGTAGCAGGGAACTGCAAGGGGACGCATGAGGCGAGCAGATACTAAGAGAAACTATACATCCAGGAGATTACAAGGCCTATGGGTGCGAATAGGTTGTACTGCGTCCGTACGAGAGCCCAAAGAAGGATTGGAGGTAACTCATCATGTATGTTACTGCTGACTTGCAATCGTGCGGTCGAGTGCTCACCGATTTGCTTGAAATGAACTGAGTGATGGTTTGGCATAGTAACAATAACAGAACTGCGCAGAGAATCTTGATAACAGTCGACAGCTATAATACACAATCCGCAACCGTAACAACTTACAATGTGATTTACTGCGGGTAATAGTCCTAAAGGCATGCTTCGGATAGTGGTATTTCGTTCCCTTGCTGATCGATCCCATTCGCTCTCACGACCTCGGGATAAATCTGCATCATCCGCCTGAGCTCAGTTTCCGGAATCCTCGCCTTGAACTCGATGGTGCATGGCTGGTATGTAAACGGCCGGTGGGCTTTCTCTGAATTCATGAATCCCATGTCATCCAGCGGCTGTGTAGGATCCAGAGTGAGCTGGAAGGCCCAAAGAATCAGGACCACGCTTATGAACACCGTTCTGTATCAATCGAAGTGAACCCGAAAGACCATGTCCGTAGAATGATAGGTTTACCTGTTCGCGACATGTTGACCGGGGCTCACGCTGGAAGGAATTTCACGCAACGAACGAGTAGTCGGGAAACGGTGCTTACCGCCGACCAAATCCGTAGAGAAAATTGGCTAAATCGTCTCTCAGTGAACCTTGGTCGTTTATCCAGCGCTGAGGCTTGAATGCGTCAGGCTCGGGATAGACTTCTGGATCCCGACAGATGGACCTAAGGCAGTGATCGTTAGGTCTTTCGTGTTTAGACTCGATACTCGATGCTTACCAATGGTTACCGAATATCGTGGTCCCGGCTGGAATACAATGGTTGTCCTGGTGCCAGATAATCAGTCACACATGTAAGCTGTTCAAAGATTACTTGCCCAAATCACGTCTTTGGTTGTTCGGTGAGGAAATCCTGCAGTGACTGTCAGAAACTGTATGTACAAAACCACAAGGATTATACTAACCATTAGGAGCAACCGGTCTCCATCTCACAGCCTCAGAGATGAAGGCATGCAGACGAGTTAGGGACTGTTGGTCGGTGAATGTCGGCGCTTGAGTGCAGAAATCGCTGAATTCTACAGAACTGTAATAAGAAATCGAGCTACCTTGATGGTTTCCGATAACTGCATCGAGCTCAGCTTGAACTTTAACTTGCTCGTCAAGGAAACATGCGGCTGCCATGAGCACCGTGCATATTACTGAGGTAGTCTGAGCCCTAATTTCAGCTACATGCTTGTCTTTGGACAACAGAAACACCTCACTGTATTGGATCCAGCTCTAAACAAGGAACCACCGAGAAATGCAGTCTCGTCCTCTGTCAAGCCATGGTGATCGCCATTTTCTAGCATATATCTCGTGAACGAAGGGCCGATGTCCACATCGCTTTGCTGTGAATGACTTAGACATTTTGTGTGAAGATCGTTAAGGCGAAGCATACCATTTGTTCTTTTACTCGGTTCAGCTGACCTGTGTTAAGTCGCTTGCTCCTCTCAAACCCCTGTTTCAATTCTCGGCCATACCAGGGAATGTATTTGAGCCACGGGATCGAGTCCACAAGGTAGAAAGCATCAGCGCGCAGGGCTCCGTCAATCAACTTCCTGAGTTTGCGCATCTCAATGACTTGGGGATCAGTCGCAGACGTGGGCGCAGTGTTCCCATAGGTAACTTTCGTAATTACTGTCGCAGCATAACTTCAAAATACCTGTCAGCAGTGTACGGTCGTAAGCACAAGCGCATACCTCGTTACATGGTTCTGAAAGTTGTATGGATCATCAAGGATGTTGAAAATCAGATTCTTCACGTTTGACGTCTGCAGGGGCTGATAAGCCCCAGCTGCTTTAGGCTGGAAATGCGTATGAAGGGCTCTGTAAGAAGTTGAAAAGTGAATTAGTAGACATATCGTGGATTGCTAACCTACACATCCGACGGAACCTGTCCCCAAACGGCGTATAGGCGATACTCAGTCCGCCGCCAAATAATTCTCCAGTAGCGATCATGCGAGGACGGTCAGCAAGAGTTCCGCCCTGATTCTCCACTGATATCCATGGCGGCCTGCAGCAGAATGGTGAGCTTTGGTGATGATAACTCGGCGCCGAGACACTGACTTTGTAACGGCCAATAATCACAACTTTTCTGAGTCCTGACCGAAGAGTAATCAGAGGACCGTACTCGTTAATCCAACCCGAAATGACTTAATCAGCGAAAGACACCGTGAGTACTAATAGACAACGTGTTGCATGCAAAACTTTACTTGCGAAGCGGCAAGAAATGCCCCCAAGGCCTCAAAGTGAAAGGAGAAGGTGGGAGAGGGGGGCCGTTCTTCGATTGAGGAAGAACAATTACACCTATCACGCCAAGACAAGTCACGGCACCGACAATGAGCCGCGCATTGTCCGAAATAGACAGGTCAGTTAGTTGTAACATGGCTGATGGGAGAAGCGCAAGGAAGGGTTGGAGGGAACTCATCGTAAGTAGCTTCTCAACTCGAGGGTTAGTAAGGTAATGTCAACTATCTGAGGTACAGACCAACTTTATGTAAATTCAGTTGACCAACATGCTTCAAAATTCATATTCTGGTCCATCACTGCCACGTGGTTTCCACAGACCGTTAGTCCTTCGTATACATGGAACCGGAGTATCACCGAGCAACATTTCTGCTGGCAAAGAATCACCGCCTCAGCAATTTGGCTCGATGACCTTTCTCTGGTTTAGGAAGGTAAAAACACGCCTGCCATACCAAGACAAGGTGCGGCACCGAGAAATAATGTCAGAAATGCACAGGTTGGGCAGCTGTAATACAGCTAACGGGAGGAGCCCAAAGGATTGGATGTAACTCGTTGTATGTCATGCTGGCCTGCGATAGTTCGCTCGCACCTAGTAGCACTTGGCCATTAAAAGAAGCCGATGGAGAGCACGTGTACAACCTCTTTAGCCAGCATGCTAGTTCAAATTTCTCGTTTTGTCTCGCCGGTTTCATGCCCAATGGAACTCCGTGACTCGAATGGTAATTAGAGACATTTTTAGAGTGCAATTCTTCTAGAAGAACCAGCAGGAGTAGCGGAAATGGCAGTATGTCATATTCTAGATTCTGATTCAGCAGGTGATGGGTACTTTGTCGTCCCTTCCAGCAGCACAGCTGGGATCATGATGGGGGATGAGTGGGCAGGTCCATATGCGGCTCATATGAAGACTACGTCTTCGCAGGATCAGGTTTAATGCAAAAAAGATAGGAGATGTGTGGTGACTATGGTCGAAGGAGGTGATAGATTGACCTGTGAATACATTGCTGGAAAAACGCCGCAGACAAGCCCAATGAGGGAAGCGTAGTACAATGCTGCAGTATGTCTTTGCAGATGAGTATTGCTATGCACGTGATACTAGACCGACCACTTCAACGAGATTGATGTCTAAAGATTAATCTTGTGGTGAGACGGTTGGACTGAGGAAATGTGGAGCGCTTGTGACTCACTGAAGTATGTTCAGGAAAGTGGTCGAAGAGAAGCCTGGTACTTACAAGAATTTTGAACCACATCGATTTCGAACAAAACGTAGGGTCCTAATCTTGTAGTTGACCTTTATTCCGACTTTTGAGGTCACTGCGAAAGCTTCATGTGGTCTGGATCAACGGGCTAGGCTGAGCGCAGTTTTGAAACTTGGACTCAAATCATAAAAAAGCTAAACGCGGAGAGGAAAAAACACCCAGAGTGGAGTGTGCAGCTGAAAGTTAGTCTCGAGATTGCAATGAGTCTAGCTCAAATATACGATGAAGTGGGGTAAAACCTGCGCCGATGGAGATGGGGGAGCAAGGCGAAAAATGGATGAGAACATTTGCGACAAGTGCACGCTTATCTATGGCGCACGGGCCAGGATCTTTGCAAGTGTGAGATCTATCAAACTCACGTGCTAGATATTTCTTCGCAGCTCTCCATATTATGTCTGCATGCTGGGCATAGCTCAGATTTAGCTTGTCAGGGTGAGGTCAATTGACATGACATTAGACGTGGATTTGTGACACGTCACATGCGTCGCGTCAATGTCGTGTCACAACCTGTGCTCACTGCTGTCTGTCGATGATCGTTTCACCATTTATGCTGCAACGTTCAAGTTCCAGCAGAATTGCTCTTTAAAATGCTTCTACCCTTGATCAAGACGAGCTGTAGACGAAAAATTTGAATTGTGCTTGTCAAATGGCCCGGAACGGATCTGGCAATTGTCCTTTCCCGTCACTGCTTCATCGATATGGCCGCATCAGTCATCTTATAGCTGCCTGACCTACGCGTTTCTGATAACATGCTGCTCATTGTTGGTGCCACCACGTTCCTCGGTGCTGCGGCTTGTCTTGGCATGAGTAATTTCTCGGGTTTTACCTTGCTTAAGTCAAGCACTCCAACACCACGGGCCGCTGAGACGTGGCAGTAATGGTATAGTTTTCAGAATTTGAAGTACGTCGGTCAACTGTCACGTCGAGGATTTGAGAACCAGTTATAACTTGAATGCGCTTACGCTGAGTTTTCTCTGACCATTCCTTGTGCTCTTCCTATCAGCCATGTTACAATTGCCTCACCTGTCCATTCCCGACAACACGTGGCTCATTGCCGGCGCTATGACTTGTCTTGGTGCAATAGGAGTATTTGTTCAGGCTTACCTTTCTCAATCGATGAATGGCCTTCCTCTCCCACCATCCCCTTCCACTTGGAGACTGAGGGGACACTTTCTGCCGCATCGCAAGTAAAATTTCGCACTGAACACGAAGTCTTTAAAGCTCATGGTCTCTGTTGCTGATTAGGTCATTTATTGCCATAGCGGGTTGGATTAACGAGTACGGTCCTCTGATCACTCTTCGGTCAGGACTAGAAAATTTCGTGGTTATCGGCCGTTACAAAGTCAGTCCTCAACGCCAGGTTGTCATTTCCAAGCTCATTTAATCATGTTTGTTGCAGGCAGCCATGGATATCATGGAGAATCAGGGCGCAGCGCTAGCTGACCGTCCTCGCAAGATTGCTGCTGGAGAGATGTTTAGCGGTGGACAGGGTCTTACGCTCACACCCTTTGGGGAGAAGTTTCGCCAAAAGCGTAGGTTCGCAGACTGCAACACGTCTCCTAAATTAGTTTTTCAACGTGTCGCAGAGCACTTCATACGCACCTCCAACCTAAAGCAGCCGAAGCCTATCAGCCTCTGCTGATGTCACGTGCGAAGAACCTGGTCCTTGACATTCTTGGTGATCCACACAACTTCCAGAACCATGTGATAACGTATGCACTTTCTGTCATGACCGTACACTGCTCACAGGTATTTTTTTCAAGTTTCTCTTCGACGACAATGATGAAAGTTGCATATGGGACTACTACGCCCACTTCCGCGACCTGATCCCTAGTTGGGGAGATGTACCAACTCATGAAGTTGGTCAGTAAAATCCTGCGCCCTGATGCCTACTATCTGGTAGGACTCGATCCCATGGCTCAAATACATTCCTTGGTATGGCCGAGAATTGAAGCGGGGGTTTGAGAGAAGCAAGCGGCTCCACACTGGTCAGCTGAACCGAGTAAAAGAGCAAATGGTATGTATTGCCTCACCAATCTTCACATAAAGTATTCAAGCCATTCTGCAGCGAAGCAATGTGGACATCGGTCCTTCGTTCACAAGATATATGCTAGAAAATAGCGATCACCATGGTTTGACAGAAGTCGAGACGGCTTTTCTCAGTGCTGCCTTTTTTGGAGCTGGTTCCGATACGGTGAGGTGTTTTGTTGTGTCCGAAGACAAATACGTTGCTGAAAACAAGGCTCAGACTACCTTGGCCTTGTGCGCAGTGCTCCTGGCAGCCACGTGTTTCCCCGAGGAACAAGGTAAAGTTCAAGCTGAGCTCGACTGCGGTCATTGGAAGGCACAAAGGTAGTTTGATTTCCTATTGTAGTTTTGTAGAAATCAATTATCTCTGCACTCAAGCGCCGACTTTTGCCGACCAACAATCCCTTACTTGTCTGCGTGCCTTCATCTCTGAGGCTTTGAGATGGAGACCTGTTGCCCCTAATGGTAAGTATTGTCCTCGTGGCTTGTACCCACACTTTTCGACGACTACACTGCAGGAGTTCCTCACCGAACAACCAAAGACGTGATTTGGGCAAGTGATCTACGAACAACTTACTTGCGCGACTGATGATCTGGCTTCAGGAAAGTTACTATATTGCAGCTGGGACTACAGTGTACGGCAACACTTGGTAAGTATCGAGCTTCTGGATCTCAGCATGAAAACTTGATTGCCACTGCCTTAGGGCCATCTGTCGAGATCCAGAAGTCTTTCCCGAGCCTGACGCGTTCAAGCCTCAGCGCTGGATAAATGATCAAGGTCTCCTGAGAGACGATTTAACCAATTTTATCTACGGGTTTGGTCGGCGGTGAGCGCCATCTTCCAACTGCTCGTTCGTTGCCTGAAATTCCTTGTAGTGTGTGCCCCGGTCAACATGTCGCAAACAGGTCGAGCTATATTTCTACGTATATGGCAATTCTTCCAGGCTCACTTCAATTGGTGCAGATCGGTATTCATAGGCACGGTCTTGATTCTTTGGGCCTTCCGGCTCACCCTGGATCCTACACAGCCGTTAGATGATATGGGGTTCATGAATTCGGAGAAAACACATCGGCCGTGCTCTATTAAATTCGAGTTGAGGATTCCGGAAGCAGAGCTTAGTGCGCATGATGAATAATACTCATGAGGTCGTGCCAGTGGATGAGATTGATCACCACTAGAGAAAGAACGAGGAACCTGTTCAGGATGAATCACTCAATATTGGAACCATGCCACTAAGTACGTGCTTGCAATAACTCACATTGTAATTTGTTTCCATTGGGGACTGTGTATGATAGCTGTCGATTATGCTTTGTCGTTATTAGGTTTCACCGTGTAGTTCACTCCATGTAGATTGGCGAACGCTCAACTGGAAGACACCCTGCCCAAAATGTTCGACAAATATATCGAGCACACAGCTGCGATAGGGAGAAGAGACTCGTTCAGCGTAACATACAAGTGTGATGGTTAGGTGGAAGATGCTGACGACGATGTAGAATAAAACCCCAGCCCTAGTGTGCAGTTGAAGCTGTAATTATATGAGTTGCAAGGCGAAATGTCTTATAAGCATGAGACGGAATTCGTGTCATCATGATAACCTTTTTTGTGAGCTACCCAGGCTCACGAACTCTAGATCTAGTCATGATATCAAGATTCAGTGGGCGGCTGATGTGTATTAAGATAGTTATACCGCCATGACGTACGACGGCCCATCTATCTGACTTGCAAAGATATAATACGAGCACTTCCATGTTGCCGTGCGTCCAAAATATTGCAATCGGAAGGTGGAGGTCTTGAATTCTTCATAGTCAGACTCATAATTGCAGAGATTAAAGGGGCTTTCGTCCGCTCAGCCTGACACTTTGATGCATGCCTGAAATATCCCTGAATCTCATTGCGACAACTACTCCACAGCCAATATTAAACAAGCGGACTCAACTCACCAGTGTATGTTTGGGTTACACTAAGGATCGATGAAATGGAACAAGACGCTGTATCAACTCTAATAAATACATACAAAATTATGATAATTCGAGAGTAAAAAACGTGGAGTCCAAAGTGAGCGTTGAACTCACGATGCAGAGGACAGGAGTCCATGGTGAGCTTAGGACAGAGCTTCTATTGATAGAACGATGCAGCCGCTGAGAAATCACACTGTAAGGTCTGCAGGTGACATGTCGGACATCGACACATATATGAGGGCGTCGGAGCCGTGCACGTCCCGGTCGATATGCCAGAGATGAAGATGCATGCGTGTAGCCAGGATCGCAAGGATAAAGACCTGAAAACTGCATGTATATTTGGAGTGTTGTCAGTAGGAATTCGCAACAGATGTTGGAGGTGCGTACTCTTCGAAGATGGCATAGTATGCAGACTGCGTGTGCAGAGAATCAACAACTCGGTCATATTGAAGAGCATTGGGAGGTTTACGCACATCGGAAAACAGTTTTGGCACGATGGCGTTCATGCCCGAGAAAACTTTTGGACCAATAATCATCACTGATGAGCTCAGAAACATATACAAGTCCTGACTCACACAGACCGCATGCGTAGTAAAACATGTTGTGTTTCACCAGGACGGCATACAGATGGCTCCTGGCTGTCCGCCAGCTCTGTATTACACGCACAAGTGTGAGGGAGGCCAGTACTGGGGAGAGCGCCAGTCAGCGGCGAGCGCACTTCTGCAATTGCGCTGCCAGTTCCCGGTGACATACCTAGTTGAAACATAAACAAGAGAACAAACGACAAGAATTGGACACCAGGTGAGCTCCAATAGCAGCCTGGGATGCCTAGGATCGCGCTAGTCGTAACTGTAAAAGTGGAGTAAATAAGTGCGAATAATACTAAGATGAGGTCACAAACTATGTGAGGAGGCAATATTTGTAAAACGACTGCCGATGGAAGCTAGGGCAACAGCCTACATGATTCATCAATCATGAAATTGGGTGTGGTCAGGGCATGGGACTCACAAGAAGGGTGGACAGCATGGCTACAAGTATGATTTTATTATTGTTCCAGAGTGCATACGTTCTGAGCACAAAAAAGGCTGGATAAATTGGATCAGGAGCATGTATATGTCGCGAGGGAAGGAGATATACCTTCAGAGCAGCTGATTGACACCTGGAAGATACCTGTGAGAGGAAAGAGCAGCGCTCGGCAAGGACGCGCATACAGCATGTATTGTACACATACCTGAAATAATACTGAACAGTATCCCGCATTTCTGGCGAAGTTGTGTAGTAAGTGTCACTGGTCATTCATCAGCCGATAAGTCCGCTGCAAGCTCACATACATTGGGGCTCTCCGAGCTGTTCGTTGTGAAATTCACTGAAGTACATGTCGATTCATTGTCAGGGGATTATGCTAGAGTTGAACGCACCACAGAGGTTCATGGCGATAAACAAAAAGGGTATGTATCGTGTAACGATATAAAGACCTTTACTTTGGTCCAGCGCGACTGATGGAGGAATTTCCACTTTGAACAGGTATTATCAATATCCAAACCGAGGCGTATCAGAGAACAAGTGCATTACCTCTTCGTCAACTGAACAAGCATAATCATAGGTCTGGATAAACAGGTTGAACGGCAGCCGGGAATAGACTAGGACTAGCCTACCCAGAACGTCGCCATTGACACTGAGCTGTCAAGTGAGAACGAGACCGGAAGACTGAAACCCACATTTGGTGACGTGAATCTCCCCTCTCAACCCGACCGCTGATGACACTAGCCAAGCAGAACAAGAACAAGTATAATATCAAAATAGATGACCCCGCACGCCTATCACGACACGACCCACGACCCGACTCAACATTTATTCATATATTCAATATTTAAACTCGCCTCCACATGAAGACGCAGGCTCGGCCCACAGCAAGCCATAAGAAGATAAGACGAGAGATGGGATTGGAATTAGGACACCCGGCAGAGGAAATTCAAAGAGGAATGTATGAACGTCACGAGGAGAAAAGAGATACAGAAAAGAAGAAGACGGAGACTCCCTCACCCCGAAGACAGACACATTACCACCTCCAACGCCACCCGTCCTACTCATCAACACCACCAACCCGCATCACTAACGCACTTCTTTCATAGCTTCATGTACAAGTCTGTCCCCCGGGACAGCCGAGTACGCGCTTCAGAACACAAAAACCCACGACAGAACGAACAACAACACGTAACGGAGAGAGCAGTCAACTCATCTTCGATTGAATTGCGCGTCTAAAACGGCCGGCAGGAACGGCGGACCGATGGGGGCAAGGCCTCACATCGGGGCATTCGCGAATTCAGATATGTAGATAGGGCAGGGGCCCTTTAGACTAGTTAGTACTGTCCGACATAGGGTATTTTACCCCAATGGACAGAAATTGGAATTAAAAATAAAAATAAAAAAAAGTGAGAACGAGGAGGCAGCGGTTAAGACAGTACGCACTGTACAGGTACTGGTGGCACAAGTATGTTAGCTTGCCCTCGTATTAAGAATTTGACGCACCGCCAATAGCTGCAGATTCGTTGCCACTGTGATATTGTCTGCCGAATACTCCATCTCTGCGTTTGTTCGATAAAAAACGGGGTTTTTGCACACATCATGCACCTTCTTATATCTTAAGAACAAACTAGGCACCCATCAAGATGTTGTGAACAGTTTTCGAGTTACAACCTTGGCTTGATCGTGATGGTGTGTTTTGCTGGTTACTAGAAAGTCGATGTGGTCACAGGGCTGGCCAGGTTGCACAGGCCCGGAAAAACCAAACATGAAGTTCCGACGATAAAGTCTGATATTTCCTCACACTGTCGATTGAGGTTATAACATGAGAGAACCTGTGAACGGATGAGAAAGTTATTCAAAGTAATGTATAGTCGAGCATCACAACAACTTTCGTATATCTGCTGACCGCTTTCACAGGTGGCTTGTCGAGGAAAGACGAATGTTAACTTGATAGAAGTTGTACCTCCGGTGCCAGAGATGGTACGACCAAACTCTGTTCTGTCAGATACAGTTAGGTGGTTGTGGTCAATAGACTGCTATATAGATAGATAGTTATAAAAGTCAGAAGATATAATTAGATGTTGGTTGGATGAACTTTAAATAGTACTTAGTCTCGACCTGCTATATGGTGACCATCCAAATATCTGTCACTGCCTCCACAACATTAATATTACATCGACTATCAACCCGGCGGCCCATGCACCGCTTGCTATTCTGTACCGTAGCGGCGGCGAGCCGCCAGTCCCCGACTCTGCCCACCTTTTTCTCTTCTCTTTCTCACGCCAAGTCGTCGTTCAACATGTTCAGTCTTCTTGTCCGAGCTCCCAGTACCTACAGGCAGTGATAGGCTGAAATCCGAAACACGCTCCACTTTATCTTTCAAATTCCTCTCCACAACAGAACGTTGGACTCAACCTGGTTGAAATGATCCAAGCTACTACTAGTTACTAGTACTAGGGGTACTACGTACTCATTTGGTGCTCGTGATCTTTGATTCACAGAATCATATTATTCGATTTGCCTAGCGCTAAGTATGCGCCCGTGCATACAAACTCCGTCGGTCGAAACTCAGGTGCGAGTTATGTTCTCATTGGCTTCCGCAACTGTACTAATGTGCAGGGCCCAGCGAGGCGCGTAGATGACGGGCACCGTAGTGAATGTAACTTGCAACTTCAGGCTTCCCCTGAACACAACAGTGAATCATAGATATATCACAAATGGTTCCCTGTAGCTGGTGGTAGCTATTTATAAATTATTATTCTATCCCATTTGTATCGCATTCAGCACACAGCAAAGTGTAGCAGCTCGAGTGTGCCGAGTTGTTGCAGAATTGTAGCTCACCCCGGGTACAAGGACTGCAACCCGGAATTTGCAGATGCAGACACACGTGAAATGTTAGGTTTCTCTTCCGGTTCGTCCAGCAATATTTTAACACATGAAATTCATTTATCTTACATAGGTCACACTACGACAAGACCGTAACACGGCAGGATCTCCATCCAGATTGTAACTGGTAGTGATATATTGTCCCTTACCAAGACATCATGTGAGCCACCCATGGACTTGCCAACTCATTCTCCAGTCATGGTCCAAGCTGTGCTGCTGGAAGGGACGACAAAACACCCACCACCTGTTGGATCGGAATCCAGAATAGGTTATGCCGCCATTTCCGCCATTTCTGCCGATTCTTCGACAGGAATTGCACTTCAACAACCCCTCCAATTACCATACGAGTCACGGAGTTCCACCGGGCATGAAACCGGCGAGACAGAAAGAGAAATTTGAACTAGTATGCTGGCCAAAGAGGTTGTACACGTGCTCTCCATTGACTTCTCTTAATGGTCAAGTGTTACCAGGTGCGAGCGAACTACCGCAGGCCAGCAGTGACATATGATGAGTTACGTCCAATCCTTTGGGCTCCTCCCGTCAGCTGTATTACAGCTGTCCAACCTGTACATTCTTGACATCGTTTCCTGGTGCCGCACTTGGCATGGTAGGAGTGTTTTACCTTCCTAAACCAGAGAAAGGTCATCGAGCCAAATTGCTGAGGCGGTGATTCTTTGCCAGCAGAAATATTGCTCGGTGATACTCCGGTTCCATGTATACGAAGGACTAACGGTCTGTGGAAACCACGTGGCAGTGATGGACCAGAATATGAATTTGAAGCATGTTGGTCAACTGGATTTACATAAAGTTGGTCTGCCCCTCAGATAGCTGACATTGCCTTACTAACCCTCGAGCTGAGAAGCTACTTACGATGAGTTCTCTCCAATCCTTCCTCACGCTCCTCCCATCAGCCATATTACGACTGCCTGACCTATCCATCTCGGACAATGCGCGGCTCATCGTCGGTGCCGTGATTTGTCTTGGCGTAATATTACTATTAGTAATAGGGGTGATTGTTCTTCCTCAATCGAAGAATGGCCTTCTCTCCCACCTTATCCTTTCACTTTGAGGCCTTGGGGGCATTTCCTGCCCCCTCGCAAGTAAAGTTTTCCATGCAACACATTTTCTGCTAGTGCTCACGATGTCCTTCGTTGATTAAGCCATTTCTTCCTATAGCGGATTGGATTCACGAGTACGGTGCTCTGATCACTCTTGGGTCAGGACTCGAAAAAGTTGTGATTATTGGCCATTACAGAGTCAGTCTCTCGACGCCGAGTTGACATATCCAAGCTCACCTGGTCCATTCTGTTGCAGGCCGTCATGGATATTATGGAGAATCAGGGTGGAACTCTAGCTGACCGTCCTCGCACTGCCTTAGGTCCATCTGTCGGGATCCAGAAGTCTTTCCTGAGCCTGAAGCCTTCAAGCCTCAACGCTGAATTGATGGCCATGGTCGCCTGAGAGACACTTTATATAATCGTCTCTACGGTTTTGGTCGGCGGTAAGCACGGTCTTTCAACTATTCATTCTTTGAATGACATTCCTTGCAGTAAATGCCCTGGGCAATATGTCGCGGACAGGTAAAGGCACCTTCAAATTTCTACGCACAAAACCTTCCGAGCTCACTTCTATCTGTACAGATCGGCGTTCATAAGCGCGGTCTTGATACCTTGGGTCTTCCAGCTCACTCTAGATCCTACAAAGCCGTTGGGTGACATGGGATCCATGAATGTGGAGAAAGCCCTCCTGCCGTTTACATACCGGCCGTGCACCACCGAATTCGAGATGATGATTCCGGGACTAGTCGAGGAGAATTGGACACAAGTAACTCATCCTTCAGTACTATCAGTCATTATATCAAGATCCCGGGTGGCATGGGCCCCATTTTAAAAGGGGTCCAAGGCATCCGCTGAAACAGAATCTAAATAGAAGCGTAAAAAAGCATTGACGGCGGACGCCGGAGTGTCGCTGGGCTCGACGAGAAAATTGCCCCACAACTTGGCAACCTGGGGCGCGGGTTCGGCTCTCAAACCTCTCCATTAGATATCACCTTGATGCGATACGACCAGCAGAAGGCTTGATCAAGAAAGAAAAGAAAAAAAAGGGGTCATCTCGGAGCTATTGTTTTACGCACTGGCGTTGGATATGTGTGCTGGAGGTTAACGTTGATCGCCGAGCGGCGGAATAAATATATGAAGCGAGTGCCCAACTCTAGTTATCATTCCATCGCACTATGAAGCGGTGGAGACATCTTGGTCGGAGAGGAGGCATGTATATCGGGGCCCCGCGGCCGAAAATTTTGATCAGCGATGAAAAACAACCTCACAAGACTGTAACAATTTGCTCCTCAGACTCTCGAACGGCAGCAGTGTTTATACGTATCATGACTGCATACACAATAGACTCCTATAAGTCCAAGTCCGAGACAAGAATTACTGTTTTACTGTACGTGCATGTAAGGTATGCAGACGAGTAGCGAAAGAATCCTATGAGGAACGAAACGAAACAAAGGGGACATCATACTCGAAAGAAATTAGGAGACAAGGTCTCAAGCTCAAGTGTCCAACCAATATTAACCAATCAGTATCACTTCGTCACCGACCGCAGCCCCTTGGCGGACCTGACCCACCCCTCCTTCTCCCTGTCCGTGTCCTTGTCATCCTTCCAGCTCCCGCCCGTCCCAGGCGGAGAGGCGCTCCTATACTTCGAAACCCTACGCACCATCCCCATCTCATCCATCCCACCATCCACCAGCCCACGCTCCCGCTCCCTTATCCTCGGTGATCCCAACCCACCAGGCGACTTAAAATAACCAGACATCGACCGTCCCCCATCCTCCACTGTCAAATGCCCCATAAACGCCACCGGCATCGACGCCCCCATAGCCAAACACGCTGACTTCGGCTTCCTCCTTGCATCGGGATCAGGCATAGGCGTAGCCGTCCCAGGCTCCATAATCTTCTGCAACGCAAGCAAACACATAAACGCGTCGTTCCCTGCGTTATGCAGCGCACATGGGGGGTCGATCCCTAGGGAGTGTAAGAGCCCGCCGAGGGAGAGTGTAGAGCCTTGGGCGCGGAGTTTGCCTGTCTTGGGATCGTGCATCGTTCCTCGCTCGCCGGCGTTGAAGAGCGCACGTTCGAAGGAGGCGGTGTCGATTATGAGGACATTGTGTGGGATTTCTGGGGGTGCGTTAGTTGGAATGCATGTGTGGGGTGGGGACGTACTGATTTTAGTCTCTTCAAGGCGCTGAATGTCAGAGCTGACGCCGTGTCCTACGAGGACGAGACTGTTGGCAGTGGTTTCTGCGTCTGGGCTTACTAGACTGCTGTAGATGACATTAGTGACACCGGAGCTGCATGCACAGGATTATCCTACCTAATCACAGACTGTACAATCTGAGGTAACTTTGTTTTTGGTATTATTTGACTGTCGCCCCACTACGAGGTACTCTATAAGAAGGGAATAAAGGGCCAAAAGAAAGACGTACAGCATACTACTCCATATGTCAGTTTAGCACGGGAGGTGGTCCGAATAGGCGTACCTGCCAAGGGTACGTTGGACAATGCTTGTTGACGATTTTGTCCACGTAATCACCAATGATATAATGGCCCTTCCTGCGTACATGCACATCAGCCAGGCCGTCACGCCCGCCAATCCACAACCCACCGATAATTCGACTCGGGCATCGGAGGCCAAGCGCCAACGCTGCAAATCAGATCCATCAATTACCCGTACCCAACGGAAAAAACAAAAACAACATACGCCTCAAGATGCCCGCATCGAACAGCCGCATAACCCCATTCCAAAAACGTCGCTGGATTCCTTTCGCTCCACTCAAAGTCGATAGCTAAAAATGTCTTGTCGCGCTTGGCCCACAATTCTCGGACAGCCTTCGGCTCGCCAGCGCGTACCCGAGTTTTAAACGCTGCAAGCGCTACTGCTGGTAGCGTCGTGTATAGTTTCTTGTATGTTGCCCAGTCTGCAACGTTCCGTAGATGTCGCTGGGACGTCTCGAAGTGCGCGACTTTGAGCATGTTGTCAGGCGTTGGAAGTGTTTCGCCGAAACTGAGGGTTCCTTCTTCATGTGTGGGTCAGTAAGTGAGAGAGGGATAGGACGCACCGAGTCTTGATCATCTTGATGAACGCGCCGACGGTCGTCAGTCGGGTGACAATGTGCGCACGGCCAGTCCATGAGTCTGTAACAGTAATGACAGGCCATGAAAATCCCAGAAATTGCTCAAACGTCTCGAAGAATTGTCCCCATGTCCGGTCGTACCTGTGCAGCTTGAAAAACACGTCCTATGCACGCGGAAGTAGAGGGGCAGACGCACCACGGGACATTGTGCAACTGGAAGTGGCCTATGTAAGCAGAGTATACCTATTGGATTATGAGCAACCTGTTTGGCGAAAGCACTGGCATAACGCACAGACTGGAGATCGTATTCCCAACCTTCTGGATTGACGAGGCGAAAATCTGCCATAGAGTTTAAGATCAGACGACCTTGGATCGGTCAGTGCACAAACAAGTTCGGTAGCGCTATGAGTAACGTTCCGCAAGGCAAAAAGCAGAACTTAAGCGGGACACGCTGCGGAACAAAACTCGGTTTACATGATAGACTGAATGTTGCTCATTTGGACGAGAAGTCGTGTTTACGGCATCAATTTGCATACATCCATTTGGTATGAAAAGCGTTTTGGGGAGAAGGGGGCGTAACGGCACTTTCCGTAACAGTCTGCATTTATTTGTAATTTCTATTATTTAAATAGCACGTAGATAAATTTAAAATGTATGGGCAACAAGACACGTCGTTGCATTCATGTACACGAATTCGAAGCAAGAGGAGCCTACAGAAGTGCTGGAAGAAAAGAAGTTAGCAACGGTTAATAAGAAGAAATAGATACGGGGATCAGAGACTTGAATGGGATCCCGTAAAGGATCAACGTCCAGCGTGCAAGCACGTCGCGTCGAAAGATTTTCTATCCTAATAAACATGTCGAGAACATGACAACTCACCAATTGCAAGTGTCCGCGCACACAACAAGGGCCCAAGGAGTCAAAAAGTCCTGCAGAACAAGTCAGTATTGTGTCAACACAGAATGAAAATATCAGAAAGTAGATCGCGTTCTTCTCAGAACCTGCTAGCAGGCATCGAAGTGAGCTGAGTTTACGAAGTTGTTTCATCGTAAAAGGACCAACATAAAACATCGACGAGCACTTACCTTGTCGCTGCAGCTTGAAGCAGACAAGAAAGCTCCGGAAACACCCGAAAGTACTATCACGCTTAAACCTGCCCTGAACTCAGCCACCCATTGAAACTATACAGGTCTTGGTGAATTTCCCCACGGTCTGGCACGCTACACGGTGAGCTCATCCGCAACCGCAAGACACACAACCTCGCCATCTGAAGATGCAGATCTTCGTCAAGACCCTCACAGGGAAGACTATCACCCTTGAGGTGGAGTCTTCTGACACCATCGACAACGTCAAGGCAAAAATTCAGGATAAGGAGGGGTACGATTTATAATATATTTGGTACTACAGAGATTAATATCGTGATCAGTATTCCCCCCGACCAACAGCGTCTCATCTTTGCTGGAAAGCAGCTCGAAGATGGTCGCACACTCAGCGACTACAACATCCAGAAGGAGTCTACCCTCCACCTTGTCCTTCGGTGCGTCGCGCGTTTATTCTGACATCGAGCATCATGTTCACCTATCCATAGTCTCCGTGGCGGAATCATCGAGCCCTCACTAAAGGTTCTCGCAGCCAAATACAACTGTGACAAGCAAATCTGCCGAAAATGCTACGCACGTCTGCCCCCGCGCGCAACTAACTGCCGTAAGCGCGGATGTGGACACTCGTCACAACTCCGCCCGTGCGTCTTTCATTCCTTTACATTCTCTCACGTGAAAACTAATTTGACATCGCCGCAAACAGCAAGAAGAAGTTGAAGTAGTCGACTCGCTTTGGGCGTGCTTTGAGGACTATTATGGGACATCCATGTGTATTCACTCTTTCGCTCGCATATGCAACACATGATCATTCCATGTCGTTTTGTGGAGCTTTCTGTGTGATTTCTCCGCATTTTGTGCGCATTGTTGATAATCATTGACACGATTATTTGTTTTAAGAACGACTCAGCATCATGACAGGTCCCCGTTTTCCATCAGATATGTCAGTAGGCGAACTTGAGGATACCCGATGCGCAAGACACTCCCCTGACAACGTTTCGGAGGCGCGCAATAAACCCATTACCACAAACAACAACTTGCATGGCGCCCGTTGTGGCAGCTCAATAAGATCCGCCATAATCACCGTAACAGGCCCCACCCAGCGTACCAGATCGTTTAAAAACTGTGGTAAAACATCATTAAAAACACCTTCGTATGACAACCGTGGTATGTACATGCAAAGAAGCGGACAAGTCGGTGTCAAATGACCCACCCAACATCATTGATGCACCTCTCGCCCTCACAAACTCAGTAAACCATGCATTCGTAATGTCCCATCTGTCTGTTTGTCCACGAAAATAACGAGAAAATATGTCCAAGTGCAACTGCAACTACAAAATAACGTAGCGTTCTCAATGACCAAAAACTAAAGCCAGGGTATGTAAAACATGTGAAATCCCAAAGCTGAAAATGAAATAAAATGTCATCCTCAGGCATGCTAAGACGATTTTTTTGGTTTAGGGAGGCGAGATTAGAACATGATAGCTGCGCCAGCTGCTGCAGAAAGTAGAACGACGGCAACGGGGCCCATGCCGATCTTGAGTGACATAGCACCACTGTTGATGGGCGAAGGTGAAGTGGTTCCGGACGAGCTAGATGTGGTACCAGAAGCGGTGGCTGAAGGAGACGTAGCAGACACCGCACTGCCGGTGCTCGTGCTCCTAGAAGGGGTTTCAGATTATCATTTCAGTGATAGGTAAGCATTAACTCACGTGCCCGTGGATTTGGACGTGGACGACATCGACGTTGTGGAAGTCGTCGTCGTTGCGGTAACAGAAAAGTCACCACTCGTTGCGTAAACCGTGTTGATGTTGCTGATGTCGGTGGCCTCGAGGGTGTAACCGTCACTGTACACCGCAAGGTCAGCCGCTCTTATTCGTTCATTCAGCAGAGATCTATGCAGCGTGCTTACCCAAGGGGGGCCTGGGGCAGTACAATAGTCACGCCACCCGCCGAAGTTTGCACGTTGTTTGCGATGGCAAATGTGTTGTGGAAGATGGTGTTCACCATGTAAATATTGAACGAACTGGCGTCGGAAGTGGTCGCATCCCAAGAGACGTTGAACAAGTCACCAACCGAAGCACTCGTTGGTGTGTTTAGCGTCAGTGCAGACACGAGAGGGATAGCCAAGGTAGCAAGAGCACTGAGGAGGTGGTTAACAACACATCGGAAACCTACTCATCGACTGCAATAGTGGACAAGAGACTTACGCGATTCTAGCAAACATGTTGAAGTCGTGAAGGGGGTATGAGAAATAAACTAGGCAAGGACGTAGAGGAAGGCAAGCGAATAAGACAAGCGAGGGCTACGGAGAGAAGCCGGAAGTAGAGAACTGCAGGAGAGTTGAAGAAAAGTTTGAGCAAGTCTATCGGCTTTTATGCCAGAACTAAACCATAAGGCGTCTTCCCACGCGGCACGCCAGTCTGATTCAAAGCGTGCGATGCCAACGATTCACAAACACGCTGGATTCACTTCCTTTCTCATCCTTGCCTCGTCATTCCCGCGTTTTTTATTCCCTAGGTATGCCCAACTATGGATTCTAGTCAGTAATAGTAGACACTATCCATTCGAAGTCCTCAACTCCTCTGCCGCGGCTCACTGGAAAAAAAAGCCTTGGTGAAATTACGAGTCTAACCAGATGGCGGTGTGATTTCCATTCAGGCTGCAATCGTAACAGCCTTTCACCTGCGCTTAAGAATAGATCACGGCCATCTATTCCCTTTTCACCTACTAATAGATCTACGTGTGAAACATAGTGAACACCGATGTCAAAAAATGTACGGCACCGTCCTGTCGAGGGACGACATAGCGGGTACAACTCACCTCGTCAAACGGTCGCGTATCGCCAAAGCAACTCTCCCAAACCTCATTCACCGCACGCTCTGCTGCTGCCTCGTCCGGACACATGGGATTCGCGCGGACGGAAAGTATAGCACGCCGTCTCACGCAGGCCTATTCCAAGTCAGTAAACATTTAGACTGATCGAGATAGATATAGGACTGCACAGCATGAGACAAATCATCGATATACCTGATGTTGCTTCGAAAACGACACAAATCCCCTTCCCAATTCACGCATATACCGGCAGTCACCACTTAAACTGTTAGCACGGATCTTCGATAAATGGGCGCCGCGGCATACGTCAATAAAAACTCGCAACGGAACATGGCACACTGATCACTCACTTCACTGCATGCATGATGTCTCAAGTTTTTCCAGTCAACATTGAACTTGCAGTGATCATACATGTGTACCAGCTCGTGTGTGAGGGTATCCTCCATGTGCTTCTTGTCTCCGAAATGGCCCTGACAAAGGATAATCGCACCAGCAGGATGGAAGCCTCCGGAACGCGTGAGATCGCATGGGGCACACACGATGTTTGAGGACGGTACCAGGCACCCGGACAACTTAAGATGCTTTAACATGAAAACAACTGAAGGACCTATGAAAGGAACGAGTGCGTGGCGTTGTAATGAGTACGGATCAGGCCACGCAGAAACAACGAGACGGACTGTAATTCAGGAGTTCGGTCTTCCATTGCTCGCAGCGGCGATGCTGTACTTCAACCCGGTCACGGTCTCGTTCGTCTGCGGTAAGCCCAATACCTGATACTTGGGCAGCTTTGTGAAGCCATCTTTGAAATGATCGAGACTCTGATGGATCAACAGGTGGTTCAGAAGAGGCCGGATCCATGAGTGCAAATATGCTGGTGCAAAGCGCGAGTTGGTAATACCATTCATGATAAGTTCCCACGGAGGAGCACGCGTCAGGCGGTAACATTACAGTAAAATCCAACAGCAGAAAACGATAATTGAGCACTCATAGGTACTATGGTCCAATAAATTATCCTCCGGAATACCCGCTAGAAAGACAGTACTGCAGTAATGTTATCAATAAGAAGTGCACTTGAACAACTCTCGAACGGCTGGCAAATTATGGAGCTCAGTCAAGTATCTCGTCGCCAGCGCTTGAAACAACAGCTCGTGATGCTCGTCATGGTATGGAGTATGCACATGTGCCATCTCGTGCGCCATGATATAATACCTGCGGAAGATTAGTAAATACTAAAGGACAGGATTCCGTGAGTGCTTGCCAGTCAACATAAGCCTTTCCAGCAGGAGCATCTTTGTCTAGGTAGTAGGCATTAGCCTTGGTGACGGAAGAATCGATCATGCAGATCACGTACGGTTCTGCATATAGTGTTCCAGACCGAAAAATATCTGATCATTGCGGTTGAAACCCATCAGATTCGAGTCCTCGCCGTGAAAGAATACATGACACCGTGTCTGATTAATTGAAAAGACTTTTGCGAGGTCACTAATGATATTCCCAAAGGCTTCGCGTTCCTTTGGGGGAACACCCAAGATTGTCCCCTCTGAAACAAACGTCAGTCTAGCAGCTAGAAACGGGAAGCATTCAACTCACTTCGCTTCCAGACTTTGACCTGCCCGACGTGTTGATCCTCTTCGTCGATTTAATCATAGGCTGCCAGACTCTAAGTTGGACAACGTACCACATTCTTCGAGATCCGTCTTTGCAACCTTCTTCTCATCGCAGTATGCGACGTTTTTCTGCTTCTTCCCTCCACCGACCTGCTCCCGATTGCTAATGTGCAGGTCGTTATTGCCGCCCTCTTCCTTCATGATATTCTTCACTTTCTCGATGGAGTTTTCTGCACATCGATTAAGCGCCAATCTTCAACACGAAAAATAGACTTAGCACACCTATCTCACTAAGCTTGATCTCGCCCAACTTGGGATCTTTGCGAAGCCTATGCAAAAACTTCGTAAATTTGCTGACGACAGGCTCTGGTTTGTCACAGGTTGGTTCATCCCCTGGTGGTGCATCTTGGGAAGGAGCTTGGACAGGTCCGGGTGGCACCCCATTGGAAGGATTTTCTCCTACTTTCATTGAGCATCTCTCCTGGCATGAAAACTATTGATATTGATAGTAAACTTACCATGTTCGGCCTTTTCAAGGTTCTCGCGATATTCCGAGAGAATTCTATCGACTAAACATGCGATCAGCACCACTTCCTAGATGACAGTGGCAACCTCACCATCGTAACCACGGCGCTTGAGGACGTTAATGTCTGTATCCAAGATAGTCATAAGAGACAGGACATCGTTCTTTTTATACGTAGAGAACAGCAGACGACACAGAGCTGCCGCGATACTAAAACGAATGAGCACGCATCTCAAGCGATACAGAGCACCACATACTCATAACTGTCAGCCTTCGGTTCCTTAATCCACAGCACATTCACACCATCCTTGATTTGGGTCTCAGCAGAGAGTTCGGTGGGGTGCGCTTTCTGTCCCTGAGGTCCAATAGTCGCATTTGGGAAGTCCAATCGCTTCGTGACATCAAGCCTTCGACAAGCTCGCACGAAGAATTGATTCTCGTCATGCCACCGTAACAGGCGCATCCTTTCTCTAAAGCGTGGTTCGTCGAACTCGTGGAGGAAAATAGGAATCTTGTCGATAATAGACTTTCGAAGGTCGCGAGCACTCTGTGCGCTCAGCAACTCTCTGTCCGGTTCCACAGTATATTTGATGCAAGAGCTCAGCGACTTGACTTTCATTTCAGAGTAAAACTCTGCTTGCGATATGTCATATTGTACCAGGAAGAATACAAGCACTTACTTTCTAATAGCTCCTCCTGGGGAGCGATGAAAATGCAGTCGCCAAAGGTGCGACGACTTTCCATGTCGTCGGCGACCAATACTTCATCGGCCTTGCAAAGTTCAAACACGTCTGCTTCATGGCTGAACCCGTCGCGGCTTTTCCCCCGTCGATATCCTAAGAAAATCGAGGCAGTGCGCATTTCTTCGTGGATCCTTCGAGGAAGAGACTTGTGACCGACCGCGATCAGACGCAGCTCAGTCAAGTATCTAAATCAAGTAAGTATCACGAGTCAAGTTTCCGGTGCTGATACGCACCTCTCATGATCGTCCCCAGCCAGTTTAAGGAACGTTTTTGGACATCTCAGGAGAACTTTGAGAACATCGATGCATTCAGGGCGTTCCTTGACACCACAGGCTTTCAAAAAAGCATTGGCACTACGCCCAAAGTCGACAAACTTGAACAGCTGCTGGTAGAAGTGGTCCTCGGGGTATGATTCCGACTTCAGGAAGCACTCGCGAGGCGACACTGCCTCGTAAGATATTTTACTGCGTCGTGGCTGATCGGAAGATACCTCCACGGGAACAATTTTGAGGTCTGCGATTCTTTCGAATTCCCCTGCTGAGAAAACTGCACATTGTGTCAGCATACACAGAAAGCGCCAGCGTCATGGGACTACTTGCCTCCTTTCTCAGCAAGAAACCTGAACCACCTCTCTGCAGTTTCCGGGTCTTTCGGCGGGGTCGATTCAAGAACCTGAAATAGCTTTTCAGCGGTAGGGCGATCTCGAATCTTCAACTTTGTAATGTTCTTCTTGTTGAACTGGTCGGTCAGGTGACCAAAGCCAAATACTTTCCAGTTTGGGTCCGAGAACACCTTTTCAATCGTGGTATCAGCCATATATATCCAGCGTTCATACACGAACGAACCTCGCCATGAGGGATTTGACAAGCTCTCCCGTCTCTGACACCGGGGATGAAGGGGTACGTAGAGAACTTTGACGGATCGAATTGCTTTTCAAGGAATGTTTCATAAAATGGTCCGCAAAGAAACGCGAATGCAGCACGTCTAGCGGCATGGTCGTCCTTGGAAGATGCGATAGGGATGAGTTGTTCTATTGTAGGGTATTCGTGCAACCCTTTTCTAATGAGGAATAGTCCTTTGTGATGTTTGGTCAGTGGGTAATGTAACGCCAAGCCAGTTCATGACGCACCTTCTTGGGTGTTCGAATCCCAGTATTCGCAATTGATTACAGGCAGTTTGAGTGCCCGGTTGATTTCTGTGGATGCGAAGAGCTCGCTGATATGACGCCTTTCACCATCGCAAGGAAATATTTTCATTTCCATGACGCGAGTCACGTGTTCCTGACTCGGAGCAGATGTGATAAGATACCTCGCCAGGTCCACGGCATTCCATCTATCACCGCTCATCGCCCTGTGAGATATATTAGCAAACACGGTAAGGTCATATTCCTAGTGACTAACTTGACTATGAATGTGTCGATGTCGCACTGTTTCTGCACCCCCAGATATTGCAATACCTGCTCTGTGCGGAAATCAAAGAGGAGGTCTTGTCGAACGACGGGAAGGTCGCGAAAAACATCGGCTTCAGGGAAATACGCCTCCTGAGGTCGCATCATGTAAGGTGCGGTTGTCGTGGGTATGCAAGTCATAACCTCCAAAATCTCCCGAACTTCGAAACGACTATTGTCATCTAGCGAAGTCCAAATGGTACTGAGGACGTTGAGGACGTGTGTCGCAAAACTGTGCGTTCGCGTGATATCATGTGCTGCATCTGGCGGACTGTTACTGAGGTGTCGAAGCCAGTGTATGATTGACATCTCTTGCCATCCAAAAGCCTCCGGAATACAAGAAGTCAGGCTTTGGATAAGTACTGGGGGTATGGTGTCGTCTGGCAAAGGGTCATCGGAACGGCGAACACTCAGCATTCGTCCATCGATAAATTTGCTGATGGAGCTGAGTCTAACTTCCTTCCCCCCAGAGTGTGTTCTGCCTGCTTTGAGTAGTTCGTTCCGCCATTTTCTATGCTGTTCGTCTAACGGACCCTGGCTCCCAAATGAAGTGCCCCACCAACGCAAGCAAGCAGCCATCTCCGACTCACTCAGCCAGCGCGAATCTAGTTCTTTCACGACATCTTTGAATGTGTACGGTCCGATCCGGAGATGCTCGGGAAGCGCCATGGATGTTGATATGGGACGCAGTTCCACTGGGAATACCGGGGTGCGCATGAACTGAGCGAAGTGATGATGGTACAAACGGATGTCCTTCGTGTACCGAATCCCTTGATCAGATATGAACGGGAATTTATCTGTTGTCGAGCAAGCGTAGAATGCATCCTTGATAATTTGGGACACCTTCGGGTCGGGCGTGGAGGGATGAAAGACGAAAGACTTCATCGTATACAGTGCCAGTTGCGTACACGATGCCAGTTGTTCCGCATCTTGTTTCTGCAACGTCGGCCACAGATCCTTTACTTTGTTCATCTCGGATTCATAAGCCACCCTCGCCAAAAAGCCTCCAACGTAAAGAAGCTCCTCATTCCATTCTGCATAGCAAAGCGTTAATGGACAAACCATAGTCTAGTATCAATTCATCACTTACTCAAGACATGACCATTGCTACAAGATAAATCATCAGATATGTCCTCACATAGGGTCGCGCAGTACTCACGCAAGATCAATCGAGCCTCGTTCCACAGTTGGAATAAAACGGCCAGACATGTGGCAAGCCATGCCTGTCGTTTGAGCCGTACTTTGCCCCTGTCATACACATGAGATAACATGAAATAATCCAACATTACGAAGTACAAACGATGAAGATCCGAGCAGGGTGTTCTCTGTCAGAGCGGAACGTTAGAAGAAAAGACGCTCCGAAAGAACGTTTTGACATACGCTTCCAATCGCGGACAAAGTCCTTGAGGACCACGGAAGACGCTTGCGTTACCGACTTCACCTTGCGACTGCTTATCGTGCTCGTCCTTACTGAACTGTGGACAGAGGATATAGGACTGCGTCGAAATTTATAAGGTATTTGCTTACGAAAACCATTTCAAATAGGAAATCTTTGGGAAGCTTTTTCTTCATTGCAGATTCCAAACCTTTCTCCAAACTCGATTTCGGTGAAACGGTAACTTTCGCAGAGTAAATAGAACATTTCGCTGAGAATTGGGTGCCGGATTTGAGGCTAAGGGCTTCAGAAGCAACTGCTGCAAGTTTTGGAGCTGCCATTCTTCCATTCAATTTTGACATTTTCTCCGTCGAGAAGAAACTCTTGGATTTTGTCGGATTTCCACCTTCTTCAGGTTCCGCACGTGCGACGAGCATCTTTGGACCTCCAACGAGTGCATCGTCAAAGAATGTAACGTTGACCTCCTGGGCTGCCAAGAACATTAGAAACTTTGTGGACTTGTAAAGGCGCAAGATATACTGACTGATCAGTTCAACAGAATCAATGATCATGGTTCCATCCCGACTTTTTCTGTTCATATGTTCCAAAATGGGTATTGACTGACTAGCCTTATTCCGAGTTTTTGTCAAACAAGACAACTCAGTGTTGTCCAGAAAGATCCTAACACGCTGGATATGAGCCAGGAACGTCACGGAGGTTACTAGAAATCGCGCGAGTTCAAAGACCCGCGGGGTAGTCGATTCCTGCTTCAACTCCATCTCGATCACAGTCCACCCGTCGCAGTCACAATTGAGTTGTTCTTTCTTCACAAAGAGCTACATGCACGTCAGAAGCGATGAACTGAGACGCGAGTCAAAGCAACAACGTGCCTGGTCTCGAGCGCCATAATAAATGGATACCATCTTTCCTGCAGCATCCAATTAGCGACAGATAGGCTTCATTGAAGGATCGCGCACCATTCGATTTGACAATGGGCTTGTCGGTGACACTGAACACACTAAAGAAACCTGTACCACGAAATTGCCCTCAGGTCTCAGGATGAACGAGGAATGCATGAATCGTACCGACTCCAAATGCACCGATCTTTCGTTCATCCGGATTGCCTTCGGCTAGATAAAAGGTTCAGCACCCAGCAAGCTGCTCAAAATCTTCACAAACCAATTTTCGTCAGGCGCTTCCAGTCATCGGGTTGAAATTGGGCACCGTCATTCTTGACAAGCCATTTGAAGACCTTGTTGGACGAAAACGTGAGTGCTTCGTAGCCAGCAACTTGCCTGATCACATACCTTAGCTGAGTTGAGACCTTGTGTCGTCCCATTACTCGCACATCTGTGTAGACTCTCAAATACAATATCGAAATTTTCGGCACCAGCGTCGTCCGCATTCTGCAACAGTTCTCGGAACACTTCATGGCAATCAGTCGTTCTTTCCAGGCTGACCTGACGTAGTTCCAAACGTACCTGTGAACTCCTCTGGGTAACGGGCGAGGACTTTATCAACAAGGTTCCGCTGGTTGACTTCCACTGCCTTCAAACCGAAAGGTAAGCCCCGAAAGAGTACGATTCTTGGGTGCCAATAGAACTAGCTCACCTCGGGCTCACACATTGCAAGACAGTCCTGAGATGTTCGTCGAAATACGATAGTCAGTATGTGAGGCTCTAAAGCGACAGGATAAATAAAGTTGCGTGGATCGTAACACTGCAGTTGGCCTCACGCTCAACACGCGTAGCTATGCCATACAAAGGGACCCACAACTTAATATGATCCCCGAGCGCTTATTCTTGTGTTATTATTGAATTGCTGTGCGTTCTACAGCCAAGTTTGGTGGCAGTGTCGCAGGATATGAGATCCATGGCAATATGTTAACCGGAAAGCGAGTTTGAAGTTCACCAAATCCCGGATTGTTGAGAATAAGTAAACTCTTGCCCGGGCCTCGCGGGTCTTGTACGCAGCGATTATAGAGTCAAGGCTTTCAAGCTCTGGTCGAGACCCAGGACCCAGTGGTACACGGGGGACTGGCACTGCCACATTGCATCGCCTCATGCTGGATTACAAAGTTTTGATGAAAACCCCAGCTGGCAGCTGCCACTGAGTACTGAGTACTGAGTACTGAGTACTGAGTACTGAGTACTGAGTACTGAGTGCCCATCCCGAAAGTCTAACCTGAGAATGCTCCGCCACAGACTGTCAACAAGGCTAGAACCGTTTGAATGGGTCGCGGCGTGCGTGCGGCATTGCACTGACTTCTTCGAGTTCTCTTCTAGAATTTGAAGAACGTCGAGACTCGACCATGACATGATCAACACAGCTAAACATGTGGGTCGGACTGTACCTGTGACACAAGTGTCATCCAACAGCTACGAACACTGCTACAATACCTGACTCGCCGCAGCGATCCAGCAGTACCACACGCGAAATACTTTATCCAGTGACAAACTCATAGTAAGTCCGAAGGTGTTAACCCTGCTGCGACTCGCGCCTCAATTTAGACAGCCCTTTGTAGACGAGCTTGTGAAAAGAGCGTCGAGGTCTTGAACTCGAAATCCTAGGCCCAACTAGTGACTCGTTGTTCAAGGGGCTGCAATATTTTTGCCAGTGCAAGCACTGCTCTGTAGTAAACACAGATGCGTCCCACTTTGGAATCTCGAAGAAACGCAGCCATCAAGCTATCCAACTTGAACTTATAGACGTCACTCGTGTATTGCCTTTTCTGCGGGTGGAAAGTTGCTAATTGCCATTGCGGCTGCGACGACCAGGCTATGGCTTATATGCCTGTCACGACTCATGATATCTCTTTCGTCAGAAAGACCTTCGCTGCTATCAACATTTGTATATTGTGAGCTCGAATACATGTATGCCTCAGTCAAACTGACAACAAGTGCGGGCATCCACACGGTCATAGGCTGATCAGTCTGCACATGGGTTGGTACCACACATCGAAGATACTTATGAGAAGCCCTGAAAGTCTTTTTGACGGCACACGAGATAGTGTCGATACACAGAGGAACCCCCACCAACATCTACTCTTGTGCACCACGTCGATGCGCCTCCTCACTATTGCGGGATACCGAGACGGTTCTACTCTGATAAGCAGCTTCAATCGTTTGTGGTGGACCGATTCTTCAGGGTATCGCGCTTTTGCGGGCGTTGTCGTTGATTGTCGATGTTGTAGATAGCGGCAACCTTTTCTTGTGTACGCCCTTTCGATGTCATCTCCACCCACAATATCGTTCCAGCACAACATGACATTGCTTCACCTATACCCGAGGACAACACCTTTACTTCAATAGCTGTGACTTTTTGGAGCCTCCGTACATGTGTCACCGCAACCATGAGCTGCGAGAGCGAGTTGAATGATGCGTTCCCTAATATCAGCCCTATTGCTGCCCAGCCTGATTGCGCATGCACGCACTGTTACTGGATTTCGACATGTCAGAAGTCACAAGGGAAGTGAGATTATTGTTCGGCTACGGTCTATTCTTCCGGCTTGAAGTACTTGGTCTTATTAGCAAGGCGCAGAATACAATTCATATGAAGTATAGATTTGTTAGGTATAGATAAGCAAGACGACATGAATAACACAACTCAGAAATACACCTAATGTCCCTAGAGTCCTATGTGGCAACCAAGCCAAATATCCGCTACGAAACCTCTGTTGCGCAATTGAAATACTCGCGGACCTCTTCCACGTCGTGCAGACGTGGCAGGAAATGAGCGCTTAGTGCCGAGACCAACAACTCGTGATCTTCGTCGTGGAAAGGCGTTTTGTTATGGGCTATCTCGTGCACAATGATATAGTACCTGTTGAGACAAGGCTGTATGAGCACATCGTAGCCAGTGAAGCTCTACATCTACGTACCAGTGAATGTATGCCTGACCAGGCGTCATGCCAGAGTCTAGCTCTGCACCATAACATGTGAGGGTTTTCGCTAAACAGCATGAAGGTTCACCTACGTTTCGTGTAGTGTGCAAGGTTCAAGAAAATCAGCCGGTTGCGATTGAATCCCATTAAATTATGATCCTCTGGATGCCAGAAGATATTGAATACGCCATGTTCATTATTACTCAGGTTCAATACTGCGTTGAGTCCGTGGACTATGTTTGCAAAGTCCGTTATTTCGCCTGGAATTTCTTGACGTGCAGTGACTACGACGGTTATTTAATGCTGACACCAAAGACGAGGGGACCTACTTTGTCGCCAAACGGGTATAAAACCAGCGGCGCCACCCACATCTGGAATTCGTTCATATCAAGACGTAGTTATCAACAATGACCCACGTACCGGCGAGTTCCAGAGTGGTACTCTTCAACTCAGTACAGTACTTGACGTCTTTCCGCTTCCTGTCTGCACCACTGTGTTCTCTATTTCGGATCTCCTGTTCTTCTCGGGTAGCCTGCCCCTTGGCACACTGGTCCATCAATTCCTTGACCGCGTCGTCTGCATGAAATGAGTTTGCGGTTGTGCCCGAGGTATAATACGAGACATACCAATTTCTTCGACGCTGACTTTGCTGGGGCTCTTGGATCCTCCCGACTGCCACCTGAAGAAGTCAAGGAATTTGGACCGGAAGCGGATACCACCACCACCACCATGCCGCCCTCCGCCGGACTCCTCTAACTGCTTATTGCGTGCTGCCCTTTCGCGCTCTGGAGAGTGATTGATTGATAAGCCAGGCAGATGATTTGAAACTTATTGCGTACCTTCTTCCTTTTTCTTGTCCTCAAGTTTAGCGGCTTCGTGAGCTTGTTCAATCCTGTCCACTGCTACATGTGAGATACAGACATTGCAAGAAAGTTACGAACAATTACCATCGTAGCCTCGTTTCCTCAAGATTTCCTTGTCCGTCTCCAATATGGTCATCAAGCTGAGAACATCGTGCTTCTTGTGAGTCTTGAAAAGCAGTCGGCAAAGTGCGACAGCGACGCTAAAGAACCGTCAGTGATATATCGATGTGGAAAAACACGAATGTACCCACTCATACATGTCAAGGTGTTCCGTTTTCTTGAGCCATAGCACAACACGGCCGCTCTCTTCTGTGATCTCGGCGGACACATAGAATTCATTGCTTTCTCTCTGACGTTCAGCAGAGATGCGGTAATTAGAGTCAAGTCTCTTATCCACTTTGAGATCTCTGCATCCTTTCACGAGAAAGAGTGATTTATCACCCCACTTCCGGTGCATTGAGCCGCCCTGCTTGAGACGTTGCTCATCAAACTCATGCATAAAGATGGGCAACTTCTCCACAATCGCCTTTCGAACTTCCTCGCAACGAGTCCACTTAGGTTGCTCGTTGGTTGGTTTCACGTTGTATTTAATGTGGGCGCTCAAATACCCAGATCCCACTGATTCGTAGAGCTCTGCGACTTGGTTAGCCGGGTCCACGTTCAAAAAAGAAGCAATCTAGCTTACTTTCGAGCAGCTCATCCTGCGGAGCCAACCAGACAAACTCTCCAAAGATCCGGCGGTTTTCCATGTCGTCAGCGAGCAGGACCTTAGACGCTGGAACGAGTTGGAACTCGTCCCTGACGATGGGAGCGTGATCTGGATCGGAGGACTTTGAGGTGCGATAGCCGACGAATATTGGCGCATTCTTCATCCTTTTCTTATCCTCTTCGGAAAGCCCCTCATACCCAACTGCAATTCCACGAAGCTCGACAAGGTATCTGCATTGACGATGAGCGCAAGGATGATTCTGCAAGGTATTCACGCACTTCTCAGGGTCTGCTTCTGCACCAGCTTTTCTGAGGAACTCCTTAGGGTTCTTTATTAGAATGTGGACGATGTCGGAACAATCTGGCTTGGCTTTGACGCCACAAGCTTTCAGAAACCGATTTGCTTGTTCACCGAAGTCGACAAAAGTAAACAGTCGCCGGTAAAGATGCTCATTTCCGTATTGGCTACCACCGATGAAGCACTCCCGAGGTGGCACCAGGCGAAACTCGGAATCCGAATGACCTTGCGAGATGGCTTCTGCGACGGGGACGATAGGAATCTCGGCGATTTGCTGAAGATCTCCAGGAGAGAGGACTATACGAAGAGGGAACCATTTAGAGAATGAGAGTTAATCAGGTAGCATGCCTAACCTTGCTTTGTTGCGAGAAAGGCGAACCATTTTATCGCTGTATTGACATCCTTGGGCGGACTGGTCTTGAAAACCTCGATCACTTGTCTTGCAGATGGCGCTTCCCGCATCCTCAGTCGGCCGATGATCTTCCTGTCAACAGAAGGATGGACTTTCTGGAACCCCATTAACGCCCATGATGGATCAGAATAAACCTTGATGCGAGTTTTCGACTTCAGTTCCATGAATCCCGATGAAATAGCAAAAGACCTTACCTCCTCGTAAGCGCCTACACATTCATGACTGTCTCGCATAGCTGGTATAAACGGCATATCGTCGTATTTCGAAGGATCATACTCCGTATCATAGAGCTCGTCGAACTTGCTCTCAAGGTACCCAAAGGCAGCGCGTTGAACTTTAGGGTCGGGGTCTCCAGCAATCTCAATGAGCTTCTCCAAGGGCGGGTGTCGAAGGAATCCCATGTCGGTCAAAAGTTGCTCTGGAGTAGAGTCAGCTGAAAGCGAGAGAAAATATTGCGGAAGGAAACAAAGTACCATCCTCGGAATCTTTATCGATTCTGCGTGACCAATTGAGAATTGGTAGGCCCAGCGGACGTATCTCCCCATGTGGAAGGTACAAGTCAGTGATGCAGTATTTCCTGCCTTTATCGCAAGGGAAGACAGCGTATTTCCTGATATCCTCTACCCTCTCCATGGCATCTGGGTCAGTACTAAGATATCTGATCATCTCCATCGCCGACCACGTGCTCAATTTGTCCGCCCTGGAAAGTGATCAATAATGTTGAATCAAGGCCTCAAAATTTAACGCACTTGGCAAACAACTCTTCAAAGTTAAGATGTCGCTTGACCCCGAACTCGCCGAGTACAGTGAGAATCTGCGGATCGAACAGGTTGACAGAGACAACAGGCAAATCACGGAAGACGTCTGCTTCTGGGAAATACGCTCCACCAGGGGGCCGGAATCCCAAATTCGTTGCGATCCATGGGACGTCCTGCATGAGATCCTTTGCCTGCGATTTCATGTCGCTGGACATCGTAGGCCAGATGTTTCCCAGAACCCCCAGGACACGGTTAGAATACGTGGAGCTTTTGCGGATGTCATGAGCCGCGTCTATCTGAGGGCTTATTAAATGGCTCAGCCAGTCCACAACTGTCATTGGCTCCCACAAAAGAGATGGAGAAATGTGTCGTCGTTCAAGATTCCTGGTAAACGAAAACGGGATGGTGTCTGGAGGAAGAGCATCGTCCGACTGAAGCCAAGGGAGCCAAACAGTGGAATCGACAAACTTGGTGATATTGCGAAGTTCTATGACACGCGTAGAATTCCCAATTCGCGACTTGGCATTGTCCGTCAGATTCGGCAGGAATGTGAGGGTTGTTTCCCTCTCTTCATCGGCTTCAAGCGAACTTATGAAGTTAACCCACCACCGCAGACAACCGATCATTTCATCTTCCTGCAAGGTCCTTCCCTGTAGTTCTTTCACCACGTCCGAAAACGTGTACGTCCGGACACCATACTTCTCAGGGAGAGAGTCAACTAAACCAGCTGGGTCACCAGGTGACGTCGGAAGTTGTGTAGGCACCATTTTCATGAAGGAGGAGAAGTCGGCGTGAATCTCCCGAACGTCCTTGGTGTTACGAATACCGGAATTTGTCAAGATGGGGAAATGAACGTTGGAGGAATAGTCGAAGCAGTCGAAAAATGCATCTTGCAAGATTCTTGACACTTTAGCATCCGGAGTGGATGGTTGGAACGTGAAGTAGCGCATAGCATACAAGGCCTTCTCTCTTGAAGCTGACGCCTGAGCGTCAGCAGTCGGGACATCAACACCGTTGACTGTAGGCCAAGAACCCTGGACCTTGCGAATCTCCTGTTCATATACGAGTCTCGCAAGGAACCCACCTACATACAGGAGTTCTTGATTCCATTCTGTGTAAATTGTCAGTACACCTCAAAGGAAACCGACCGAGAGGCTAGCACGAACTTGCGATATGGCCGTTTCTGAGCAATCGTGAGATAACTTTACGTGCAAAAAAAGTGCACCCACGTTAGATCGATGGATCCTCGTTCGACAGTGGGAATAAATCGGCCAGACATATGTCCACTAATACCAGTCGTTTGCGCTGTACTTTGACCCTGCGACTCATCAGCACATTTTTATTGAACACAATGTAGAGCCTACAATGAAGATCCGGGACATATATTCCCTAAAATATGATGACAACATGTCGACGTGCACAGAAACAATAAAACAAGTAACATACCCGTCTAGTTGGGGAAATAGACCTTGCGGTCCCCTGAATATGCTTCCCATGTCCGGATCACGTTTCTCCTCTGCTGTTCTTGCATCCTGCTCCTCTTTGGAGAACTGTATTCATGATGAGCACAAAGAAAAGAACAAGGTCGCTGGAGAGCTCACGTAGACCATCTCAAAATCGAAGTGGGAAGGAGGATCCTTCTTCGTCATCGCTCTTAGGCCTTTATGAAGGTCCTTGCTAGGACTAGTCGAAACTTGAGCTGAATATACCGCATATTTAGCACTATGGGTTAACCAGGGTGGATGGTCATATGTCGATGCTCGAGACACAGTTTTGGTGACTTTAGCGACTTTGGGGGCTTCGCGCTTTGAGCCATCCCAAAAACTTTTGCGTTTCACAGGATCCTTTGATAGATTTTCATTGCCAGAGCGATGTGTAGATGTTATCTTCGTTCCAGCAGCGCGTGCCCAGTCCGTGATTTCAACAGTGATTTCTTGGGCTGTCAAGGAAAATCAGTATGCTTCACGTGCCGAAAATGCAACGTGCAACGCACTAGCTACTGAAAGTCCCTTGATATGCATCGTGTCCTCTTTGCTCCTCGGTATCATATCTTTGGGAACACGAATTGAGCTGGGTACTTGTCTTGACTTGGCGATCTTCATGAAGACTTTGTTGTCAAAGGAAACATGGGCGTTTTCCACACAAGACATGAATGTCATGGTAGCTGCCAAGAACCGGGCTAAGTCGAATGGCTTCGGGACGGGACCTTGCATATCTTCTTTCAGTACCATCTCGATGGAAGTCCATTCGCTCTGGGAACAAGTATCATCCAATGTATATAGCTGGGGAGATATGTGAGTATTGCGAACTTGTACTAAGCTTACGGAGCTTCGTGGCATACCTGATCGCCCTGAAAGAATATCGACAGACTTTTGCCTATCATATGCACCGATTGATATGGTGGATCTAATCGAGGAAAGGGCTTGGCGCTTACCTCCAGACAAGACCAGCGGGCTGTCGGTAATACCGAAGACACTGTAGAACCCTACAAAGAATAACTCCATGAGGCTAATTGACGGCGATACATGACTCTACGAACCAACGCCAAATGCTCCAATCTTCTGTTCGTCTGGGTTGCCATCCGCTGGTAAAAGTTAGCGCAAACTATTTGGTAGCAAACCATCATACCAATCTTCGTCAATCGTCCCCAGTCCTTATCTTCGAAACAATCACCATTGTTGCGAACAACCCATTTGAACAACTGTTGGAATCCTGAGCATTAGTAATTCCGAGGGTAGCACCACCTCGAGCTCACCTCCGTTGTGAGCAGGTCCGGCATATCGGTCTTGCCATTGATTCCATTTGTCTTGCCGTTTGCTCCCGCAGAATGTGTAGCATAGTCCTTCGTTTGAAACTCTATTAGGACCTTCTTGGCTCTAGCGTCGTCAGCATTCTGTAATAATTCTCGGAACACTGGGCGCTTTTTAGTCGACCACGCTAAGCCAATATAGTGGTTCGACGAACCTGTAAACTCCTCGGGATATCGAGCGAGCACTTTATCGACCAACGCACGCTGGTTTACTTCTACTCTCTTTGGCTTTCTAGTAGTTGTAGTCTGTACACCTCTTATTGCGAGCGCCTAATTTGGAAACATTAACCACCCACCTTACTCAGGCTTGCCATTGCGCCGGTGGCCTAAGTTGGGTATTGAAATGTTTGCTTTGCTGGTGTCCTGTCGTTGGAGGGGTATACAGATTCGGAAGATGATGTGGTACTCAAAGCTGTGGTATTTGCTGTGAATGTGAAAGCAAGCAGGCGTCTGCTCGTGGCATGTCGAGAATAACGTTTGATTAAAAGCGGCCAAAGGAATCCACAGCCGCATCGCGACATGTGGCAGGACTTAGACGCCCAACAATGTTTCTTTCAGAACTTGTAGCAACCTCATAAACGGAAGTCGATCCCCTACTCGCTCCGACCTTTGTATTCAGCAAAAGTCAGATGCAGTATCAATGTCCTAGACCAGTCGTTCCTTCAATTGATCCCATCATGCCTTCGTCTTACTGTGGAGATCTTGCAATTGGTCCGTCAGAATTCTTCGATTAGTAACAGATGTTAACAGTTGGCATAAGACATGCATCTTTGATTATTTATTGTGATAGGACGTTTTTGGTCCAAGTTGGAGCCTTGAAGCCTCGTTGATATGATTCGCCAGAGTGACGATTCTACACGCCAGAATGGACCAAGGGATCTAAGGGAGACGTTGGCAGATCGGCATTTTCCCAAGAAATGGAGCCCATCCGCTACCTAGCCTCCAACTTTCGAAACTGCAGGTCCCTCAAAGTGTTGTCTCTACACTGCCCAGTCATCCTGGAGGTTCTGTCTCGATTCACTCTTGCCTTTCAGAATGGGATCGCGCATTATGACCAACGCCGGCAGTTGGTACACAAATCACATTCGGTAGCTACAGAGGGGCTTGGCCCACTGGCCAGTTATATGATTGCAAGCCAGACTTCACTGTCATTGCACTTACACTCGACGTATGGGCCGTTGAACGCCGACATTGGGAGCACTCTGCTTGTTCAAACGCCTCGGGTGAGAATCGAATCTCGCGAATGACCTCTGGAAGATACTCCGCAACCTTATCCCTATTTCTGCATCTCGAGCCATGAGATACAATCATCATACGTGTCCTGTGAGCATGAAGATCCATCCTCCCAAACTTAGTATCTCCCCTTCTTTTTGGCGCATCATATATCCATGCCCAAGGCCTGAATGCCATGTGCGTGAACCAACTCGTAAATCACATCTCGTGCAAACGGTTTATTGACAAGCTCAACTCGGAATGAGAGGCCTTCGCCCATACGTTTGTCGCCTCTTTTATCTACCACACGATTGGTTATCGCATGATTCTGTTGCAGTCCACGGTGATCTTGAATGCCATATCACCTTCCTCGCTGTCCTCAACGTCAATCCTGCCGTCCGAGTATCCAGCTATCTATCCACTATCAACAGCGTCGGCATGATCATTCTAGACTTGCTTCCCATGCGTTAAATTGCACGCATACACAGAAATCTGCAGGGGATACCGTAAGTTGACTCATGCAGCTGCTGGAGCATCGATCTCACACTGGTTTAGGTTATTTTTGTGACAAGAATAATACATTCCATGTTTGGACCAGAGGTGCTGGCCGTCATCTACAGCATGCCTTGCGCATTCCTCCTGTGGGGTAAGTCTACTCAACCCAACTTTACTTGTTTACCTATCTAAGGCCGTCGCTGTACTTGCACTATCTTCTTTGTTCTTGCCTCTTCTTCTTGGTATTCCAATACTCAGATTGTCTAACGCGTGTCCTGGTCGGCTGTGTAGTCGGCTGGTGACGCTCTTCGTGACGTGGGTGGTGTGGGATACACGCACTGCCTGGTGGCTGTATCCAATCAGTATTGGGCGATGCACAACCGCCTCTTCGGCAAAATTCTGCATCAGTCGCCTACGCGACCTTCTCTGGAAGAAGGTGCATTGATGCCACTAGACAATGACTCTGAAGCGGCAAGTGCAAAGTCGGACTAACTGAAATCCAGGATGTCTTAGCCTCTGTCCTTCTTTACCAGCGTCGGTGTATTGTAGTTTCCAACCAACTAACCCTCAATACTTAATCTCCTCTCAGAGTTGTTTGTTTTGCTCTGATGTCTATGCGTCCCGGAATTTCATAAAGTTCTCAGTGTATTCATCTACTATATAGCTTCACTGTCCGGTTGTCAATCCTTCGTGCCATAAAATCAACGAACCAACGGGAAAATCATCGACCTCATAGGCGACCATAGGCATCAAGTGGTGGTCTGCCAAAGGTAGGCTGACAGGGCAGTAACGATTAGCATCCTCAATTCAATCAAAATTCCAACATCATCACTTACAGTTGGGGCAGGTTTATTTTGAAGGATCGCCTCAATTTTGTCTAGGATCTCAGGCGTTAATTTGGGAATAACGTCCAGTGCCTTCAAGTTATCGACCACTTGCTCAGGCTTAGAGGCGCCGAGGATGACGGTGCTCGTGTTCGGGTTCTTTGCAACCCATGCCAACGCCAAGTGTGTGACGCTACAGCCTAACTCCGTCTCGGCGAGCGTGGTGAGCGCTTGGACTTTGCGAATCTTGGAGAGACCCTCCTCCTGGTCAAGGCTCTTCAAAGTGTCCTTGAAGAAATCAGAGTGGGCAGCGAACCGAGAATCTGCCGGGACACCATTGTTGTACTGAATATCACGAATCATTAGCAGTCGGATCTGTAATCTATCTTGGGAATGTTAATTACCTTGCCGGTGAGGAGGCCGCTAGCCAGTGCTGACCAAACGGTGGTTCCGATGGAATACTTCTTGTAGACAGGTGCGTATTCTTTTTCGGGACGTTCACGGTGAAGCATGCTAGATACTCGTCAGGATGGTGGATCTCGCGCAATATCTTTGTCAACTCACTGGTGCTGGCACTGCTCGGCAATAGGAGGGATCAGGTTGAGCTTCTCAGCGACGTCTGGACGGGGTATTAAAGTTAGGTCATTCGAGAAACAGGTGAAACGCACGGTAAGCCTCTCAATGTCCCTGGCAGACCATTCTGATGTGGCCCAGTAGAATGCCTGCAAATACCTTGAGCAGGACTAAGAAACTCGAGACTCAAGACTCACCCAGCCCTTCTCAATGACATAGTTGAAAGCGCGGACGATCTCCTCCATCGGTGCTGCAAACGATATCTTCGATGTCTATGTTTGTGTCCACAACTTAAAAACATACTGGTGTAATCAGGTCGATGTGCGAAGAGAACATCAACATAGTCGAGGCCAAGACGGTCCAGTGACTCCTGGGTACCTTCAATAATGCTAGGCCGACGATAAGTTTATTTCCTAATTCAAGTTTTATCCGCACGTACTGTTTTCTGGAGAGACCAGTGTCATTCGGACCAGTACGGGTACCAAAGAACAATTTTGTGGTGATGACCAAATCAGAGCGACGATAGCCGAGTTCTTTAATAACACGACCCCTGTCCAGAAACCAGGTTAGACTGATTCGACGAGGCTTCCTTAAGCACGCACATTTCAACTTCCGAATGACCCTTTGCGTAGCCCTCGGCAGTGTCGAACATGTTGATACCATTCTCGAAGGCAACTTTGATGATTTCCTGATTGTGAGAATGAGTTGAGGCTTCCCGTTTGTGTGCAAGACTCAAGATCCGGGCCCCCTACCTTGACAGGGTCACCAACAACGGTTCCTCCCAGCGTCAGCCCTACAAGGTATTCTCAGCACCATAGTAATACCGTCCCAATTAGCAAGCTGCTCACATCCACCAAGTGAGAACACCGGTACCCGTAGACCGCTGGGGCCCAGACGGCGGAAGGGCATGTTCTTGGGGTCGAACTCCGTTTTGACAGTCATGGCTAATGCGGTGATGTGTGGTAAGGTGGTTATTGCAAGCACGATGGGACTTTACCATGGCTTCAACTCAAGTTATATATGTATGTGAAAGCTGCTAAAAGCTGGTGCATTTCTAAGCTATCACTGGTTGTGTTGTTCTGCGGACCGTTCGGAACGACGATTGAACTATACTTGCATCCTGGGATTCCTAGCTGAGTTTCAATCATGTACAAACAAACAATTTTTGGATGCGTTTCCGCTGGATTTGGTCCGATTCAGATCGAAACCCAATGATAGGGGTGTTATCTACACAGAAATTACATGATTTTTCCGTCGGCGTTTCTTCAACATCGACTTTCTTCATCTCTCGTACTTCATCAGACCCCATTTCAAGCACAAAGCGAAAGTTTCCGGCGTGCGATAAACCAACTGGAATCAAGAGCGATTCAAGCCGAGTCTTGCTGGTAGACCATGTACAGCTGATACGTGTGAGTGTGAGTTCTTACTCATGCTTCACAGCCAATACCTTCATCACGATGTCATGAATACTTACTCTCGGAAGGTCATAAGACTCATCTGTCGAATCGCGGGCTCCGTGTTCCCCCACCTCATGGCAAAACGAAATTTTAATGTTCACATGGATCAGTCACGGGACTTATATAACACCTCGACACTATTGACACTGGGAATTTATTTTCTGACCATGAGGTAGATTCCATCAATCCTTTCTTTTCACAGACGGCCGTTAATATCCAGTGCCGGGCGGCCAAATGTTGGCTACAAGCATAAAGTTTTAGCTCGGTAAAATTTACTCATAAAAGGCAAGCACTTACCGGGGCAGCCGGCTGATTCTCCAGAATTGCTTCAATCTTGTCCATTATCTCAGGGGTGAGTTTGGGAATGACGTCGAGAGCCTTTAAGTTATCAAGGACTTGCTCAGGCTTCGAGGCTCCGAGGATGACAGTGCTTGTATTCGGGTTCTTTGCGATCCACGCAAGTGCCAGGTGCGTGATGGTGCAACCAAGCTCTATCAGGTGCGTGTCACATTAAGCAATCGTGTGCGACCCGAAAGGAAGGAAATACCTTGTTCTGCGAGTACGCTCAACTCATTGACCTTGCGGATCTTTGTGAGACCCTCCTCCTTTTGCAAACTGTCCACCGTGCCCTTGAAAAAGTTGGAGTGCGTCGAGAAACGGGTCCCCTCTGGGATACCGGCGTTGTACTGCATCAGAGATGAGAAAATGATTGTTTGGCTTGTCGGGAGCAGCACACCTTTCCAGTAAGAAGACCACTAGCAAGAGCGGAGAAGACGGTTGTGCCCAGCTGGTATTTCTTATACAAAGGGCTGTAGTAAATTTGTCTCAGCCACTGACCACAACGAAGATGATAGTGACCCACCGGTATTCCTTCTCAGGGCGCTCACGATGGAACATGCTGATCAAGGTCTCAGAAACTCACAATCGCAAAAATGAAGGACACCTACTTGTGTTGACATTGCTCGGCGATAGGTCCATGAAGTCCAAGCTTCGTCGCGATGTCTATAACAATCACTCATCAGCAGTGTTCGTGACTCTCTAACACAAAGAATAGCTCACGCTGCGCCTCCTCAATATCGTATGCGGACCATTCGGACGTTGCCCAGTAGAATGCCTAGAATGCCGTGAGTACTTCCCTGTTATTCTCCTGCTCAGGCGACATACCCAGCCCTTCTCAATCACCCAGTTGAATGCGCGCACTATCTCTTCCATGGGGACTAAATAATTGAGTTGAGTTGATTTGGTTTCTTCGGCATACATAACTAATCATACCTGATGCATCTGGGCGGTGCGCAAAGATAACATCGACGTAGTCAAGACCAAGACGCTCGAGACACTCCTTAGTTCCTTCAATAATACTGCAACTAGGTTAGCACTCTGAAACGCAATCGTGAACGACTCACTGTTTCCTCGAGAGACCTCCATCATTAGGACCGGCGCGCAGACCCCAGAATAGTTTGGTAGTGATGATAAGATCTGTCCGGCGGAGGCCGAGCTCCTTAATTACACGACCCCTTCCCTCACAGTCAGCTTCGATGCTCGCCAAAGTGTCGAAGAACCTCACATTTCCACCTCGGACCTGCCTTTTGCGTAAGCCTCCGCGGTATCGAACATGTTAATACCATTGTCGAATGCGGCTTTCATTATATCCTTTTGGTGAAGGTGGGATGCTGAGATATTTTGAAGACTAAGGAGTCGATGCTCACCTTCACTGGGTCACCGATCACACTTCCACCAAGAGTAAGCCCTAGGTAAGTTCCCATCCAGCGCCGTCAAACACGAAATAGTATACGAAACATACATCCACCAAGCGAGAAGACAGGGACTCGGAGACCACTAGGACCAAGCCTGCGGAAAGGCATGTTCTTGGGGTCAAATTCGACCTTGACATCAGATCCAGAAGCCATTGTTACGCGAGAGATATTGAAAGTAAGAGTTGAGCAAGAGGAATAAGCCTTGAAGTTTGAGTGCGCGACAGTATTTAAAGAATTCAATCATTGCTGCTGCGGGCCGCCATCACCACTAATTGATACTTGAATCCCGGCCAATCATCAATCATCTATGTCCCCAATCGTTCCCGAAAGAAGATTGCCAGGTTGGTGTTGAGACACATTGAATTCAAGCATCAGATGACCTGCAAGTATTTGAGCGTGTCATAAATCTCAGGCTCAGGTGAGTGACATGGCCGCCCCTAGGTGGGTTAGTAAGGCAACATGCGGTCTTCGTAAGAATATCGGAGAAATGCCAGGTTTTTGGGTAGGCGAAGTCACTGACCGAGCGGCTTGTCTACATCGTGATCTAACCCTCCCTTCGCATTTTTGTGCATGTGAATGAATGTGGATGTGTACTTATTTAGTAGCGCACAACAAGACCTGCAAGTTGTTACTGGTGGTGTAGTTTAATTGGCATCGCTTGTGTGATTCGAACTACTTACTACTATGTAGCAAGCTTGTATGGTAGCTAACTGCCGTGACGTCGACTTTCTTTTCCGAGGAGGGGTCGGAGCCCCAGGCAAGCGGCAGCGCAAGGGCTAGCGCCCGAACCTACATAACTCGTAGAATGATCAGTGGCCATCAAGTACTGAAAACAAACGTTTGATATATATGCAATATGATGTGGAAAATAAGCACAATCGGCTAGAATGTTCCAGCGCAAGATATATCTATAGTCATATATCTACATATATATCGTTACCCTCTACGACCAATAATTGGATACTTGATTGGCAAGAGGGTCATATCGGATAGTACACATGACGGTTATGCATAGAAACGAGTGCTCGGCACTCTACATGTCTTCTATATCTCAGTAATATCCTGGCACCCAGTCTCTACCCCAGTAGCTCTTTTGAAACACGACCTGCAAGAACGGTAACAGACGGTTGGCCATGATGAACACTGCGAGTGTCTTGACGTCCGGTGAGAGTGACTGGTGTAGGTATGGTCTGGTACTACTGAATTCGTATGCAGGATTTGCAGGGAATGGAGTGCAGCAGCAGTGGATCGAGGTTCGATAGTAGTTCGGCCGCGGGATACAGTCAGCCACAGGATCAAGGACTGGCCATCCAATCAAGTTTCGGCCATCAAGTCGAGTTTGTTATGGATCGCTTCCAGTCATACTGTCAGAGCCAAGCGAAACGTGGACCGGGAGGAGACTTTCTGGACCGGGATCTGTCGAAAAAGGAAATAGTGTTAAGGAGCGAGTAGGGGCGGAGCAGGCAATTGTTCAAGTACAGAACGCCACCGGGGTGCAGAGAAAGCCCGACAGAATCAGATAACAAGCAGCAAGCTATTCCTTATAAATGACTAGAAAATGTACTCGGTGAGTGGTGATCGAGGTCTTGACTCTGCCGACACATACCTGTCTTCGTTTGCTTTCAGATCCAGTTTCAGAATAGGAAGGACTGCATTATTAAAGTTAGGAATGGAGTAGGGTTGCAGGGTAATAAGGCCGTAAGCTTCGGTATCAGTTGCAGATAATAAACCCGGACGGAGAACCGAACTACTTAGCTTTGCTCGGAGGGGAATTCAGTTCTCGATTTACATGAGACTGAAGTCGGTTACCCCACCGAACCGGTATGTAGTAAATTTGTCTTGAAACGTCAGTTTAGGACAAGTGACTATAATAGCGACCGTATCAATTGACTTTGAATGAAAGTCAAATGCAGGACTCCTACTACAAGCAGACTTGAGAGACCAATTCATCAGCGTGCGGCTGTTAAATTGAGTACAGTCCCAACTTTCGCCATGGAGGAGAACAAAAGAAAAGAGTGTAAGGTGAAGAGCCGCGCTACATAACAGTATGCAGCGTGACGGAACTGTACAATATTCGAGTCAGTGGTGTGATATCGATGAAAATAGTCGATGTGTGCTTCGCAGGGGATTGACAGAATATGCACAAACCACCGATGCTAGTATGTCTCGGTGGGGTGTTTCGCGATGAGCCTAGGTGCTACTACTTCCATGACGGAACATTGTAGAAGCTAGAAGTCCAACATGAGGGTGAGGTTTATCACAAAGAAAGTAAAAGATGAAATAGACTGAAAACCAATAGTTTGATCTGTGTCTTAGATGCGCGATATGGAACACTCGGGATTTGATAAATTGTTGCCGGTGGGATAGAATTTCACGTCCAATGAGACTAAGAGTTGTGATATTCGTCTGTCACTTGATATACCGTTATACTGGCATGTCAGGTGCTGCATGGAAGGAGAATATGGTCAAAGAGTGATATTATCACGTGCGTTTGAGCTGGCCAAACAAAATTGGTTAAAAAGGTAACTATAGTCATATAATCAGGTCTTTGAGGTTCACGCTGGCGAGACTGTTCGTGCGGAGAAGAGAAACGACTTGATTCAAACTAACTGTCGGGCAGGTGCGCTACGTTTGTACAAGATCGTTTTCGATGGGGAAAAGAAGACGACAAGGGTTTCGGGTGAGGGCGCGCATCGCCCACCGGCCCCGAATGGGCTTTAGCCTAAGGGAAAGAGGTGAGCTGCGAGGGCGGGTGGGCCGCTTCGCTGTGATTTGGCTAATTTGCCCCTTCAGGGCCCCATGGTAGACCTGAGGTCTCTTTCCGAGTGTCAGCGAGGCGTTCGTTTGTGCTCCTGCGCAACGAAATCAGGGAGAGGAGGGTGGGGAAAAGAAAAGCTAGTCGACGAAGTGCGCGGTGAGGATGGTCGACGCAGCAGAAGAAGAAAAGGTGCGAACGTCACGCTTGCTGTTCGCTCAAAGACTCAACTCTATTTCCTCCGCTCGTGCCTCGCTACGTAATAGAGTGGCAACTAAGTGAATTTCAGTGATGGCCATCCAGCTGCTTGCGTTCTCCATATACACACTGGAGGCTGCATTTCGCGGGGCTAGTAGTTACGCGAAATGAAGGTAAGACTGTCTGAGTCTGAGTCAAGGGCTAATCCGACCCCTGACCTGTATTGAGTCACTCATCTTACTGATAGTGAAAGCACTCGCTGAGCGGATGTAGAGTGGTGCTACGAGCCAGATACCTGGAGCAAAAACACCAATCGGTGGGTGTGCAATTGATCTAACAGCACAACAAAAGAACCGCAGAGAATGACAGTCGATGACTAGTCACAAACCAAGAAACTATGTAGGACGTCAACGGAACAGGGCTACAATAAGCTGATCACCATCCATACCCCCATGCCAAATTTCCGTTTAGACAAAGCTAGCGTGTCCAACTCCAGTTAGGGGAACACGGAATGTGGTCCAATCTACAATTGAAAGACGCCCCCTGAGACCGGTTGGCTACTCTTTCCGCTCATCATGTCAGACTGATCAATCTCCGTCTCCTCCGTGATGTGCACAGCCATCCGTTGCATGGTGAAGTTACGATCCTGTGTACTTCGTCCTCGAAAGAGGCTGGTAATGATGCCACCTAGTTCAGGGGACTGTTCAGTCAGGGAGTTGCCGCCAACGTGGAAGTGTACTTGGAGAATGATGAGGCAGAATGTAATCCCCTGGAAAATTGTATGAACAACTCATGTACAAACCAATTCATTGCACTCACTACAATCGGAGGTATAACGCCCAACAGGATGTATTCGCCATTGGATCCGACCAAGAATGATATAAGGAGCGCGAGCACACTCGTGGCATATAAAGCGCCGCTCTCAATGACGACGATGAAAACGGGTAAAAGGGCGGCAAGGCCACCTGGCATGAAACGACGAGTGTGATAAATTCGCCATGCAATTGAAACTGCATTATTCTGGTCGTCAGTAGCTAGCAGAGTATATGCAATAGACGTACTGGTACAGGTAACGCTGACAAACATGGTCAATGTATAGAACGTGGTGATACATCCTGAAGCGGCCGTGGAAAGATTGGACAGCTCATAGGCTCGAGAGAGGGCCCAGACAACATAGTATCCGGTGGCTGCAAAACGATACCAGACAAGACGATGGTCGAATTATACCTTTCGAAACGCTCACCCGCATTAACTAATAGCACGATACAACCAGGAATGGCAACAAAGCGGCTTCTGTGGTTTAGGACATGACATCGCCAAACCTGCTCTACTCAGAGGGAGAGCGAACATTCAAGTGGGGAAACTTACGACTACGCCATCAGCAAGAGTGGTTTGCGTAATATAAAGTGCCTTTGATGCGAGATCCAACGGCGAAGCAAGGTTTGAATAGTAGACATCTGCACCAATCGTATTCACTTTGAATACGAAGGCTTCTAGCCCTCGAACAAAATCGATAACTAGATGCTGACGGCGACCATGTTGAGCAAATTCCCCATGGAGGTTTGATTATTACACTCACAGCTGTTGCAATACAGAGTAGCAAGGTTGCCACCGGGATAAGGAGTTGTTGTTGAATGCCGGTTTTCTTGAATAAGACGAATAATGTTAACCAGTACAAAGTAAAGAACACGCCTGTTAAATGTTTGAAATGATGAAATCCGACACCATGACTTCCGAGTTCAACTATTCCACTGGTCGGTAACGCACCGTAAAACAAAGTCTGGAGAAACAAAGCTAGGAATGAAGCTTTGTCCAAAGGCACGCCCATTATGACAGTAATGTGATTCGACCGACTGAGTTAGATCCAGACAGGAGAGACGACCAATAAAGTGTTTTGGGGCACGGTCAAGCGCAGGCAGTCACCTTCTGAATAAAATAGATCGAGGGCGGAGCCGTGTTGGGCGTGCTGCGAAAATATTCATAATAAGTAGGCGTTTGGGCTGCAAAGTATCCAAAGAATTCTATCAGTATATACCGTAAGGTAGAGTAAACCCGTTGACTGAAATTTCTCACTGTTGTGACTGTCTAACCATTCCCAGCGTGGTCTAGTTCAGCCCTTTTTGATGTTCGTTACCGTTCTCATTCAGGGCTGTCGATGCACATGGACAATAACTTGTCGTCAATGACGGACTCTCCGAGCAACACCAGCTGCCGGTCTACAGCATCATAGGGCGTAAGAGGGCCGTTACATTTGTAATTGAACAAACTATTAGTAATAGGTTGGCATGATCTCGGATGATCACAGAATTATGTAAGTAGCTGACTGCCAGGATGGTGAAAAGATAAAGTAGTACAGATGAAGCTCAATTCGAAAACGTCGTTGTCGCCGAGCACCGCTAGCCTTCGTTTAACAGGAGACGCGCCCAAACCTTACGGCACGGAGCGCCAACATTTGCAGTCTTGAAACACATCCTAGTGTTCCTAAACCTCGCGATTCATGTTCATCTCCTCAGCAGGCCTAACCATTATCTGAACCTTGTTATGTAGCAAATTACTCCACTTTTGAGTGAGAGGTGCTCGGGTCCAAAACGACAACGACATTTTAGAAGAGCATCCCTTAAGTCATCCCGCCCACGATGCGGCATTAAAAGATAACGTACGTTGTACGATATGAGGCCTCGAATTTACATAACCAAGTAGACTGATTCTCTAACTCACTAGACATATGTCTATGCAGTATGCACATATATATTGTACACTCTATTCATCACCTGCACCGCAAATATTCAAGGTTTTCTCTCACCATAACGAACGTACAACGTTGCAACTCGAGAGACTATCATAATACGATAACTCCATTCAGCGATACGATTCTTATCTTCCTTTGACGCAGATGAGAATTCGAAGAGGTCACTCTACCCGAGGTCCAGATCCTTGCAGAGGTCTCGCACGATGAATTCGGCATGCGTAGCGCTAATTAGTGGTTTAGTAGGCCGAAAGAAAGGCGAGGAAGACGGGCTCCACGATAGGCAGCTCGGGATATTCCGCGCCTTGCACGGAGCCGCTATGGAGCCAGCAGATCTGGGGCAGTGGGATTGTCGCCCCACACACCGCAAAAACTCTTGGTCGCTGGCCCTCTGTAGACTGACGCATTCCTGCGCTATTGGCGCTGCTTGGACACCTCGCACTTCTGCATGCTGAGATGATCCGCGATCTTTGCATATCCTCCCTTCTACCATCCCCGTAAGTTTGCTGAGACCCTACCCACAACCGGCGGGTGCACATGAATATATTGTACCCTCTGGTATCTATTGTACCTCACACACCCACGGACGCATGGATGAGTTTTGAAATTTTGCAAGTGCTGCAGCGCGATCCGAGAAAGGTGCTAGATAGTAATCTATGCAAGGCACCAACGAAAGCTTCTGTGTGATTGATAGCTTGACTACTTGTCCGTGAACCGTATGCATATAAGCTAGGCTGGTGCCGAGTTCAATCACGTTACAATCCGATACATCCATTGGATCCTACTTAATTTTCTGAATAAGGTATATTATATTTCTATAGGGACGATATATTCTACAATCTTTGTCTACGTTGCATTGGCGTCAACCTTATCTATTTCTTCAGTAACGAGCGCCCAGTCATTTCTAATGGAAGTCATCAATAAAAGATAACGCCCAATTGCATATAAGTCTTACCTTCAGGTTGGGTTAAACCCATAATCGCCAAAATAGTGGGCGCAACATCAGCAAGTGCACCTCCCCCTTCTCCTTCGCCGCCTTCCTCATCGCTCGCAAACTCAAGACCCTGGGCTGTCATGATGAAAGGTACCTGGTTGGTAGTATGTGCAGTATGAGGGGCACCAGTCTCCAAGTTGATCATTTGTTCTGCATTTCCGTGGTCTGCGGTGATGAGCAAAACGTATCCAGCCTCAACGCATGCGTCATAGACCGTTCCGACCGCCTTATCAGTGGCGGTGATAGCCTCTACCGCTGCCTCATACACACCCGTGTGGCCGACCATGTCGGGCGGGGCAAAATTGCACATGACAAACTCGTGCTCCTTGCTCTTGACTACCTCAGCGACCTTGTCTGCGACACCTTGGGCACTCATCCCTGGCTGCTTGTCGTATGTAGCGACCTTGGGAGATGGGATCATGTGGCGTTCCTCTGCAGGGAACTGCTTCTCGAGCCCGCCGTTGAAGAAGAACGTAACATGGGCGTATTTCTCTGTCTCTGCGATATGCGCTTGCGAGACGCCTTGTTTGGAAAGCCACTCGGCCAAAACGTTGGTCATGGCTTGGGGCGGGAAGGCTACCGGGAATGGGAACTCAGCGTTGTAACGGGACATGGTGGTGATGTGCTACATTATGCGATCAGTTCAAAATAAAATGTTCGGTTGAGGCGCGGACTTACCAAGTCTTCAGGGATATCTATTTCAATGGGCTTGTCCGGGAGTCCGATGACGGTTGCGATCTCCCGCATCCGATCCGAGCGGTAGTTGAAGAAAAAGAGGGTGTCTCCCTCTTTAATGCGTCCCTCGTCCCCATTTACGATGATGGGCTTCAGGAACTCATCGGTCTCATCCTTGTTGTACCTCTCCTCAATTTTTTCGAGGATGTCTTTACCTTCTTCGCCCTCGCCGCGGACGAGGCCATCAACAGCGATCTTGACACGCTCCCAACGTTTGTCGCGGTCCATCGCGTAGTATCTGCCAACAACCGTAGCAAGCGTACCATACTCGATTTCGTTCATGAAATCCAGCAGTTCTTGGGCGTAACCCTTAGCTGAGCGAGGCGCCGTGTCACGGCCGTCGCCGAAAAAGTGGACGTAAGTGTGAGGGACGCCAGATTCCTTTGCAGTCTCCAAGAGCGCCTTGAGATGTCTAATGTGAGAATGCACACCGCCATCCGAAACCTATAAAGCGAAGTTAAAGTGATGCAGTGTACGGCAGTCATCGTGACATACTGACCAGACCAAGAAGGTGAAGACGGCCATTTCCGTCCTTCGCACGTTTCATGCTCGCAAGGATCGTCTCATTTTTGTGGAATTGCCGTTTTGCAATGGACACATCGATCTTGACGATATCTTGCCACACGATGCGGCCTGCCCCGATGTTGAGGTGGCTGAAATATTAATGTCGATCAGTCGTAGTTGAAGATGCGGTAAATCGGAAACGGATGTTATACACACCCAACTTCAGAGTTGCCCATGAGCCCATCATTCAAACCGACCGCGTTTCCATGCGCAAAAAGGGTGCGATAAGAATGTTTTTTGGCAATGGTATCCATGTTGGTGGTGTCTGCTGCATCGATAGCATCACCTTTCATGCCTTTCTCTGGAGAGATTCCCCACCCATCGTGAACACTGTAGTGATTATCGTCAATGAAGCAAAGCCTTTACATTCAGGTACCATTGTGCTACCCACATCAGACAGACCTTGTTATTGACCTCGGGCATGGTGGTCACAGTATAAAGTTAGGATGATGGGAAGTCTGGCTGATAGTGAGGCCCTTTTTGGTGCAGGTAGTGTTGTGTTTGCAGTGCACAGAACAGAGATTGGTCCGAAAAGGCTTGGTACCGACAAGCAGAGCTTTGGTGATAAAGCGATCTTTACGCTGAGTGCTCGGAACGATGAGAAGTCGATAATCTTATCACCGTAACATTACTATATTTCAAACTCAGAGGCTCCCAAGTGGTCCCGTTTATTTTAAATCACGATTTAAATCTTTGGTTCTTGGAGTCACTCCTTCATAGACTCGTCATGAACAAAAAGGCCTGGTTAACTATGGGGCTATTCTGTTACGGAATCATATTACAACCTCGTATTATCGCACGACGTCTACAATACTTTTTATTTATTTAAAAAAATACTGATTCATTGAAAGCCCAATGTCGGATCTATATGGGGGACCCGCCCCTCGATACCTATGGCTCCTACTTGTACAGTATAGTTACTCTCCATGCTGACAGTTGGCACGCCTTGCATAATAACTACTTCCACTGTGCGACCGTCTGGTGAAATCCCCGCTCTGGTACGATGCCCACGGATGGTTTAACCGACTATTGTCTTGCACCATGTTAGCATTGCACAGCTGGGTGAACCATTCATAGTCTTGTGCTGGGAGCGTGGTCGCGTTTGGTGACACTGTTGCAGCGTCGAGTGCACGGTGGCGTGCCATGTCGATCCACGTGATTTCTGCCATCTTGGTTCTATCATGTGACCACCACTCCATAGGATCCTCGGAATTCACACTGCCACCTAGACGAAAGTCGTCAATTTAGTTGATCTCTATGATATCGGCAACTTTCCCCTTACATGATGGTGATTGGGGATCTTCATATTTGTAATTCTCTCTGAGTGAGTTACAAGCCTCAATCAGTGCCTTCTGTTGCAATAACAGATGGTTTTCATCCGCCAGGCGTCTGAGCTCACAGCAAGCTTCGATGCGCCATTAGATTAAGAAAAACGACATGAAGAGGTGAACAGACCTCTTCTCAAAATGTCCTGTCTGGTTCGCGGACCATCATCGGCCACTTCCTTAAGGGCCTCTCGCAACTGCAAAAATCCATCCTCTTCCTTCTTCCTGTAACGCCGTTGAGCAGCAGATCTGTTATCCTTCGCAGGCTGCGGGCTCTGCATGGTTGTAGCCTTGAAGCTATTCATGTGGAGAAAACAGTTCACTTGACGTGGAAGGCGAGATCGACTGGGGTTGCCATTTGAGAGGTGCGCATCTTATAGGTACCTTCATACGTCGATTAAACGCTTCGGTCATTCAGGGTGACTCAGTAATACAACAACTTCAACTTTTCCGGTAAGTTCGTTCTGACAACGAGAGTTTCGGTCCGAAGACCTCCTCCCAAGCACTTTGCTACTATACGAAGATCGGAAGGGTTGGAGCAACCTCATTGAGCCCCGGTTGTTATCTCATGCGAATAGTTTTGACTTTCCCCGTCATGAACGGATCTGTTCACTTTGACGCTGTGTTCGGCGCTTGCGATATGATTTTTTGTATCCAATTTTTGTCCATTAAGAGTGAGATTCTATGTATAAAATTACTATCTAGTCTTTGGACCTCGTGTCCCATCCCTGACTCAAATCCCCAGATGCATTGATGTAGATGTAGGACGTACCCCATCCATTCGCCATTCATGCCATAATCCCCATGTAGAGGCAGCTCAACGAAGTACTCCGCATATATGTTGCCGGACTTTCACGGCGTGCAGGCAGCATGTTTGTGTTCCAAATTTGCGATGGTTCAATGATGTCGCGTCCAAAGTTGCTTATCAAGTCGCGCATAGCCATTGACATCCTCCGTCACCCCGGACACGTGTGCGTACTCTACGTTTTCGGCAATTGGCTGCTGAAAGGTAGCCTGCGGGTAACCCCGCGGGACACGGAAACTTCGACTTCTGCTGGTGGGCCCGAGAGCCGAACGTTGTGCGAGACGATGTCGGACAGGGAAAAGTATGGATCCTTCGTCTACCCCCAAGAACAACCTGCGCAATTTCAGCTGTAGAATTGCGCCCGGGTGTGCGGATTACGTCTTCGAAACCCTCTGGCGCTACATCAAAATCTCAAGCCGTACTCGGCGGTGGGCGCCCCTTCCGGGTTGCAATCTAACTTTAGCGCTGACAAGTTCAAGGGGCTGTGGAGTATACCTCGGCTTTGACATAGCCCACCAAGCGGTATTTCCTATTATACAATTATACATTTATGTGATCTTGACATGGGGTATTTCGCATCAACGTCCGATGATCTCAAAACGCTTGGTGATCGGGACATCGCTAATTGTGCCCCTAGCCATTCCGATGAGGCTACTCAGAAGTCAACAGACATGTTTTTTTTGCTTATGATGAGAAGAGCTATGGCATACGGCTCTCCCTCTCACCCTTCTCGCTGACCCACTTGCAGGCCTCATGATTTCAAACTTTCCGAATACAGCCACAACTGTATTCGTGGAACGTCATGACACGCAACAAAATAAAAGCTTTTCATCGATAGATACCATTATGTGCCTGGTCGATCTGATCCTTGATTCGATGGATGGGTTATCAAAAACTCTCAAGACAACGAGTCAATGGTCACATCGCTGGGAGCTGACTTGGTCAGCTGCCCTTCGTTAATACCGTTCCACCAAAAAATGACTCGATAGAGGCATCGGAACCACTCAAGACAATGAGTCATCCAGGTCTCGCTAATCTTGTAAGTAATGCTAAGGCTGTCGTAGCTTTTATTACGTTGACCTAGTACCCCTCGAGATTGTTTCCTCCGCGGCACTGGAAGGATCTACCCGTACATTGTACATGTGTTTCCTGTCCATATTGATCGACTGCGGTGCATCCAGAACTACGTTTTATGAAGCCCGTGTCACAACTCTAATCCTCGGTATCCACTTCACTTCCGATATTGCTACGTGAGTAATATTAGCTCCAACTCATCTTCCAAGGGTGCCTGTACACACTCTCACTTAGTCTTCGCCTCCTACAGCCCTCCCGTTCCCTCCGGCTGCTCACCAGGATGTTCCGGCAGAGCCAAATAAAATTGTAACCACCTAATATCTTCATCGGACAATATCATAGCTGCATGCGCCTACTCAGTCCGGAGTACACGCGACCGCAAAGAATCTTACCTTCTGGCTGAGTCCCAGTACCCGCAGCATTGTCAGGGAGCACCCCGAGCTGCTGCTGCAGATCAATTTGTTCTTGTCCGAGGCGTCGGAGACACTCGGTCGCTTTTTTTTCTCGTCAGCTTTGCAATAAGTGGACTCCAGAATACTCACCCCTTCTCAAAATCTCGCGTCGGGAGCGAGCATTAGTGCGCTCGACTTCGTTCAGGGCCCCCAACAGATTGCGAAAGGCGAGTCGCTCCCTCTCGCGATAGTCTCGCTGCAAGTTGGCCTTCAAGTTGTTCTGCGGTCCTTGTGACGGTCCCTGGTTGTCCATCGCCTATCGAGTTTTGGCTATTGAATGTGTCGTTTCTGAGGATGAAAGATTCTCATTCCATGGCTTTATATCTTCCCCCCAGTGCCGGAAGCGTCGAGAAGGTGCAGAGCGGGAAATCAATACTGACGACTTCATATGAGCGGCCCTGATATGACTTTCATGTAAAACACAGGAACTAGTAATTATTACACGATTAATATCCCCTTCATACATCACTCCTCCCTACTTGGAATGAGCCTGGCCCACCCAAGCGCTCCGTGGCCTCTCGCATGTACACGCGGCAGGCGCCTTCAGTCCTTGTCAGTATAGCTTTTCGTCCGATTCCATTCAACCCTATTGCTGACTATTAATGCTCTCCGCAACGTTACTCCGTCTGACGATTACTATAGTATTTCAGGAATCAGCACCGCTGCCGGCGGAGCTTCAGCCAACGCCAATCGGCTCGTTAGCGCTTGTCGAAGTTCAGCTTGTGGACCGCACCACACCGAGGCCTTGTGGGAGTCTTTTCATTAAGCAGAGCAAACGTGGTGATGATAAGGTAATTAATTATCCTACCACCCGTATGACCTGCGTGCACTGCATGAACGCCCATCCTTCTCAAACCCTACTCCCTATTTTTCATAACTCAATCATTGTAATTTTCGCACACCATTGATTCGTGAGGCAAACCCATTGCGTACAACATGCGATTGTCAGGCCCCTCACCCACGCCGGACGGATGTTCTCGACATAGTTCGCTCCTCAATTTGACCCATCAGAGATTAACACAGGAAGGTCAAGATGAATTCGGCTAAAGTGGTGTTAACCACAAAATGAAATCATCCATGCGGTACATCCACCCCAGACCAAAATCAGTAATGGTCCACATCTACATCCATATTCTGTGTGCGCTGCTCAATGATGGCATTTAGAGAAGCCTAGGAAAGACCGCAATTAACTCTCCAACGCCGGAACATACAAAACATCTTACTATTCGCTGACTTCCCACCAGATAAGAAAATTCTGCCGCACGACTCTCAGGAGACATATCGAGGATTTCATGCAGCGATCCCTGATACAGCATCACGAATGCTGCGAAAGGGTTCATGCCCTCCACACTCGCAAGATCCGCTTCATCCTGAAAAGAAAATGGGAGACATGATGTACACCCTGTAAAACTGGATGAGAAGCATGAAGTGGACACACCTCGTGCTCGTCGACCTGTAGCCACCCCCGATCTCCCCAAAGTGCATTCCCACTTCCATTGAAAGCCCGTTCCTGAGCCAAGTTCCCGAACGTCCTCACAAATAAGGCTGCCTCACCCACATCATTGGCAAACGCCCATTCAATCTTACACCCTACATTCTGTGTCCCACAACCCCCGGCGATGGTCAAGAGCCGGCGGAGCTTCTTAATTGCTTTGAGTATGGGTGGCGAGAACGCATAGGGCATTAGTTTGACGTTGTTCGTATTTATTTCTGCCGCAAATGCATTTGCGCTTGGGAACGCCTCGAGAATGATAAGGATATGTGTATATCGCCAGGATAACTGCGAGATGCGATCGGCGAGTCCTTCAACCTGAGAGGGAAGCGCTAGCAGCGGCGCAACCAGCAGAGCTGTGTCTGGATCCATCACAATGTCCGCTCCACCCAACACATACCTCTCTACGAGATGCACCCGACACTCGGGGGCTTGCAAGGCCCGGACGAGAGCGCGTTTCTGGATGAGAGCCATACTTGCAAGATAGCAATGGCTCGTAGTCGGTGGATTCCATACATCGGGGAGACGCAAGGTGTGGGTGTTGAGGATTTCTGGGGGTACAACACGGGGTGGCGAGGCGCTGCCGAGTTGCAAAGCCTGGGGTTCAGAAGAGATGATCGTAGGGGTTACTGACGGAGGGGGGTCGCACATCACCTGCTTGTTGCGCAGTGTCAGGTGGTCATCTATAAATCCTCGTGTGACAGTCTTGGGGTCATCCAGTCGTCTGCGTTTGGATACAGGGGAAGCGGTACTAGTAGCCACTTCCGGGACGAAATATCGTAAGAATGATGATATGTTCGCCGGCTGATCCTTGTCCGAGATGCCTTGAGTTTTCCTCGGGCTGTCGGTATCCGGTATCACACCTCGTTCCTCATCACTATCTAAAAGTACACCAGGCTCTGTCGGACACCTTGACACCCGCTCGCTTTGGGAGCCAAATGAAAGCGGGAAAAAAGCGGATTCCGTACAAATGCCTCGGGAGTAGTTGGCCATCGCATAATCTTGATCAAGTCCTCGGAGAGGATGACGCCTAGCCGGACATGGACTCGGGCCGTACTGGTGCCATGTTGGTAACCGGAAATATGAAGATGGTCCTTCGTGGCACTGATCCCTATCTTGCTCCTGTTGATATATATAGTGGGGGCTATCTTCCTTGTCCTTGTCAGAGTAATCAACATCGTCGGGTGAGTAGACAGCTTCCAAGGGACTCGGGCCATCTCGATCTCGATAACACGCTTCATTGTCGCGGGGGTTGGGAAATGTAACACCAGAATGATCGAGCGCAGTTTCTGGACCACCGAATGTAGCACCAGAAATATCGTCATCTGCAACATCGAAGTGGTTGACAACGTTAGGAATATTATCCAAAATTCCAGAATCATGAAAGACAGAGCGAGGGGGCTTCGCGGGCTGATCGTCAGTTTCAGTTTCAGGGGAGGTTTCATCTCCGCCTTCGACTTCATCTTGTCGTTCATGAGGATCTTCACCATATTTGGCGCGATATTCATGCGAATCCTCGAATTCAGGAAGGCCAGCGTGAAGCCTTCGTTCTCTTTTCGTCAGCACCAACTCAAATCCCTCTTCTAGCAAAGAGGGCTTGAGAGGGCGGGGAGGTGAGAGACCAAAACACCCTGTACCACGTTTGTCTTTTGGTTCCTTCGATCCCGCCACGTTGGCCAAATGATAAGAGGTAGTTTCGGGGTCTGCGAGCAGTCCGCGAATCTTCGCTTCGCTTGCTTTGTCAGTACAGCCCAGTTTCACCAGGTCATCTAGAGCAGGTTCAGCGACAAGAGAGACGCTTTCGTCGGTTGGGATCGGGGGCGCGAATTTGAAGGGTCTGCGTGCGCCGGTATATATGAGAGCAGTCCAAGACGACAACCAGAGGGCGCTCGTATTCTAATTGGGCTGGGAGAGTAGATTACGTACCTCCAAGATAACTCGAGGTTGAGCGGTTTGATGCCTTTTACGGGTTCCAGTGTAGTGTGCCGCTGAACGGTTGTATTCATGTCGCCTCCACGTATGAGGGCCCTCATGCTTGTAGGCCGCAGAGGTGGCCCCGGATGCACGGTGGGCGGGGGAAGGTGTGGCACTGCCGAGTGAGGTGGTGTAAGAAATCCGAAATGCCGAGAAGACACTCGGGAGAAAACATCGAGAAAGTATATCAAAAAGAATGAAATTATACAAAGCTGTCACTAGCCACGAAAAAATGACGGAGACGGACGCACCATCCATCAATGCAACATCCTTTTCATCCAACCTCTCCTCCAACACACACCCCTCGATGTTCTCCTCCTGCACCTCTCGGTACATATGCCTGAGAGCCATATCGAGATCCTGTTCCACATCAATATCTCCCAAGTCTTGATCTTGGTATGACTTCTTTCTTCTGTCTCTTCCCGCATGCGTAGGCAGGGGAGAAGCAGTACAAACAGAAGGTGGCTGCCCAAGCATAGAGTCCTCTGCATCAAGGATTCTCCCATCCTCTGCGTTTGGGGAAGAAAGAAATAGCGCAATATTGGTATTCTGATCCGTCGACATTATAGTATTGCCTCCTTTTAGCTTCGCAGCAGCCACAGGCTTCAGGTGCCCGATAAGTGACTTGAGACTGAAAAAAAACGGGTGGGTGAACAGCCGTATATGGACTGCAGCACGCACTCGTTAGAACCACTTGGTTTGGGTGAATGCGGAAGCATGTGTCCGGGTTTGTGAATACGCGGGATCTCTATTTCGTCTACCAGCCCATGGTGAAAAAGGCCAAAACCATCGTTGGGGGCGAGATCAGAGAAATCTATTGGATATGTGAATATATGCTCACCCATTCTAGCGCTGAAAAGGCTTGTAGCAGGCGTGCCAGGCGGAGTCGGTGAGACCTCCCATAGCTCGTCGATTTCTGTGTCTTGTGAGGAGAGTGGTGAAGCGGAAGGCGGAGAAGAGATGGGAAGGACAGCTATGCATTTAGTAGTCAGTCTTTCCACACTTACTACGAATGAAGCAATGGAAACGACACACGTACTCCATCCATCGACAATCGACATGTTGACCCTGTCTACGTCGTCCTCTAGCTCTTCCAGAACGGGAGCAGGGACAGCAGTCAGCCTACCCACGATGTCCTTTGCATTCGCGATACCTGTCCATAACGAACCCGGGCTTGCTTTGGACCGGGGGAAGAGAGGGGGAGAAAGTGGACGTTGGATCTGATGCGGTGGGGAATCAGCACGCAGGAAAGAAGTGACATGGCTGTTGGTCTCAGTTGATTGTGCAGGTGGATTTGCCAATTTAAATAGCGAGAGGATGTGAGTACGAGTAGTGGATTCGATTGTGGGGCGAACATTCCTGTTCCACCTTTGTAAGTGGCAACCTAAAAGCAAGAAAAAAATCGCGCACAAAACCTCTTCCAGGTTAGGTACATCTGAATCCTCGATTTGTGCAACCACCACAGACTTGACACCGGTGTGCTCGAATTGCGCAGGCCATGTGCGAGGGAGAGATGCGCGGAGAGCGTTGGCACCTGCTTTCGGGGTCTGCTTTCGCGCACGGTTGGTAAGGATGGGCGTCATAGGTCTGTATATCTCTGCAACGCGTGCATCTACAACATGTTACCTCAAGGTAGTGTGAGCGATGAAAGGGGACGCAACGGACACATGTGATCCTCCTCCCGCCAGCATGCCTCGCTACGGAGTTCCCTGCCTTCACCCACAATAGTCTTAAGTGATGATTTGAGCTTGCGTATGGTATCTCCGTCTGTCGTCAAGCGCTCATCAAAAGAGAGGTCGAGATTTTTCAGAGACCCAGCAAGGGTATCGAGTGGATCTGGGGGTAGCACGAGCGCGTGCGGGTCCGCTAATGGAGCAAAATCTAAGGATTCTGTAAAGATCTTCGCCACATCTTAATGGATTCTTGGTCTGAAAGAATTACAACGGACCTGCTCGAGCTTAAACTCGGTATATGAGACATGGTCTCTGGTAATATGCTTCCTAACGTAAGGAAGGAAGGTCTGGCGAATGTGGGTACGGACTGTGAGTTCGTATTCAGGTGATATTCCAGAAGGATCCATGTGCGTAGGATGAAAATCCCAGTCAGTAGACCAGTCCTAATGATGAACGTCAGTTAGTAAACGTTGTAAACGACTTCAAGGTCTTGGTCATGTCACGTCACGACAATCTTCGTCACACCAATTACGCTCGTGGTTGTCACTGAGTCCTAGTCTTTTTCCTCAAAACTGGACCCTAGACTGGTGACCAACCCGTCTGAGGCAAGCCGTCGATAGGCTGGACCCGAACTTTGCAAATATCTGTGCTAGGCTTTCGTACCCACTCGAAGTCGTCACCGTTCTTGTTATGCGCCTATAGATTCGTCTGAAAACTAACGGTCCAAGAAATCGCAATAGATGCACATCGAGCGAGCGAGTTTACACCCTTCATTTTTGCGACGACTCGACGTCCTGATACTAAGATACCTAGGTGCGCCACATATTGAATCGCCAAACTCTAAATCCGCTGCTCAGTTCCAAATACCTTAGATCATCGATTGACACCGCGCTTGATGTGCCCGTATCGATGTTAGTTCGAAACACATGCCAGGATGATCCCTCAGGTCACTCCCTAACCTCCCAACTTTTGTCCATCCAGTGCAGGCCCTCGACGAAGCAAATGTCAGGTTGATTCGAGTTGCCAATCGGTTATCCGCCGTGGCAACTGTGATAGATCAGATTGCACCATATATATGCCACTCAACACCAAAGTTTCTTTGGCAGTCGCTCCAAGGACAAACAAAGACAAATCACGCGTCTCTTCTTGAAATGCTGAGATCGAACATGGCAGAGTGGCGACCCACTTGCGATTTAGACAAACATATCACCACTCGGCTTCAGGAGACGTGCAGCTCTCTGTCGAGTAGATTGTCTCGAGATCTGGTCTGTCCATGAGACTCGCGACTTTCTTGCTATCGTCGTGTCTGTCGCGAGTACTGTCCATTCACGCGGTCGCACACCTCTGATCGAAACATGACTAGTTCATGCAGCCTTCGGTCCCGCGTGTATTAATCGTTGCCCCGTAAGAGCCGAGTTGTACGAAGTAATCGCTCGTTTTCCTGGTTTTCCTCATCTTCTGAAGCGCGGGGAACTTCCTCGTGGACCGGATCCATCCCCCGCTCGTTGCAGGGTGACACACCTAAAGAGACCCAGCCGAGCTTGAAGCCATCTTGGTTACCGTCAACTCCGCACCACGGTAATTCTGAATCCCTCAAAACTGATGCAAAGAACAAGTTCTTCAAGTTTGTAGTAAGTAAATTATGTTTTCACTTTAATTATCCGCATAGAACCAGAATCATGGAACCTCCGCGCCGACTCAAACCTCGTTGTCGAACAGTACAGACAAGTAACAAACTAGGCTGCCGTTGGAGTGTGCTCGGTGCCACGGCTCGCGGCCCATGTATCTGGTCCCTGTAACATATCGGCATCAACGATCATATCTACCACAACTAGCGCACTAGAGGAATTCTCACCCTTCTGTTGTTAATTCTCTGGTTCCTGACTCTTCTTGCGAGCCAGTCGGCAGCAGTAGAACCACTCTCAAAGTCTCTGTCAGGTTGTCCCTTCACAGCGTCTGCGATAATGGGACTGGATTCAACAAGAGCCCGAAGGACTTTCGAGCTAGTCGGACGGGTAAAGAAAACCAGGGACCACCGCTCGTATTCTGCCTGTGCACCGGGAGGTGGACTATCCGTGAAAATTAGCAAGTTTGCGCATGCAAGTCCTCACTGGCATGTACATACACAACGCGGTGAATGTTGGATTGCAGAATGCCTCCACTGAAAATAGATAGCGCATCCGCAATATTGCAAATAGCATGTCCAGGGATGGGCTAAGCGTTGGTGAGCGTCGGCCGCGGGTACTTGAGTGATCCTTGCTTACTCGAACGTAGGACCACTTGTCATGACCAGGGGGCATTACTTGGAGTCCACCGAGCCGATTGTGCAAGATGGTCTGGCAATACAAATTTTTCCGTCACTACAACACCCGCATATATCGAGCAACCCACCAGACTGCCGAAATCAGTGTGGGCAGCTAGCACAGCCCTGTCCATCGCTGCCTTGTCCTGCAGAGGGGGGCTACGAGTGCATCTGACCTCGCAAGCACTGTGCTCATCCATGGCATGCAGACTCTCCAAAGTCCCCTCTGGCAGTCCAAGCTTATCATTAAATATATTCAACACAACATATGTCACATCAAGAGACTTGCGGACAAATGGTGCGACCGTGTTTTCCATGCGAGCGTTTACGGTCGATGGATAAGTGAGGTGAACGACCTGTGGATACGCGAGTGCATCGTCTTTAGAGACATTTATGAATTCAATATTGTCCACGAATTTGCCTAGATTTATGTTAGTCTATTGCTAGTAGTCTGGTCTGGAAGTACGTGCCCGTTCCATCGATCGCCTGAGCCCCCACTTTCTTGTATCTGTTAAAATTCATATAACATATGCTTGTGAACTATATCAATGACGGACCCGAAAGATTGTCCATTGTCCCCCTGCTCGAACTTCATACGTTCTTCGAGGGGCAAAGCCAGTGTCTCAGCACCCACATCAAACATATCGTCGACTTCATGATCTGCGCGATGGTTCTTCAAACTGTCCAAAGAATCTAGTAAGTCCAACTCATGTTCGGCAAAAGATTCAACTCTTATGACGTACTACCAAAATCCGAGCGTTGTCGCAGCCTCCCACAATCGATCAATCTCCTCCTTATCTCCAGCCTTGATGAGCTCATAATCAATAATCAAGAGCGGATGTGTTCGGACTTCATCTGGAAAAGGGGGAAGAGAGGTTCCAAGCATACTGATGTAATGAGAGAGCCGTAATCATGTCAAACCGGATAATATGAAAAAATGAGTGAACTCACTGCGAGAATTGGACCGCAAAGGAGAGCGCGCTTATGAGGGTGAATGCGTGGAAACGGGACCTTCAAACTTGTACCACTTCACGCACACAGATACTGAAATAACATGCAGCTGACTTCAAGGCTACTACTTCATCGTGCGAAGAAAGCACCTGACCACTTCTGTGTCGATATTCTGGCGGCGTGCAGACGTGCCTGCCCTATATGATACGTCCCGACTTGCAATATTAGGAGAACAACTCAACCTTCACGCTCTGCCCTGTCAAAGTAGGACAGGACGCGAAGGTTGCACTTCTTCACACGAAGAGTCAGGATTGATTGAACTCACTTCTTAAAATCCACACATACCACTACGTATGACCAGAAGGGCCAAGACGCCGTCTGCCCTGCAGTGCCGAACTAGTAAGAGATCTTCTACCGGAAAACTGCGTATTACGGACAGTGGCCGATTTAGTAAGGCCGAGGTGTATAAGCACCACTTACGACTCGCCTCTCTTTACGACTCACCCATGATAATTTCCGACTTGAAATGGGCGCGACAGGAGGAAGATGCCAGGGCGTCAGCGTTTGTTGCTCCAGTCTTCCAGTTGATTGAGATCGCATATCGATCAAGCTGTTCTGATTTTTCTTCTTCTCCTGGCGATTGTTCCTGAAATCGATCTCCGCTGCCACACTAGACCGCAGAGCTGGTAAGGCTCTCGGATCTAGAAAAGGTTAACAAAAGAAACGGATTTGAGAAAACGGATAAACTTCTGATAGAAACATCGAGTTCGCGAAGAGCTGAGGGGCGGCAAGCATACATTAATGGTTAGTCGAAGAAAGTGAGCGCCAGCACGCAAACACTTGGGCAATTGTATGCATGCTGAGTGAAGTAGAACACAGAAAAGGGCAAGTTTCGACCGGCTAGTCGCCGGTCCTCACGATACATGTATAGTGACGTAGGCAACTGCAGACATGAAAATCGTCTGTGCATTAATGACACGCACCCGGTGAAGAAGCTCTTAGCTTGCAGCCAGCTGTGCGAGGTATTGTTTGGGTAAGCGTAGAAACAGGGTTCATTACTATTAACTCAATTCTCGGTGACGCGGGGGATTCACCATGAACTTATAATAAGGCACGCTCGGCGCTAAAAATGAGTATGGAGGCAATTATATAAGAATCATTTTGTGCAGGTTTGTCGGCAACTCCAAGTCAGCCATGGGTGAGTGTCCGTAGGCTCAAGTAGAATAGACCAGTCAAGGAAGTAGAGTCGCGATGCCTGAGGTAAGTTGTCCCTCCACTGACAGCTTATCCGTTCTGGGCCTACTAACGCCAGAGGTATCCGCTGACTAACCTACAACTCTCGGAGATCACCTGAGGCGTGGTCCAAACCTCTCCCAATATGTTAATGTTAGTCTCCCCTAGGCAGACCATATAGAAAGAAGACAGTCATTCCTTCTTAATTTCCATATGTACAGGAACAACTACGGTACAGTCACTTGTAAAAATTTCTTTCAGCCTTTTCAGATTCATATCAGCGCAGAATGCGCAGTCATGTATACATAACTGGGACCAGTACGAGATATGCAGTGCCAATTCCAATATCACCGGATCACCCGTCGCCTCGGCGGCGCACCGAAACCCACATACATCTATATCGTCCAGGTTCCGGGTCTCGATACGATCGAATCCAGCTTGCTCCGAGTCGACTCTGGCAGTGTGGCTGCTAACACTCTCGCGTCATCTTTCTGAGTCATTAAGCAAAGCCATCCTTAAAATCTTCGTCGTTCATCAGAGTACACTTAGTAGTAGTAGATTCTTACCGACAAAATCCACATTATTTTATTCCATGTGTTAACAGCTTGTCTTCGCAAATCTTTTTCAAAGTCTGCAAATATTGTTTTGCAGCTACGGATAGTCACCCAGTGAGACCCTTGATAAATTCCTGTTACTTTTAAAGGTACGGATTGCTGTTGAGTGACAGCGCGTAGATTAAAATGGAAGAATGGGAGACTTTCCGCAGCAAATTGAAAGATTTTGATTCAAACCTTAAAAGATGGAGGATTGTCTCGTACCTCGTCACAGTCTAGAAATGCTTTACAAACCGCAGATCAATTGTATCTAGATTCTAGTTGAGGTGTCAAAAGGCATGTATGTGATGGTTGCAGCACAGTCACCTAGTTTGAATTCGAAAGGCTTGTTTACTTATCACTTTAGAACTGTGTTTTCGACACGCGGACAAAATATTGACGTTTAACGGCGGCACGTCGGCACGAGGACTTTAGAACATATATTTAGATTAGAACGACGTTAACGTTGCGAGAAGTCGCCCAATAACCGAAAACAATGGAGAGTCAAGCACCCGAGCTCGCGCTACAGTTTTCTCCGAACTGATTCCTAAACCAGTCTCAGTCTGACACCTAGAGTCATAGACTTCCATTTGGCGATGATGAAGACTTATCCCAAAGTACTACAATGCAATGCCGTACACTCATGCTCCACTACTTCAGGAAAACATAATTCATTACAGAGTGTTACAGAGCGCTCTGTAGCGCTCTGTAATGAATTACGTCTTCCTGATGCCTAGCAGCGCCTTCAATGAGGGTTATAATATTACAATGTTACAATGTACCCACAAAAAACTCAGATCAGCATGCTATATTTGCGAAGCCCATCACGCTGAATTGATCGATCATTTCAAAGTGGCGTAGAGCCTTGATAAGGTTCGACTGTCAGCATCTGAATGATATCAGATCTCCAGAAGCTTTGTCAAAGCATCGAGAGAGTCGGCATGCACTCAAAACCCATATGTTATTGTTATCAGCCTCAACTTTTATTCAGGTTCGCATGCTGCACAGCCTGTTAGGTTGAACCCTGGATTTGAAATCGCCTCGCAGGCGCCGCGGCCACGTGTATGCGGTAAACCTCAACAAACCACAAGTACTAAAGAACTTGAGTGTGACGCGTTGACGAGTCGACCGATGGAGACTCCACAGCCCGAGTGCTGCTTGGTACACTCTGGTATCATTCTCATATGTGGTAGACTGGGAAGTTTCAGATTTCGCTGGACTCCGAAGGAGACGGCGAAATAAACTTACGGCATGAATTTATTACGTTCGCAACTCAGCGGCGATAGTTTTTTTAGCCATGGGCGGGGTGCTATTACACCAAAGACATGTACCGGACTCCCCTTTTACGCCATGGGACGGATCACCTACGGCCTCTGAATCTCCACGGCCCCGTACAAGCAAACACTGCACAGCAATGTTTTTGATTGTTTTGGGAGGTGCCAGGACTTTGGGAGCTTCAGGTGCCTAGGAAGTGTTTGTCTAGGCGTTTGGAGCATTTGGATGGCTGTAGGCGCTGGTCTACTTTCTACAGCACAAACCCCAGCTTCATAATATCTACGATCAAAGTTGTTAACACAATGTTGGTCAGTTTAACATCTCATTTGCACTTCGCCTATATAGACAGGTTTGAAGGCAATTCTGAAATATCACGGGATTTTAATTAGACCGGCAACCGAGGGAAGGCTGACCCTGGTATGTGGCTGTTCCGCTACCGAATGAATTCTCCAAACTAGAAGGATCGAAGGATTCTATTACTCGCGATGACGAGATCACTGAAATCTGGTCAAACATGCTTGGATCTCGACCACCATTCCGACATTAATTTTAATCATCACGTACCTACATAAAGGCAGGTGTTGGTGTGTCCGAACATCTTTCGTGGTTGTTTTTGTTTTTTTTTTGCTTCCACTTCCTGTCTTTACTCTCCCCCGGACCTCCTCCCCACCTCGAATCAAGATGTCGGGTGATGTAGCTACCGTCGCTACGATATACGGCGCGATCCTTTTGGGCACTTGCATTGGTTGCGGGTGAGTAGGACTTTATCTGCTATTTGAACGCGTCTCATGTTGTATCAAGCCTCACTGGAATTGTGTTCGTTCAAACTGTCCTGTATTTCAAATTTTACCCTTCCGATAGTACCTACAACAAAATTTTGGTGAGTTTGGTTATACGTGGTTCCCAAAGATCATTCTTGACCCGATACGTGCTCAAGGTCTTGGTCGTCTGGTGGGTATAAATGTGACATGGCTTGTAATGTTTCTTACTGTCGTGCAGGGCATTGGACATGATGCACACAATTCTCATCATTGCCTCCGTCTGGGAATCCGTCATCGTGAATTTCGACAAACCGGAATTGATGGATCTTATCCCAAGGTGAGTCAGCTGAAATACTCTTGTTTTCACCATAATTTATGGCACACCTGTACTTTAGGGCCTTAGGTGTTCGTACCCTCCGCTGTTGTCAACTAACCTGTCTGACAATACATTATATAGCTTTCTGTAGCCATAACTGCCGCAGTCACCTTCCTCGTCCACTGGTTCGTCGCTTCTACACTGAATTATAATGGCGGTGATTTAGATTTATCCTTGTGCAGTTTCTTCGCAAACAGAGTCCGTAAACGTCAGTAATTGAAACTGGTCACCGTGTACCCAGCTAAGCTTCTTTCAGTGACAAAGAAGTGGTATTTCGCCGCACCCCTTGTACGTGGTTCAGCTATACTAGTTTACTTCCACTAAATTCAATATTCGGTGATCAGGTCTTCTTGGCATTTTTGCGTCTTGGTGAGTTACTTTATTTTTATCTTCAATTGTTTATGCTCATCATGAAATCGCAGTGGCTGCATGTGGTACGTTACCCTCGACATTTTTCAAAAATAAAATAAACTGATGACGGGTTCTTGCAAGTTTCGACCACCGAAATGTGAGTTTCACGTAATGTTTATTGTATGTTGTTTCCTGACGCAAGTCTTCGTAGCATACGACTCCGCCACTATTCGCTATTCATCAAGCCATTCCCATCAGTAAGTGGGCGGAAACACCAAGGACATTGCTCAAAAACTCACTCTGTAATGTAGTGGGTATTCACTCTAGGTGTCACCCTATCTGCGTCCGTGGAATTCATCATAACCATGGTCATGGTTATCTTCCTCGGACAGAGTCGTACTGGTTTTGCAACGTATGATTCCTCTTCATTTCATGTCTTTTCCATCTAAAAGTCATTAGCATGAACCACATCATCAACTCGTTAATCTTATACACACTAGAGACTGGAAGTTTCACTTGGTAAGTGTTCAAGGCCATCATTCAGGGTGTCATTAATGTTTCCTTTCAGCGCTGTCACAATTGCATCCCTTATTTGCGTAAGAAGCATCTATTTTCAGAGGAGTGTCTTCTGACGCACAAACTAGTGGATGGTTATGAGGCATAACTTGATCTTCCTCGGAATGCACTTCGCGATCGCAAAGCGTACGTGTGATTTCATGACTTTATCCTGCTAATGCCTAATGATTGCGACCAGTGTATGCTAACTCCCTTCTTGCCACGTGCGTCGGATCCTGCATGTCCCTTTACTAGCCAACTGACATTTATCAGACTGAACACACGAAAACGCTTGCGTTCAGACCGTACCTTCTCGAGTCAGCGCGAGGCTGATGTGTACCCTGCCTCGCTAAATATTCACAAATCATCGGTTCGTGTTCCATATTCGATCATCTTGCTGTGACACTCACTGGTCTCGTTGATTCGCGGGTTACAGCAGCGTATCCTGGGCCCTCTCTCACCTAACAAGGGTGTACGTATATGTTACTGTTTGCCTGGTAAAACGCGCTAATGATGACATCTAGACACACTTGAACGTCAATGTAGAGACTACCGTTGTGTCTGTCATTGACGACCCTTGCGATGACTACGACATGGCGGACATCGAGTCCAAAGGTTGTGATACCGCATGCGGAACAGAGAAGGACAGTAAGGAGTTCTTACACTAAGGATTCCATGCTTCCTATCATACTACATAAATCCACGAGCCCCAATCCTCAGGCTCCTCACTCGGCAAACCCAGCCACAATGGGAATTTGACTGATACCGTATGGCGCGATATATTTCCCTGCGCTACTTTCAGTTTCGGCTTCCTGTAATATAATATAGCTAATAGCTCCACCACGCTCCTTGCACCTTACACTCATTCGTTCTGGCCCCCTTCGACGTGTCTCACACGTATATCCTGCATATCACACTTACCCGTATACACATCCTACCCTATTGTACATTCGAGCTCGCTGCTTACATTTCAACATACTGGACTCCCCCAGCACTTGTATCTTTGGCTTCAATTTGCATTCTTGCTTTCGGGGTCGTTTTTCCGTGATGTGTAGTTCAGTCAGTGTCGGCGGTGTTCGTCGAAGTTTATTGAAATTATATTTGCTTAGGATTCTACTAGTGGATTTGTTGCGAAGTTGACTTGGTGTCAATTGGACGGAATAAAATGATAGTGCAGAGGTGAATAGATACACTTGAATACATCTACGAGGCAGGCAGTCACGTCTTGGACTGGTAACCAGTCGGTCAGTAAAGACAGACAAGCTGCTCACCAGTCTATTAATATAGGTGACACATCATAAAAGCTGGAAGAAAAAACATGAAAACGAATTTTATTTTATGAAAAACAAAGAGCACCGCGCGCTTTTGCACATATGCTACATAACAAAACCTGGCGCACTATCAGATAAATTCCGCCAAGCAAGCACGATTGCTCACGACACAAATAAATCTCTCCTCCAAAGTAGTGACACGCTACCCGACACGGTGCAGTACATCTACGACTCCATCGCATCCCCCATAACGGCATCCTCCTGACCCGCCTCCTCAAACACCAAGCTGCCTTGTTGCTCTTTCAACCACTGTACACTCCGTTTTTCATCCATGAAATATGTGTACGCTCGGCGGAGATCCTCAACGTCCACTGCGTCCGACTTCCGCTTCCGTGCGATTACTTGCGCACAGGAGATCAAGTTGAGGGCGTACCGCAGGGTCGTGGATGTTGCCATCGAGGTAAGAACGCTTTGTGCTTCTTGGGTTAGGGTCACGTCCTCTTCCTCGCAGCTGTGTTCATAGTTCAGTGAGACTAGAAGTGTGGGCGTGCGAAATAGGACTCACCGAATTTGTATGATCTGTTGGATGTCTTCTTCGGCGTAAGGCTTCGTACTGACGATGAGGACGCGATCGAGCAGGTCAACAGGCAGCCCGTGCGGGCTTCTGAACTTCGTTCCTCGTATACGTGACATTCCTCGATTCGAAGCCATGATCACTAAAGGAGACAGCTCGTTCTCAAGCGCACGGTTCAAGAATGAAAAACACTCGATATCAAGCATGTGTACTTCATCGATGAAGAGGACCTACATCAGTGTTAGTCACGGAACCCTATCATCAAGAGATGACATACGCCAGGTACGATTTCTGCTTTGCCTTCTTCCCTCCATTCAGCAACCTTGGAGTTAATTTGGTCACGAAGCTCGGGTTTAATCTCGCCTGTATCTCCTGCGAAGAGAGCAAGGAAGCCTTGCGTCCGACTGTTGATCACGTCAATCTCATGTAACGATACTGTGTGCACGACTTCTTTTCGCTTCTGGATTTCGCCCTCGGGACATTGCACGAATTTTGTCTGCAATTTTGATTAGCACTGCTTGAATTTGACCGCAAAAAATTGTGGACGCACGTCTGCACCCATGGCGTCATAATCTCTTGAACGCGCATAGGAGCGGCCGAGTTTTGAGACCCTCCCTGACGTCTTGTCAATCACTACCACATCGCCTGCAAGAACCTTTTCTTTAGAGAGCGCATCTATCATTTTGGTACCCAAGTCGTAAATAGTTTCCATATCCGTCGTTTTTATCGTGAGTTTACCGGTTTTAGTGGCCTGTGAAAGTAGTCAGTGCCCGTAACTTTGATGGCGGAGGTATGGTACACATACGCCAGTTAGACTGCGGTCGATTTGGATTTCGACCACCTCTCCTTCGATTATTTCACTTTCTTCTTTGATGCGCACGCCGATACTCCGCCGTATGGCCTGCGTCAGTGCTTCAGTCTTGGACATCGACAGTGAAAACACCTCGCTGCCAGCGATCATGGTGAACGGTACATCCGAGCCTAGTGTCTGTGCCATGCCTGCAGAGTGTCATTCATGGTTTTGTAAGTCGATCATAACTATAAACCTGCCTAGTGCGATAGCTGTCTTCCCCGTCGAAGGTGGCCCAGCGAACAATATAGCGCGTCCCGCTATCCGTCCCTCTTGCACCATTTTGATGACCATGCCCGCAGCTTTTCGTGCTTTGCCTTGTCCTACCATGCCCTGCGAATTCGCTCGCGGTTCAAGACGGTCGTCAAGCCCTAGACCTCGGATATGCGAGTGTGCGCCTAGCAGTCATTAGTGATTACTGCCAACATGAGTCTTTCGCGTACCTATGCGCTCCATTTTAGTTATCTCCCGCAACTCCGACATTCCTGTAGATATTTGAGCAGCCTGACATTTAGCATCAGCATGTTCGATATGGCAAACAAGTTTGAATCTAGGAGTTCTCCTACCATTGTTGCGTGAATGAGCAGAGAGCGCGTCTGTTTGTTCCGAGCAAACAACATTCCTCTTCGACTTGCTAAAAATAATTTCTACATTTTCCGGTTCAGTTACTTGGAGGCGCTGTTCTGTCGACAGACCGCAATATGTTGTGCGTTCGTGCACTACGCACTATTTCGTCAGTTGGGTGCTCCATCGAGTTCTCGGGCATTGACACATGTATTCCAAACCACCACCGCAACCAACTCCATAGCTCGTACTTATGCTACACATTTTACACGGGGTTCAAAAGATGAGCCTAAAGCTACATCTCTAGACGTCGACAACAACGTCTTCAAGACCTACAAACCCGTTTCTCCCGGTATTCGTCACCTTCGTCGACCCATAAATGACCATATCTACCAGGGGAGGCCCGTTCGTCTGCTAACGGCTTGCCTTCGCAAACACGGTGGTCGTAACTCTCATGGCCGCATCACCGTCCGCTTTCGCGGTGGTGGTCACAAGCGTCGTGTACGTCTCATCGACTTTCTGCGCACCGAGCCTGGAGAGTACGATGTCATCCGTATTGAATACGATCCTGGACGCTCAGCACATATTGCTCTTATTAAAGCGCGAGATGCCAATACGGAGGGGAAGGCGAAGTGGAAATACATACTTGCTACTGAGGAATGAGGCCGGGGGATGTAGTGCAGAGCTATAGGATGGGTATGCCTGAAACTACAGGTATACTCCGCACTAGAACGGTTAGGCCTGGCAATGTTCTTCCTATTCGGTTCATTCCTACTGGCACGGTCATTCACTGTGTCGCACTTTCACCTACGGGCAAGGCATTGCTCGTGCGCTCTGCTGGTTCCTTCGCTCAGGTCGTGCACCACGACGAGTCTGGACGGTATAGTCACGTGCGCCTCCAAAGCGGCGAAATCCGCCAGGTCCTACAAGATTGTTGCGCTACCATCGGGCGCGTAAGTAACCTTAATTGGAAGGGAAGGAAGATAGGAAAGGCGGGGAGAAATCGGTGGCTGGGATGGAGACCGCGAGTCCGAGGTGTTGCCATGAATGCGTCAGTACCTTTCTATCAATCAATTGCGTGCATTATATTTAGTCGCGCTTTTGCATTAATTTTAGCAAGGATCATCCTCATGGTGGTGGACGTGGTAAATCCAAGTCCAACAAGCATCCTGTCTCTGTTTGGGGCTGGGCCACGAAAGGCAAACGTACGCGTAAACCTGGACCCAAGGGCCCTAAGAACAGTAATAAGATGGTCATTCGGGAACGCCCTAGGGGCAAGGAGAAGCGCGCGGGTGGTTCTTAAGCTAAAGTTTCGCCATATTCATCCTACTAGTAATTTTGACTTTATTCTGAAAACTGCTTCGATACGGAATACTCGCGTTCATTAAGGCATGCCAATTCATATCCAGTATTGCAATACCCCTTCTTATGTTCACGACTATCCCTACCAAGGGGTGTTCGCCCACGCACGGTCCTCATGATGTGGTCATTACTAGTCTGTGAGAAGTTGACACTGATCTCGAGTTAAAAATTGCAACGTGTCGGTCATGGAGAAGTGACTACCGAATCACGAATCAATATTGGGCGTGAAAGGATATTCAACAACGTAGAAAGGCATTGACTTGACTTGAATCTGTTGACTAGCAGTGGTTCAATGGGGATAGATCATACACCGAACGCGATCACGTGGCAGGCGCGTATTTGATCTCCGCTACCGCGTTTCTTGTTTGCTGGAGGCGGCGTGTTGGCATGTAGTCACCTTAAATACGCGTACACCCGATTTCCCGTCCTTCTTCCCAACATCCTTCGTCAATTATTAACCATGCAATCAGCTACACTCTCCAGGACGTCCTCGATAGCTAGCATATCTTCCGCAGACGATACTGCGCGTCGTACGCGCAAACGCTTTTCTACTGTTCAGCTCTTGATGCTAGAACAGCTTTTCCATCGGACATCCCACCCGACGCGAGATGAACGCGAAGCCCTTGCGAATACAGCAGGAATGTATGTCATTCTCGAGACCGACGTGACTTGCCTCATATCTGATGCATTTTCCACAGGGAAATAAAATCTGTTACCATATGGTTCCAAAACAAACGTCAGACGGAGCGCAAAGTGGCCCTCCACAATGCCACGAACGTTTCCAATGAAGACGGCTCTTCCTCTCCACCACTCGGGCACGGACATGCTTCTTCGTCACGTCATGTCCATTCCCGGTCAGTTTCTTTTTCGAGCTTGCATACTCCACGGAGACGGATAACGCCTCCTCGCCCGCGTCCCTCCCTTGACCGTGTCGCAGCACGTTCCGAATCGCGTCTCCAACCACCTCGCACACCTACGAAGCCTCATAATCCACACGCGTCACTCTGGGACAATATGCCTTCCTCTCCACTGGCACCTGCCAGCCCTCCTACGCGCGACTTGGTAGACTTTGTGGGCAGCGGGCGCACCCTTGAATGGGCATGTGCTGCAGCACGCCTATCTGGAAAGTGTCAAGAAGCCGACACAGGTGCTGAAACGGAAGAGGAAGAAATGGAAGCTATTACACCGGAAGGGAGCTTAGGGGCCGGAGATGACGCCTGGAATAAGAGAACTGCATCTCTCGTCCAGAAGCGCGGGCACGTGGCTCGGAACTTGAAGTTTGCGCCCATGGTAGTAAACGGAAGAAAAAGTGCGATTCAGGACGACGATATGATGCGAGCTGCGCTGGTCTTGTGTGGACTAGGAAAGCGCAGCTGAGGAATCATTAATCAGGCGGTGATATTAGAGGACTTTTGGCACGCACAGTACTACCCTTATTATTTGCACATACCCTGCATTTCCAAAACTGCATCTTCACATTTGTTATAATGCTGTATATATCATATTTTTGTACGTCTTCGAGCATTCTTCGGCAGGACTCCGTTATCTGTGAATTTTGAAATGAAAGACCAGGAAGAAACAACCCCAATACTTCACCGATTATTGAGTCGGGGGCCGGGGCTAATGATCTCTGCCAAAGAAAAGGCCACCATAAATCCTATACTTGATCAGTAGCTATAGACGATTCGAAAGATCGATACATGGTTATCGATGAATCAAATCAGGACGGACATGCAGAGTCGCTGTGCAGATCATCTGAAGGGCCGTTACAGATATCCCATGTATGATCAATGGGGTAGCTACAAAGACACTTTATGTAAATGAGCTTAACACACTTCAAAGTTGCGGGACGTGTAGGAGAAGTGAACAACAGGGGAACGTCGATATCGATGGATCATGTTTGTGCTCCTTATGTCGGCATCGCCCGACCGTCACATCGGCACTATAAACAGATCAGACCTTGGTTCAGCCGTCACGACGTGCATGGGAGCCCGAGGCGGCTCTCCTTGATTCCATCGAGTGCTCATATCCGATAGGCTGCTCTGAAAGATAATCAGGCTCCTTGTCTTCTCCGTCATGCCAAATCCTGTCGTCGTCATCACAGGCGCATCCAGGTTAATCCTAGTCCCTATCTCTGAGAAACTTATGCTAACCATCTAATATTCAGGGGTATCGGTCTTGCAGTCACTCGTTCCTTACTCAAGGAGCACAACGCTCATGTCGTTACTATATCACGGACTCGAACACCAGAGCTCAGCCAACTGATTCAGGAACACGAGCAATCATTGCTGACTCTCGAGTGCGACATGTGAGTACCAAACCTTCAGTTCGTGATACATAGAACTCACGGTATGTATTACAACCACAGCACAGACGAACCCGCGCTCAAAAGTGCCATAACCCGCGGCAAAGACCACTTTGGACAGATAGACGGCCTAATCCTCAACGCTGCTACTCTAGATCCCATAGGGCGCATCGACAATGCCGATATCACCCTAGATATCTGGAAAAGCTATTTCGACATCAATTTTTTCTCGCTCGTTACTGCTATTAGGGCCTCTTTGCCTGGCTTGCGAGAATCGAAGGGCAGGATCATTTTTATAAGTTCAGGAGCGGCTACTGGAAACATATATGGTTGGGGCACGTATAATGCGAGTAAAGCTGCTATGAATAGCCTGAGCAGGTGATCAACACTGAGTCGTGCGAGGAGGCTTTGAACTGATTTGATGGAATGGATAGAACGCTTGCGAACGAAGAACCTTCGATCGTGTCATTGGCACTTGCGCCTGGAAGAGTCAACACTCCGGTAGGTCTGGACTGTATTATGTCGACCACGGATCTCAAGTACCGTACAGATGCAGGCTGTACTACGGGATGCGGGAGCGCAGCACATGAAGGCGACCGATTATAAGAGTTTTGTCGATGCCTACAATGAAGGAACCCTAGTCAATCCACACGACGTTGGATATGTCATCGCTGCGCTCTCATTACGCGCTCCTCTTTCGCTTACCGGGCAGTTTGTGAGGTGGGATAACGAAGAGTGTAGAGAATTCCGGAGGAAATGACCTGGTAATATATTAGGTCGTGTCTATGTGCGCCGTTCATGTACTCACATGATGTATGTGATACCCACCAAAGCAAGTGTGCATAAACGGATATTATATAGTCTGCCGTCTCATCGCATCTGCTCAGAGCTACTTACTTACAATAGTGCACCCATAGTTCGGTTCTGAGCCTAGGGTCTCGTACTTGGTTTGACAGCGGTCCAAACTCGGCTGATGCACACCCCGCGTCTTGTGCAAATATGGGATGGTCACACCAAAGGGTTCCTTTGTACAAGTGACGATATATTGAGGTCCATCTGCGCGTGGCTAGAAATGGACGCCGAGTGGACCATCGCACTTGCAGGAAGCGATACTGAGACTGTTTTACAGAACTTATTATATCATAGTGTCTGTATCTGGAATGGAACCAGTTAGGTAAATGCTAGTCTCTGGAATGAAGCCTTGACCCTTGGGTGAAGCATGACACTAACCGGACTGCGAAAAGAGGCTGACCATTCAACCTGTGGATTCGTGCTAAGCGAAGCGAATATCATGCATAGTACAAGAAACGTACCAAGGAAAAGCATAAATACCTGGACTGCAAAAAAGTCTGCAATACAGAACAACCCAGCTCGAGACCTTCACAAGTGACTCTCATATCTACCATGCGTCTTTTTGCAAGTTCTCGCAATTTTCGTCGCCCTTGCTGTCTCTGTTAGCGCTGATGGTACAAATGAGTGCAACGAGGGCTTTGACGAATGTGGGCCTGGCTATAAATGTCAAGTGAATGACCATTTCTTTTCGCTACGGCAAACATAGTGGACACAGCTGACTTACTTGTTGCAGGCCGGGAAATGCAAGAAACTGCCCAGCAATTAATGATGCAACCGAGAGATGTGTACAGCTGCCAGTAGAACACAGGTCAGATATCACGCACTGACTTGAGCTATAAATTGACCCTCGCTAGTAGATCGCCTGAAAGACTTGTTATTGTTGAGATTGATGAGGTAGACAAATAAATATGTTTGTACCACGTACCGGTTCATTCAAATCTCAGACGTCTTTGGAAATACGTCCATTGCAGCCGGAAAATACTAGTATCCATGAATGCGTGAGTATAAGGGCAACGAACGCGATTAAAATATAAGCAAGAAGGCTTAGTTGGTCATATAAAGTGCCCGCTTAGGAACCTTTACGATGAGAGGCTTATGATTACATGGAATGAAAGTGCAGTCGAGGTTGGTGGCGTATTAATAAAAAATTGTTGGGATCAGCAAGTCACAACGTCCGGGCATCTCAACACGTACAGGTGTAGGCACATCAACGCCAGTTACCCGCTCAACTGGAGCATCGAGGTTTTCAGAGGCTTCTCTCTCCACGATTTGTGCGCAGATTGCGCTACCGACACCGAAGGCAGGGAAACCGCCCTCCACGACAAGGAGACAGTGATGGTTCACTAGGCTGGATGCTTGTGCTACCGGTTCGAATTCTTGACCGACTCGGACGTCTTAATGGTATTATTATCCAGAGGACAGATGCCACGGAAGTTGATGATCTCGGCATTGATTCCCTCTTTGGCCAAGAGGTCAGCGGCATCCATACTGTGAATGACCATCTTGCTATGCGTGACAATCGTAAGATCTCTTCCTTTGCGCTCGACCTTAGCCTCGCAGATAAGAACAACGAAGTTGCCTGACTATTGCTTCTGACGACACGAGGAAGGGTGACACCATACATCATCTCATTCTCGAAGAATACTACTGAGTTAGGATCCCAGATGGCTGCTTATAAAGTCCTTAAGCACTTCACCGAAAATTAAAACAGCCCCATCGCGCAGGAGCTCTTCCTCCATAGCAATATTGAGAACGCCACGGACCGCCATCTATGAGATACTTCTAAATGACCAGTTCAAGTGGTGAGGCTAACATGCGACTCTTACCGAGTTTTCCGAGTCATTGTAGGTCGCGTACTCGTGGGCCAAGCAACAGCCGTTAGAGCTGATGAAGGACATGCACAAACGTTAATGATTGCGGATGCAACACGAGAGAAAGCGGCACAGGAAAGATCCATCCAGCCTTTTAAAAAGGACACTCAACGGTTGAAGAGGTGAAGCGAAGGAACAAAATGATTATATCGACACACGTAGATAAGGGACTGCCTGCTGCCTGGGCGTTTGATGCCGCGCTCGTATTTACGATGGTCTGGAAAAAATGAACAACCAGAAAGTAGTAAGGTACAGCGACAAACCTTGTCTGCCGTATCAAGAGCTCCTTGCTCTACTTCGGATTCAGCCTCCGTGATACTAAGTTGTCAAACCAGCGAAATGTGAATGTATCGGTCTTGTCGGCGCAGATGACAGAGGAGTTGGCCATTGTCTCGCAGGAGCCCAAGATGCGCACCAAGACGTTCTCATCAGGGTGGAGAAGATAACGGTACCGGAAATGCTTCCGATCTTCACGATTAATTCCGCCAGGACGTCGAGCTTCACGGACGCGAGCTCAGGAATAGAACTAGATTGACAACCATGTTGCACTGGCACTTGTGTAGTACAGGATTCCAATGATGATGGACTTGAGAGGGGATTGGCGAATGAGAGAATTGAAACCAGTTGGGCCGTGAGTGGGCAAAGCACAAGGTAGAGATGAATCACGAGCAGAGCGCTGGAAGCAAAACGCTCCTCCCTCACAGAATTGGTGACGAGCTTGAGACACCAAAAGAGAGAACTTCAGCTGCATCCGGTAAACAAGCAGGTCTTTGGAGTCGACGCGATGAAGGGGTGATGTTGCAGGAAGCTATATGCATGCGTTCGAAGTGACACGGCGATGTGTGTGCTGGAGGACTTGCTCGACACAAAAAATAATGATATTCATGCGGTCATGTAGGATAAATAGTCAGGTTCGAGCCCCGGGAAGCACCAATTGCTCGATCGGATTCGATGGGATACATCCTGGAAGACAAGAGCCGGACGCATGAATGTACTGGGACGAACAGCCTCGTGTCCTGGGCGTCTATGGAAACAAGGCAGGTTGACGCAGTGAAGCAGTATAAAAAACACAACACACGCACCTCTGGAACTGAGAGAAAGCCACCCACAATCCCTCTAAAGTCCACCTCGACCGCGCCCAACGCCATCAACCTCCAGTAAAATATCGAAGCTCATTCCAATCACTACACCCCTGCGAGAGTTCAAAGGCTATGAAAGAGTCAGAAGGACGCGTGAGAGCAGTCGCAGTTTTCCCCGATAAACGACGGATGATGACACGACAGGGCACTTCGTCTATGGGACTCGAAGACAGGTATCGTGTTGAAGAAGATGGAGAGCCATCCCAGAATAAGTACTAGTAGGGTACAGGAGCGAAAGTTTTGGGTCGAAGAGTCAAAAAGTCGAAGGGGCGATTGTAGGCTGTACTTAATAGCATGAATAACTAATTGTTCGGCCTTAGACGAGGTCCAGAACTGAGGATGACCAGTCGTCGATCAGAAGCATACTCAAACATACTCAAACATGGAAGATCACTGAAATTTTATAAAGTGGGCTCGCACACCTGAGTCACCTACGGGGTCGAAGGTGACTGCACTTGGATCCAACAAACCATGTTCCTGCGGCTTTGGTTTATACATCACTACACGGTCACGCTTGCCAATGACGATAAACAGCTGACTCGGAAGAACGTTCAAAGTCTGCAAAAACGAATCAATTACTTCGTGGATCCCTGGTCGCTGTGATCCTCGTCACTCACCCTTCTTGGACCTCGATCTGGGTGTTCGATGTAAATTGCTCCATCTGTTCAATTGGTATGCTATCGACGGCTTTCTTGAGGTTTTCAAGGAAGCTCTTCATCCACTGCTTTGCTGCTTCAGAAGCCTAATTATATCCGAAGTGTATTAGGGATGATTATCCTGAGATGGTCTTTTTTGCGGCCGCCCAGTGCCCACTACATCCACTCGAATGAAGCGGACAGCGGCGAAAAAGATTGGCAGTCCCGACATGCCTGTGCTCTGCTTGAACTTTTCAGCGCTTCAATATTGGGAAACTCGGGCCCCTCCTATTTCCTACTACGACAGCACGATTATTTCATCCGCCGCACTAGTGTGTACTCTGCGCCGGAAGGGCGGAAACAGCGATCTTTTCATAATGCTCGTACTTGCTGTATCACAGAGCCGAACAATTTCGGAGTGGTGACAGGTCACCCATCACTGTTCTAAGACCGATTAACGGTCTTGCGATTCGAACCAATATTGAGTCCTCAACACCCAACGTTAGTGGGAGGAGAGCTCTGTCGAAGACTCGAATACAAAACAATTCCCATCACCGAAAAGATGTGCAAACTTGTGTTCATGTCGCACGCACTAAGGTTATTACGTTGTCGGCTGAAAACTTGACAGTTACTTTAATTTCATATATCACCGGATTTCAAGTCAGCTGGCCGAGGAACGAGCCGAGCCGAGGTGCTCACCATACAACAACGAAGCCGGATCAAATGGTGCATGAATTGGACCCACAAATTCACTAGCCTCGACGGTAACAATATCCGGAATGACCATTGCCGAGTGGTGCTGGAGGGTATGTTGTTCTCCGGTTTGGAGCCGAAGCTCTTGGGAATAATAAAAGGTCACCTACAAGGCTACGATTCTATTGCACGCCCTTTTATCGGACTTGCAGATTCGGAAAGCCTACCTTCAACGAGATGGCTACGCCCACAGTTTCAACCTTCGTTGGCTCTGTGATCCTGCAGCCCATCGTCGTGGCGATGACCAGTGTTGTGCTCTCATCCCTCCTATCCTATGAGATCGCTGGACAGCTTGACTGGAGGCCGGTAAGCCCTCTGTTTGTGGATTCCAGGCAGTCTTTCTAATTACATAGTGCAAAAGATCACCATATGCGTGACATGTGATATTATTGCTGTCGGTGTTGACCACCTGAAGGATCAAGAAGTTGTCATTGGTGCTTGGGATGCAGCTGTCATGAAGCGCTTTATCCCCTTGTTCCACCTTGCCCGCATTTTTCTGGCGTTGAATGCGTCACTGCTTGTGATAGCTTTATGTCGTAGTCCACCAGAAACGACGGTCGTTACCGCAGTTTTTACTGCTCCCGCTTTTCTGTGGGCGACGCCGCTTGATCTTCAGCGAATCGGCGCAGTACTGAAGAGATTCATACGCGCAAAATATGATCAAGAAGAAGTGGAATATAATTCACCCATGTCTAACAAACCATTCATAATCAAACGAGTCCCTGGTATGAAGGCCATATTCGACGGTATCATTCGAGGGTATGTGCTGTCATATCCTGATGGTTTGTGGTTTTTTTGACTTGAAGATAGTTGTGGGACATTCTTCGTCGTCTACTCAGCACTGCAGTTATCATGGCAATCAGCCAATAACGCGCCTCCATGGACGATCATTGAAACTATCATTTGGTCAACGGTCAATCGCACCTGTCATTGTGTAAGACAATTTTCTTCGCGAATATACTCCCAACTCAAGGTCTTCCAAAGATCATGACAGACGTGCGTGACTATCACGAGGACAAGAAGGCTGGAGTCCCGACCATACCCGTCCTTCTAGAGTCTCCCTTTAAGACTCGGATAGTCTTGACTGTTATTCAAGCAGCCATTATGATCGCCTTCCTCCACAATCCATTCATTGTAGGAAGTTCCTGCTTCGCAATTGCTCTTGTTTGGATTCTAGGGAAAGATTCTCCGAAAGTTTACTTCCGTCTCAGTCTTCACTCACAGTCGATATTCATTGCTATGTACGCGGCCATGTTCGCTTTGGACTTACTCTAGACCACTGCTCTATATCTTAGGTTTAAAATATTTTTAGAAATTGTAGCCTTCACTGGCAGTCACAACATTCATTAATTCATTATCTGTGCTGTCTAGACCATTAATATTGTTGTTACGTCTCAGAGTTGAAAGATTCCCCGAAATTTGGTACTTGCGTCTCAACCGAATTTACTCTCTGATGATGATGATACATGTGTATGATATGTGATGATGCTTGGAGAATTTTCGATAGATGGGCCCTGATCCTGGATGTCGATGCAGTTCCTGTAGGCAATATTACACTGCATACACTCAGTACCGTATCCTGCACATTTCTACTGGAGTCGGCCCGATTGAGCGCTACTACGATTCCTAGTAGCACCTACTACATACTCAAGTGCCAACGGGATATAGTATTAGAAATTCTCTCTCGTGTCAACAGGGTGGTCAATCGACCCCTCTTCATGTCCCATTCAAGTGACCGTATGTAAGTAACCCTTTTACTCTCTCTTACTAGTATCAGTAACCAGCTCTAGATCGACCTGTCTGTGGTTTTCTATATCTGCTATAAATCTGCTGGCAACGTTGCATGCAGAGAAGGGGTTGATAGCACTGTGCGATAATCACTGCGGTCAGTGGTCATCTTAGTCACTCGACACCACGCTGCGTGCAACTTTCAGGAGAACAAACGACGACACAGACATGCCTTCTCGTAGAGATGACGAGCGCCGTCCGCGTCATGACCGATCGCGCTCCAGAGATGGAAGTAGAACGCTCGCCCACTCCAGAAAGTGGCAACGACCTCCCACGAGGCGTCTCACCCATATCAGAGTCGGACTACTTTTTGAAAAACACAGAGTTTAGAATATGGCTTAAAGGAGGAGAAACACAAGGTCTGTCCTTGCGCTACGCTTCTTAAATCGAGGAAATAATATTAAGGTGTGGTAGTACTTTGACGAGCTCTCGAGTGAGAAAGCCAGGAGGTAAGTGTCACTATCAAGATTTTTTCTTGCAAGGTTGCTCAAGAGGAATGGCAGCTACTTCCGAAAGTTTGTAAAGGTAAGAAATTGTACGAACGATACGAATGTGCGCTGAGTATAGGATACAAGGCATGGAACAGAGGGAAACTGCCGAGTAAGTCTTTTCAGTACGACCAATCCTGACAGATCCTGACCGACGTCCAGAGTTCCTATACTCTGAGGCCGACTCCCATATGTCATCAGCAGCAAACCAAACAGCTTACAAATGGTCCTTCGCATCCAAGGGCTCAAGTGTGGATGCAGGAACCCTGAGAGCTGTTCGAGAAGAGGTTGATTCTGCTACGTACCGGCGTGCTACTAGTTCATCCAATACCGGTAGAAGTCGGAGCCGCGTACTCGGCCCAACTCTCCCTTCAGCGTCAGATCGGGTCCTCGCCCGGGAAGCTGCATCAGAATATCAAGCAGCGGAACATGGCATGAAGCGTAAACGAGATCGCGCAGAAGCGAAGGAACGCGTTGAGGATATGGTGGGGCCGAAAGAGGTCGGCAAGGAGGGTATGCTGGAGAAGAAGCGCGCCCGGAGAGAGACCGATCGTGCATTTAGGGAGAAAGGTGATGACGGCTTCGAAGCCGACGAGTCGACCCTCCTTGGTGGTGGGGATAGTTTCAGGGACCAGTATGTCTTGTGCCCTTGTTTTCCTTTTAATCCTGACATCATAATAGCATTGCTCGACGAGATGCAGCACGGAAACGATTCGAGGAGAAGCGTGCTGCAGGGAGAGAAGACAAAACTGCTGGTGTACGTGAACGTGCTGTAGCCTTGCGAGAGAAGGACAAGGCTACGATGGACATGTTCCAACAGTTGGCAAAGCAGAGATTCGGCTAGTCACGCCGCTCGTCCGTTGTTTGATGGATTGGTGAGTATTTTACAACGTGTTGCTATACGTGGTTACACATGGGGATTACAAAATGGGAATATGATTGACAAGCTGCTCATTTACGCTATACTGCTCTCCTTGAAGAAATTATAGCTAACACTATTGCCTTAAGGCCCTCGAATTCTTACTCGAGCGGGGACTGTCCCACGCCCTTTCATCTGCACCTAACATCTGAGCCTTTACTGTATCATCAGTCTCAGATGTAGACGTTTTTTCGCGTTCGCGGTCGGATGTCTCCTACAGTAATTGTCAAGGTTTACGCCTTCGAAAGGAACGCAAGAATTCTGCTTGCCAGCGAACCACCATTCTGAACATCCTTCCATGAGAAATTAATCTGACGAGACAACGCATTACCGTCGGCAGTCATTAGTCACCTCAACGCGAAAACATACGAACCAAAGTGCTCGTCTCGGAGTCACAGTATGGCGCGCACCTCGTCTCCACACAGGGCGCCTGGCGTACCAGTTCGGTGGTCTGTACCATTCCTGCATCCTCGTCCTGGTTTTCCAAGTTGCTTTGAAACCCGCCTCGTGCCAGTCACGACAACACCGATGCATGGGGAACTGTCCAATGTGTATACCATAGCAGCTGGTGATTGGGGGGTCGAGGATTAGCAGGACAAAGGGAGACAGGTGTATCTTGTACCATCTTAGCTCGGACGAATTCTTATAAGCCGGCGTGCTACGAAGGTACAACAGTGAAACTGTAGTGTCGCAAAAGGTCGAAGGGGGTCACCAAGCCTGCTGTATTTGATGAGGGATTTACTAGTGAGTGGTATATGAAAGAGCTAGATGGCAGCACTAAACATCCATGCCACGTGGTGCATGAAACCAATATTGTATTTTCATGGGGAAATATGGCCTGGGATTGCACAGTCACTAAGCTATGTGTGATGCAAACGCATTGATTGGTTTTGCACCGCTCGTCCAGGGTAAATCCCTAATGGGCTTGTAGCAACAAATAGCTGATGACAGCGAGCCAGTCTCTGGCCATCACGTATGTGTTACTGCAAGAGGAGTCAACCCCTAGATCTGAGCCGTACAGATCTTATACTAAGAAACCAAGTGGATCAACGTGGCTATTGCGACGGTGCGCGAACAAGTAAATCGTTTGTAAATGTTAGCCGGGATAAGCTCACCTTCGCGACTTCTCGGAGATCATGAGTTCCAGTATTGCCGTAACTTCGAGTCTAAGGACTCCGCCAGCTTAAGCTACACCTGATGGTAAACCGTGTTGCCGACAGCCCTTGTATGATTGATAGGTGAGTACTTGAGAAATTCAAGAAGGTGCATACTTTTAATAACATGTAGCACCGGCGTACATAAAATTTTCCGGTAGAACGGCAACCTGCCGGTCATGGGGCTGGTCCGTATCCGCAAGTCTAGCAGCGGTGGATGAGGAAAGTTGCGAGTTTCGTCAGATCCTAAATATTTAAATGAGCCGCGCATTCAGGCTGCAATTCAGGGAATTGAAAATGGGCTATAAGTACCCATTGCAGCTGCAGCAGGATGTGAGTCGTGATTCATCATGTGATTATTCACTCAACTGCCTCAATATTACAACCCCGACAACAAATCTCAATGGAGATAAATCACAGGCAGCTCAGATGTAAGTGGCTGCTCGAGCGCAATCAGCCTCTCTCGAGCATGTCAAGAAATACTTCGCTTATGATGCGCTTTCACCGGGAGGAAGGGTGGAAGAATAGGCAGACGATGGTGATCGGAAGAGGTGGGGCGAAGAGGAGGCCGCGTGTGGAAGTTGGTGCTGAAAAAGGATGGTTACTGCTTAGAGATTCGTTCCTGTAATACCATACGTTAGGATAGGGTATAGAGCCGCGAGCCGCGAGATGAGACGAATCACTATCGCGCGTATCTTTCTTTCTGTCACGATGTTTAGTGGCGCCCGCTTCCGGTTCGTAAAGGTTACTATTAGCGGGGTAGCAACACCTCGTGATTAAGTTGGCTTGAGAAGGGGCACAGCAGTGAAAGACTGATTGCATAGTACGTTGCCCTACACCACAGCCTTGCGAGAAAATCGGTTTTATGGATGTGCCGAGCCATTTGCTGGGGCACTAGTAATATATATATATATAGGAGCGATGACTGTGCTGGCGTAGATGGGGTCTGGATGTCCGGATGGGCATTCTAGGATTGAGATGTCCCATATGGGAGTGCCAGGATTCGAGGTTAACATTCACCGGTGGAGGGAAGTTCAATCACTGGGTTCATACCAAATTGCCAAAAGACCTTGCTTCGTAGTCTGCTGGCATTGCAGATATTATGTGGTCGAATGCGGCACAACCACGCAAGAAGAATTTAAGGAGACGTGAGGCTAGTAAGGGGATTCCGGTGGATATGTTCTTCCTAAAACCACAAGGAACGTCATTCAGCATATAAAAGCAAGGTGTCTTCATACTGGCCCTTCCGATTTATTTAATCACATCACAATGCGTTTCTCTTCTGCAATTGCACTCGTCGTCGTCGTTTTGGCGTCATCAATCTCTGCCACGCCCATTAATGCGGGCGCCAATAAGTGTCCTTGGACTTGCCAGTATGACTCAGAGTGCTGGGAATGCTATCACGGGTATTGCGTGAGTATCACTGGGTTTCTTGGATTTAATACACGGCTCACCTGCATGGGCAGGACTGGTTTATCTGCAGAGTGAGTCGTATTTCTGCTTTCACATCGATGCAGTATGGGACGCGCAATTTGCTAGTGATTGGTCGTGTTGATCAACGTGCATCAAGAATGTATTGGTCTAATTACATACCGGAGCTGGCATGGAATTTTCGTTCAACTAGGAAATGTTTATAGATGAGACGTAGATCATTCCACGGCGCAACCTTGCAATGTCAGTGTGACTCTTGCCCCTGCTGAATTGCCGAAGATGGGCCTGTAGATCGTACGATCATAAGTATATAGGCTCGTGAACGGTGGCAGCATGTGTGGTACGAATCCTGTCTGCAATCTCAAGAAGGTTGTCAGCAGGAGGTCTTGAAGAAGTAAAAGTAACTAACGAAATGTGGCCGCACTCCTTTCGCCAGGCATTCATGGTGATGCCTCGGGAATCTGCATCATTATTGCAAGAAGGGTGTGATAGCCCGGGTGTTCACATCCAAGTCGCGTTCGATCAAGTAGAGCAAAGAAATATGAGACTACCAATTTGATGAATAGATCCTCGATGATCATGGAGGAGTGCCCAGACAAGGTTAAGACAGGTGAAATAGGCCAAATCCAAGTTGGATGAACTGAGACCTACACCACAAGGCTAACTGCCCTCAGCAGATTCTGCTTCCAGTATCTCCTTCTCTAAGCGTGCACGCTCAGCTTCACGCATGCGGAGGAGCGTCAACGATTCATAGTCCATCCCCGCCTTCACAGTAGGAGGTGGCGATGGTGTCACATCATCAAAAGCAGGCTTACCAAACAGAAAAATCAGTGATTTGAATAAATGGACTGAGTCAACCAGACTTACAAAACTTGAGGGAAACGAACTGATATGGCATCATCATTCAGCAAATCAGTGTTAGATAGTATGCGGAAGAAATTGTAATCAATACTTAGTAGTATGTGTCTATAAGATGTGTCGCCCTGTAATGTTAACAGCAATAGCGACACGGGAGCCAACGTATCTCAAATAACCTGTACCCAACCTCATCCGCACGACCAATTCCCTCACGACGACCCACATCCTCCTTTTGCAACACCGCCAGCTTCATCTCCCCACCACACCCTTCATTTCCACATCCCCCGTCTGGAAACACATCATCCACAGTTTCCCACAAACCTTCGTGCCTCCCCGACGAACGCATCGCAATAATCAACCAAAACACCCCGCCCTTCTTCAACGCTTTCTCCACGCAATCTTTGATCCACTTGGCATGCTCAGGGTGATACACCACATCTGCACCAAGAATAACATCGTAGGGCTCAAGTGGAGGTGGTCTGGACCAGTCCAGTGACTCGATTTGAACGGAGACATTATTGGTCTTCACATTCTGCAGTAAGTTATGGAGGACCGCGGAGTGATAGTCTGTTGCCACAATTGTGGCATCAGCTCCCATGCGATCGAGAAGTCGTGCGGTAGCGATGCTGAGAAGTCCGGTGCCTGCACCTAGCTCAAGAACGCGCAAGGGAGCAGCCCCTTGTGGGATGCTCATGTATCGAGTAGGATTCACGCAAATGCGTTCAGCAAAAATGATAGCGCTTGCCCAACTTTGCAGACCAACGGAAGTATGATCCGTGAGCGTAAGTGGAGCATCATTCAGCTCAATTGTGATAGGCTTGCCACCGGCACCAAAAGGAAACATAAATTGTCGTGTGAGAGCATCCTCTTGCTGCTCATCGTCGCCGGAAAAACGTGCAAGAAGCTTGCTTGCTTCTTCTATAACAGCTGGACGTGTGTGCTCTTCTTGTTCTGGGGTGCCATCGAATGCGTACATCCATATATCAGATCGCTTTATGAGGCCAGTAAGCCATCTGATAGCAAAATTTCGTTCGAGCTCGTCAGAACGCAGGACGTCAGGGTCCAAGCCTTCAGCTTCGCTTTCTAAATCTCCTTCCATTTCCGCCTCGTCTTCTTCGGAGGCATAGCCGGAGTCCGGAACGCCATCGCTATGATTCAAGCGTCCCGTCCGCTTTGGGCGAGGCACGTGTACCGTGTCAGATATGTCCTGCTTCAGTGCAGGTACAGCATTTATTGACTGCGTCCTCTTCGGAGGAGGTTCTGCGGCGGGGAAGTAAATATCCTTCAAACCTTGCAAGGCATCTTGCATGGAGGCGGTGGTGTGGGTGGAGAGTATAGAGAGTGGTGGAAGAAAGGAAGTTGGAGCGCGGAAGTAGGTCATGGTTTGTTCGTCTGGATAGGATATATGGTATACGTTGGATACGATGTCGATTATAACGATATCACTTGATTAACGGAACCTTGATAGACAGTCTAGTAGGGGTATTGGTACACCGAGTCTATGTGCACAGTGATCTATATCCGAGTCACCCTATGATCCCAGAGAAGATGGTCCCGATAGCGAAAAACTTCTACGTCTATGTTTGTTGGAAAAAGATGATGTTAGTCTCTAAATACAACGCAGGCTCTCTATAAGCTATAACTAGAGCCTGCGTTGCTATTGAACAAGGGGAAGCATTGGGAACAGCATGGTGGAAGACGTCAAGCTGGGAGAAAGAGAACAACTCGTTTGGAACGTTGTTTTGAAATGTTTTTATGATCACCGGAGATAAGATAAGATCTTAAGAGCTAGATGTTGTTGCATTCGAGCTGTCGATTAGTCGGGACTCGACGCATCCTAGGACCTACTTACAAAAGCCATATAATCAATTCAGATGGATGTTCGGTCCAGGGAACTCACGGTGACTTACAAAATTGTCCCGCCGCCATCTACAGTGACTCCTCCGTCCCTCTCGCAGGAGACGACTCATAGGTTTTCTATCACATCTCTGCCTGACTTGGAGTCGAAGGAGGACGCTGACTCGGAGCTGAAGAGATATTATGCATCTCTGCGAGCATCGATTGCAGAAGCTCGCACTAAACTCGGAGAAGAGTTGACTGCTTGGAGGGATGCAGTAGGAAATACGGAACTTGGAAAAGAGAAGTCTGTAAAAACTGAAGCCGACGACGAAGGAGAGGAAGAGAACGCAGAGGAATGACGTTAGACAGGGATCGTACATGTGGTACTCAGTGAGCGAAGGTGATTTCAATTGTTGTCTGCAGCGATTTGTCTTTTCTCAAACTGCAGATTCCAGTCCTGAATATAGCGTACAATTGCAGCGCAGCATGCCAAGTGAGATGAGTTTTACACATGATCGTCACAGAAACAATCACGCCTTCCCCTTCCGCCTCAATAATTCCTCTTCCTCGGCTTTGAGTTCTGCGTCTACCTTGGCTCCTTTCGATGGTTCATTTCCATGAGAAGTGGCTGGTCCAAGAGGATTGACGTTAGGATCCACCAAGGGGTTCAATGATTCTTCACTACGTGAGTGCTTGATGGCAGCAGCTAGTCTATTGCCTATGCTCCGTTCGTCTCTGTTTGTCTGTTGTAAATTTGGACTGCTGCCTGAAGACTAGGATCATACTTGGAATCGATATCCAGGTGTGCGTGTTCCTGCCCCTCATCATACTTCTTTTTCGGATTCTGGTCTGTCTGTTTTGACGTTCTGCTGAACCTATCAGATATGGTGAATGCGCTTGACGGTTCTGGACCTACCTTTGCTCATTCGCTTCGTATACCTGAGGATTCCCGACGTTGGACATCATAGCTCCTGAACGTGGTGACATTTTGATCGTGTGGTTCTGTCGAGTTTTAGTGATGGAAATTGTTAAGTTGGTAATTGAAGCTCGAAGTATGTTTGTCTGTTTTATACTCTCCAACCAGCGTGACGTCAAACGGAGAAGCCTTGAGTTCAGACGGACATCCGAGTCATGACGTCAAGGACTTTTGTAACGTTTATCCACCGACCAGTCGACTCCGGTCTGCACACAAATGATATTGATCAAGACCGAAAAGTCACGCTCGCACTCGCCAACGAGTCCTAACGTTGGTCTGATTATCCAAGGAAATTGCTGGCATGCTACAGGTAACACGAGCGTTATTAGAGTGGTCAACCTGTTGTTGATGGAAAGTTGCCTTGATCATACTCGAAAGTCTGGCAAAGTAATCCACCATTGGTATCTTAGATTACAAGGCAGATCGGTGAGCACAACAGTTTCGCAGCCATTGATGACATTATATCCAGATTACATACATACACTGCTAACGAGTGGTTACAAGGAGAGATGTTTGTATGAACCACCGGCCTGCTTTCAACTCCTAGAGAAAGCGGGAGAAAAAAGTAAAAGCACTAAGACGAGCAAGCGTTCGTATCCGCCCTACTTTGGCGCAGACCAGCGTGATCGTATAAGTCTGGTCTGCAATTTGACTTGAGTGCGTTTGAGAAAAGACAACAAAATTTTACAACATCATTTCAAAGACACGCATCACGTGATGTTTAACCACTGGTCCTTACATAACTCAGCGAACTTGTGATCTATTAATAGTCCGCCTGAGGATAATTCGACGACTTGCCCAGGTGTGCAGATTGCAGTGTGTTCAACTGTAGATCTGAATGGCACATCTCAGCAGAATCCCAGCCTGAGCTTCTCTGAAAACCTGCAGCGACGCAGTGAGTGACATGCATGACTTTCGCGGGAGGTTAATTACTATCCCCGTGCCAAGTGTTTTTTGCTATAATAAGCTTTGTCTACAAACAGCCCGGGAACGGATCATTATTTCTTCATGTCAAACCTCGATGATGATCTGCAGGTGCAACAACAAGTATGGGCACTCCCAGCGGTTCATTACGTCCCTGGTCTTCGCATCGCACAAGGACGAACGGTAAAAGGCAATATGGTAGCGTTAACGAAATATTTGTCATCTAGTTGAATTCTTTTTCGCCTCCCCGCCGAAATTTATATAAGTTACTTCACCACTAGCACGTTTCCTTGCATTTTCGCTCTTTTCTCTTTCCATTCGTTGATCACACCAGTACTGCTGGTCCATCTCCTTTGTTCAGAGAGATGCGGATTTTTGCGCTGCTGTCAGTGCTTGGTATAGCACTGCAGGTGCCAGGTGGTAACCGCTCAAGACGGCTCCATATCTGGCCCAACCAGCAGTTCATCTGCCGCTGGTTACTCGTGCGACCCTACCCAATGCCAGTTGCCCAATTGCAATTGTGCTAGCACGAGTCCCCCAGGCGGTCTCTCTCCCGTATGTTGTTGACCTATTTTTTTCGCCATGTGTCACTTCTGACGGGTGGGCTCCAGTCGGACGTTCCGCAATTCGTTGTCTTCACTGCCGACGATGCTATTCAGTCCTATACTATCGACTCTGTCAATCAGTTCCTTGCTCAACGGAAGAATCCGAACGGTTGCCCTATCAAGATGACCTACTTCACGTCTCTCAACTATACCAACTATACGCTCGTCACCGATTGGTACGTAGCTGGAAACGAAATTGCTGATCATACGTATGTACATCATTCTAGTCCTTGGTGCATTTGATCATTGGTTTTAGGATGACGCATGTTGGTTCACCTCCGGCGGATGAGATCAACGGAAACATTATTGCTCTCAATGCACTTGCTGGTATCCCGCTCGATGCCATTCAAGGTTTTCGTGCTCCTTACTTGAACTATACCGCTCAGACTTTGCAGCTCCTTGCGAACGTTGATTTTACTTATGATTCTTCCTCCGCCTCCTCAATTCCTGTCACAGACCCAGGTACCGATGCGTACTGGCCTTACACGCTTGACAATGGCCTTGCAAATGACTGTCTGACTGTCGAGGGTATATGTAAGGGCCTGCCTAAAATTCCTGGTCTTTGGGAGATCCCTATGTATGCTTTCTTTGACAACCTCGGGGTTGACGGACCGCACCTCATGGACCCCTGGCTAGATACTGCCAACGGGGCCAGTTCCGTTAATGACACTGCCACATTTGAGTACATGCAAAATACATTTACAGCTCATTACACTGGTAATAGGCAACCAATTGGTCTCTACACCCATCCCATTCATCTTTCGGCAGGTTATTTCTGTTCAATAATATCCCAATATTGGCTAATGTTGTACTTATATATAGACCACGTATCCCGGTGTTGACCCTCCAAACAGCACGATCCAGATGATAAATGAATACCTGGATTGGGTTCAGATGCAGCAGGATGTCTGGATCGTTTCGAACGAGCAGCTTCTTGCTTGGGTCCGGAACCCTGTACCCGTCTCAGAACTCGATTCCTTTGAGCCTTTGAAGTGCCCGACTCCCCAGGTTGACCCGTCTCTGAAAATCTGCAATGGTATTCCTCAGAACGAAGCTGGTCTCCTGGAAGAGTGTGACTTCCCCGACTTCCCTTTCTTCACTTGCGTAAGTTGCCTGTGCTTAGCGTGGTACTCATTTAGACTTAATCGGCGAATTAGTATGGTTGCCCGCAAGTGGAGGTGTCGCCTTCAAACCCAAACCCGCCGCAGCAAGTCCCAACGGGCCAACAGATGAGATACAGATGTAACTAATTTTACTGTTACTTATTACCCTCCGCTGAAGATGTTCTGTAGTGCCTGCCAACTGCTCAACGCCTTTCTGGGATCCCATTGCCGGGTCGTGCCTGTGTCAGTCCTTCGGATTGCGCATTCACGGATAACTCGAGACCTATTGGAGTAAGTCGCAGCCTCAAGCTACGTAGTTCGCCTTGACCATCATTTTTTTTAGCCCAATGGCGCCAACTTAACTGGTGGTGGAACTGGGGGAGATGGATTTAACGGTTCTGGCGGTACGCCGACGCCCACGTATATCAACTTTAATGGCGCCAGCCCCGTTAAGCTGTGGAGTGGCAGTCTCGTTGGCATGACGAGCGCTTTAGCTGTGGGCGCGTTTGGTGCCGCCACGGGATGGGTTCTGGTTAACGTCTGAGATACTTGAGAGCATTGAACTTTCAAACGCTGACACTGTATGATATTCATTGGACATATGCTTACGATCATTACTTTTCACAATGCCTTATTGACTCTCTTATCTCCTTACTCCCAGCAATTAGATACAGGTTAACCTCGATTAATAATTGACCCATGTTGATAGCTAGGACTATGTAGTACTATACTTACTTGTTTGGCTTACCATATGTCACACCACTGAGTTACGAATTAACCTCCAGGCGCGAATGTTAATTGAACTCCTGAGTTAATACCTAATACGCTAGGTTCTGGATCATGGATCATGGATCACCGAACCCGAGGGGCTGTGCGAAGATATGCGGAGCTCGCTGTTATATATAGACAAATATCGTTCGTTGACGTCCATTTTAAAGTACTACATCCCAGCAAATTATTATTCAGCTGGACGAGGGAAGTCGATAACTTGAAATTGGGAGCAATTTTGGAACCATGTGTGCCAATACACGTCCGCACCGATACCGGCATTGGTTGTTCACTGTGCTTCACGTGTCCCCGCTTCATTGTCTAGTTCCATTCTAAATTCCATCCAATGAATGCTGAGAGCGCCACCGTCTTCGCCTACATGCAGAAGATATGCTAGCATTCACACGGTGTGTGCGAGGTAGGGCATAACGCCTTCCGACAGGCGATTGTAGCGTAATACGCAGACGACGAGGTTCGGTGTATTTTACACATGCAACGATGAGCTGTCGCACTATGGTCGGCACCCTACTCATAAAAGGTAGTAGATGAGGTTAATAGATAAGTTGGAGGGTCGTGCGCGTGAGTTGTACCGGTAGTGGTAGGTTGGTCATCTCTCACCCAAGCTGCCAAATTCTACGTCGTGACGACCATTTGTTATTCGCGGAAGTGTAAGCACAAGTGACTGAGTTGCTTACAATCGTATATTAAACACCTGCATGGGGCGAGCAGCGGCCTCATGGCGTTATCTTATCTTTCAAATTGATAATAAGTACTAGATACAAGGGAAATGAGTCATGATTGCAGCGCAATACGCAGACGACGAGGTTCCGTGTATTTTACACATGCAGCGATAATGAGCTGTCGCATTATGGTCGGCACCCTACTCATAAACAGGTAGATGAGGTCAATGGATAAGCTAGGGGTTGTGCGTGCGAGCTGTACTGGCAGTGGTCATCGAATCTCTCACCCAAGTTCTACGTCCAATGTGATGATCGTGTGCTATTCGCGGAAGCGTAAGCACAAGTGACTGGAAAGCTTACAATCGCAGATTAAACATCTGCATGAGGCAGGTAGCGGTCTCATGGCGTTATCTTATGTTTCAAATTGATAATGGATACAAGGGAAATGAGTCACCTAAATTGTACACCGTCAGGCCAACGACATGTTCGCCGTGTGCGCATTCTGTAGAATGGTAGTACTAAAGCCGCTGTTTACAAAGCTCTGCTGCCCGCATGGTACAGCTTTAGTGTATACACGAGTAACGAGGGTCCAACAGTGGTGGAGCATGATCGGCCTCTAATACCAATAGGAAAGCAGATATGTTGGGAAACTTGGAATCCTCGATATACACGGACTTCAGTGGAAGAGGGTAGGAAAGGGTCTCAATGCCGTCGGCCCGTCTGTCGTTGGTGCGTGGAAATCATTTCCCTTATTAATTACCGGGTGCCGTGTTCTGATGGGCTGTCGTTGCAAAACTTTGAGCGTTGTCCTCGTTGACTCATACTTACGACTTGACTGACAACGATTATCTATCTACCGCAAATGCTCCACAGTGCCCCGTGTTTTTCGCAAAATACACTTCTGTTGTTGTGGACTGGCGTGACCGAGCGCCGTTACGATGCTATTATGAGAAATTTAAGGTGCAAGCCGGTTCATCCAGAGATCTGTGTAATAAGCTGCAGGAATTCGAAGTCCGGATCATACTAGGACCAGGTCAAAGTTCAATATTCAATATTAACATTGATTATGCGCGGAATCGATCGCTCCCAACTTCTGCTCCACGCATTGATGCGTGGAACTTCAATGAAACGCTTTAAGGTATAACTTCGAACGTCTAGAACCCCCTCTCGGCAGAGTGTTGAAAACTTCTGCAAAATACATCTTTCGCGGTGCATACTGTATTACCGTTACCTGCTCTTGCGTCTCCAGCCACAAGTTTTGAAGCTACGTTATCATGCGATGATATCCTGATAGATAAGTCTTCCTTTTCGGCCCCCTCCAGGCTCCAGCCGGAATTAATGACTTTAGTAACCGGCTCGTATCCAGGACAGTGAAACGCGCGCATCGAAACGGAGGGTAGTCTGTTCGCGTCCTATACTTATCTGATGCATTTGAAGCTCTTTCCTTTCCAAAGGAGATCAAAGTTATCTCCCTTACGACAATTGTTTCCACCGGGTTATTGATCCCATACAATGAATGTTATTCTTAAACCTTAGATGAGTGATGTCCTGAACTCCTCTCATGTGTCACTCACCTAGAATCATCCTTCTACTGACTTCGGGAGTCATCCCTGCTCTGGTGTTCTTTTCCAAAAGACACAGGGCCCAAAATGCAGGCAGTCCTATATTTTACTGGAGTTGTCAAGCTGATGCTGTCTGTACAGTTAGATGATTTCCCGACTGTTGGCTGCTCCTTCGGCCCGTCTCGTTGTTTCAGCAACTTTTACGTAGGCGCATTCAGATTCCTTGTAGACGCACCAGGTGTCCTCAAGGAGGGTTACGAAAAGGTATATCCATTTCTCATCCATCTCGGCTTGCAAATGACGCACAATACTAGTATGGTAATAGGCCGTTTAAGGTCGCAACTATGTTGCGCTGGACGGTAGTTTTCAGTGATCCTCAGCACATGGTGGAAATTGCGAATGCCGCGGAAGAAGACCTTTCATTTCGCGAGGCTATGAAAGATGTGAGACCCTTGTCGTCTCTTCAGCTAACAACTATTGACACAGCTCTTGAGATCATGGGTGTTGACGATACATTAGAGATTAACGTCGGCAGTCCAGATCATGATCTTCTTGCCGAACTACTCAAGAGTCATATTGCTAGAAATGCAACCAAAATCTGTGGCGAAGTTCAAGACGAGTTGCTCGCGTCTCTCGAGAACGTTTTAGGAAATGAGGGTGATGGTGAGGATGCAAGTGACCTACAGTTGACGATGCGATGAATAACATCAAGCAGATTGGACCTCTATCCCCGCTTTGGGCACCGTAAGTCGAATAATGGTGCAGACATGGCAACGATTCTTTGTTGGCTATCCCCTATGTATGTGATACGGTTTGTCCCGTTCGAGATTCCCACTATGTTTTGCAGGCCGCAACTCCGAGTGGTGTTCCTTAGTGGCCAAGATTCACAAGGATGTGGCGATATCGAGTGTGATCAGACGTCTTGTGCCATCATGGACATTCCCGTAGGTCACACAAAGACACAAATGAAAATGAAAACTCAGAACGAGTTCAGATTCTTTGTGAGAATGGCTAGCAACCTCAAGGCAAATGTTGATCGTGCGACTATGTTGTTGGGTCCTGCAGTGGAGGCTTGCATGGGCGAAGTGGACGAATATTCTGTTCCAAACCAGCAGAAGGTATGAAATTTGCTGCTGCGTACCAATTCGCTGACTGCGTTCCCCGTAGATCGACTTCCTCGCGCGACTCGTAAGGCGATCTGCAGGTGAAGATAGTTTGTTGAGAAACCTTACGACCCGTCTGCTTGGTTTCACCATTGCGGTTGCATCTGTATGTGTTGATATCTTTCCTAACGGTTTATCTGACAGCACACCCCAGACACCCTCAAATGTAAGAAATACTTCAGAGCCCAACGATCATTAACTTGTCTGCAGACCTTTACCCATGCCCTATATCATTTAGCCACAAACCCTGAGGTTGCGCAGGCATTGCGGGATGAAGTTGACCCCATCGTACAACTTGATGGCTGGAATATACAGTCCGTAGCGAAGATGAGCAAGATAGACAGTTTCCTGAGGGAGAGCGCCAGGATCAATGGCGTATCATCTTGTGCGTTTTCATCTAAACTTGCCTGCGACTATGCTATGAACTATTTGCCAGTGGGATTCTTTAGGCAGGCGACGCATGATTTCTCGCTCTCCGATGGCACATTCCTCCCCAAGGATTGTACCGTAGCGGTGTCTTTGCCGCCATTTCACCATGACAGCACAGCATATGAGGCCCCCGACGAATTCAGACCTTTCAGGTTTTCGGACAATCCAGAACTCAAAATGACCACTATCACACCCCAGTGGTTGTTTTTTGGTTACGGGAAACATTTGTGGTAAGTGAAAGATCACCATCGACTCTTGAGGTTTTGACACTCAAATCACAATTGTTATATTCAGTCCTGGACGTTTCTTGCTCACTTACCAGCTGAAAGTCATGTTTGCGTATATGGTATCTACCTACGACATTAGAATTGGCGATGGATGGACATCGCGTCCGCCAAACTTCATATTTGGGGAGGGAGTCGTACCGAATCTATCTGCGCATGTCTCATATAGAAGACGGCAGCCTATAAGTGATAGCACTGATTATTAGATGTAGCTAACGTCATTAGTTTTTGAAATCCGAGGGTTTGCATGATATGGAAAATTAGGTTGATGACTTGAAGTCCTTGATGAAGGATACGTAGAAACTTCCAGGTTAACATTGGTAGGTACACGATGGTAAACGATAAACGATTTTAATTGGCTGACTACTACGCTACTGATGCAACTCAGGGGCTGCATATAGTAAATGAGAATAGATGGGTACGCATGTTAAGTAAGGTAAGATAGCATAGTTAATTATCAAATACATGTCGTGAATGATCATGAGGGTGTCATCAGTACTGATGGTAGAACTACAGAACATCAGACTGGGCTATCTTTCATGTCACAGTCTGTCATATCCATCTCCATACAACCATCGCCCTTGGACTCCACAATCTGTTCAACATTTACTTGTATCTATGACAATCAGAAAGGTCATGTTTAAAATATGTGGCAAAGTTACACACCAATTTCCCCCGCTGATGTACTGCTTTCGGCTGGGGAGTGTTCACTCGCAGCTGTGGTTGTGTAAGATGCAATATATCATTCCACCGTGATGGACCATGGTGCTTACCGATCCCTGCTGCGTGATCGAAGAATCAGGTCCATGCTCCATAAAGACGATTGGCATAGGTTGATTGTTTGTAGGGGTGTATTGCTTTCCATTCCATATTTGCTTTCTAGCATTGAGGCTATGACACTAGATTAAACTGCAGCCCACAAATACCGCGTCAAACGTGTGACTCACGTTGCTAAAAGTGAATTTGCATATACTACTCCAACAATATCCAGATCAGATATGTTCACGATAATCTGAAAATGGCTTACATTTTGCTACAACAAAGTGAATACCTAAGAATATGCGGTTTGAAGGCATGATCTTCCACTGTGGTATTTGAGTGATCGAAACTTAACAAACATTAGGGATGCTCACGCAAAGCAATGTTGCAATGGCCGCAGCACTAAGGTGGCGTCAGGATATGGTTTATGGCCTGCGCTTAGATGACATACCTGGTCATCGAGCCATTCTGAATTGTCCAGAATGTCAGGGTGTCGATTATACGCATAGTACTACAAGCTGAGTGAACACCAGCTACACTGCTAAGGCCATATAATGACTTACTCTGTAAACATTGGTCGATTTTTGCGAAGGAAGTAGCACAGGAAAGTTGTGATCATGATATCCACGATTACTGAAAGCAAAAGGCCAAAAGTGAAGACCCAAGAAAATCCTATCCGAATGTCAATACTGCGAAGCTGCCCACGACCTGCAGACGAGAGAAATTACGTTGAAAGAATGTTGTATATGATTTCAATTTGAGCCTGCAGAAAATATGTTTTAGTGGCTATCAAATCCGATTTTAAACACCTGCTTACATCTCGCTATTTGTGACTGGTGAAGTTTTGAGAAAGCGCGTGATTTAGAAGAATCACATGTGCGATACTTCATGACTTACCGCTAGCCATGACTGAAGTGAGACATCAGAATAAGTTCACATTATTGCATTGCTAAAGCGCACCCACTTAAACGAGCAAAAGAGAGCGCAACCTACAAACGGAAATCTCATCACTGAAGTAGCAAAACCACAAACATAAAACCTACAATCGGAATCGCTACGCTGAGCTTCTTATTTTGCACTTCCTAGCGGCATCAGTGTGTGAAACGCAAAACCAAAGAAATGTACGAAACGTTTATAGATTCGGTACGCAAAGAAGCTGAAGCTCGAGTCAGAACCATATTTCCTCATATGGTATAGCTAACCTTTGAACGAGGAAAGTAATCAAAGCCTGGCGAATACTCCAGTAGTGAGCATTATGAAGCTCCATACGTGTGAGAACGCACAGTAAGCTCGATCGTAGGCTATATGGAACCGCTTTAATGCCAGTACGAAACATCTAAAACGTGATTGCTCACACCAATACACCTGATAATCGATGAATTTTCCAGCTGATCGTAAATGATGACACCACGCATACCAGGGGATTGTGTCAATTTTACTAAGATCACCATAGGTCGCAATGATGGAATCCCAAAGGGCGACTGCAACGAGTGCAGAATGAGACAGGTCAAGTAGCCTGAATTCCATTGGCATTCGTCTCGCATACATCACGACACTGGAACGTACCATATCACAATAACCTTTGTGAGATGATTAAAAAGGTGCAGACTTGATAAGACAAAGTTCCGTACCAATGACTTAGTACGCCAACTCTCGCGAAAATAGACCCGGAAATACACGATGAATTGCATGTTAACGCAACCTGACAAGCTGTGAGGAGTTCCGTTAGATAAACATCATACTTTGGCATCAAGATTGATCACGCTCCCGAAGGCAAGCAGGCCACCGACCATCATGGCTCCGTAAATTAGACCAATACTCATCGCAAAGATAATGAGCGGGGCAGTGGAAGAACCGGCGAAAGACGCCTGAACTGTCCAATCCACGCGATATAGCTTATAAGAAGCCCAGGGCATTCAAAAGAGGTTGTTACATACATACACAGGACGGATTCTTGCCATGCTCCGTTCTGGGAGGAATGGACCCTATAGGATATACTTCGATTATCAAGTTCTTGCATAGGCACAATACGTGATTGGAGAACTAACTTCCCGCATAATGCGTTGTTTGAAACAGTACATGACAGCAGAGCCCCTGGATATATTTGCGCGCCGTAGCTCCACTTCCGAGTATTTTGACGAGATGATCGCATCGTGACATCTTAAATATAACCGTCAGTCCAACTAGCACTTGAGTCTGACCCAGTTAACAGTTTTGTAGACGCTCCAGTCCCTCCGAGTCACTCCTCGAGGTTATGGAGACTGGGTGGTCAGCTACTGTGCCGCGGTTTGTCACAATGTTTCGCGTCCGTGCTGCATGATCACGATTGAGTGAGAAGCTGGAGTAAACTGGAGAACTTCAGAAGTCATGATGTGCCTCCGAGAATAGCTACAGCGCGCCGAGTCCAAGGTCAACTTACCGTCTGATTGAGTTCACACCCGCGATAACAAATCAACCAAGGATAGAAATAAACTGGCAGCTATGCATGCAGGGGTGATTGGCTGCTTGTGGGATACTAGTACCTAGTAGTACGGTTGGTCACGGTAGTACTCGGCCACTCTAGCACTACCGTATAAAACAGATCAAAACACCTGCTATGATCGCGCCACTATCACTGGCAATTTGAATTACTACTATCAGTCCATCACAAAACTGTCGTTCGGTGTTCAACGTTCAGCGCTCAGTGTTGCCCTTAGTCTCTCGTAGGGAGAAGCAAGATCAAATCTTCTGTTCAACCAGTCGCTGTCCACTCTGGATCTTGTATATTCCCACATCATCGATCGATTGCCGTTACATTGGACTCCTGTTATTATGCCAACATCGCACGCAAGGAGAAGAGCTATTCCTGCAACTTGATCGCTGCGACCGAACAATACTAGTGGAAGCCTCGGGGGTCGTCCCAGCTAAACTGTGTCTTCTGTCGACAAAGCGATTTAACAGCGAGTTCGTCCCACATAGACTTTCTAGTTAGAGATGCTAGTGCTCCGAGGGCTACGTATCGGTGTGAGTGATTCATGGTTCTAGGCTTCGTGCTTCCGCATTCTGAGCCATAAACAATGCTAGCAGCTAGCATGCACGAAGAGATAGATAACAGTGCCTTCCGGTTCGGGATTAACCGAATAAGCGGTACTTGGTGTGCTCATCTGACGGGCGCAACTGCCATTCAATTTGCCCCAATCACAATGTGTCAATCCGCTCCCACAAGCTAAGTCAAACCTTGGATGACACGCTCGACACCCTTCGACACTGGTATCTGATGGTTTTTACGCCCGTCATAGTCACCAAGGGGAAGGTCATCGCCTGCAAGTGGCTCATCCGTACACTGTCGGCGGATGGAAATGCACATTAAGGCCCTATCGCGGTTTATGACGCTCAATAACTGCAGCGCAATGTATGATGATCGCAATGAAATGCCTTGCGCTCTCTTTATCTGATTTGAGTTATGGATGATGGTCCATCGCATCTGCAACACAACAGTCAAGTCTGAGGCCTGAGGCACCAGTAGTTCAGAAACTACTGCATTCTTCATCAATGAAAGGGATATCGACTGCAGGAGATTCAATTCGTTTGGAGGAGCACTCAAAATATTTATCCGTCAACACCGACGAGTTACCACTGCAATTGCGCATACTCAACTATAGAACACTCTGCTGTACGCCACCGGAAGATGGACCTTGTGGAGGTCAATGTTGTGTCGAAATTTTTGGGTTGAGATGCAGATATCGATGTCGAACGTCTCAACTTCGCAGCAAATACCCGTTGTTGCGTTTCAATGGCCTGCTCGAAATCGCTATGGGAAAATTTGGGCGTGTCGATTGTCGTTACGTAGTACAAAGATAGTGGCCAACATATACATGTAAGATCGAGAGAATTGAAAAGATAGTAGGATGAAGATATGGTCACGGCAAGTATGTGCTATACGACAAATCAACGTAGTGTCCATCATAGGGTCCCACCCCACAGGACAATGAACAAAGATTAAAAAAGAAAAAATATGGGCTATATGGCGAAGTATATATCACGACCGACAAAGACGCAAAATTTCAATCATCCACGTCATCCTGTGCTTGTGAAAGGGCTCGAAGAATATTGTTAGGAATACACATCACTTCTGCGAACCTATCTGCAAAAAGCACAGCACCTTGAACTCGTGCCTTGATGGCGCAGAGCTCTGCGAAGGCAACGGAGAAGCCGAATGCACTGCTAAGATTGTATGCGTAGGATGCCATGATAATTTTGAGTTCCTCGTCAGAAAAAAACAAAACCTCTGGCCGCCGCGCAAAGTGTTGCACCGATTTTTGGATCGCTTGTGACTTGGGATCCGAAGACCCCCTCCCTTCCGAAGCCTTCTTCTGGAGAGCAACGGCGGCTTGCCAATCCCCATATGCTCTCTGGACATGGGCTTTGACAGCGCTTAAGTTGTCTTGCAGAATGTGAAAACCCGTGTGCGAAGCTTGCGTTGCCCTACGAGACGCAGAAAGGTAAGGGGAGGTGAGGTCGTGGTCTGCCGTCTTGGTGGAAGAACTCCGGAGGATGGAATATTGTTTGAGGAAATCGTCGCGGAGGCGACGGCCCTCATCAACAAGGGCATCAAGAATGTATGGAGTCGAGCCCTTGCGCTTCGATACCGCTTGACCCTCGGTCTTCTGTTCGAGAGCGACCATGTAATAAGGCTTGCGGTTCCCACAAGATTTGCGATCTTCCTCGAAGACATGAGCTTTGACCCGCAGCCCCGTCTTGCTCGCATCAAGGCAGGTAGTGAACCTGCACCACATAACATGAGGCGAGTTCCATAGCAATAAACTGAAAATTCTCACATGTATGCCAGTCGAATGGCGGCAGCACTTGCATAGCCGCGCTCATACACAGCAAGGTCATGGAACTTCGAATATAATCCGACTTTTGTCTCTGCGAGTCCAAGAAGGAGGACCTTCTGGAACGCGGTTTGAGCCTCCTTTGCAGAGAGCTTGGATACTCGTCGGTTAAAATCCTTAACATGTTCAACTTCTCTCTCAAAGTCGTCGCTCAAACCCGCAGGCGCCGTACACAGTGGTGCGGTATTGAAGCTTTCAACAAGGCGTTTGGACCAGACCAACGTGACCGTGTCTTTGAAAGCAATTATTAAATGATAAAAATATAAGATGCAAACTGACCTCCGTCATAATCTACAGAATGAATACGTCAGGTGATAAGTGAGGATGGAAACAGGTGCCTACCTCCTCCACCCAAGTAGCTCGCCAACGAGCGCTCCCCTCTCACAGGGAACACGATGACATCGAAGTAATTAGCCAATTTTGGGTGGCTGATGGCAGTGACCTGATCCATGCTTGATAAGCCATCTGATGGGGTATTGATTTCCTCACCTTTTGAACATCGGAGGGCAGTCTTGTGGGATTCCTCCACACCTGTTTATCCACACCTCAGAACAGTTCACTGCAATGAACTAAAGTACTCACCAAAACTGACCCTGTCACGGTATCCATCTGGGTACCGCTTTCGGGGTCGGTGATGAGTTCTGAAGAACGAAAATGTATTTCCCCTTCCTCGAGGACCCCATACGGATCTGCCGCAAGATGAGCTAAGAAAAAATGACCACGAAAGAAGCTACTCGCCCGGTACGATATATGCTTCGAGGGATTCCTTGACCGGAATGTGGAATTTCTCAATGTAGTCGTCGAGGACTTGGGTCACCACGTACTCAAGTTTGTAAAAAAGTCGGTCAAGCTTAAGAGGATGAAAACCGGCCTGCAGGAGTTCGAGAACCGACTCGTGTAGAGTCAGCGGTTCACCACTGTAAGGATTGCGACCCCGATTAACCGAGTTACCCAGCGATGGGCTCACTGCGACATCGTCGCTATCATCAATTCCGGCAGCGAGCTCTTCGTTGGGTCGGAGTTGACCAAGACCAAGCGCTCGTGCCTGGCCAGCAATGCGCCGCCGCAGCCTCGATGTTACAACACGGCCGGCTTGCTCCACAGCTCGCCAGACCATAAGCATGCTGTCCGGTCCACTCCATTCAGTCAGCTGACGGACTTCCTCGTGAAGCCCATCTGCCATGAGATCCTTCAGAACAGGCAGGGGAACACGGCCATGCGCCAAGTTGACGAGCGTCTGGCTCGACAGACGGCTTGGCCCGGTTACCCGAGATGGCGCAAGGAGGTCGAAAATCCTGTGCGCGCTATCGACCTTGTGTAGCGAGCCAAGATTGATCTTATTTTGTGAATCACGTATCCAAATTGTAGGCGGTCCATCGGCGATTTGATGCGCGGGATCTGGGTGCAGAACCCACATTCCCTTTGCACCAGCAATGCGTCCTTGTACGGCGGTCGGTCTACTCGAATACTTCATCACTCGCATGATGGCCGTCAAGGCCGCACCGCTGATATAACCACACCCATCAGTCATGATTTTTTCGGCTGGGGGCTTTCCCTTGCCCCAGTCCACAGCATCTACAATACCCAAGCAGTCAGTGCCTCATAGCTCAGGATTTAGAGGAAATGCTACGTTGGTCGCTGATGAAAAATATGTTTCCTGGAGAGAATTCAATTGTTGGCACTGACGTCGATAGGCCGAGCGCCCATCGTGTAGACCACTTGCTAATGGGCTACTCGAGGAGCGCATCAGAGCTGTATAATGCGGACAAAAACGTAGTCACCTGTTTCCAATTCAAACTCAGAGGGTTGTGCCATTTCACGAACTGGTCGAGTGTCAGTCTGTGACTGTCGCCATCGCCAAGGTTTGTCTGGCGATCAATGTTCTCGTTCGTTTCAAAAAGGTACATGCTCCCTTCCTTAGCATGGAAGGGTACGAAGACGCGGCCACACAACACGAATTTACTTGATATTACGAATTCCCGAAGTGCCGAGCCGACTTTATCATAGGTAAGGTTATCTGGCACGCGGACTTGGAGGATGCGCCGAGACCCCAAGAAACGAGCGAATCGATGTGATCTCCGAATTTCTGGTTTCTCGAGTTCGAATTTAAAAGACGTTCCAGCTTTTACGACACGGGCAACTTGCTGGATCTTCCCTCCGTACCAATGGTCTTTTCCTTCCCACTGTCCCATAGTTCCCAAACCGCGACCTTGGTTTTCGACAATCGCGACCTGCTCCCGGTCATATTCGAGCCTTTCAAATACGTTTAGCTGGCAATTTGTGAGGCGAATGAAATCAATACCAAAGTTCTGATGATGCTCCTATCGCAGATGGCACTTTGTCTGCCATGACGGTAGCCACTTTCCAGGCAGATTGAGCGTTTGAACCTTGAAGTTTTTGTAGACGATGCTCCGTCATGTCTTGGAATGTCCACATGCCACGAGTGACGCCTCGTGCCAGTTCGAAAATCGTTCCCCACGCAAGTTTATGTCGATCAAGGACTTCCTGAGCCTTCTCGCAGTGGGCAATGTGAACGATGTTTAATTCGACACCGAACTTTCCGACTTGTGGCAGGTTCACCTGCAGCATTGTGAAAACACGTTGGATGGAAGAGCATTTTATGACTTACAACTGGTGCGCACGAGGCAACTTTGCGTTTAACCGCTGGTGGGGTAGGCAGCGACCAGTCTGGTGCGCGCTTCAGGCCAGTGGGTTCAACAGACGATATCAAGGTCGTGCGACTCGAGAACAGCGAAGATTGTTCGGTCGACGGTGCCGACCCGGAATCACTGTCCGACTCTATCACTGGTTTGGATGATACTAATTAATAAAAGTGCGGACTAGGGAGAGATAACCAACATCGTTGAGCTACTGTGAGGGCGTGAATAATATGTTCATCTGAGCAAACTCGACACTGTACCTTCGTCGATCTCACGCATCTCCTCGTCGTCATGCGACAAAGGACTTGGTGAACGCATATCCACCTTATGCGCTCGAGGCGTTGTCTCCTGCGAAATGCAAAGTTTTTCTCTGAGGACTTTTGCCAATGGTTGAGTTGGAAACTGGGAGTGGTCTATAGAGTTGCAACTGATCAATTGAATTCGCGGCGACTTTGGTTGCCAACGCGTACTTAAAGCTTCTACATGGATCTTTATAACGTCCCAACCGTATGAGTATTCCTCGTCGTCTGATGATTCGTACACCTAGAGGCCATGATAATCTTGACGCATGCTGCGCCGCGGCGAACGTACTCACCACAGTCTTCGGTTTCATTTTTGATTCGTGATTCATGCTGGAAAAAAATCGAACGAATTTTAGAAGGAGGAAGATGAACCAGGGCTTTGATGAATTCCAATCGCGATGCCGAACCCCCTACCAACAGCTGCCAACCCAAGGTACACAATCTAGGTGATCAAGTTTAGATGTGCCGTAAAGCTGGTATTGGTTCATCAAGATCAGCAAGGCTTCTACTACTCCACGAGTGCATCGCGAACGTCTTCTAGGCCTTGCTACGGTGTTCCTTTAGGTTCCTGGCCAAACGCGGAAAGGTAGTCTGAGTGCAGTCCGGGACTCAGCTGCACATTATGATGGCGGAAAGATAGGGAAAAACTCCATCAAAGCGTTCTCGGCTCGCTTGCGCGGACCGGAGTACAATTTTTAAATCACGCAGTCATTCGCTGGTCTTCGAAATCTTGGTCCTGAAATCATCTGGCGAAGTGGGGACTTGAGGCAGTCATGGCGATAACAGGGGACCACTCTGGAATTCTGACTCAAGTAGCGTCAATTAAAATATGATACAGTATCCCGAGGCACGACAATACAAGAAGCAAGTTCACTTCCGGGCGAATGTAATCTGAAACGAAATGAGAGTAGTCCTTAAAGAAAAACGTATCCACAAACCTTGATCTTATTCTCTCCATCAAGCTTGTAGTTGTGAAGAGCATCTTTGGCAATCCCAGCGCTGCCTTCGTCCATGTATTCTACGAACGCGATGTCTTTTTTTGTTGGAATAAGCCGAACCTCGTGGAGGTTTGGGTACCTGAGGAAGTCAAGAACGGCCTTCCAACGCAGAGGTGTTTTACATACTGAGAAAAGAGGGCCATAAGCTGGTCCTTGGTAACGCTTTCGGGTAGGTTTTGAAGGAAAAGGATCTTGTTGGGAGGCAAGTATTCGTCTGGCATCTGGACGTTGGGACGCCTAGCTGCAGGAGCTGCAGCAGCTCCGTCAACTGCGAGGAATATAATTCAGCGTGTAGCTGGTGAATATAAAGCTGTAGCACAAACTTTCTGCAGCCATCCGCTTAGCCTTGAATTTCTGCTTCAAGGGGTTCGAATATCGCGTGCGTCCTGTACAATTCAACTCTTCTTAGCACTCGGTAACAAACTTTTTCGAGAATAACCCACTTTTTTGTTCAGCTCTCTTGGACGTGTGTTGTTCAAGGTTGGCAGCATCCAATCGTTTGACAACAGCATCGGATCGCGTCCGCGCAAATGTAATTTGCTAAGACAATCATGTGAGCGGAGAACGAGCTTAGAACTTAGAAATACGTACCATAGGTTTGGAGTAGAGAGGGAAGCCACGGACTTCCTTCATAGCTTTCTGTGCGATCTCTGGGGATGCGAACGAGACGAATGCTTGACCCCTCATTCTTAGGTTGCTATGCGCTACAACATCCAGCACCTCCCCATACGACTTGAACAAGCCTCTTAGTGAAGCCTTGAGCACTATAGAAAGAAGAGAGATCGGTTATAGCCAAGCTGTGGTATATTTCGATGCTCACCGTCGATCTTCACCTTCTCGTTGAGGTTTTGGATATAAAGGGTCTCGGAAACAATTTCATCCCCCTCTGGTTCAGGCGTCCCATTGTCTGCTAATGTTGGTGTGACATCTTGCATGGAGGACGAGTCCACTGGGGCTGCCTGTGATGTGGCCATAACTTGATAAGTGCGAACTTCATCGAACTCGGACTTACAGGGAATGCTTAGTAATCATTTCGTAAACAGCATTACATAAATTTAATCGTAACCACAAGCTCGTACATGTGACGCTAATTACTCAAGCGTTTATTGGAGCTATGGGTAACCAGTTGCCCGTGAACCCAACCGCAATATCTGCATACTTGGGTTCGCAATAGTGACTTCATGAAAACATATCATTGAAGCTTCTTTCTCAACGTGCTGGGAGATATTTCAAAGGCGGAGGGTCCACAGCTTTCGGCTTCAGCTTTGCAGAAGCAATAGCTGGAGGAGGCACATCCAAAGCTTCAGCGAAGTCTTTTCCGACAACTTGGTCGATTGGATTTATTGAATGACTTCGCAGAGTCGATATCAGTCAAAAGAGATACGATGGCGAATCACTTACTGATCCTCCAAATGATCCGTCATGCCCTGCACAGTCATTTTCTCCGGTTCTTCAGGCTTGTCATGGCAATGAGTGCACCGCCAAATTTTGCGCGGAGGTATTGTGGTGCTCGCGGCGGCTTCCTCCTGGCTCTGGCGAAGACTTCTAGCCTCCTCGTCCGAAATTTTCTCCCATTTCACAGTGGAGTCACTCCAATGCTTCTTAGCGCAATGTTTGACCTGTGATCTCTCGTCAATGCCATCCTACCTCAGTCCACAGATCAACTTACAGATTCTCGCCACGAACGGGCTATCATAGGTCTTTCCCCATCACAGCGGTTGCCATAGCTGCATTTTAGGCAGACCAGCCTAGGGTCCAGATCGTCGAGCTCCGACGCTGTTGCCACTCTCCAGTTTAAGTCGCATGCATGGAGGATGTTCTTCACGGTTTGGGAGGCCTTCTTATCGAATTCGAGATCGTCCGTGGACCACTCTCGTTGCATAGTACTTCCCGGGTACCCTTGGCCCATTTCAAACGTGTTGGGAGGGTGAAGTTCATCCCATGATCGTCGCCGGATCCGATTGCACCTATGGTGAAGATACTCCGGGAAGTACATGTACTGAGGCGAGTCATTAGGCTCAGGAATGTCTTCGCAAAGCCATACTCTGCACGTAAAGACAGCAGCAGCAAGTTTCTCGCATTGAATAGAGAGTCGGTCTTGCCAGTACGGTGGGTGAAATTCAAGCCGCCATAGTAAATCTGACCGCAAATCATGAATGGCGCAGCGCTTCCAAGTGTCGACTAGTTTATATAGCTCCTCACGAACGGGCTGAAAATCTTCTACGGTGATGGTCAGATGGGCAGGCAACTCCACGATATTGCGAACTTGTCGCATCCCAAAAAGATCGGCGGCAGTAGGCATGAGATACTTGTGATACCCTTTCTCCCGTTGCCAGTCACTATATATCGTTGCGACGAGGCTCTGTCGCTCCCTGATCTGCTGTTTTCTTTCTTGTTGAATGCGGAATTCGCGCATTTGGCCCATGAATTCAACCATTTTGTGTTGGATGTTTTGCCAGACTATTCAAAATCAGCGTTAAAGGAACACGAACGGTCCAAAGCAAATGAAAAGCCTTACTGCGATCGGTCAAGGGCCTTGGCTGCTTGACAAGTGGATGATCTTCAAAATGGGTCAACTTGTAGATTCGTGCAGTACGCTGATCTGGAAGCTTGTTGACATCTTCCTCCCAGCCAAGCTCATTCAACTTCTTCACGATACTGTAATTGTTGAGTAGGGAGCACCAGGAACTGAACACAAGACTTACGCGTCATAGCGTAAGCTTCTCAGATGGTCGAGTTCATCCCATCTACTCTGTTGTTCGCCTTCTATCCATTTCGTGCACAGAGTTGCATGCTGCATACACTCAACAAACAAGAATGAGCCTTTTGAAAACAGGAGGCATACCTCCTTTCGAACGAGCATCTCATCTCTCTTCGTTCCTCGAAGGACAGATCTTTCTTCTGGCCCGAGTTTTGACAACTCGTCGATCAACAATTCCCTGTCTGAAACCAGACAGCGAATGTCATGTCCTTGAAGGTAGAATCAAGTAAGGACATGCGCCAGTGAATGGACTGAAAACTAACGATTCTGCGTCATGCTCAATGACAAGCAATGGTGCAATTTTAATCCATATGCTTTTTTGAACTTATCATCGACAACCTCTGTGCTGAAGCGCCAGTCAGTAAGTCCACCATCATCAAGCAAGATCTAGCTTACCGCTCTTTAAAGCATTTTTGGCAGTACCTGACTCGAAGGTTCCAGTCGACACTGCGCACATTTGGTTTGAGACAATTCTAAGTAAGAAGGGTCGAATACATCCGAATGCTATGATTAGAACACTTACGTGACAGTGCGTATCGAACGCGAGGCTCGCATGCGCAGGCTCTGACATGTCATTAGCACAAGCAGGCATTCCATTTGCATTGGAGCGCGCAGCCATCCACACGGTCGTAGACGAGCGGTGCATCAGCACGGCGCGCAGAGCCTTGGTAGTGCGTGCGAGATGAAGTAAGTCGAGCGGAAGCAGCCTGCCAAAGATCTGGGCGCGATTATGATTATCTCGAGTGACTATATGACCAAGGATCTGGATTACCTCGAATAGGACATCCAAAGGTAATGATATAAGTATTTCAAGACTCTATTTTTGTGCTCGGGGACGATAGTTCTTCAGGAATTCTGTCGCATCTGCGGTGGTAGTTTTTGTAAAGCGCGTTTTAATTCCACCTCTTGCAAAGACGTGCTCCCATCCATTATTGGCGGTAATTTTGATCTTCTTCGTGACGTGCTCTGATTTCTTCTCGTCACTGTCCATAGCGAACGACCCAAAAAGATTAGAAAAGGACATCTTGGTGAGGGAAAAAATATCGAGCTTGATCTTGGACCAAGACGCGTCTAGTCACATTTGTGACAGACGCGAAACCGTGACAAATTTTGGAGGTACTTCTACGAACCTCGAGCAGAATCAGACCTGCTGGCTTGATATCGATGAAGAATTACATAACAATATCGCGGTGGGCCACGCAGGTATCTCAGATCCAAGGTGCTGAATTTCTTCTTTGCAGCGGAATTTCAATTAGACATTTTGCTTCTCGAAGTTGCGAAACAGACCATGGCTACTTCGCACCCTGCTCATCATACTCATACCTGCCATACGCTGGCTTCCACTGCTTGTCTTCTGCCTTGGTTCTCACCTCTTCTCTGCCCCAGCTAACTCCCTGGATGCCTTCATCAAAAGCCTGTTGTGCTACTGCTATTGCAACCTCGAGATTGGCTGCCGGAGCATCTTGAAAGTCGGGTAACAAGCCGCTGTCTGGATCTTTGAGTGCAGGAGAGAGAGCAGCAAGACGTTGTGCGCCTGCAATTATCATTCCGTCGGTCATTTGCCTGGATTGCGACAGCATGGAACCAAATCCAAGTCCAGGATAGATAAGAGCATCTGAAAGCAGCAGCGGTCAGTATGCACAAACGGAGTATTGAACAAGCTTACTGTTGCATTCAGCGATGCTGTAAGTTGCAAATGAGCTTGTGCATGATACCTGCGATATGACAAGCTTACACATAATCTTTGCCGTTCGGCATCTTAGCTGGTGGGAACGGGCTGCCCGTGGCGAGCAGGGCCATCCCTTCTGTCCAATCATTCGCGTCCTTCGGATCAACTTCCACCAGGTTGCTAGGGTTGCTGAGGGGGAAAATGATAGGTCTCTTGCAACCTTCCTTCATCGCCCTCACGACGCGCTCGGTGAAAGCGCCACCTTTCGTCGAACATCCTATTAAAACTGTCGGCCGTACTTTCCTGACGACCTCCAGAAGCTCAACCTCTCCTGCGTCATTAGTCGGAATATCGCTCCACTCTTGATCAGGTCGCACAAACTCTTGTAGTGCAGGACGTATCTTGTTAGGGCCAAGAGACTGCTTGATGAGACCAAATCGATCAACAAGGTAGAACTTCTTGTTGGCTTCCTCACGAGACACGCCAGTCTATGAGTATGATTGCATCCCGAACCTGTTTTGCAATACCAAGGCCCGCAGAACCCGCTCCGAAGATGACATAGCGTTGATCCGCCAGCTTCGACTTGGTCACCCCAATGGCAGCCATCAAGGCGGCCAGTGTAACCGCGCCAGTTCCTTGGCTACTGTGCGTTAGTGCTAATTGAAGCATGAGCAGCGGGTAGCCATACATATCGTCATTGAAAACAGAATGTTCATTCCGGTACAGCTCAAGAAGTCGCTGAGCATTGGTAACTCCAAAGTCTTCGAAGTGCAGCAGGCAGTGTGGATGATGTTTGCGGATCAACTGGACAAACCTATGGGGGTATTGCAAGTCTATGAGGCGGGACCAGGAGTTACGTCAAACTTACTTGTCGATGAATTTATCGTACTCATCACCCCGGACCCTTCTCGAAGGCCATCCCTGAGTTGTCTGATGAGCGAACGATAACGGCGATTTAGAAGTCACGCACAACATAAAGCTGATCGCTCAAGAGCCTTTCATTGTCAGTGCCGACATCAAGGGTCACACTGAACGCTTTCGCCGGGTTAATCCCACCCAATAACCTGTCACCGCATGAAGTGATAATAAATCAAGGGCAGGGCGAACGCACGTATATATCGCAGATTTGGCAGATGATATCTGGAACAACTGTTCAACAACGCGCTTTCGTGAGATATAAGTAGATTCCCACCCCGATTCCCTATGACGTCAGGTAATGATAAGAGCTGCAAGTGAGAGTAACGGAAATGCGCCTACTCCAACGCCTTGGTCGCCGATGCCTAGGATGGCCTCTGCATCCGTGCAGACTATCAACTCGATATCTTTGCCGCGGGTTTGTTCCAGGAAATCTTCCTCCATGGAGTCTTGGTCTGGGAATGTGAGAAATAACCCCTCGCTGCGACGAAAAAGATGAGAGTAGTTTTCAATCGCTTCTGCCTGTAATACAGTCAATCACTTGAACATCCGAGCCAAGACCAGAGCTTACTTCGGTAGGCGTGTATATAATAGAAGTCAACTCCTTGAGATGCCTGGATAGCAAGGAATAGTAAAGGACCCAGTTTTGTTCTTTGAGGCTCTGCAAGAATGAGTTCCTTTGTATTGGAGTGTCACGAGAATGCAGCTGATCATAGGCTCTATCGCATTGTTCTTCGATGGTGTTGATGCGAGAAGGGAGTCTCCCCGTTAGACCAAAATCATTACGCTCCTCTTTTGTGAAGGCTGTCCCTTTGTTCCAACGAGGTGAAGTGAGCAATGTCTCACCACGTAAGGCAACTTTGAATATGAGTTCTGAGTACATTGGAAATACCGTCTTGGCCAACTTTTGCGTAGTGCTGAGTTAGAGCTCCACACCCCCTAGCGGGCGCTAGCCACGCCATACAGTGGCAGTGACGGTTATTCGGCTTTCTCCGCGGCATTATATTGCTTGTGAAGGCGCTGAAACATCTTCAGCTTCAGTCTCCATTTCAATCCTAATTGTGAAGGGTTCTTTGTTTTGTGAAAACAGAACTTATCCACTGGTTGGCCTTTTGCGTGCCACGAACACTATGGGGCGCTGGACGCAGTATGACGAAGTACTACCTTACTTTCGACTTTGTCCTCGACAAGCTAACCCAGTATTTTTTAGGATGATTACAGGCTTCCAGAAGGCATAAAGCGAATTGGTTATGACGCCGACAGTGAGCGGTATTATTTCCGTGACCGTGAAGGATTGGTGTACAAAGGGCCAGAGGGTTCTGAATTCGGAGAGCTTACGCTAGGTATCAAGCTCCGGACGCTGTTTTGTTAGCGCTCACATCTCACACCTGCATACAGCGTCTGAAATACCTTCTTCCATCCCTCAAGAGGTAGACGAAGACAGTGACCTGGAAGCTGCTCCTACCGGCACTGACGGTTATCGCATGTTGGCTCTGGATGAGGTAAGTTCTCACTGTCACCGTCACTGCCCGCACCCTGTCTCAATTCGGTTGTAGAATGGTACCCGGTACAATCTCCGGGGAGGAGCTTATCGTACACTTTTCCCATTTTTTCTCATTATCGCTGTCGTCTTATTATTGGTCTGGCGTCTCGTCCTGTTACCCACACGCATTGCTCCCGTTCCATGCCCTTCAACGACCCTCTCATATATCGTGCAACCTGGAGACACTTGTTGGGATATTGCCAACGATCACAATTCCTCTCTAGACAAACTCCTTATTGTCAACCCCAAAGTGAACTGCGACAAGCTCATGCCTGGTGGACCGTGTTTGCGTGCCAGACGAAGGGATGTCCATCAGTGTCCGTTTCTAATGGCTTTTTATTTCAAAATATATTCCACGCAGCATAGTCTCATTTGTATATTATTGCTTGCATGCATATGGACATACATTTGGATATCGTATGCAATAACAGTTTAGATGACGTCAGAACCGAATTCAGTAGCGCAGCTGCACAGCCACTATATGCTTCTGTTCAACTTTCGCGCAGTCTCCACTGGTCTCCATCAAAACTGTGCTTTCTTTCTTCTTGCTTTCATTCTTTCACGAACTATCACGAACATCAGCTAAATAAGTCTTGCACAATGGCTTTTGATACCCACATGCGAAGGGGACACACTAGTAAGTTTTTGGTGTCTGTTTTATTCAGTCTGACTGACTTGCTGGATTTCAGTTGTATTGTCGTTGATCATCTTCTTCAGTATCATCGAGGTATGTGCACATTTTATTGCAACGACGAAATAATAAACCCCTGTGGTAGCTTGCAATATCAGCTTGGCTCACGTCACGTTTTAATGCCTACAACAACTACTTCAGTCTCACAGAACGAGACAGCACACGTTTTCTACTGTTCACTTCAATATGGACGATCGTATTTTCTGGTGCCTACATGCTTTTCTTCTTTTCTCTTCCAGACCATGTTTTGAGTAGTGTGGCTTCTCATATCTTCTTGTAAGTCAGCATCCTTTGCTTTGGACAGTAGAACTTGCTGACAGACTTGTAGCCTGTTTCTAACATGGGTCTTCTGGACCGCGGGCGCTGCAAGTATAACATCAGCTCTCGGTGGAGGGCTGAACTGCAAGTTAGTGCATCTTCTTGCTACGCTCTCTCATTTCTCACGTCCTATCTCCTTAGCACCCAGAGCATGTTCGTGTACTGCGGGCAAGCTTAACGCGCTAGAAGGTTTTGCTTGGGTTATTTGGTATGTGTTATTGATATGTATTTATCGCTTCTTTGTTTATATTCTTGCTAGGATTCTTGTAACTTTCGCAATCCTTGTTGTGCTCATACGTGGCATTATCGCGGCACGTCGAGGTGATGGAATGCGTGGGCCACTGATTGCATGAGCATGCAGGCTGTCCCCACTCAGTCCCTAGGCCGCCGCGCGCACAAGTTTAACATCATTAGCTTCTTCCAAATTGTAGGGCTTCTTTCTTTATATTTCTTCATTTTATAGACGATGCGCGACACCTGTTGTGTTACCTGTACTGCCCCATCTACCTCATGTCTTGTCGTTATTGCCGTAATTTTACGATTACTGACATATACCCGACATAGCTCATCACCCATTCCTCTGATGAAGTTCCAATACCACCTAGTCAGTGTCTTTGCACAGGCGCTCCTCCCGCGCAATGTTAAGTCAGTTTGAGTAACATAAGTGGCATACTCGGCTTTCAGTTCCATGATGTTGTGTTGAAGATGATTGTGTATTATTGGCGATCATTGATCAATCACCTCGTGCTAGATCCTATAGATAGACTACGATCTGTATGCCTAGAACCATTAGCAATCGTCAATAAAATTTTACGCTCGGTACAGCAGCTGACGTTGGCATGGAAATTTATCTGTATCATCACACGGGCGTCGACTAGATATCGCCGATCTTTTGGCTTCTTGTTCTCACTAAAGTTCACATCATCTGTTAATCTCATACCACCATGGCCTCTCAGACGTACCAACTCTTTTGCATTGGTAACCCCCTCCTCGACGTACAGGTTACCAACGGTGAGGAGCTGCTCAAGAAGTACGATCTGAAGGCCAACGATGCCATCCTTGCGGAGGAGAAGCACATGTCAATGTGAGTGTCTGATAACCGTTCTCTACATCAAACATTCATTGTCGACGCCCACAGCTACGATGAGATCGTGAAGAACTACAAGGTCACATACGTTGCTGGCGGTGCTTCTCAAAACGCTGCCCGGGGAGCTGCAGTAAGTTTTTATAACCTGTAATCTGACCTCAGGTTTCAGATAGTGACACTCCCACAGTATGTCCTTCCCCCCAATTCAGTGGTCTACACTGGCTGCGTGGGAGATGACAACCTGGCGGAGCAACTGCGGGCGGCAAACAAGCGTGAGGGCCTGCGAGAGGTCTACCTCGTCAAGCCAGGCCAAAGGACGGGTGCATGTGCCGTCGTCCTCACAGGGCACCATCGGTAAGGCCATCATCGTGGAATTTGTAGTATCAAACTCAATCGGTAATGTTAGCTCCCTGGTCACGACCCTCCAGGCAGCTGAGATGTTCGAGCAATCACATCTCTCTTCCCCTACCGTTGCTCCCTTGGTGGACGCCGCAAATGTCTTTTACGTAGAAGGCTTTTTCCTGACGCACGGCGCGTCCATTGTGCTCGAGCTCAGCAAAAAGGCATCCGCCGCTTCCAAGACATTCGCTCTAAACTTCTCGGCGCCTTTCATCCCGCAGTTCTTCGGCACCCAGCTGCAGTCCATTCTCCCCTACTGCGACATCATCATCGGCAACGAGACCGAGGCTGAGGCATACGCAGCTGCAAACGGTCTGCCAGACACCAAGGACCTTGCTGCGATTGCCAAGGCTGTTGCAATTTCCCCTAAATCGAACAAATCTCGTCCGCGTGTTGTGGTCTTCACGCACGGCGCTGAGTCCTACTATCTTGGTATCATCCGCCTGAACCTGATAGCCCTAAGATCTTCAGTGTCAGCCCCATCGACGACAAGTTCATCGTCGACACTAACGGTGCTGGCGATGCGTTCGCGGGTGGTTTCCTCGGCGCATACGTCGCTGGTAAGAGCTTCGATGAGTGTGTCGAGGTTGGACACAAGATGGGTGCTATGTGTGTTCAGCTTGTAAGTCGATGCTTTTTTGATATCAGGACACTCGCTGATTATGAATCCATTAGGTTGGTCCCCAGTTCCCGTGGCCCAAGGTCTCCGTTCTTTAAACACGAACTATCTTATACACTTCCTGAATTCTCTACATATATCACGCTTTCAACAGCGAAATTGTTGTATCCCTACACACACCGATGTTCTTCATCATTCGCTTTCCACAAGCATGTAGCAACTGATATTTCGAATCTATGATTTCGATGATAATTAAGACTAAAGTTTTACAAAAAGCTCCAATGTTATGCACGAAAGACAAGCTATGTATGCGTGAGTACAGTAAGGTAATGCATGTGAAGAATAGCGAGGAATATCATCAATAATCTAGAGTATGACTGTCATAGCGATGGAGGTGGGGATGCGAGGGATTCCTGGTTCAGTAGGTCCAGCATCAGATCATACACATTAGGTTCTGCAGCAGTCATCGCATTACCCACCTGAGTCAACAGCTCGGCTTCGAAGATACATATAAGCATCAACTTTCGAATCGCAAAATAATACAACGAACCTGGATTCAGCATAGGCTCTCCATCTTCTGTGAGCATGTGTTCCATCTCAGGTGGACGCTCGAAAGTGTGACTATGAGGTGGCGATTGGGTAGCATAAAATAGTTCAGGTGATTCTATATCGTGGCTGGACGTGAGTTCTGTTGACAATTCGTTTCGTTCATCGATACTACCTCCAGTAGAAGCCGAGCTAGAAGGGTGTGATACCGATCGAGGGTCCACATGGCTGGGTGAGTGTATGCTATCCGGTGCATGCGACGACTCTCTTTCTGTCGTTGACAAGGCGACTTCTACGGCGGTTTGATTGACCTTAAAAGATACCTTGTGATTTGTAGTTGGTGATGCTGGTGAGATGTCTAGTGAAGGGTCGATAACAGGAGATCGGGCTTCATTCCCATGGGTATTTCCTGCTCCCGACGTAGAGGGGTCGCCGCCACTGTGCATACTCGTCCTGGTAGGACTACTAGTACTCGATGAGTCATCACAGGGTGAAGGAGAATGTGGCTGGACACCGTTGTGCAGATGTGTCATGAGTTCAGAGGGTGATGGGCCTGGTGGTGGGTGAGGCATTCCGCGATAGTATGGATAGTAGGCAGGATGCGGATAGCCCATTGGTGTCATGGGCGGCGGTTGCGACCCGTCAGGAATCCAGGCGCCTTGGGGCCATGTTGCCTGATGTAATCGAGCCGATGATGTCGGGAGTCCAATGTTGGGGGGATATTGACCTTCAACGATGACTCCAAGGGGAGGTGGCATGTATGCTGTCAAAATTAAGAGGGTGAAGTAGGTCGAGAGCAAATGTACCTACCACCTGCAGGCATAGTGTGTTGACGATAATAACTGTGTGGGCCTTGCGAACCGCCAGGGGCACCAAGGGAGGGTGGAGCACCATCGTTTGGATTCTCTGCGCCTTTCGATGACGGCGATGGACTTCGACTGTGAGCTTGCGACCCTGATGCCCGGGGCTCAGTGCTGCCTTTCTTCTTCTCGACCTCCGTGGGTTCGATGATTACACCGTTGTGTCTGTATGTGAATCCAATCAGATAAATTGGCTGACACTCAATATATGACCATGCCTCGACTTCTGATGCCTCCGTAGTGCATCAGTCTGCAAGATTCACATGTTAATTGCATCATATGAATGATGGTGATCAGAGAATAACGTACTCGTGTAAACGTAGCATCACATTGCGGACACGCACTACAGGGGCAGACCCACGTCAGAACCGCGTCTCGTATCATACATGCTTGATTAAGTACTTACAAACCTGGCACGGAGTGTAATTTGGTAGTTCGCTGGTGCCGTTTCAGATCGGCCTCCCGAGCAAACTGCTTGTTGCAACCATCGATTTTGCACGGCCATACCCCAGTCTCTGTCACCTTTTTCTTCTGAGTCGTCTTTCTCTTCTGAGACTCTTTTTTCTGTTCCGGCTATAGTTCAGCCACAATGAATTCAGGTGGCTGATAAGCACAATTCAGTCCGCGAGTACTACGTACTGTCTGTTTTGCTTGTCGAACCATCTTGGATGGTGCGCTGCACTAGATCAGCTGTTCAGACTTAAGATGATCCTGATTTTTTTTGTTCAGAATTTATTGGGGCTGGATTGCCTTGTCAATATGCGCCGTGGCTAAACCTGTGGCTGACGTCCGTGCGGCGGCGGGGGAATTTGGGCGATGGCAGACTGTGGCAGAAGGTGTCCGCGACTCGTGGCATTAGCACGGAGGCTTATGTCATCTTGCTAATTTAGGCAGCTCTTCAAGTTCGTAAATTTAACAATAACGTCGTCGTCCTGCAGAAATACGTGGTAACTGAGCGGCGGTGAAGAAATAGGGATGATTACAAAAAATACAACAATAACATGGCCAAAAATATACGCCTATATGAACAAATATAATATACCGTTCCAGTAGAATATTCCTCCGCAGTGACTTCATAACCTTGTGTAACTCTACCGCAGCGCGTGCACAGTCAAATCAATCAGGTTGTAATAAAAAGCTGTCACAACTTGACCTGCAAGGTTGTCTTCGACAGACCACATAGAACTTATGACACTGCGAAATCCGGATAATTGTATGGCCACAGCAAGGTGGATTGACTCGTCGAGGTTCTCCGTATTGCCCACGGTAGTATCGGGCAAGCCGATAAGAATGCAACTCCGGGTTCTGCCAGCTGAATTGGGTGATGTCCCTAATCATTAAGGGTTCATCGCGCATTGCGAATTCCGTCGAAGGTTTCCAGACCTGTGTTACCGCCTTGAACGTTGAACGTCCTTCCACTGACGAAGACGGCCAGCGGCCGAGCCTTGCAACGTTGAGTACTGAGCTGTAGCAATCAGAAGGCTACCTAGTGATTTGGTGAGACTGCTCAGTATATCTATAGCAAGGATTCGAAGACCCTGTTATATAGACGCTTCTCTGTTAGACTACAGTGCTGTGTATATACCGTACAATTGTGAGCACGCTGGCTTACTGGAGTTCCCATAATCTACATAGATACTGTCCGCGATACTGAAACACAAGCTTTCAGTGTCACTGCCTTTTGGCGTAGCAGTTAAGCGGACGACAGTCTTGACTAAGTTACAACAATTATCAAAAAATAAATACACCTGAGTGACCTACAACGCCTCAATTAACTCGGGGGCAGCGGGTGTCACTTCGGGTGAAGCAAGCGCATTAGTCTCAACAGCAGACATAACGGACATAGCAGCGGACGAGGTAGAACTGGGTGATGCAGTACCAGGTTCAGTATCCGCGCTGTTAACGTTCAGAAAACAAATCATCCAATGGGTAGAGAGACTCACTCGGAATGCTGTGAAGGCAGCTCTTCATGGGTATTCTTTGGTCCGTCGAAGTAGCCTTCTAAGCGGGTGCCGTCTTCAGCGATGCCGCAGAAACTGGTGACATTAGAACTTGTATCACTGATCGATGAATAAGGCCCTAGAAAACTTACTCGACAATTTGTTTCCAGTATGTCTCGTGATCGAACTTGAAATCAAAATCGCCTCCAAATTCTGAGTCTAGCTGAGACTTTGGAATGAGGTCAAGAAGATCAGGATTAAACCTCATCTATAGTCCGTCGAGTCACGTTTCCTACGCAGATACAGAATAACGCGCACCTTGTCCCGGGTGACAGGGTCCAAGAACGGTGAAATGCCTTTGTAGAAGAAATTGAGCAGCATTGGGAGGTTGGTGACGATTGCGCGACCGAGAGTCTCTACATAGTGTTGCTGAAGTATCGTAAGTACTTTACTGGCGACGGAAATCGAAGGGTTGGTGCGAAGTGTCGTGGATTTATAATCTACGATGATAACCAGTGACTCTTGTCCTGGGGGCATCAAATCCTTGGCACGTTCTCTGCACTTCTGTGAGATGACGTGGAATGACAGGACCAAGGACGTACAGCCACCAAACGAGGTGTCTTAACTGCCTAGGACTGGTTTCGGTGTTTTCGCGACCAGGACGCATATAGATGATGGGCCTGCCATCTTTATCGAACCCATTTAAGAGGCTGCGTTCCGTTGATCAACTCTGATTTAATATGAAGTGTGGAAGGAGCTACATACATTTTCCCTGTCTCGGCTTCTATCTTCACCTGAGTTTTGGCAACTGTGTATGCATTAATATTATCTTCGAGTTGAATATGTACATACCTCATCAGGTCTGATTAACTCCGGTCGGAACTCTCTCCTCCATTTGATTGTTCCCTCTATTCTACGCTTCGCATCAGGGAGTTTCCATTTTGCCGCGCGCATGTACCGAGGCATAGTATCTGGCTTGTTCAACCATCGCAACTCCCATTTATAGTACGGGTCTAACGGGTCCAGAAGCAGGGTATCTGTGTACTTTTTATGACGATTCAGGTAACGGTTAAACAGAAAGAAAAGTGCCATACCTCCCGTAATGCCTTTATATGGGCTTTTTGCTCGTCGGAATACTGGTATATGGGCTGCACGGCAGTGCCTGGCTCTGGGGTAGTAAGGACAGCATTGACCATGGTGTGAAATGAAGAGCTCGGTGAAAGAAATTGAACAAATACCGTGACTACCGTGCCACACGTATGCTCACATAGCACATGGTGGACTTAGTAATAGATAGGGTGCTGACATTTCTGGCAGCGTGGGAACACTAGAGAGATCATTTTGTAGTTAGTTTTGTGCTCATCGTTCTTGCCAGCGTTCACGAGTTATTCGCAGCCATGCATCTTATGTATACGCTAGACGAGAGTGGGAACAGGATATACACTCTGAACGTGAGCATTTTCACTGTCATGGAGAGGCTCTTGTCTGACTTGCTATTTCAGAAAACAACGAATACAGGCCGAATCACCAAGTCTGCACACCCAGGTTCGTCTCTCCTGATGTCATTTTTTCTGGTTCAAGAGCGTGCGTCGCTTGGTATCTGATACTCTTTTCCTGTACAGCACGTTTCTCGCCCGATGATAAATTCTCGAGGCACCGTGTTACTCTTAAAAAGCGCTATGGTGTCCTGTTAACTCAGCTCCCTAGCAAGCCTATGTGAAGGGTTTGGCGTCTGCCGGATAAAATCGCATCCGAGCACCATCCCCACCTCTGCCGAATTATACCTCGTCGCACGAGTTATAGAGTACGCCGTGTAATAACATGTTCTCGTGGTCCCATTGTTAAGCCGTTGCTGTTGGGTGTTTGATGACGCGACTTGATTTATTTTGCTGGTTCGTATGCCTTCATGCAAGTTCATTGACCTTTTCAGTACCTCTACGGGCGGGACCAATGAAAGGCGTGTATCTATCCATCGTGCCTGTGCTCACTATAGCTGTGGGCATCACTCATGCAACAGCAGCCATTTGGCCATAGAAATATTCTTAGGATCGCCGATGGCTATGTGCCAACTGTTTGCGAGAAGAGCGGGATCGCACCACCATCCACAATAGCAACAGGGCAGAGTGCCATTCAAGTAGCTCACTACAGTCTATTCACTCGCGAGATTTGGATATGGACTCACTCATTATCCAATCAGTCGCTCAAACTGTACTTTCCCTTTGAATGTCTTCTGGTCACTCGTACCTCCAATGCACACAGCTGTTCCTGGATAAATTGGCGCTGACGGCGTCCACAATACCAGTGTGGGTAGGAATGTGTGAGAAATTGTGCATAGAAATAAATGCTACTACATCGACTTTAGCATTGGCAATGCTTGATGCTTAAAATTTGAAAGCTTGACAGGTTCGTCCCCATGTTGCTTAGAGTATAGCCGCATGTGCAGACAAATGATTGGCTAAACGATGTACTGTGGTTAATTATGGGCCAAGATTTTTCACCTGTAGAGTCCAACAATCACGCCCTTAGCTTGACCGGTATGCTGTCTCTTGTACTGTTATCATTCAGAATACTTTGTTTTCTAATGAGTGTAGACATGACGATTTGAACGCTGAGCAATGGAAACGCACTGATTTTTGCATAAAGAAATCAACGTGTGTCAGCCGAAAATAGTCACTTGGTTGTTGACCTGCTCGTGGCAAAAAAGACGTATTGAGAGGCCTTTTGCCTTGCGCCACCACACGGGGCATTAGCTATTTCCCATTCACTTCAATCGAATCCGCCGCTCTTTTCTCCTCACCATCACAATCGACTTTCAAAGCGGCGCTGACATCACGACAGCGACCACGTCAGGGTGATTCTAAACATTCCTTGACCCAAAAACAATGGATTATCGTGATCAAAGACCTCCACGGTCTGCCTACCACCAGCAGTATCGCCCGTCGCCTCCGCAGTCTCCTCCCGTCTACCCAGAACGGCAGTATTCTGGGCATAACCATTCATCTTCGCCGTCACCTGCGAGCGCCCACTCGCAGCAGCGCCCACCCTTCAACCAGTCTCAAGAGGGCAGGACACCAAATATATCTTTCCGAGATACTGAGCGTGGTGATAGGCAGAGTGCCCTGGATCAGCAACGCCAGCGTATACTGCCCTCTGCATACGAAAATCAACTTTCACCTACTTTTGCCAAGTCTGATGGAGCAGATTACCTCGATCCTGCACGAGTGGGGCGGAAGAAGAGTTTAGTAAAACCAGACAGGGAGAAGATCGAACCTGGCCACAGGCAATGGCACTACCGCACTCATGCAGCACAGATGCAGAACGAGGGGACTGGCAGAGTGGGCGTCCAGCCGTCGAGTGCGTATTTCCGCCCCGGTAGCATGTTATCTAACTCGTCATTTTAGCTACTGGTAATTATCCGCAGAAAGCAATGCTCCGCAGAGGAAAATCCTTTCTCGCGCGTGAAGAGGACGTGCAGGAGTCGGGACTTGCCCTCTTTAAACGGGGTGCAACCCTTCGGCGCAAGCGCCCAGCGTCGACTCAGTCTGCCGCACCACTAACAGTCCCTGACCGCCAGTCGCGCAAATGTCTTGACAGTATTGGACCAGGGCCAAAGGACGGGTGGTTTATTTACTGCTACATCATTACCTGTTGGATCCCTCACTTCATGCTCCGGGCATGCGGTAGGCATTTTTGTATGGTTTCGTTGCGTGATTGCTTATTTTATGTCAGGTATCCGCACGCCAGATGCGCAACGTGCATGGCGCGAGAAAATAGGTCTCATAGGCATCATCTTGTTAGAGATGTCCGGTGTCGGTTTCATCACATTCGGCTTCACAGAAACCGTTTGCGGCATTCCTCCAAATCGATTCCACCAGGGCCAGATTCAGAATAATTCGGTGATCATCCATGGCTATGACTATGACTTTTCCAACTTCAAGCATCCAGCCGTGGGGCCGTTCAACGGATCAACAAACCCGCTTCTGTATGGCGGGTGGGACCTGGCCAGTAATGACGCAAGCTTCCTGTTCCAGATCACCAATGATAATTGCTTGGGCATCATTACGAGGGCGAACGGTTCCAGTATCACGGGCAGTGGACAATTATTGGACTGGTACTTCCCCTGTAATGTGTACAATCCACAGTCAAACGCACAGAATGTGTCCGGATACGGAGACTCGACGAACTGTCATGTATCATCCACAGCGAGGCAGGGACTAGCTGCGATGAAGCCTGAGGGGGAGGTCTACTACACGTGGGATGATGTCGCAGCTCCCGATCGTAATTTGGCCGTGTTCGAGTCGTGAGTTTCCACGTAGTTAATATTTTCTTGTTTTCACCCCTTTTCTAGAAAAGTTCTCGACCTAGATCTCCTGCAGTGGCTCAGTACCACTGAGGTGCAGTACCCTGCTCTTTTCGATGAGATGAAGAATGCAGACGGAACGTACAATGGAAAAGACCTTTCTATGATGTTCATGCGAGCAAACCAGCGCCAGGTCGGCATGTGCCTCGAGGACGTAATCACGGTCGGGTTTATCGATACTAATTCGATCGGTTGCGTTGCCTCTTCGGTCGTCCTCTATCTGTCCCTCGTTTTCATCATCGGTGTCGTCTCTATTCGCTTTGTCATGGCTGTCCTGTTTTCATGGTTTTTCTCATGGAAACTTGGTAATTTCCCGCGGGAGACATATGAGCAACGCATGCAGCGCTCGGCCCAGATTGAGGACTGGTCAAATGACATCTACCGGCCTGCACCGAGCGAGTATCGTCCCAACGTGGGCAAGAACGGGTTACGGAATGGGAAGGTCGGAAAAAAAGGATTCTTTCCGTCTACCTCTCGCTTCACACCACAGGAAAATATGCCTAAGGGCGCCTCTCCTCGGCCTACCACGAATTACGGAATGGTAGATCCCTACAAGCGGAACACCACATACTCCACCAAAGCTTCTCCTAAAGTCAGTCCCCCTGATACACCATACCGTCAATCAAGAAGCACCATGTCGTTTGGCGACATAACATCCCGCAATATTTCCCCTCGCTCCGCGTTCCTTGATACACCCTGTCCGTTCCCTCTGCAGAATGTTGTACCCCAGCCTCCCCCCGATTTCGAACCGTTCAACTTCCCCCTCGCGCACACTATTTGCCTAGTCACGGCGTACTCAGAGTCTGTCGAGGGTCTTCGTACAACGCTTGACTCCCTCGCCACAACGGATTACCCTAACAGCCACAAGCTCATTCTGGTCATTGCAGACGGTATGGTCAAAGGTGCTGGTAACACAATGACGACGCCGGAGATCTGTCTGTCGATGATGAAAGACTTTGTCATCCCACCACATGAGGTCGAGCCACACTCTTATGTTGCCATTGCAGATGGGCACAAGCGTCATAACATGGCAAAGGTCTACGCCGGTTTCTACGATTACGATAATGCCTCGGTCGAGGTGTCGAAGCAGCAGCGCGTCCCGATGGTTGTCGTCGCCAAGGTCGGCAACCCGCTGGAGACAAACGATGCAAAACCCGGAAACAGAGGCAAGCGTGACTCGCAAATCGTGCTCATGGGGTTCTTGCAGAAGGTCATGTTTGACGAGCGGATGACGACGTTTGAGTATGAGTTCTTCAACTCTATCTGGCGCGTGACGGGTGTCAGCCCAGATCGATATGAGCTTGTGCTTTGCGTTGACGCGGATACAAAGGTATTCCCGGATTCGCTGACGCGCATGGTGTCGTGCATGGTTGTGGACGTTGAGATTATGGGTCTGTGTGGAGAGACAAAGATTGCGAATAAGGCGGATAATTTCGTGACGATGATGCAGGGTATGTTTTGTCTGTTGGTGATTGTTGGAACCTAACCCTAACCCTTGTTTTTTTCCTCGCAGTCTTCGAGTACTACATCTCACACCACATGACTAAGGCGTTCGAAGCCATGTTCGGTGGTGTCACTTGTTTGCCCGGTTGTTTCAGCATGTACCGGATCAAGGCTCCCAAAGGTGACACTGGGTACTGGGTTCCAGTCCTGGCAAACCCCGATATCGTGGAACGGTACTCGGAGAACGTTGTCGACACTTTGCACAAGAAGAACCTGTTGCTCCTCGGAGAAGATCGATACCTCACAACCCTCCTACTCAAGACATTCCCGCGGCGCAAGAACATGTTCTGTCCCCAGGCAGTCTGCAAGACCATCGTCCCTGACACCTTCCGCGTTCTGCTCTCCCAACGTCGTCGGTGGATTAATTCGACGATCCATAATCTGTTTGAGCTCGTTCTTGTCCGTGATCTTTGCGGAACGTTCTGTTTCTCGATGCAGTTCGTCGTGGGTATGGAGCTTATGGGAACGCTCGTCCTGCCTGCCGCTATTAGTTTCACTCTCTACCTCATCATCATATCTATCATCCCCGGCGGTGCCAATACTACCATCCCTCTCGTGCTGCTTGCTATCGTCCTTGGTTTACCCGGTCTCCTCATTGTCGTAACGTCACGCAAGGTCGCTTATGTCGGATGGATGATCATATATTTGATTTCGTTGCCCATATGGAACGGTCTTCTCCCTGCCTATGCGTTCTGGCACTTTGATGACTTCTCATGGGGCCAGACTCGGCAAGTTGCAGGTGACAAGGGTAGCAACCATGGTGATAAGGAGGGAGAATTCGACTCTTCGCATATCGTCATGAAGCGTTGGGCTGAGTTCGAGCGTGATAGGCGGTGGAAGAATGGGGTGCAATCTCGTGATTCAACTCTGTAAGTCTTGTGATTGGTGGCATGCTCCGTTTCTTATCGCTGACTTCCATTACAGCAATAATCGGTACTCAATGGCATCAAACTCTGATGTTAACCATAATGGTGGTCTTGATTCATCGACAACGGAGTCTACACCCAGTGTGCCGTACGCCTCTGGTACTCGGTCAAGACACGACAGTAATGGCCTTCTTACGCTCCCTGCACCACTTTACGCCAGTAAGAACCCCACCTCCGTAACACCAGCCTCGTCAGCCGCTATGTCGCGCTCTAGCGAGGACGTTGTTTATTCAGACGGCGGCTCCACCTCTAATCAACGACTTGTTTCTACACCGCAAGACCAGTACATCGACTCGTATACTGAATCTCCGCGGTACCCTCAGTTTGACGCTCACGTTGCCCGGGCAGGGGGTGTTCTTCGCAATCAGACCATATCTAGCCAGTACCCTGGAGAGACCCAGAACCCATTCCGCTCTGAACCACATGTGGCTACGTATGATGATCAGCATGGTGGCTATAGCGCCGAACCGGAAGATATGTTGCCGCCACCTGTGCCCAGCAAATATCAACAAGGAGGCCGTGGGGTCAGCTTGTCTGACAACGGACCTGTTCCTGGGCCTGAGGGTGTCCGTAGGGTAGCGAGACCATCAGTCCGTCGGCCCACATCACAGGCGCCTCAGAACCGATACTCTCGTTCATCGACGGCGTTCAATCTGCCACCTGGTGCGGCACCTCCACAGCCAGGGTATGGAAGCGGATATTAAAGACTCATTCTATTTTTGATTTCATGTGACATTTTTCGATACCAGGTTCCAAACTTTTGGCTGGCCAGTGAATTTACGGATGCTCTTCGTTTACTCTCTTTGGACTCACACGTGTTCTATGATGATACATTACGACTTTTTTCATCCTTCCCGTCTTTCGTTGACTTTATCTTAGCATGCGTTGTTTGGTCTCGACAGCGCAAAACGCAACATCTCTGTAATGTTTCAACTTTGATGCATAAGCTATCGCTCAGATTTATTACATGCATGATGCATCGTCCACTCCTTATAGATACTAGAGGACTTCTTTTCGTATAAAAGCCAAGTCTCAAATACAACCCAGGGTTATTGTCGAAGTATTTGGTTTGCACAAATAAGGGAGGTCGTGGTAGCCTTGAGGCGCTGGGGGAAGTTGATGTTCAGAAGCCCCGAGCAGCCTTCACAACATTTTCTTTACCATCACTGTTGACCATCATGGCAGCAGTATCGATATCCTCCTCACCAATTACACAGGTGTCCCAGCATGCGCCCGTGAACACCAGCCTTCAGCCTCAGTTACTTACCAGGCTGCTCCTCGACCTCCGAGGCAGACGTTTCTCGGTTGACAGAGAAACTATCATGAATCTTCCTGAATCCGTTCTCCTGTGTCTCTTTCCAAACGGGCTTGTTCTGAGCCGTCAGAGCCAAGCATTCTCAGATGGCGGGGAAAACGAAGAGGATGACGAGGTGTACGGCGTCGATGTGAGTGGCTACTGAACGATTCACGTGGTTCGGGTTTGCTGACGCGCCGCAGTTCGACCCAGAATGCTTTGCATACGTGCTTGATTTCTTCAGAAATGCATCAGACACGTTCTATGGTACAAATACTTCCCCTGGTTTGTTCGCGGCACAGCAGCATCTGCTTGACGGGTCACCTTCAGACTTTGGTCCTTCTGTATCACAGAATCCACTCCTTACCAAGCAGGCTATCATTGTGCTTCGCGAGGAACTGGAATATTTTGCTATACCGCCAAAAGGAGGAAGGGCTCTGACTGATGAGCATGGCACTGCCAACCAAGCGCTTCTTGATATCAAGCACAAGTGTGGACAAAATGTTATGGACAAGCGTAATATCTTTACCGCGCTCCAACGAAACGTTCACAAGGAGAACAATATTGCTGAACAGCATCTTATTGATATGTTATGCATGAGGTAAGCCCGCTGATGGCTATTGGTGGTGTAACTGATAATGTCCATAGTGGGTTCAACCGGGACGACGAATGGGGTTTCCGTGCCATGGAGCCCTCGCGGTGCTGCATTTCTTCAATAGCTCTTGTATTACTCAAGACGGGCATCGTACACCATCCTCCAGGACAAAACGGCGAGCGCCCGGTCACTATAGATTACAATCAAATGGCTACAGCACAGAAGTTGCTACTGTTCTGGAGAAAACCAGCGGTAAGTTTGCTTTAGATATGGATGGAACAATTGTTCACGTGTTGTTCATTCTAGCGCAAGTGCTGGTGGGACGGCCTTGAGGTTGATCTAGCGGCGCCAGGAGAGCCGTCTATTCCTGTGAAATTATGGGCAAGGCGAGTATGGACCCTTGAGCTTAGCTTAGTATGTGCCATCCTTTTCACACGCTTATTCTTTCTGATTAATTTCTTCAGGTGTAGTTGTGAGGAAGATTAGAACTCTTGGATACGGACTCATCTCTCCTGCGAACCCTCCTTATGCATATCATCGTCTCCCCCTGATATCGCATCGATACCCTCCACGGTTTTTCCTGCTGCAACCATTAATTAATGCCACACACGCACCTTGACATTTGCTAACGTAACGTATCGGAGGGAATGCGCCTCTTTGACCGATTTATTATAACCGGAGGCCAAACCCCAGCCATTGAGTGATAGAAACAAGTCGACGACGACCTATCCGAAATGGTCAAATGCGTGCAGAGGGTAAACTAATACTCAAGTGCTCATAGTAGGTGTCTAGTGGAGCGAGAAGACAATCTGCTAGTAATCGCGTTACACTTACACCGGTGCCCATGGATCGCTATTGAATGTTTCTTCATCAGATTTCAAATTCAGTCTCCATATGTCGATCAACGGGTGGCACTGCTAACATGGGAATCTGATATTATTGGACCAGCTGCAACTTGGTACTGTTGTGGGCAGAACTATTTTGAGGCAGTTTGGCCGGCAGAACTCGCAGAACCTGCAGGGCAGAACCATGTTCTGCGAGATGGCAGAATGACGTTCATGGCACTAGAAGTACTAACTGCATGGATGTAGTAAGACCACTCGATAGCAACATGGAATCAATATTCCAAGTTCCATCTTCGTTTGCATTATAATCCATGAAAATGATCTCATCCTTTATTGCTGCAGGCGCTAATTTCTCATCAACTGCGCTGCAGTTCTGCGAAGTCGAATGCTCTCCCTTCTTCCCATCCACATCCCCGGGCCAGTCCGAGGTAAACACCATGTCCACTGCATTACGACTTCAAGTACTGCAAGTAGGGAAACGCACGGGTACGGGTACCCGGTGTAGGATCCGGATAGTCATGCCCTTGAGCATACCGTGACCCTTTACCGCGGGTATGGCTTACCGAATTAGGAAGCCATTGAACACAGCTAATGATAATTCTCCGTGCCGCCTCACTCGGAGTGCTCGAGGATCACAACTGAATATTATTTGAATGCTATACCGATTTCCGTCATGTCTTTAGCGCTCCTGTGAATCACTCTCGAGCTGATACTTTGCTACAAAGAAGCTTGGGTCACTACCACATAGCCAAGGCAAAAACAGTAAGTCCACCAAACCGTCTCCCCATGAAAACCAAGCTCACAAAGAAGGCATCTGATGCATCGTCTACCTAGATACACTCATCATCTAAGTCTATCTCGTCGTCCATCTCTGAGAAAGCCAGGTCACTCAAAAAGGCCGTTGCAAAGGGTGCTAAGGCTCTGGCCTGCCCCTTGAAGAACGTCAAGCAGTCATTTGCGTCTCGGTCTGCTCGATTGAAACCCGCAGACACCGTTGATCTCACACGATCAAGTACTGATTCGCTGGCCAGTGATGACGACACAGCAACGGCAGGAGCATCCGATCTGGACGAGTTCACTTCGATTACAACTGTGAAGACCAAGGACCCACTTGCATGGTGACAAAACGACTGCCGTACTTATCCAACATTGCATCGGATGGAATTAGACTATCTCTCCGTCCCAGGTACTGCCATCTTCGAATCCTCTTTCAATCAATCAGTACTTATGATCTCGCTCAGCAATATCAACTGCGGTCGAACGTGTCTTCTCGCAGGGCCGGTAGCTCCTTCACTCTACTCGCAACCGACTCGCACCATCAACAATTTGTGCTTTTCTCTGCCTCGGAGCCTGGGGTAGAAATGATCTTCTGGCGATGGAAGTCCTTTTAGCATCTGTAAGGCGTCAAAAACGGAGTCGAAGCTGAGGCGGACGACGAAGAAAGGTACTAGCAACACTTATTTGATTGTTGTTAAGATACACTTTTATTAGTAATGTACCCGCGGTGTTTCATTAACCGCGGTGTTGACGGGTTAGTGTGTACCCGTACCCGTGGAGGGTACGGTGTTGGCAGGTGCGGGTACGGTGTCAGCTTTCCGACCCGCGGTGTTACCCGCGCGGAACATAACTGCAAGTGGAAGGACAAATCCAAAGTAAGTTCGAGCTGCTTAGCAACCTCTGTATGGAAGTAATTTGGTCGTATGCATGTGAGCGTGGCGGCGTCGTGTTGGCTTGCCGTCAGCAACATTCTTAAGGTGGATATGATAGCGGATGATAGCGAAGGTTAGCGCAAACCTGGCAAGTGTCTTGAATATACCGACAGAGAGATTGCAGCGCTTGGTATGTGACTGAGGGCGCCGGCCTCCAGACTCAGGGTCATTGTAGAGAGTTTACATATGATCATACACCGAACCAATACTGTGTACGTCGTACCATACGGTGATTGTACATCCCGGTTCTGTTCTTCGAAGTTCTGCCACATTCTGCCCAGGAGGTTCTGCCATTTGCCTAGTGTGGCCTGCCATGTGGCGGAGTTCTGCTCACAGCAACTAGCTGTAAGAAAGTATCACGGTCACATGGACGGTCTCCCGGGTGGCATTATAAGTATCAAGGTCGACTTCTCGAGCATCGTTCTTCGTTCCGAGTCACTTCTGAGCTACACGCAGGATGAGCTTTATGTCCAACTCATCAAAATTTTGGCCAGTTGAATATGATGACCTTCACTTTAGATTTAACTGTAAGTCTCTGGTCTCCTTTGTCCATGTTCTTAGAGTTCATTCCCGCACATTGGCAGTGGCATCTACAGCGATCATCTTCTACGACTACGGTATCTGACCTCATTTATATCGCAAGTTGGTGCAAGCATGCTCAATTGTGGTCTGTCAGGTCTTGTCTTCACTCGTGAAGTATGTTCTGTGATCTTTCGAAAACTGTTACTTCCACCATTTTACTTTCATTCTAGGTGGAACTGATATGGGTGAGGAATTTAGGCCAATGTACTTATTGCCTAATTTATACTAAGGCTCCGTAGCGCCAACGTTGGAAACTAACAACAGTTCTATATATCATTGTATGTCACCCTCTGAAAACATTGTGCTACGTAGCCTGACGATATTGTATAGGCACGTTACTTGGGTCTTGCAATTGCAATGTAAGTTTAAAATGGAGGGCGTGGATCTGTTAACTGAAGAAGGGTTTCAGAGTTCAGATATGTATGTATCTTCCTGCAGAATTCTGCTCTTAAACTAACCACTCATGTTTCGATTTGTGGTAGGGGGAGCGCCGGGCATCTTGTTGAGCGATACGGTGAAGCCTCTTGACTTACTTGCAGGTATACAGCACTGACTGACTGGTACAATACAGGAGCACGTCCCACTAGCTACTAACTTGCTGCAGTTCATTTACTGATGTCAGTTCTAGGTGTGAGTTTAGTATGAGCTACATGTGTGCGGCAAACCTTTTAACTTGTGATAGGTGGCATTGTTGACCAATCGTGGTCATGGGGAATGGTTGCCCTCGCGTGTACGATGTATGGTCCGTTCCATGATTAAATGAATGTGGGCTATAATTAATGTCTCGAAAACAACTGTAGCGATCATGTCAATTCGTGTTTTCGCCATGTATGGCCGATCGAGGCGGATGCGAATATTCCTGATTATCTGTTTTCTCGCCGCTAGCGCCTTCCGAGGATTAACGGATGGCCTAGCACTCGTCCTTGCTATGGGCCCAACATGCAAGTCTGCTGATTCTGTGACAATCACTCGCTCATGAATCGTTGATGTTTAGCTGAAGAATATGTACTTTCTGGGACGGGAGTCTGCACTACGTCCATATCCCCCATGGTGCCCTTTCTTGACGGCATCCCAAGTCTATGCATCGAGCTTCTATTTCTCGTCCTTGCCGCACGGGTCCTCGTGGAGCATTCTCGTGAAATGCAGAGAGTACGTTCAAGCTATAGATTTGGTGATGGTCATGGCGACAGTCTTGCCATTCTTAGGGACCATGTACTGCATTTTTCGTGGTGAGTGAATGCATTTTCTTGCCTTTCGATTACATATGAAACATTCTTACCATTATTTTCAGCTATGTCATACTGAGCATCATGCAAGTTGCTGCTATATCCACGAAAGTAAGCATTTTCCTGCTGATACTCTCATCGATGACCATAACATGATGAACCACAGAGTGGTACCGGTGGGAGCCGGTGGTATGGAAGCACTGTAATATCGCTCGTCACCATCCAGCAATGTGTCCTGGTCCCTCGACTGGTTATCAGTACTCGAGAATATTTCTCTCGGGTCGATTATGAATTGGACAGTGTCACAGATCTCGGCCTTATGGAATTCAACACATATAACTCCGATGTAAATACGTCGGCTTGATTCACGATACCACCATCCAATTGGGTGTGCACGAACATAGATGATAAACGGCAGCAGAGCAGGTCCAAATAATGGTGTCAATGGAGCAACTTACAATATGCAGGAGCACCGTCTGGTCCTCCAGGGGAGGTGAACCACGCTGAATGGATGGATAATACCTAAATGTTGATACACCGAACCCCTGTGACTCGGGAATCAAGCTCGGAACGATAGTGCGGCAGCATGTAGCCGGAGTCTTCGTACCGTTGATCACAAAGCATTGGTAGTAAATTTTCTTCAATATTTCATAGCATCAAGTTCGTCCACTTTGGTTGAGGGAAGGAGGTTCTCGTATGATAACAATGATCACAAGTTGGACTAGCAAAGAGGAAGAAGCCCAGTCTTTGATTGAAGGACTAAGTGAAGTGATTCCGAATACAAGGACGTTGTCAAGAAGGAAAATGATACACGAAGGAATAGTTGTATATGTATAATGAAGCGCGTACAGAGAACACGTCGTGATATAAGACACCCTATAGTACGAAGAACCAAAGGACAATATTGAGTAGAAGTCAAGAAAAGGTCGTCCGTAGAGACAATAAATATGTTTTTATGTATATAAAGATCAACCTGCCATTAAACTGTGGAGAGCTGTAGACGGTTCCAGTCGCATAACGATAATATGGTCCATGCACCCTGGGTTTAGTAGATACCAGGTATCAGCCGGTACCTGACTGCCTTCGCCCACTTTTCCCACTCGCCTCTGAAAGTTGATTTCAGAACTTGGTCCTCTTGGCTGACCCTGAACACAACGCTTATCATAAGAAGAGTGATCTCCACCAGCCATGCTACCACGATCACTTTCAGTCCAGGGACATCCAAAACCCCTGAACGTCTAAGCCATGAATCAGTTGATCCGTGCAGGATCAATATGCCGATGACCTCCATCATGCCGGCTGTATAGGCTGGATGACGTATGACTGCGTATGGTCCGGTCGTTACAATGTGTTGCCCTTCGCGAATACTGAGCTGGAAAGTGAAAAAACGACCAAGGGTACGATAACACCACCAGCGGATAAGACCACCCGTGACAGCGAGGGCAGTACCGAAAATGAAAAGGAAACTAATAGGTGTGTCACGTATTATGGAAATAGAGTTGGGGTCTGTTGAATGATAGATAATGATAGCGATTTCTGCGAAAGAAACAGCCCAATAAAATGCCTGGTGCATGGTTCTATGAGACGTTTATGGGCAGGCGACAGAACTCGCCTTTATGGTCGGAAACCCATATTTAACGAGCCGAGTGAAGATCCACTCGTTGAACGTTTGACGAATAACCTCTTTACTCGAAGGGACATTTTCGGTCGTGAACGATACGTGCAGCGCGATAGCAGACGAGAGGATAAGTGGAACTTTGAGAAGGGACTCCATGATCATGAAGAGCACTTGAACTTTTCAACGAGTGCTTTTATACATGAATTCCTCGCTGATGCTGTACACTATCTGATAGTCATGTTGTCATAATGCGGAAGTCGGCATTAGCGAAACAGGGTGTAGGAGTGATTATGTCGTTGGTTTTGCGTTCTGTTGAATTCAGCTCCGTGGTACGCGTGCTAGGCCAGGCCAGATCACGATGGATCCCGGGCTCCACGCAGCGGATAATCCTAGCTTTTGGGCCAAGACTGTTTCGAGGAAAAGGGGTGGGACAGTGTTGTTAGTTTTGCAATCATTACGCTCGATAGTCCGCTTGCACGCACGGTGAGGTACATGTACATTCCATACAGCCGTGACAATCCCCGACTAGTAGAGACAGTTTAAAATTTGAAATTAGGGCTACCAATCACGAGTAGTCATCTGACTGTTTATCCGGCGGGAAAGGTCTCGAGCACTGTGCTTCACTTCTGGCAAATTGATCTTGTTGAAATGTTGACGCGTACGGAAATCGTTTCCTGATGCCATAAACAATATGGTGTCAAGGTGAACAATGTTTCTCCACAAATTTCTGGGTGGGCAAAAATGGGTTCCGATTCGTACTGCTAAGAGACTAATATAAACGCACCTGCAGCCTCTCACGAGCAGCACCAAACGTTGATTCCTCCATCTTGTTGCCGTCCTTGAATGCGATGAACGTAGGATACTGGACAGCCAGTAGTTAGCGTAAGGTGATTGTTGTGTGCAAAGATATCCGATATTTACGCTCGTTATGCCACCAACTTCGAAGCTGACATCGTCGAGTTTCTCGGCATTGATGACGTAAAATTCGATCTTGTCCGACGAGAACTTGCTTGCGAGCTCATCAAAGGTGGGGGCGATGGCTTTGCAATGAGGGCAACTTTCGGACACGAAGTCTACGATGACTGTCTTCCCTTCTTCCATCATCTGTGGGCTCAAGTGTGATTTTCGTGCTATATCACTGGCTATGAAGTGCCTACGATGGAAATGAACTGGCCATGAGATGTGATCGGTTTGACAGACATGGTGAGCAGGGTATTGCAAGGACTTGAACGGCACACTGCTGCTTGTGACTGATGATTGACAAAGATAATTAGTTTGTGGTTGGCTACATGACCAGTCCGTGGAACTTTTTGGGAGTTCAACCTCAATTCCCGATGCTGGCCGAATTCCCGAGCTGGAAGGTCTTAACGTCGACCACATCTTGCAGGTCACCGCCTAACATTATTTGAAGGATGCTAATCTCTCCTCCCAGGTATGCGTTCCAACACAATGGCTATCTATTGCATTACTTGCGCCTCTTCAAATCATACCGCACCTAGGCCCATCTGAAATATCGAGTTTCCACTTGTTCCCACAGCGCCGCTTGCATCAAGAATAGTATTGTGTTTTGAAATCTTTTCTGAAAACATCTTCATTTCCGTCAACGACGTGGCATGTACATTTCAAGGGGCTCTGTGTCTATGACGAGAGATAACCCAAAGCCTCCCTCCACCAACTATGCAGAATCGCTGTGGCCAAACTCCTCTGGACGCTCATAACATACCAGCCCACTGGCCCTCCTCACTTCAATAAATTGGCACAGGCCCTCCTTTATCAACGCAGGATACCCTTCCCTCTCTTCCGGTAACACGGAGTCATTAGCTCCACAAATAAACAGAGCAGGCACAAGTAGCGTGCTGAGGATATGTTCCGCATCATATCCACTGTCGCCATATCACGCGCTCTCGATTACAGCACTTGCCAACTTTTCCATCCCTTGCGCACCCTCTTGTGCGGTCATCTCCTTCACGCACAGCCATTCCGGCCTGTCGCGTGCATCAGCTGTGAACCACCTAGCAACAGTTTTATCGGTCACTAAACTGATGTGTTTCTCCGTGTCGTGGTTGAGGTAAATGTGGTGTGACCATTCGTGCTCGACGGCTTCTCGCGACTTTGACCAATACTTGAAGCCAGCACCAACGAAAGACGAGACAATTCTGGGGATTGTGCGCAAGGAAATGAAGGGCGATGTGAGTGCCTAGGCCAAGGCTGCTCTAGGTCACAATCGGAGAGCAGCATGTGACGTTTGAAACATTGACGTGTCAACACTACCACGGTCGGATCCCAAATGTGAGGCTTCAATTGAAGGTTGACAAATGCACCGTTGATGAATCTGAGGACGGTGCTAGATATTTATTTCGTTATTCCCCTCTTAGCGATAGTGGAGGTAGTTCCGTCATTCGAAAGTGATATATCGATCAAGAACATACCATCACATTTGGAGCCAGTAACTTTCTTCAGGAAGTGTCCAAAATTATTCTTGTCAGCTGGCACAAGTCTGTCATTGCATATGGCGATGATTTGTTATCCCACCGTTCGGACATTATCCTGTACATAATGACGGGGTCATATGCTGCCCGAAACGATATCATCGATAGCTTCTGGTGAATGGTTGATCCTAATCTCCCCTAGATAGCCCTTTACAGACGATGGAAGACAGTCGTTCCTAAAGGGTTGATGTAGTGTCAGGGGCAGAAATATTTTAGGGCGAGTTCTGCCAAAAAAAATGGCAGAACGGCAATTGGCAGAATGGCAAAAATCGGCAGAAATGTTTCTAGAGTGGTTCAAGATGACGGCAAAAATGATCTAAGCTATTGCATGGATGCTACACCCTCTGATGACAATAGTGTGTTGATGTGCCAGGCTGCATCAGCAAAACCCTAACCCTATGTGCAGTGCTGCACACTACACAATTTCTCAATAAAACATAATTATTAGCACACCATCTTGTTATATACATGTTTATGACTACATTACACTCATTTTTACATAGAATCAATACTTGTGTGGTGCTGCAGAGCCTTTACAACAAAATCTATGTGACCTGTGACAAGCTGTTTGGCTGTGGCACTGTACCCAAATCAGGGTTTTGCTGATCAGTGCCTCCATGCCTTGTGACCCATGGCCAACCACATCAATTTCCTCGATAAATCCTGCAGGTGTGATTCCTTTATCAACCTTCTCCAGCTTGTTCCAATCAATAACACCTTCATCAAAAATATCTAGGACTTCACAAGTACCTTCAAGTTCTTGCAAGCCATGGTGTGAATCCAGCATCTCATTTTCAAACCTGCTGAATTCTTTGAGCAGCTCTTCATCCGTTATTGACTCTGGGCCTGCAAGAAATTCATTGTCTGAGTTGTGAGAGTCACCAGTGAGTGGAGGCACCCATGTGAAAGACCTTTGAAATTTGTTTGCTAAGGCTATGTCAAGTCCATACTCTGGTTGAGTGTGCATATGGGCATGTTTGCAACATGTTGGCTTGCTGGCTTCATGATCCACCTTGTGCAAGAAATTTGCATAGCTTGTTTGGAGTTTGCTAAGAGACTCGAAAGTCTGAACTGATAGGTTACAGCACTTCACAGATTGTGCCCCACCCAGGCCTGAGAAGTACTAATGCTCAACATTGGCAGCATGAGGTATGATTAAGTGGATTATGATTGTGAATGCCTTCAATGGACAGCACTCAGCACTGACTGGGAGGGTTTCCCACCAATTGAGTGCATCAGCTTGCCCAACAGTAGTTGCATTCATAAAAATAATGATTGGATGAATTTGGGACTTTTTGCTGTTGGACAAAGTGGTTGGTGATGACTTTTTGAGTGGGCCCTTGGACTTTTTTGATGACATTCTGGTGTGCAGAGAGGCTCAGATACACTTTTTTGAATGTTGATCATATGCTATGGTGCCGCCACATCAGGAAAACATCGGAGTGCTTTTTTTGCCTTATTCTACTTAGTAAACTGCATAAGGAGGAAAAGGAGACTTAAGTGTGGCAAGGAGACTTAAGGAATACAAGAACATATAATCCCTTGTAATAAGCAGATACAAGGAGAAAAAAGGAGAGATTTTTTATTTAAGTCTAAGTAAGATTAAGGAGGCATGTCTCTAGTCACATGAGGTAAACTACAGTGCTGCATCACAAAAACAGTGGGTGAAACAAACACGAACTTCTTGTGTTTCGATGGTGGTTGTACTGGTGCAGGTTCATGTTCTGGAATACTGGGTGATGATGGTGATATAGCAGTATAATCCTCCATACCTGGTGGCAATGCTGTTAAAATGGTGAGGGAGGGGGGGGTCATTAAACTAAGCTCACCATCACCAAACAGCAGGCGAAGCGAACACAAACTTCTTGTGTTTCAATGGCGGTTGTACTGGTGCAGGTTCATGTTTTGGAATACCGGGTGATGGTGGTGATATAGCAGTACAATCCTCCATACCTGGTGGCAATGCCATTAAAATGGTGAGGGAGGGGGGGGGTCATATCAAGCTCACCATCACCAAACAGCAGGTGAAGCAAATATGAACTTCTTGCGTTTCGATGGTGGTCATACCAGTGCAGGTTTGTGTTTTGGAATACCAGGCAATGACGGTGCTGGTACAATATGGCTGGACAATCCTCTGGATATGTTAGTGGTGTCATTGAGAGATGGATGGAGACCTTGGCCCAGGTGATGATGCTACAGGGTGTAGATAGTCTAAGTCAGTGATCACACTGTGAAGGGGAGGACTGAGATGATGACAATCTTGCCTGGATATGTTAGCAGTGTCATCAAGAGATGGATGGAGACCTTGGCCAAGGTAATGATGTTGCAGGGTGTAGATATTCCTAGTCAGTGATCACACTGCGAAGGGGAAAACTGAGATGATGACAAACTTGCCTGGATATGTTAGCAGCGTCATTGAGAGATGAATGGAGACCTTGGCCCAGGTAATGATGGATATGTTAGCAGTGTCATTGAGAGATGAATGGAGACCTTGGCCCAGGTAATGATGGATATGTTAGTGGTGTCATTGAGAGATGGATGGAGACCTTGGCCCAGGTAATGATGCTGCAGGGTGTAGATATTCCTAGTCAGTGATCACACTGCAAAGGGGAGGACAGAGATGATGACAAACTTACCTGTCACGCTACTTCAAATGCATGATGGTCAGCATACTTGTTGACATAGAAGGCATGAAACATGTTGTAGCTGTCATGAGGGCCAATTTCATGAGGCAGGAAATTGGCACCATAGAGAGGGATAAGATGAGCTGCACAGAAAATACAATCAATATGGATGATCGAAATATCTGGTGTGCCATCATCATGGCTTGATGATGTGATGAGGTACATTCCAGTGTCAGGATCCCAACTGTCTGTGATGTATGCGAACCAGTGAACAACTGCACATCACAAGTATTTTGTCTGGTATTTGAAACCGAGAAAGTGCAATACTCTCACAATGGCAAGTCCATCCAAGCCACAATTGACCTTGTCATTCATACTGACAAAGATGCAGTCATTTCGAGCAGGACCCCCTTGCCATGAAGTTGTTGCCTGAATATGCTTGCGCTGCATGCCCCCAGTGCCACTGAGATCACTGGGGGCATAGAATGATGCTGCTGCTGAGCTAAAAACAAAAACCCTGCCCATGAAAGCTGGTGCTGTTGCAGGGTCGAACTTGGGGGGCTCATGGTCTGTGATATGAAGTTGGTTGTGGAGAAATTGTTGGATCATTGTAGGGAAGTTTGGAAGCTTGAGGTCATGCATGAGTGCAGAGACATCATGTGCACCACCCAACACTAGGGAGCCTCAGCAAACAAATTGTGTGACCTAAAGATGAGACTTACTGGGCATCACTGCAAGTTCCACATGAGCTTGGACGGTAGGTCCATCGATGACATTGGCTGCATCTCCCTCGGCAGTCTGGTTTTGCAGTTCATTGACACACAGATGGTTCAGATGTGCTTGGGGTGCATCATCATTTTCATTGTCATTGTTGTTGTCACCATCATCGTAGTCATCCAGTGACTTGTGATTACCTGTACTACCAGTTAGATACTTAAAAAGCCTGTATTACAACAAAGACTTATGATTTCTCAGTGCTTGCAAAGTGTCAGATATACATGAGCCTCGAAGCATACCACAAGCGTCAAAGTCGCTTTGTGCTGCAGCGATTTTATTGAGGTGTTGATTTGTGAGGAGCATCTGGCCTAATGCTTTGTATCTGTTGGAGTGATGCCAGGGCTCCTTAACAGCCTTGATGTGCTTCGACTCTGTTATTGATGAACAAAGGCTGTTCAGGGCACCATAGAGCCGGATCATGAGGGAATAGTGGTTTAGGGAGTGTTGACGCAGAAATGAGAAGCCCAGTACAACTCCCATTGTCTTGAATATTTTGTGGTACTGGTGAAACCAATCGAGCACATCTTGAAGCTGGATGAGGTCATCCTCTGTGATCATGTCTTGCCGGACTATATAGCAGAAGTCGAGGAATGCACTAAATGTGTGAACTACATCTTGAGGAACATGGCCTTTGATGGCAGGCAGATAGACCTAGATAGAAGTAGCATTAACTTGTGCATTATAATAAAAATTAGACATGACTCACCTTCATCAGAGCCTTGGAATCATCACCTGTCCACTGCTTGAAACTGTGCTGTCTTGCTAGGATGTGAAAGGCAGAAAAGTCACCAAATTCACTATCCTTCTACAGTCAACAGTTCAGACAAATACCAACAGTTGATAATGTAGTCATTCGTGAGGGACAAGGTTTTCTGTTGAACTTTTCAAGTGAATGCTAGTGACGTAAAATGGGCAAAGAAGTGTGGAAATCAATAACTGGCTTGAGGCAGTGCTATGATCTCAAGTAAAGTCAGTAACTGGCATGATGCAGTGCTATGACCTTCAGAATAATATGTTGCAGCTGTATGCAATGACTAGAGCTATAATATATCCCTGTGGATATTTCTTACTTATCTTCAGCAATGGAGATCAAATTCACTAGCAAAATTGTCCCAATATGTGGCCTCGAAACCAACTCTCTGCTGCTCAGGCACTCACTATGAGTATGATGCAGTCCAGAACAGAGTACACCCTTTGATGTAGTCTTAAGTGGCCAAGCTCTTAATATTCATTGACAGATTGTAGGTCTTATTTGTCTTCCCTAATTGATGAATAATATGTGTGATTCTCCCCACAGAACTTTTCCTGTGTCTAAAAGAGAACTAGAATGAATACTACTTGTGTAATCAAATATGGCTCAAGTGTGTGGCCTCAAATACTTCTGAATAATGTGTGAAGAATGTGGTAAAAGAATGGAGTAAATAAGCTAATATTTCTCCTAGTTGTCACTTATTTGTTCACTTAGATAATAGGGGTAAAGAAACTTAGGGGTGTATGCACTGATCCCCCTTTGATTCCCCTAAACTTTGTCTCACTCTGATTGGATGATTGATACCTGGTAATGAAATTGATTTCTTCACAAGAGGGGGAAATGAGCCCCTTATATACTACTATACTAGTGGCTATGCTATTTGATTACTAATGTACTTAAATTAAATTGGAGTCATATTGAGTCATGCTGAGTCAGTATGAATCATTATGAGAAAGGACTATAGAATGCTCTGGAATTTTACAGAATACTTGGTAAGAATGCTTGGCAAAGGCTGTGTTAAGACCATAACACTGCCATGCTTTGTAATAATGCTTGGTAAGGGCTGTGTTAGCACTGCCTTGTTGTTGTGCTTTACCAATCATCATCTTTCTAATCATAGTATCAATTTGTCAGGTTCCACAGCTTTGGATACATAGATACAAATAAAGTGGCATAAAATGTTGACACATGTTTATTTCATATACAAGAAAGATAAGTATTTTACATGGACAGCTAAGCCATTTCTTGGTGAAACATGCTTTGAAATGTCCAAATAAAATTAATGTTGTGAGAAAAATTCAAGTGACTTCATAGTTTGAAAAAATAAAGTGGCATAAATCATAATATGGTCATGACCATGTATGAAACAAGTTTCGTGCATGTCAGTGCCCTTCTGGAAAGTGCCATAAACCAGCAAAAGGGGCGACTGCTGCTATCCTGTTGGAGTACCTTGAGTATAATAGTGATTTGTTTTTTTAAAAAAAAGACACATACAGTGGCTCAAAAAACTGTCTGCATGTTTTGACATTTTTCACTATCTATGATATTGTGTGAGAACAAACAAATGCCTCAAGGACATGCTTATACCACATTGTAGTATGGCTTCAGGGCTTTCATTTGAGCCCTACACCGTGGGAATCGGTAGAGATATGGTGGAGATACAAGGCTCACAAAATGGTGACTCATGCGGACAGTTTTTTGAGCACATATTAAAACTATATAAATCATCATTTATGACACCATAACAATCATGCCACCATTAAATAAATTATGAAGTGGTGTCATTATGTCATTTTAAAACCATATCTAACTATACAAACCAAAAATTTCCATATGTCATGGTTATATTCACCATGAAAGCCACCCCCCCTGCTCAAAGGGATAATATCCTCTCTCTTTCCTATTCTGGCCTCTCTGCTTGTCAAATTTCCTCTAGAACTGGAGTATGCAAGTCCACTGTGGCCAAGTTCATCAAAGAAAGTCACACAGACAAGGAAAACTTCTGTGAAGGGCATCCATCCAAGCTCACCTCTACTGATAGGAGGGCTATTATCCAACATATCACTACAGGAAAGGCTGATAATGCTGTCCAGGTCACCTATTACATCAATTCCACCATCACATTCCCTGTCTTTTCACACACTGTGAGAAACATTCTCAAGACAGCTCATCTCAGGTCAGTAACAAGGAAGAGAAGGCTCTCCTCTCTATCACACATATGCAGAGAGGACTAGCACCCTTCTTTTTTCACATATATACCTTGCTATCTGACCCAATCCTATTTATTGTGGTCTTATATGATCATATAACATGCTTCCAGTCTATGTAATCCAATTCTGATGGGCTAAGGCAAAGGTTAGTCATCTCTGTTTATGTGTGATAGAGAGGAAAGCCTTTTCTTCCTTGTTACTGACCTGAGATGAGCTGTCTTGAGAATGTTTCTCACAGTGTGTGAAAAGACAGGGAATGTGATGGTGGAATTGATGTAATAGGTGACCTGGACAGCATTATCAGCCTTTCCTGTAGTGATATGTTGGATAATAGCCCTCCTATCAGTAGAGGTGAGCTTGGATGGATGCCCTTCACAGAAGTTTTCCTTGTCTGTGTGACTTTCTTTGATGAACTTGGCCACAGTGGACTTGCATACTCCAGTTCTAGAGGAAATTTGACAAGCAGAGAGGCCAGAATAGGAAAGAGAGAGGATATTATCCCTTTGAGCAGGGGGGGTGGCTTTCATGGTGAATATAACCATGACATATGGAAATTTTTGGTTTGTATAGTTAGATATGGTTTTAAAATGACATAATGACACCACTTCATAATTTATTTAATGGTGGCATGATTGTTATGGTGTCATAAATGATGATTTATATAGTTTTAATATGTGCTCAAAAAACTGTCCGCATGAGTCACCATTTTGTGAGCCTTGTATCTCCACCATATCTCTACCGATTCCCACGGTGTAGGGCTCAAATGAAAGCCCTGAAGCCATACTACAATGTGGTATAAGCATGTCCTTGAGGCATTTGTTTGTTCTCACACAATATCATAGATAGTGAAAAATGTCAAAACATGCAGACAGTTTTTTGAGCCACTGTACCTTCAATCAATGTCATCGATGATCTCTGCTGCATGTGAAGCCCTGTGTGTGAGCAACAGGTAATCCTCCACCCAGTCAACAAGGTGATCCTTGAACGTCCCTTTGATGATTTGGTGCAGGAGGTCTGGCAAGAGTAGTTCGTGGATATCCACTTGAGGAAAGTCATTTATGAAAGGCTGAAAAAAATATGAGTAGTTGGTGAGCATGAGAACTGAACAACATACCATAACCTCTTGGATGATACCATAGTCATACCAGAGGTTGGCATGCTTGAGCTCTTGAATGAGGAGGTTGGTGTGTTCTCTGCACCAGAGCAAAGATGGCCCATCACCTTTGAGATTCCTGCGATGATTCAAACACCTTAAACAGTGTGAGTGTAAGTCAATAAATATGAAGAAAAAGATGTACTTTGGACACCAATTCTGAACAACTCCTAAAAGCACCAGCTGCTCTGGATAATTGGCGATGTACAGGCCTAACCCATATATGACATGCCAATAATGGCTGTCAGGACAGTGCACAACATTGGGGATTGTCATATTTGGCTTCACAGAATCAAATATCTTGGTGAGTGAGGAGTGAAATATTTGACAGTGTAAATTGCAAAAGTCTTTGTCTTCAAGATGTTCCTTTGTGCCTAGAGTACAAATAATGAAAATCAGTAATTGAAACAGTGTATCAAGGCATTGACTCACTTTTCGGAATAGCCAAGCCTACCAGCACCACACCATTGTGATGTGTGCGTTGAACTCCATTGAAAATGTTTCCAATTGAGAGATAGAGTGGATGGTACTCAGTGTGTCCTGTGGCCACTGAGACTGTAGTCTTGTTGCTCCCAACAATTGGAGGCACAAATGCTGATCCGTGGGTTTCCGGATCCTCTGCGATAATGTCCTGTAAAGTGATGTACTATTAGTTGGAAAGGTAAGCTCAACACAAAGCTCAACATATGGCTTGCTTCCAAGCCCAATCACCTGAGAAAAAGTTCTTATAACAGCATTTATCCTCATTAGTATAGTCCTGATATGGGACATATTTGATTTCCATGGTGAAGTCAGGGTTTGAAAGCATGTGGTGAACAAGTAGATGTGGATCACAGAACCACATGTTGTACTTGGCAGCCATCTGTGGTGGAACATTATTGGCCGGTTTTTCTCCATTGTAGGACATTGAGAAAGTCTCCCAAGTAACATTGCCAAGAGGAGTCGAATCAATGGTTTCATATAGGTCCCAGTGGCCAGTGAATGGAGGACTGTCCTGATGTTTGATAAGTGTTGCTGCCCAGAGGTCAAGCAGGGTGTTGATCTGACCTGTGGACATTTGGTTATGTGTATAGAGGAATTCTGCTGCATCAAATGCAATGTGACTTTCATAAGGGGTCCAGTCAGTGGATGATGCTTTGGTTCAGGGTGGTGGGGGTGCATTTTGGTCAATGAAGTTGCCATGAACATCACACTTGTGTCCTGTACTATGAGTTAGATCTGAATGAATGAATGAATGATGTGAATTAGTTACCTGTGAGATGAGGATGGAATGTTCAGAATAGCAGCCCCAACTGCACACCCTGTGCTGGCATAAAGGCTTCATTTTCTAGACCACCTCCCACATCCTCAAAGTTGTCATGCCTGGGACTTGGAGGCCAATCATCGAAGGTGGTGTGGATAACACAACTTGGCTAGATAGTTGTTAGAATACCTAGCCAATATATGTCTACTAGTCCTGCCTAGCTGCTACACTTGCAAGCAAGAACATTCAACCTAAGGGATCTGCTGTTTAATAATCAGTACTATGCAAAGGGTCAACAGTCTGAAGGTCAGAGATCAAGTCCAAAGGTATGGGACGAAGTCCAATGCACAGGAAATTAGGTCTGCAGGTGTGGAGATGCAGAGATGGCAGGAGAGTAAGGGAAAGGGAGGAAATGCATCAGGACTAGCTTGGAGATGCTAGGGAACATCAGATGAATGAGTGACACTCATATCAGGTCAAGGAGAGCAGGTAAACAGGTATATTGGCAAGGGTAACTCTAAGGACAGGTATGGGGTGACCAGTATTGGGGATTTCTCCCTCCTACTAAGTGGTGCTTGTAATTCTGGTCACCCAACCCTATATAACTAGCTACGTGAAAATCTGGAGTCCATAGGTGAAAGCAGTAGCAAAAATGCAGGTCTGATGATATGTAGGTAAAAGGCCATGAGGTACTGCAGCCAGTGGTAATCCATGTAATAATGCTGTCTACTCAATCAGTAATGGGAAATAACTAACTATGCACCAGTGGGGTTAAGCAGGACTGGACTGGACATGGTAGGATGAGTGTGCAGGATCTCCAAGTGGGTCCAATGCATCGGAGATGTGGAGATGGCAGGAAAATGTCAGAGATTGGTAGGAGATGTGCGGACTGGCTAGGGATTGCAGAATGGGGTCCTAGCAGGCCAGCCTGAACATGATCGTCACAGTGGGATTCTCAGGACTTGGAGAGTGAGACCTGGGAGCTTCTTGATGGAAAATTGGATGATTGCACAATGGCTTTGGGTGTGCTGAGCATACATGCTTTGTTTGACCCAATTTATTCTTGAAGACCTGTTTGCATCCAGGAATGCAACAAGGCAACCATGCCATTTTCACTAGAAACAGAAAATGTGATTGTTTGAGGCGAAGTCCAACACTCAAGGTAGTGGCACACTGTGTGAACTTGTTTAATTCGGGTCAGATTGAGTTGACAGAAACCAGGGCTCACCCTGAACTGTTGAACTTTAGTACAAATCATTGCCAACACCTTAGTCAGTTGTGTTTTCTTGAGTGGTTCAATTACCTGTGTTGTACATTTTCCTCCCTTCATTTCCCCAAACCTCAATTCCTCATGTCTCATCCACAAATGCATCCCAGCAATATACACAAGCATCCTGGAAATATTGTCTGGGAAGTGAACCGAGTGCAGTGGCAGTTGAAAGAAGAAGTTGCTGCTGAAAAAACCTGTAAGCAAGCTGAGAAGGATGCTCATGCTGCAGCAGTAGATAAATCACATACAACAATTGCTGCGGCTGAAGATGCTATGGCCATCCAGCAGAAGGCTCAGGTGAAGGGCCCTCCCAAACTTGTTCAGCCACACATGGTCACCAGCAAAAAGAGCACCAATCTGGCAAATGTGGATGCACAACCTGCAGTTATAGGTGAGTCATGACCCAGCACTTGAATGACTCACCTAATCAATCGATTGATGCCTGTATAACAGTTCAATCAACTGCAGCTCCTGAGGATGACAGTCAGGCTAGTCAACCAGTAAAGAAGAAGTGAGCTGGCTTGAAGTTAAACTTTCAGGACAGCATGAACACCAATTGCAAGGTGTCCAATGGTGGAGTCACAATCACCACTGGTGACAGTGACACATGTGTTGGAAGTACAATTGGCAATGGGAAAATCAAGACATTGTAAGTTTCTGTTCAACCACAATGCTGATTCTATCAGAACTCACACTATATTACTTTGATTACATCTGTGCAAACCAAATCAGCACCAATCCCAAGCAGGTGGTAAGTTCCAACCTTGAAGGGCCCATTCCCAACTGGGTGGACAAGGTTGTGTTGCAAACTCAGCTGAAGCCAAGCACACCACCAAGTGCATGAACCTCTGTCAGGGCAGGACAACTTGCAGAGTCTGATGTGGATCTTTATGACAAACCTAAAGAGTACAGTGAGCTGGCACCAAAATCATATAGGGGAAAGGTGAGTAGCAATTTGAGTTGTGAATATGTACTCACCAAAGTCAGAACATTGTGCATGTAAATGAGACACTGAAGTCCAGCTTGAGAGGCAAGAAGCACTCACTCCCAAATGCAGAGTCTTCTGCAGATGAACTTGAGGCCCTAAACACCACAGAAGAACTTGAGATCCTCAAGGACCCAGAGGCTGCTGAAGAATTTGAGATGGTTGAGAACAGGGAGTCTGCTGAAGAGGGCAATGAGAGTGATACAGCAATGATGGTGGATCTTGATCAATCCACCATCAACACTCAGGCTAGTGTGGCATGACACACAAGCTCTGTAAGTCATTGGTTGATCATGATGCATGAAAGGACTGATACCTGGATAGATGTTAGTTGATGTCTCAGAGCTGAAGACCACAACAAAACAGGGCAAGACCAAGGTCAAGGCCGAGGCCAAGACTGAGGTCAAGGCCAAGGTCAAGACCAATGTTGTAGCCACGGAAAAGATTCATGCAAAGATCAAGAAAGGAAAGGGGAAAAATGAGGACTTACCCAGTGGAGTCTTCGAGAATGGATTATGGTGCATGAGGTTCCTTCTCTGTCTGATGTTTTGGATCAGTAACAGCAACTTTGGGTGGACCATACCAGAAACCAAACTCAAGTCTGTTCTTGAGCAAATATATTATGCGGTGTAGAGACTCGCGCCTCTGTATGCCTGTAGAGCCCAATATTGCAATGTATCTGCATGCAGTTCACAGCACAAACTCACGGCATCATTCCCTATATCATTCCTTCACTCAGCCTATACATGCGCGATCTTCCCACGCAGTGTGTATGCTACTCTCCCACGACGCATTCCTGCGCACGTCCCATGCGCTTTCCCACGCTTCATTGCCCATCATCCAGGAGCATCCATCCATTGTCCAGCAAGTCCTACTGGTACATTTTTCGCACTTATTCTTATCATGACACCATATTCCATCATGGACCCTTACTTACATATACCTTCTTTGTTCCTGCGCCTTACTTGCATTGGCTCCACATCGTGGGAGCGCACTTAGTTGCCTTTAGCATGATAGTATTCACATACTTATCACTTAGTTAGCTACCACTTAGTTTCCAGTTAGTATCCCTCAGCATAGTGCATGCATTTTTGAGCCATAGTCAGTAGCATTTTTGACAATCACACTCTATCATCATCACATTTGTTGTCCTTGCACCCATCAGTATCAGTCATCATCTTTCTCTAGTCCCCATCGCATTCCTAGCCCTTTGCGCACTTTCACCTATTAGCGCGCGACTTTCCTGTGCTTCGCACATCCTACCACTCTCTGTGCGCACCTTCGCCTCTGTGCGTGTGACTTTCCCACGCTTCACACAACCTGTGGATGTGTTGCACTCACTTCCCCTTGGGTCAAACACACTTGCCTTTGCGAAGTATAGCAGCCATAGGCAGAGCTGAGACAACCACACATATACTCTGACTTGACATCCCTTGTAGTGCCATAGCTTTGTAGTTGATTCCTTCAGTGGTGTACCCACACAGACTTGGAGGGTACAATTTTGATGTCAAGCACTTGGCATTTCAACTGGTTTGCATTCTAGTCTTCACTTGTAATGGCCACTGATTCACTTACCCAACAGGTCAGCCAAAGGATCCACGAGTGGTGGGCTTCATTCAGTTCAACAGCCAACAGTGTTTTGATAGTGTTTTTCACTTCAACACCCAAGTATAAGACTCAGGAAGCCCATGATGAATACACCAAGGAACAACTTGAAGAATGCTGCTTTGTGTATGAAGATCCTGAGAACAAAGAGCAACTGGGTGCATTCTTGTCAGAGTACATATTGTGCATTTTTGCTTCCCACCTCACTGCAATCACTGGGCAAGTGAGGGTGCATCAGCAAAACCCTAAGTTAAGGTCCCCCCTTTTACAGCACTACATGATACCACACAGTGCCACACAGCACCATACAGCACTGTAAAAGGGGGGACCTTAACTTAGAGTCTGTTCAGATAGGTTCAAATTTGCACAACTAGACAAAATTTCAAATCTCCAGTTGCTTTGTCATCATCAGTATTAGTGTGATATATGTGACCATTGATAATCAATATCAGTAAAATATGCCCACAACCTGATCCTCTACTACTCGTTCTCATACTCATCATTCTAAGGGTGGTCATGTGTATCTCATGGCACCCAGGAAGAAAGCTTCTGCAAATTCAGGTACCCAGAGTCAGGAGGCAGAGCCAAGGTGTATTTGGATGCCAGCAGATGAAGCACACCTCATCACCTACATCACTCACAACTGTGCTAAAGGTGGCAATGGACTGAATTTTGACAAGACATTTTGGACTCAGGCTGTGATTGATATCGCTCAATCTACGACTGCTGGTGCTCCCAAGACAGCTGATTCCTGTGCAACAAAGTGGTCCTGGGTATGTCATATGTTATTATCATATACCAGATATTAGTACTGATAATAAACTTCCAGCTTTGCACCACATATAATGTTGTCAATAGAGTCACGCATTATTCAGGTGTGGCATGGAGCACAGAGCATGGCGCTGATATCACAGCCGAATTAGAGGGACTTTGGGCAGATGTTATTAAAGTAAGTACCATATTTTTTTCACCCTCTGCCACTAACACTGTTTAATCTAGAGTATCCCAGCTGCCAAAAATTTCGAAAATAAAGGCTGGGCACCCTATAACTCCTTGCACAAGCTCCTGCCTTCAAAGGCAGTCAGTAGCAGTGCCTTCCACCCTCTCATGCAACTCACTACCAGCTCATTGACTCCTTCTACCAGTGCTGCTCCCACAGCCTTGAACTTCAATCAGGTCAATGCACAGGAGCAGGAGCAGATGCTCACAGACCTTGAGAATGGCACTGGTGAAGCAGCATTGAGTATCCTCACGCCACCACCCCCTCCCTTCAATGCTGCTCAGCAGGCAACTTTCTCCCCCTCCACGCCAGGTACAGGTATGAGCCAACCTGGATCAAAGGCCACAGGTAAACGCAGAGCCAAGGGTGATGACAGCACAAGAGCCCTTGCCCACCCTTTGGGCTCTACCAAGTCACCCACAGCATCCAGCAACTCTGTGAAGTCCACACATGTCAGTACCCCTCAAGCATTTCAACAGATGGGTTCACAGATCTGTGACCTTAACTCATCATTCAGTGTTGCAGTGAATGCATTGAAAGATCGCACTGAACACATGATCATGCACTCTGTAGATCCTATCCCTATGCACAGGGAGAAGGCTATCTCTCATTTACTAACAGAGGGTCTAGAGGATGCCCAAGTAATTGCAGTCATGAAGCAGTTCAGTATTAAGGTCATACTCAAGGCTAACTGGATCTGAAGGGCTTTGGCCTCAGCTCATGTGCTGTGCCCCTTACTCGAGTATTGCCCCTTATTTCAGGAAGGCAAGGCTAACACATCCAGAGGGTCAGATGGGTAGCGTAGCGGATCTGGATGACTTCTGGATGCGGTATAAGTATTGTAGGGCTAATCCAGACGAGTCCAGACTAGAAACTAGCAGTAGACAGAGGCAGATGTGGATAGACTATAGGAATCAATCCTAAGTCTTGGAGGGTGACGAGAGTAGAGATACTCAGGTCCAGAGGATGGGAATGAGCAGAACTAAGTTGATATTTGAACTGAGGTGCTACAGAGAGTTACAGGAGGTTATATACTATAGGTATTTAACAGAATGATCAATCAGCAGAGTCCAAGGCTATGTACAAAGCACATGGATGGTCTATTGGTAAGTAAAAATGGATCACAAATAATGAAACAGAAATGAAGCATAGGTAACAGATCAGGGAGCAGGACAGATATACAGATAACCAAAATACCGGAGTTAGGGGATTACTGAAAAGAGATGAGCACTGGTTGTGGATTTGGATGAATTGTGGACCAGACTGGATGAGTGGACAGAATGGATGACGAGATGTTGGAGGGAGATAAGATGTGGATCAGATCTGAGATGAGATAAGGATCAGATCTGAGATCCAGATATGCAGATATGATATTCAGGCAGGACATCTCTATTGTGGACTCTTACTTAGCTATTGTTAATGCTAAGGATAGTATATGCCAAATGTTTTTTCAGGACTTAATCAATAGTTAGAACAATTTTTGTACTATGTACAAATACATTTGATTGTGAGCACTACAAATATACACTAGTACAAATCAGTTGGATACTCCTCCGCATATGACTCCCCCCTCTCCCATCTTATAGTAGTGTAGTCCTCCCACATTTGGAAGGCAATGTCTTTGTGGCATTGATGTGAGCAAGTGCACGCCTCATCAGTGGGAGGGCCTTGAGTGAGTGTGCCAGTATCATGCAGCTGCTGGCCATCCAAGTTGAGATCAATCTGATGGTAGTCCAACATGTCATTGGGGTCATGAACACAGATGACATTGTGCACTAGACACAATGCTGGGGGGATGCAAGCTTGCATGGACATATTGTAGTGAGGGGGGAGGAGAATCCAGAAGTGATTCTTCAGAACACCGAAGATGTGCTCAACGATGTTTCGGAGCATGGCATGGCATAAATTAAATAACTCTTTGTAATCACATGGTCTAAATAAATATCAGTACAGATGTATGATAGAAGGGGGAGTACATATGCAAGACAGCAATAGCCCCATTCAGCAAGATGATAGTGTACTCCCTGATGTCCTGCATGATTTGGGAATCATGCATGGACATGACTACTAGGTAGCCCCCCTAAAAAAGACAAAGTCTGTTAGCTTAGGCATCAGGCTAGTCAACCCATACCTTGGTTTCAAACCTTGGTCATATAGTTCAGTTTCCCCTCTGTGATTCATGAATTTATTATATCTTGAAGAAAAGTCATTTGTGAGATGGGAATCACATAATGACCTAGTTGATATTGTGAAGCAAGAAGGTTAAGGTATTGCCTTGCCTTTGGCTTATTCACTTTGGCTAGAGAAAACCATAGAGAAAAGTTCAAAGCCTAACAAAAACCTATCTAAAAAGCCTGTATTTTGTGTCTTGTTATTGTATTATTATTTCTGAGTTGTTTTCTCTAGTATTTCCTTGATTTATTTTTCTATTGGGATGCTCTGACCCATCAGATACTTCACAAAATTGTACCTACAGGGTATGATGTCATAATGATGTCATATGGCTCCACAGATACTCCTGCAAGTATTCTGTTGAAAGTTATGATGTCATGATGATGTCATGATGATGTCATTTGTTCTGGAATGTTCTGCTCCACTTCTGATGTCATTGCTCCGCTTTTTTACTTACATAATATTCCCACACAAAATGTATATAAGGAGGGCCCATTCTCCCCCCAAAAAATAGGATCTCCCACTTGCAATCATTTGAATCTCAGTTTGAGCTACTCACTGTGAAGATTGTTGCTTACAAAGAAAGCCCCTTTGAAGTACCAAGTGCAGGGAAAAGATATTTCCCTTGAGATTACATAAGTTTCTTATGATAGAAACTTAGTTTATTTGAGACCAGCTTCTCACCTAGTTTTCTGATATTGACCAACACAAGCTTTGGTCAATCTGTTCATTTGTGAGACCAGCTTCTCACCTAGTTATCTGATATTGACCAACACGAGCTTTGGTCAATCTGTTCATTTGTGAGACCAGTTTCTCACCACTTTGTGCCTATTTGACCAACCAGTCTTTGGTCAACATATTTGTATTTGAGACCGTAGTCTCTACAGAGGATTATCTTAACGAGGAACCACATTCCAGTGTCTAGACAGTTTATCCTAGACAAGTTTATAAGTTGGGATATAACACAAAAGCTCCGGCTAAGTTAATCACATAGATTGGTTTAGTGAGCCTCCCAAGAACTCACATGTTATCTACCATGAAAGAAGAAAAGTCATAGACCATGTTAATCAAGGACTGGCAAGAAGTCTTATCCTAGTGTAATTGTGGTGTCATTACATTTTACATGCATTTATATAAGACCCTCGGTTATTAAGACACCAATAGGGGATGAGTAGCTCATCACACACTCCAAAACCAGCATCTGCAAGATAGTACTTACCCACAGGGATATTAAAATCCTTAATGTGAGTGTCACAATATAAATGTGCATCTGCTGCAGACCCCTCCCAGCCACTCAACATGTACATAAATGACATGTTGAAGCTACAAGCAGCCAGGCATTTTTGGGTCAGACCACCCTTATGATCACAAGCAGCATCACAATCTTTGGCAGGGGGATGGCATGCAATATGAGTGCCATCAATAGCGCCAATGGCGTCAGCAAAATAGGGGTAAAATTTCAGCTTCTGGAGAATTTCCAGAGGTGTGGGATTGTCTGCATCAGGCAAGTGGACATATAAGGGATATAGGGGGAGAGGTGAATGTGTTGAGAATCCATTTATAATATCTTGATAAAAATCAGCATGTCTATCAATAAAATGAGGGAATGACACACTTTGATATGGTATCATTGGAATGTTGAAAGCACTCACCAACATGGTGCACAGAGAGACCTGTGACACTTGTGTACAGGAATATGGCAAGCTGCTCCTCCAGCTGGACATATCTGGAATTTTTGCATCCAGAATCATGAAGTAAATTCAGGAGAACGTAGAATACATGTCACCACACTCCGAGTTCACATCATATATGATCAGGATGTCCATTGAGTAATTCATTGACCCATCCCATCCCTGTCAAAGCAGAAGTATGGTAAGGTTGCTTGTTAAAGTGAGTATCAGAGTAAGAATCAAGGGTCTCAGTAGCAGCATTGAGCATGATGTTGACCAGACGAATAGCACCAATGTACATTTTCCATATCCACTCCAGCTGGAATATATCCAACTCATTGGTGTCAACTACAGTGCTGCCATTGAGATTCTCATTATTTTCATCAACAACAGTAGTGTCATCATATTCTGGCAAGTCAACATCAGGGTCGTGCTCATTGGATGACATTGTGGGTGCACAAAGGCTGAAGGGTGCATGTTATTGATACATATCTGATGTCACACTGATATCAGATATTCAAGGGCTGATGATGACAAAGCAACTGGAGATTTGAAATTTTGTCTAGTTGCACAAATTTGAACCTATCTGAACAGACTCTTAGGGTTTTGCTGATGTGGATTCATTGGTTGAATTTGGCAAGCCTGGGTATCAGACTGTGCTGGTGCTATCAGCAGTGGCAGTAAGTTTAACTTTTCTTTTCCTCTTTTTTTGAGCTGGAGAACATTGACTATCTTTCTTAGGCTGAGCACGCTCTTGTCTTGGTTAAAAGCCACTTACTGGTTGAAAGAAATCCCTCTGACAACAGCAGCAAAAACCACAAGATTATCCAGACACTCAATGAGGTGATGAATAAGATGAGTCATACCAGAACAGCATTTTCATCTGGAAATTGGGAGATGGACACCATGGCGTACATGGATAGTATCAAGGATCTGCCTTACAAACATATCCAGGAGATTCTCACTTGGGCAGAAGAATACATGAAGCACGCATGTAATAACAATTGCCACAGCACAACCACAATGGATGAACCTCATGGTTCCAGCACTTCAATCACTCCAGTCAACAAACACTCCTGCCTTCATATCTGTAACATTTATTTTTTTCTCATTTTTTCAACTGCTGATTTTATTCATTCAACAGGAGGACACATCATTTTGCAATATCATCATTCCCTGCTCTTTCGACCTCTGCAGCTGTGCCCCACTGCTCACATATACCCTTTTTTTGAGCCTGCTCTATTTGCTATCGAATACAGACACTATAAACCACTCTCCTTTAGTTTTTGAATCTCCTTATTTCTCCTTAGTTTAGGCTCCTGGGCTGACCTTTGTGTTCCTTAATGATATTCCTTTCGCATGCTTATATTGTGCTTACATCTCTTAAATGCACCAGTGGCCTTATTTTAAGCAGATGAACCTACTGAATCTGCTTATTTTACACAACAAAAATCTCAACTTTAAGCCGCAAATAAGGCACTTAAGACACTTTAAGGATCGTTTAAGTGGACTGACATTTTCCTGATGCACTCATTTACTCGTAGTACAAACAAGATTCACATTGACACGTGGTTGATGCTAAATTTCTCACATGACAGTAGGGGAAAGACTAAGAAAGAAAGTCAAAATACGCACCAGTATGTATTATCAACAAATATCAGATTAACCTAGTAGAATGACAATATATAGACAGGATTAAATATAAAGTCGAAGTCAAAAAAAGACCAAGCTAGTAATACAAAATCTATTGCACGTCTCTCTACAGTCTAGCTACCGGTGTCACCGGGAACCAAAGAAGAAACCGAGCACTGTCGTAGAATGAAATGAACTTGAAATGAATCTCCTGTTTGGGGGAGGAAAGGTGGCGACGATCTCGTATGAGCATATCGTCTAGATCTAAGATTGAACGGCGAATAGTTATCCCCATCGCAAAACACCAATGTGTCAAGTGCTATGGGTTCAGTAGACGCCAGGTACCAGTCGGTACCTAACTACCTTCGCCCACCTCTCCCACTCGTCTCCGAAAGCCAATTTCAGTGCTTCATCCTCTTGGCTGGTCCTGCACATGACGTTTATCATAGCAACTGACATCTGCGCCAGCCATGCCACTACAACCAATTTGAGTCCGGGAATATCTAAAATTCCGGATTGTCTAAGCCATGAGGTGGGCGATCCGTGCAGTATTACCATGCCAATGATCTGTATAATACCTGCTGTGTATGACGGGTGACGTATGATAGCGTATGGTCCAGTTGTGACAATATGATGCCCTTTGCGGACACTGAGTTGGAAGGTGAAAAAACGTCCAAGGGTGCGAAAACACCACCAGCGGACGAGACCTCCTGTGACGGCAAGCGCGGTGCCCAAAATGAAAGGAGAAGTAATGGGCGTATCACGAATCCTGTGACCGGCCGCGTACTGTGTGATGGTCTGTATAACAGACAGAGAATCCGTTGTGTGAGAGGCAATGGTAACGATTTCTGCAAGAGAAACAGCCCAATAAATTGTCTGGCGCATCGCTCTGTAAATATGATCGTGGACAAGCAATTAAAACACTTGCCTTCAGAACCGGAAACCCGTATTTCATAATCCAAGTGAGAACCCACTCATTGAATGTTTGGTGAATAATCTCTTTACTCGAGGGGACGTTTGGGGGCGTGAGCGATATTTGCTGCGTGATAGCAGACGAGAGAATAAGTGGAACTTTGAGAAGTGATCCCATCTTCATGAAGAGCAACTGACCTTTCAGAGGTTGCTTTTTATGCATGAATGCTTCGCTGAGGCTATACCCATTGACATCATATTGTGGCGAAGGTCGGCATTCATAAAAACAGCCCCCTCTTGCCTATCATAGAATGTCAGTCTATCTCAACCCTTCAACATTTATACTTAACTTGCCATGCCGAAGAGAACAAACAGACTAAACCGGTTGCAAGTAGCCAACGAGTAGCATTAAATTTCTTGCCGATAATTGTCGGGAATAAACATCACTTGGCATCTAATAAGGAGAAGGTAGCGGACAAGTGCTGTGCAATGTATGTCGCTTATGGGTTGACTTATGCTCCATAATATACGTTATGGACCTAATGGTTGAATAAGAGGTCGTATATAGGAATGACTAGCATCACGTACTGTAGACTTAGTAAAGACCTCGACCATAAACGTATTAAACGGGACACCCGGACCGCAACTGAAAAGAGGTGTAACTTCGCAAGTTACTTGCTTGCCATACACCCCTGGAAATGGTGGAAGTGGAGAATGAAGAGTTTAATTTAGCTTGAGACAAACCATCATCATTCCCTACGGTCACCTCGTGAGTGCCCATCACCTCGCACAGGAACTGACAAGTCCAGCCAGTGAGTTGGCGTTTTATAATGTTTCATCATGATCTGACAAATTACTACACATCAAAAATGACTCGCGAAGTCATGGGTCACCCACCAAGTGATACCACAGCACGGACAATTGAAGGCAGCCATTTCTTCTTACTAATTGTTGTCTGTGTAAGCTACAGAACCCTACATTCCGTAGTGCAGCATTCGAGGTCGGATCATATTCGTAGCAAGTAAGCATTTCATCTGTTTCTTACCTAGCTCGAGGTCCTTAGATACGTCCATTTTGAAGCCGCGCCAGAAGATTCAGAGATGGTGCTTGCTCGAAATTTCCATGATGAGGACTTCACTTTGCGGTGCTTTTAGCATCGAATAGCCTAGTTACAGTGACGGGCGCGATGTCCGGTCCCGTCGAAGTCGATAGATATTTTGCACAATCGGTCTCTATTGAAAGAGTTCTGCAAGGAAAGAATTCTTCAGAACATACTATATGAACTCCGTATCAACACAGAACTGGAGGGAAAGACATTGTAAAAGAGGCTTGTATTTCGAGCAGTTGGGATCCCCAGCAATCAGAGGTACATATCGTTGTTTTCCGTGTCGGAACCGCCCCGAATCAGTGGTGTTGAGGAGAGCAGTTATTCTCCATGAACATGGTCACCGGGCGAAAATGGACCTGAATTCCATTAGTATTCTGATAGAAACAACCATAAACGGACCTGCAGACTCTCGCGAACAGCATAGAATGTCGAATCCTCCATCTTGTTACCATCCTTGAGCGCGACTCGGATGCATAATATATACTAGATACCAAACAGTTAGTTCGATCTCATTCCCAGGAGAAAGCTTCGTCAATCGCTGGTGAACCTATATAGCTGTGTCACCGTGTGGCGCATGTATCTTAGGAAGGACTCACTAGCAACCGCCACTCAGTACTCGAGCCTCGGGCACAGTGAAAATTAAACGGACGCCCTCACACGGAGATTGACCGATTTACACAACCCACAAGGTATTGCAGGTCTAGCATGATCAAACATGAGCCCTGGAGGAAATATGGAACCACATGAAATGACAGACCATTGCACAGTGACTGATATCCCTGGGGTTAAGGAAGATTAGGATGAGACATGGGTTCTGTAAGAAGTGACAAGAATCCAACCATCATCATTATGGTTGTAGAAGAAGGGGGTTTCGGATTTGAAAATTTCATGCGGTCAATTTGTCTCCTCTCCTCTCCTCTGAGGAAGTTGGGTGGGAGCAACAAAACAATTCATATTTGGGACATTGTAAGTAGTTAAGACTGTTGTCCCTTAGCGGTCATGCCAAAAGGCAGTGATAATCAAAGCTAGCGCTCATGCTTGATTGTTGCGGGTAGCATTTAAAACTCAGGTAAGCCAACAGCCGGGCTTTGTAACAAACATGACAGCACATGCCACTTTGCTCCGTGCAAAGGCATTAGATATTATTCAAATCCATCCTCAAATATTGAACAATGACGATGCAAGCAGATGAGATTGATGATGCGTAAGCCTATTGTCCCAACAGGAACCATAATCGTGGTATATGCTAGTTCAATGTCAATGCAAATGATGACGATAATAAAGAAAATTGAAAAAAGAAAGAGGGAAAGAAAGTCGAAATCCAAACGAATCGAATCGACTAATGCAAAATCCACGCACATCTCTGTATGCAAGTATATGCGTCAGCGCCTTCAACCAGAAAACGAACAGAAAGAAAAAAACGTTCGAGCGCTGTCGTGGAATTAAAAGAAAAGTCGTAGTACCAAAGAGCGACTAAGCGGAACGTCTTAATAAATATGCAAGTGAAAACCAAAAAAAATGGATGAACGTCATGAAATCGTCGTACGTGTTATCGGGCACTCTTCCAGCTCGATGGGGGAGCAGCTTTTCGTCCGGGATTTCTACCAGGTATCGGTGGCTGCAAGTTCGAAGGCTGGGAAGCACCAGTTTTGGCGCGCGGTCTCGAACCTCCTCCATAGGAACTCGCGGGACTGCTCGGGACGCCGTACCCAGACGGTGCGTGGCTCGAACGGGAGGACATTGATGGGCCAAACGACTCCCCGTACACACTCCTCGACCCTCCTCCGAACTCACTCTGCGTACTGCTGATCCGACCAGGGAACATGACGGAGCCCGTGGACCACTGGTTTGGCATCATACCAGGGACGCCCAGCATACCCATCCCGCCCCCGCCTCCTCCCATTCCGCTGTACACGCTACCTCCGCCACCCCCATACACAGACCCACCGCCGATATTGGACCCTCGTTCCCACTCGTCTCCGGCTAATGCCATCGCATGTTGAGCTACTGCCATTTGGTATGCTTGCTTCGCGATCATCATCGCGCGCTGGTGAGCAACGAAGAAGCTCTGGTCGGGGCTGAACTGAGAAGCCATCATAGGTCCCATACCCGCCGACATGGGCTGTTGCCACGCCCCCCACGCAGGAGCATTCATCCCAGGCATCATGCCATCCATGCCCATCATAGGATTGATGCTCATCCGCTGTCCATGCTGAGACACAAGATCATCGTCAGAACCATCATGCACCATGGGTCCACGACCATTGACAATTTTCCCGAACTGAAACCAAAAAATCAGGGCGACAAACAACAATCACAAGATAACACAAACCTCAATAGCAGACTTCGCTTCGTTCCGTCTCCTCTCATTCCGCTTCTCCTCATCAGCGTCATTCTTCACCCTCTCACGGCCACGTGGTGGATCATCCTCAAAGCTCACAGATGACCGCTTCGCATTCGCCCCGCGCGCCTTGAGCGTCGAGTCTGCATCGCTTCCATCCCTCCGCCCGGTATTCACCCCGATATCACTACCATCATGTGGTGTGAACGGCGCACCACGACCACTGCTGGAGTCACCTGTTGAGCTGCCAGCAGGGCTCTGGCCTCGTAGAGAACTATTACTGGCGAAGGGGCGGGAGGGCATGAGTGACTGTGATTGCAACCTGGATGACTGTGGTGCTGCGGGCATACCAGGCCTTGAGGAAGGCACAAGGGAGACAAGCGTGCCTGACGGTGGCCGAGACATTCTGCTATCCAACGCACTTGGCGTCGAGGGAGGGCGTGTCTTGTACAAATCCTTCGAAGACCCCCAACTGGCTTTCACGGAAGGTGAATCGGGTACAGCGGTGATGAGAGGGACAGGTGGGACACGAGAAGAGCGTGAGGATCGAGAAGTTGAGACAACAGAAGAAGCATCTGACTTGTCGGTTGATGGTACATTGGACTGCTGAGCTAGGATGCCTGCACGAGAACGAGGAGCGAATGAAGACTTGATAGGAGAAGGAGATCGTTGTGGAGAAGGAGATCTTTTGGAGACGGCGGATAACGTCGCTGTCGGCGAGGCTGGTGATACTGCCTGAGAGAGATCAGTGGTGTATCGACGCGGAGGGCGTGAGGTAACACTGAAAGAAGCTGGTGGTTTATACTCTCGAACAGGAGTAGGCACAATGCGGTCGTCACGAGGAGATTCTGGCTTGTCATCAGCACTTGACAAACGTTCGACAGTAGGTGGTGGAGCGGCGTTCAGGGGCGGCACTTGTTGGGAAGGTTGTGTAGGCGACTGTGAGGAATCTCGTGATCGATCAAAGGAAGTAACGAGTCTGATGGCGTCCCTCAAATCATCATCAACCTCGATTGGTGAAGAGGATGGCCGAGGGATGGACCCAACATCACTGCTCAACTTCTTGTGGCGAGTGGGAGAAGGAATCTTAGGAGTTGGTCCAGCAGGTGAACAGGGAGTTTCCTGAGCAGGACTCTCAGCCATGCGACTCGGCGTCAAGCTGATAACAGGGGGAGGAGCAAAGGGCTCGTCCCTATCCACCTCACGTTCCTTACCCTTTGTAGACGGTTTTTTCACTGAATGCTCGTGCCTCAGGACAGGCGTGAGCATCGGAGGACTTCCTACGAGTGATTTGATATCAATCAAGGGCTTCGCGGGCATCCGAGGCCGCGAGACAGCGGATCTGTTGGTGGATATGGATGCAGAACTTCCCGGTCTGCGTGGTGCAACGAGCGCGGACAAAGGCATGTCTTCAGAATCATTATCTGAATCTGACGAAGTATCGGAGTTGTCGTCCTTCGCCGGTCTTGGTGATAAAGGCGGCGACGAAGATTTCTCTGAAGCTTAAAGGCACGGTTAGGAACCAGAATGACATTGGTAACTTGTATACTTGCCTGATGATGCAACAGAAGCGTTTGCAGCAGCTAAAGTCGACGCACGACGAGCAGCAGCGTTGGGTGTAAGAGCACTAGTGGAGGCAGATGCTCTCGCTCGCACGGCAGCCATGTTGTCGGGTTGCCTTAGCTGTACATTGTCCGGTTTTGACCATCTTGGAGGATCTGGCCGTCGAACCTGAGCGTTCGATGCAGTGGGTGCATGCCCCGCATCGGACTGCGAGCGCGGACCAGGGCGACGAGTCACAGTGCGTTTGCGACTAGGCTTGATAGGCACGCCATCACTATCCACTTCTTCATCAGATTCGTCAGATTCATCCGACTCTGAAGTACTAGTGTCCAAAGCTGACGAAGTTCGGTTAATCAAGATGGACAGCGGGGGCGCAGTCGAATTGCGATTAAATGATAGGTGATGTTCACTTCCGGTAGGCGTTGAAACCGTAGAAGCTCGCTGTCTGGACATATTTTCAACACGAAGGGTATCGAGGGAAGAAGGGGGTCGGAATGAAGGTACAGGGGAATTTGCACGGCTCCGACGAGCTTGTGCTTCACGAAATGCTGCAACAGATATCCTTTGAGAGGAATCTGAAGCAATACTGTCTCCGCGCGGCCGTGGCCGGGCAGGAGGAAGCGGAAGCTCGGCATTTGGAACATCAGCTAGAGAAGTGGGGGACTCGGAACGAACGTGGCGAAAAGCTTTCAAATTAAAATTCTCCCTCGGTGAGGGACTTGGAGCGGGAGGAGCTGCAATAGCTGCTGGTGGCGGGGCAGGTTTCGATTTAGTACGCTCTCTAGCCCACGAGAACAACCCGCCAGATTTTTTGGGGTTAGGTGGCGTCGAAGAAGAAGATGGGGGTGCACTGTGTATCTCATTCCGTGCGATGACGGAAGGGGTATCCAGGCCAGATTGATGGCGCATGTTTTCATTGGGAAGCGAAAGTGTGGAATTAATGCTGGGGTCGTGGTATACTCCAAAGAAGGACGGTTTTGGTGGGGAGGGCGGGAGGTCGTGCCCTGAATCAGAGACAACGCTGGACATGTGTGCGCGTGGCGGGCTATCGTTGAGAGAGAATACGCTTGTGGAGGTGCCTGAGACATGTGGCTGATGTACATGTCTCCGACGGAATGGCAGCTTCAGCTTGCTCGATGATGCCGTTGCTGGACCGGTATAAACTGCGGGCGGAAGAGACTTTAGAGACTTGTCTGGAAAGACATAATCTGGCTCTGAAGAGACTACGGTGCCACTAGAGATGGACGCCGTAGAAGTCGGCGTCGTTGGGACGTTTAAATTGGATGTTGCACTGCGAGCACCAGATTGCCTATCTCGTTTAGCAAATATTCCTGCAAGCAATGGCATGAAGAGGGTCAGCAGCAGAAGGGCAGCAGTCCGAATGGTGAATGAAAGAGAGAGCGAGAAATGAGAGGTCGATGTTCGCGATGCCGGGTATGACAAGTTAACAGGGTTGTTTGTCTTTGTTTCCTTGTGCCCCCATTTAGAATGCAAAGTAAAATTGGAACCGACCTGACGTGACGCGGACGACGAGCAACAGGCCTACAGCACAGGGCGACAGAGCGGCCACACAGGTTACTGTATTAACCGAAGGCGCTTAGACTTATCGCCTTGCATACGCATGATCTCTGTTTCATGCAAGTACAACGTTTCAAATCCTACGAATCAAAAAATAGAATCAGTTCCTGCGTACTCTCACAGTCACCATGATAGTGCCCAACGAAGCAGGGCAGATCCTCCCCGGCCACTCGTCCCCGCATTCATATCCAGTCACATCCCAATAACGCTCTTGATTCACTTTGTATAAACTTACGAAACTCGATGTGCAGCCGCGGCAGAAGAGAACATGCGAAGTAGTCATTTTTTGATACTCGGACTCGCGATTTTAGGTGCCATACTAGGTTTACATCGAGACACGTTCCTTCCCATGACGGCAAGCTTCCATTCGCACTTATAGCGGGATTTCTCTTACCTATCTTTGTGGTGCAGATATCCGAAGATAGGCAAATTCACGTTTGTGCGAGCTGACTTTCATAAGTGTGACATGGCCTCGCGCAAAGTGTATGGTAAGCCAAGTGTGTAATTGTTGTTATACATTTGATTTCCCCCCAGACGATCCCTTCCATAGCCCCTTCATAAATATTATTACAACGTAATTGATTGTCTCTTGTCTAGTAAGTCACCTTTAAGCAACAACTTCGCATCCCGTCATGTACGAACCCATCAATTTCTATCCGGAACAATCGGTGAGGTGCACTACATCAAACACGAGGTACTCACATGGAGACTCAGCCCATCCACGCCCGTGGCATGGCCAACTTTCTTCCCGTTCTTGAACACTATATAAGTAGGGACCTATAATATTAATTGGTTTCAATCGGCTCCACAAAGACGTCATGTTAAAAAATACATACAACGCGTACATCGGCCTCCATCACCACATCCTCCAGTTCATCCACGTTTACGCGATAGAAATCCACGCCGATGCGAACGAATGTGTCAGAGAGCTCGGAGAACTGCTGAGAAGTCGACCGGCACAACCCACTCCAGTCTGCGTGGAAATCTATCAATACGGTTTTACCGCTGTTGATCTGGGAGAGTGAGAAATGGTTTAAGAATTCATCGAATAGGCACTCACGATTCTGGTGAAGTCCTGAGCATCGTCTATGGGGTTGAAAGGCATATTGCGACCTTGGTCCAAGTGTAATGAAAACGTATGTATTTTATATGAAATACAGAGATGAGTGAGACAAGGTCTGACAGAACTTGACGTGAAAACAAACGAAGAAAAGTACAAAGAGGGTGTCGGAGGATGTATATATGACGAGTGGGTCCTGGGAGAACCGGTGACGTCGAGGCCCCTTTGTGGCTGACACGCTGACGGTTTGCCTACAGGGCCTGGAGAGGCCTAGATCAAGTAAACTAGTAAAGTGATAAGATAACGAATCTCAGGTATCACGAAACAAAGCTCTCAGTAATCACAAAGGCAAATCGGCCTGGCACAGCAAGATCAACCTGAGACCCCTTCTGAGACTCCGCCATCATAAAATGGGGTATCTGATAAGTACAAGACGACAATGGGCGCCCATTGTCCATAGCCTATCACAATTTCGCAACTGGAACCGTCCATCTCAAGTTGCGAAGACGAACTGAGCAAGTTATTGGAAGTGGGGACTAAGCAGGTTGGGTAGGATATTCGATCAACTTTTTATACGACTGCCTAATAATACAACAAGAGGCTGATGATTCCACATCAGTAGTAGATATGCGGACGGTGAACCTCTCAATAACCGGTGATGGATCCAAAGATACCGATGACATTGTTGTGTTCGAGGCTAGCAAAGGAATTTGAACCCAAGTGATTGCTGGAGGAAAGTGATCATGCACTAGATCACCAGTGTACTCATATGAATGCAGTGCCAGGTGATTCACTGAGCAAAGGATCAGTTTTGTTGATTACCTTTTTAGGCTAAATGGTGCAATGTCAAGATTATTACTAATTGCTGTGTTGGACGTCGTTGACAGCGTCGACGCCGGTAAGTGACTAGTGACTGCGCAGTCGGAATCGTCTGCGTCGTTGAGCTCAACCATCAATTGCAACGTGTTACGACGACGTTGCTATTAGACGATGGCGCCCAACTTCTTTTCAAAGCTCGTCAAGCCTAGTACGTCTTCATCTCCGGGCGGAAGAGAGAACACGACTACATCGCGTCAAAGCATTCAAGCGCGTCCACATTCTCAAAATATTTCGCACCCTCCTTCATCTCTTCCCGACCCAACCAGTGACAATTCTAGTACAAAAGGCAGTGTCAAGATTGGTATAATTCCACCTTCCCCTCGTTCAGCCCTTTCAACTTTTCCTGATCCTCATTCGCAAGACCACCCTCCTGATACATCTCAACATCGACGTGCGCGCTCCCAGGACAGGATGGTTCCAGATAGACATGCTTTATCCTTCGCTGCTCGTCCCATGACAAGTGACTCTTCTTTGTCTACAGATGACATGCTTCCAACTCCAACCCCCTCTCGTTCTCGTCCTGAAGAATGGAAGACTAGCGCTGACAGCTCACCCAAACTTCCCCATCAGCTGACACCTGCATCGTCCACCGGGAACCTGAAAGCCTTTGTAGACAAGCGCAGCAGCACTCATCCTTCAAATGCTCACAAAGTGGTCGATAGAACTCCCTCAAAGAAGTCACTACGCAGTAGGACACAGCCCCCAGCTCCACTCGATTTCGATCACTCCCAGAGTAATACTCGTTCCGATGCGCACCGGCGAACTAGTCGCCACGAACACAATGCCGTCATAATTGAAAATGGCCTCGTGGACTCGCCCACCGCAATAAGCCATGCCCAAAGAAGCTCTCATCATCAACAGGAGCTTTTACCTACCCTCACCGACGCCGACGCAAGATCCGTTCGCTCAGCCAACAGCTCAGCTTCAAAGAAGAAGAAAGGTTGGCGTCGTCCTTCACTCACTACTCCCACTCGCAAACATTCTGGCGTTGCTCCTGCCACAACCTCTTCTGGTCTTGCCATGTCCAATACTGGTTCTCAAATCTCCCCTGTTTCTCCTGTTCCAAATTCGGCATCAAAAAAAGTTACCAATGGAACGGTCAGATCAAATGACTCTCGTTCTGCGGTGCGGTATGCCGCTTCTGCTTCCGTGACGTCTATGCCTAGTCCTGTCGATGCCAGCGCTCGCACAAGACATACCTTGTCCAGTCGAGACGACTTTTCAGACGGCCAGACAGACACGTTTGCTTCTAGCGAAGAGAGCGAGGGGTCGGACGACGAACTTGATATTAATGAAGACATTCCCGTCACGGGTTTCGCCGTCGCAAGTAGCAAGCGTAATGCAGACTTCCACGAGTTGTTCCCTACTATTCCCGAAGGCGATTATCTCATCGAAGGTTTGTCCCATTTTGAAAATGTCAAATATCTGCTTCATATCTTGTAGATTACGGGTGCGCATTACAGCGCGAGATCCTCATCCAAGGCCGGATATACATCTCAGAGAACCATATATGTTTTCACGCGAACATTTTTGGGTGGATCACCGACGTATGTTGCACGTGGTTATACATACTCGCAAACTAAATGATACCTCCACAGTTGTCAATCCCAATATACGAAATAATCGCTCTCGAGAAGAAGATGACGGCATTTGTCATCCCCAATGCCATCCAAATAACCACCAGACAGGCAAAATACACCTTTGCCTCGTTCCTCTCCCGCGATACGACGTATGATGTGATTGCCAATATATGGCGACTCTCCCGTCCTGATGATACTCTAAGCCAAACCGGCTCGTCTGGCAACATCATTTCGCCCGCTAGTACTTCTGATGTTTCAGGTCCCCTGGTCACGACCGGAGGCAAAGAAGCAGCTCTTGTGACTCGCTTGAACAAAAACAAAGTCACGCACTGCGCATGCTCGAGGAATGGACAGCATCTTAATGAGATCGCGCTAGAAACTGTATTACCTGGGACACCGGACAAGATTTATAATCTGATGTTTGCGAGTGGGTTTATCAAGGATTTTATGCGGGTGGATCAGAAGCTTATGGGTGGGCGGCATCTGATTTTACCGAATCACTGGTACTGATGCTTCCCATTCAGATGTGCAGATATCGGATTGGATTCCAACAGGCGACAACTTGAAGCTTTTGGCGCGGAATATGTCGTATATCAAGCCCCTGAACAATAGTGTCGGCCCGAAGCAAACAAAGTGCGAGATCCATGATGAAACCTTGACCTGTGACTTTGATGACCATGTTGTGATGTTAACGACGACGAAAACACCTGATGTGCCTAGCGGAGGCGTGTTCTCTGTCAAGACAAAGACATGCTTAATGTGGGCAAGCGCTATTTCCACACGGGTGATCGTTAGCACACAAGTAGATTGGACTGGGAGAAGTTTCATTAAAGGTTTGCTATTCTTTCTTCCCACAACATCTTGTACTCACGCTCGCAATACGCAAAGGTCTGATCGAAAAATCAGCAATAGACGGTCAAAAAGTATACCACTCTGACCTCGACAAAGCCATGCGGATGTACATCCAAGAACACCAATCCGAATTCATCCCAGCAGGCGTAGACCCAACAGCCGTAGCACCCGTCGAGCCCCTTAGCCCCGTCATCGAACTCACCAATCCCACTCTCCTCGGTGGTTCCTCGGGCATGTCAGACGCAGCAGCCCGTAAAGCGCGCGAACACGAACGTAACAGGCGTGGGCTCCAATGGGCGTATGAGACGTTTGACGGTGCCTACGGCGTTGCGACACGCTCTACGTTCGGAGCGCTTGAACTTGTCAAGGAAGCTTGGGAACAGAGCTCGTCGATGACGATCTTATATTTCGTCATTGTTATTCTCGTGTTCAGTAATCTGTGGACATTAATGCTCGTGGGGCAGAGGGAGGAGGCGGGGAGGAGGAAGGAGGCAAAGAGGACTGAGGAGAGGGAGAAGTGGGTGCAGGATGTTGTTTCTGGGCTTTGGGAGGAGATGGCTGTTGGGAGGGTGAGAGGTAGTGTCGGGTCTCCTGGTGTTTTTGGAGTCGGTGGTGGGTCGGTGAGTTCTGGTGGTGGGGCTGTTGGCGGTGGCGGGTCGGTACATTTGAGTCAAGTGGGCGGTGATTGGAGGTCGGAGGTGGATGCTATCACTTCGACGTTGAATGCTGTTGAGGAGCGGGTCAGGCTCTTGCGGGAGAGCCTGGATACCCTGAATTAACTTATTGGAGATCTACGCTCCTACGCACATACTACACTTATTATTATCGTAGCACTGGCCAAATTCTCGGCGCCAGTCCCCTACTCGCTTATTTTTGGCATATTTTGTGTCTATCGAATTAAACGCAAACTAGTCTTTACTTCGTTTTGCATTGGCAAATGACTGCCAGTCCCCTGTAATCCTGTCAATGCGACGTGATGTATAGACGGTACTGTAGAGATACGCACTTAGGTTCGGCCCTATTGAGGTGTGACCAAATGAACGTTAGGTTCGAAGGTTCGCAGGGGGTGTGTGACGTGTGACACGCTGTGCTTAGGTTCGATGACCGTTAGGCAGAGCCTGCCAGTGGATGACACAGAGCTTCAATCTACAGTGAATAGGTCTAAGGAAGTTGAGGCTGGGGGCTGTAGCAAGCGCAGACACATGGCAAACACTCAGTACAAGGTCAGACTTTTTTTCATGTTTTTACTGTGTGTCACAGTTTAGGTTCGACGGCCTCAAAATTGGTGTGACTGTCACACAAAATAGGTTCGATTCGCTAGGCGTGTGATGGTGTGACGAACTTAGGTCACCTGAGTGGCACCATCAATATTACTAATTAGTAATTATGTCAGGTACCTTATCTCATTACTAAGTAGTAGAGTGTAGCTATGTTCTACTACACCAGCAAATATACCAGCAAACCAGCAGTACCTTGGGGACACTCACCTTCCTTGTTTCGGGCTGAATGTGACAGCCCGCCTAATGCCGAATCTTGTTCCTGGCTATTTCCCACTATTGTCACTTCCTCTATATTGCACCTGCTGTCATCCACTTAACGTCAGCAAGGCTCTGCTCATCATCTATGATGATGAGCTCAATATGCAGTTATTCTGCACCTGATTTTCAACCATTTTATTCCAGACCTTTTGCTACTGGTTGGCACTAGTTGTACTGCTGTTATCCCATCTATATGTTATGTTTTTTTATTTCATCTTTTGTCATATAATAACACCCTCCTTAGCTCTTACATGTCTTTGACCACGAGTCTACTGCATGCAGCAATAAGTAACTGTGTATGTGGTGAGTGTTGTTCCCACACTTCCTTGCTCTCAACACTCACTGCAGGTGCTTGATGATGTCCTCTACAAAGCGGAAATGCTTATCCACGATCCTGCATGTGCATGAGACACATATTCTGGATACTGGATCATCAAGGACTATGAAAGCATCCCTCACTCAAGTCCAGAGAGACTGTTTGGCCTTTGAAGAAGAGCAACATGCAACAAACATTCGTACATTCTCCCATACTTACCTGTATCATCCAGTTCTAACATGAATACATGTAGAATTGACAGCTAAGACACAACAACTGCTTGCCGAAGCTGTTCTTGAAGTTGGATGGGCATCCACTGGGGATCCTGCAGTACCTTCCACTGACTATGGTAACTGGGACCACGACAACCATCATCTGAATGGTGCTGACTCAGATGATGAGGAGACTGAAAGCAATGCTGGCAACTGGGCTGCACACTCAAAGGTGGGGGCTGTGGGACAAGATGACCCAGCTCTCAGTGCAATGCATGCACAGATCATCATTTGGTGAGTTGAGTTATTTTGATCTTGATAGTTCTCTCACTGTATATTAGTTTACAAGGTATGAAAAACTATCGTTGTTGAGCACCCCATTCCCATCTCCATCGTAATCAAGCAATGCATGCTGCATGGTCCAGTCAAATGACTGACTTGGTTGGCTCCTTCCTCTCGTGGAAGCACCGTGGCGTTGAGAGTGCAACTGGTGGGATCGATGGTAGGGTGGGGTCTACATTTTATGTCACAAGTGTTGGTATATCAAGTGAGTGTCCAGTATATTTGCCTTCTCATTGACAAGCACTTATTCGCAGGTTTCTGTGCTGTTCAATCAATCCACCAAGCACCAGATGAGCTCGCCAATGTTTCTCTAATCAAGGCTGGCTTCCTAGGTTGTTCCCCACAACAACCTACCACTGCTATCTCTCTTGAATGTCTCGAACTTTATCATCAAATCTGCTGCCGCAAGTCTTCCTTTAGCATGCAAGCCATGGTCAAAGTCCTTTGTGCTCTCCATAAAGTGTGTAAATAAGTTACACCACTGCACCCTACTAATATTATTGCAGTGCACATACTTTCAATCATTCCATGATCAATTTGCAATCACCTTTGATGCCTACCTCAATGTCTTGCATCATGTCAAGGCTCTCGTCAACCAGGCACTTGGACACGATAGTTTGAACTGGCAGATGTTAAATGCTTGTCCACCATGCAGCTATAAGGCATGTAATATCAACATGTTCTTCTCATGCATGCACTCAATATATATTTTTTCATTTAGCAAGATAATGAAGATTCCCTTGACCCTGCTTGGCTTGACAGCATGGACGGGAACAATTCATTAAAGTGAGTTGATGGCTCTGGCCATGCCGATGAGCGAGTTTTCCCATCAGAGTATTTGATCCCACCTTCTGAAGTGGAATTCTTTAAGGACAATGTTCGCCTGCACCCAGGCACTCGCATAGCTGCTGATGTCACACCCACAGCTGCCAGTGATGATTCTGCCTGCACAGAGAATTGGAAAATGGCAAATACCATCAGTGAGAACACTGTCAGCGTCTTTGATCAGACAGGAATTTTTGTCAGTGCTTGTCATCATGGCATAGTACAGACTTTGGTAGAGATGCGTAAGAGCAGAGAACTGTATGCCATAAACATTTCATACTCAAGTGTACATTGTTCTAATTTTTCTTCTAATGCAAAGTATGCACTAGCAACCACAAACAAGATTCTCAATGTCTACAGCTTGAATGGCACCACAGGCTATGATATTGGATGCTTGTATAGCAAAACTGTTGCAGCAAGTTCAATATCATTAAAGGCCAGTGCTAACCACCATCGCTTCCTTGTGAACTTGTTTCATGGCCATGCTCACAATTGCCAATGTCAAATTCAATATCATCCACTCTATCAAAAGGGTCTTGGCATCGAGGACTTAGAAATGTGCGAACAAATCTTCTCTGGTTCCAATGCAGTTGCACCTGTTGTTCGTCACGTGTCTTACTTTCATTGGCTACAATTCATTGGACTACATTTTGACCAATGGGACTTAGACAAATACTCTGAACTCAGTGGGTGTTTTGCTTGAGTCGAGAGGCCTTACATCAATAACATTTTCAATAGGTAAATTCATCTACAATAACTACAAGCAGGCCCTCCATATCATCAATGAGCTATCGCCTGCAGTTGAAGAGCTCAAGGCACAGCTTAGCCTGACTGATGTGGATTTTGAGAAATGGAACACCGAGGAATTAGAGTACTTGCAGGCCCTCACTATTGAGACTGAAGAAGATGTTGAGAAAATGACATACGTTGAAGCCCTTGAGTCCTTGGTGAGCGCAGAGTAAGTTTTTGAATTATTTACCCATGTCAAACTAAGTTTAATCTCTTCAGGGCTGTGTACGGGCGTGTCACATCTGTTCAGTTCCTGTCCTATACTCTGGCGGATTTCATGCCCATTCAAGGGCTTTCCAAGAGTGTGCAAGCCGTTGCAAGAGCTCAGGAGGCTGAGCACAGCGCAGCGTACTGTAGGTTAGTACTGGAGATGAATGCTGTTGATGACCTCGAGTGTCAAATGGGCATCACTGAGCATTGGACTTGAGAACAAGGCGAATATAAACATGCACTCAACTCCTTGACAAATTGTCATTTCATCTGTGTTGTCGAGCACCTTGAAGGGTTAGTGGTCAAGAGGCTATTTGAGTTAGCCAAAGCCAATCTTGCAGGGACTGGTAAGTATTTTGCACACAGTGATCTAGTACTTATTCATGCTTTGATAACAGGTTACAAATTATGTCAACACATCTCAAATGCTATTGCTCGACGATCTGCAGCAATACATGTGGCATTGGACAAGTACAATGGCCTCGCACCTTTGCAAAGCCCACACAGACCAACTCTTGAATACCATGATATCGCATCTTATGTGTGACTGGGGGAATTTGACTTACTGAAGCATTCTTGTTGAGACCTCCTCTCCAAGCCTTGGGCTTCAAAAGCCAATTGTGAAGTCACTGCAAAATATTTTAAAGTAGTGTGTGCATGTGAGGAGATCACTCACTTGAATGTCAAAGCAGCATGGCTTCATATGTGGGTTGATGATGAAGATGCACATCTGTTGTCAGTTGCATGGTCACTCTCAGAGACTAATCCTGCCCTTGCATATGAGATTCAGTGGCAATTTGAGGAACATCATTGGGTGAATAACATTCACCACACCAGACTTGGAGCAATCTATGATCTCCCAGGATATAATGGTCTTGTTCATGTGGGTGAAGAAAGGAGGGATGGAGATGGTGTTGAATTGGTGTTGGGTGACTTGGATGGATCCTTGGTGATTCTTGCAGATGAGGATGATACTCTTTGTGATGAGGCTAGTTGCCTCGATGCATGTATGTCTGAGTAGAATTAGAATCAAAATCTATGGCAATGATATGACTCAGTGCAATATATGTCCAGCTGTAAGACTGAGCCACTACATCACGCTCAGAGACAATATATACAAGAACACATCAGACTTAGACAAGCTGTTACATCATGCTTGGAGAGATGATATATACAAGAACAGTAAGACCGAGCTACTAGTAGTAGCATCATGCTCAGAGACAATATATACAAGAACATCATCATACTCAGATGAGCCACTGCATCACGATTAGAGATGATATATACAAGAACAGTAAGACCGAGCCACTACATCATGCTTAGAGATGATATATACAAGAACACATCCTACTCAGAGACAACATATATAGTAAGTACAATATCTAATGACATTGACTCTCAGACAAGCAAGTCAACTTCAAGACATGTGTGACCAACCCCTTTGATTCAGCCACTGGATTGATCAGCAATGCAACAAAGTGTAGATACACTTTCATGCATCACATCCTCATTGGCCTTGTTTCCTCATTGGCCTTGTCATTGAACCACTGGCACTTTTAAACAAGATGAAGGTCAAGTACTACATGCTAGGTCACTACATCTCAGGATCATACATGGTCTTTTGGATTGGTTAATTGGATCTACTCAATTGATTGTGTACAGTGCTGACACCAATTACAGAATTTGTTAAGCAAAAAGCTGCTGCCTCACCTTTGCTTGCATCCTCCCAACTACCCCAGACCGAAACTTGGGCCTTGAAGGGCACATTTGCTTATACTACACCTGCAGCACATCATATGGAAAGATTTTCATGGCTAGATCTTGCTGTAAGCATGAATACCACAGTATGAACATCCCTTGATCGCTTCAGTCTCTGAAACTTATTTCTCACTGCAGCATTCAATTTTTGTTACGTTCGAAGCACACTACTCATTTTCCAATCGAGCCAATGTTTGTCGAAACTCACCGGCAGTGCTCATCAATACTCGACAGTCCCTGTGCTTGAATATCACTGATTCATGGAAACTCATTGATACACAAGTATCCCAAGCGATTTTGTTAATGCGTGACATGTTCACTTCTCAAGTAGTGCACCCAATTTCAAAGAAGGTTTTTAAGAGATGGAATAAACCAGCATGCACCTGTGGTGTGAAGGTTAAATCATGCAGTAAGTCGCCTTGTTTCCTTTGTCCTGACTTATTTCTCATGCTTGTCCTTCCTACAAAGCCAATAATATATTTCAACTTGGAAGCTGTGCCTCACTCAAATTTCCCCTGCTGTCATCACCTATTCGCCCTCCTCCAGCTTGAGATTTTGTTCTCACACCCACAGCTGCAAGTAGAACAACAGCCACCATGAGTTCATGTGGAGCACGGGTGTGCCCTCACAATCCAACAGAGCAGGCACAACCTGCAACCACAAGTTCATGTGGGGCATGAACACACCCTCACAATCCAACAGAGCAGGCACAACCCACAAGGGATTTTGTTCTTGCACACCAGTGTCCTCCACCTGCAAGGGAATTTATTCTTGCTCCCACTGCTATCCACCAGAAGCCTGTGCCTTCTGCTGAGGTTCCTCCATGTGTCGACAATGTAAGTATTGTCAGCTGTGAGTGTTCTAGCAGTCCTGCAGCAAGTATTAGTGAGTGACAGCTACCATTAACATTCACACACTATATATTTTCTTAGGTTCAATTTCCACTTTATCGGATCTGCCTAGCACCCCAAACTTATCTCCATTCAAACTACTGGCACAATCGCAAGTCATGTCAATTGGTCTCCAAGATCTGAATATTGGACAATTGATGTCTATGGTATTTGATTTCACAGATCTTAGTGTATATACCTGATGGTAATTTATTTTTTAAAGGACTTGGAGGACTCCGCTGTTACTGCCTCCGATGCATCAGTTATGGAGTGTAATGCTGTTCACTGTGTGACCTTGGGTTCTTCTGAAACTACTAGTAGGGCTAATCCCCCAAGTTTTACAACAAGTGTTGTTCGTGTTATTCCTTTCCCATGAACTCAATATCCTGATGCTATTGGACAGTTTGGGTTGGGTGCATTTCACCCCGTCTGGAGTGGAAGAGGTCAAAGGCTGGCTGGTGGTGATGCACCACCATTGTACACTGACTCTGTCATAGCAGGGGAAGAATATGTTTATGCTGTGATGAGGCCCAACTTAGGTTAGGTAGGGATGCAATACTGAAGGTTTAAAATGCTGACATATAAATACACTGTAAAAACTTGAGTCACATCTGTCCATACCATAATATATACTTTTGATGAGCTGAAGATCTGCCATGTGGCAAAATAAAGTATATTTTACAGGCTAATAAACCTACTGTCCCTTGCCATAAATTTATTCCGCACCTCATTCAACATCTCAGTCTCTTGTCTGTCTATCTTCATATAATGGTTGTTAATATCACACCGAAAATCAAACATGTTAGGCCAAAACTCACTGTGACACAGAAGGCCAACCATCGCAAAAAGGCTGTTGGCCTTTCAAATGCCATTGATGAGGCATGGGAAGCATATCAGGAGGAAGCTGCAGTTATTTCAGAAAAATACAAATGGTGGGGACACAATACCTTGTAATGACCTCAACACCTACAATGCTACAAGAGTCAGGAGCACCAAGTGGACTCAGCTCCAGTTGCACAACAATAGAGGCCTGCGCCTGCACCAAAAACCTAATGCATGGAATGCATTCACAAGTCAAAAACTGAATGAAGTGAACCAAGGTATTAGTGTGTTTCTTCTTGGTTGACAAAAAAACTAACACCTTACTACAGCACTTCCTGTGGGACAGTGGTGGAAACTTACAGCATTCATTGCACAGCATGGATGAGAGCTCACCACCAGATATTGTCACCTCTCCACATCTGAGAAGGAAAAGCTTTGTCATGAAGTTCATACTTTATGCGAGAATTGCATCAAGATCATGCGTTCAAATCCGAAAGCACTGCAAAAACAAGTTAATGTGATGTTCAACAGCATGGCAAACAAAGTATGTACCACAAGTTTTTATGGTTGTGTTTGACCTAAGGATGGATGTTAGTGGGAGAACATCACTTCTTGAACAGGCATTGAAGGCTTCTACATTGCAGTTCGTGGTGATGTTGAACATTTTCATGAATTGAAGATTTTCTACACACCCAAAGCCCAGTCCTTCATCAAGGAGATCTCACATCTCAATCCAAAGCATTTTGCACTCAAGTTCAAATCATGGGTAACTGGTAATTTTGGTAAGCATATAAGGTCGTCCAGGGTTAATGAATACTTAATGTTCAGTGTTCAATTCCCACAGATACTCATGCTGATTCAACACACCATTTGTCTCCCACCAAGTTGATTAATTTATGTTGCACCAACATTCAGGAGGGACTCAGTGAGTAGTATGTACTTGTCATTTGAAACATCGTTGCTGATGCAGTCCATGTGCCAAGATGCCATCATGAGAAAATGCAACTTGTCGAAGAAGATTAAGATGAACTATGACAACTACAAGAAGAAAATCATCAAGATGCACAGCATTGCACTTGAGGGCTGGACATGCGGCAAGGTTCAGAACCCTGGCAAGATTTGCCATTGCAAAGACCTGGTAACACTCCTTGATGCATTGGTGAATGAACAATGCTTGTGGATTCAACTTACCCAAGAGCAAGTGGAGCAGCACATAGCAGGTAACCGTGAATGAGCAAACAATGGCAAGTCTGTTTACAAGCCATGAAAAGCCACTAAAAGAAAGGTCACTGGCAGCACCAAAAGTGCAGCTGTAGTTGGGGATACTGACAGCTCAGAGGATGAGGAGGTGGACAAGGAGGAGGAGGAGGAGCAAACATAGAGGGAGTGGCTGTCGCAGGCTAGTCACTATGTTAATACCATACATGTATTCATGTTAGCACTGAACATATGAATGTTTGGTGTTACAGTAACGGTTGCCCCCTATCATTTTCTCCATTGTATTACGTCATGACCGCACTTCACCGTGCCATCACTAGACTGACTCCATTACTATATCCATGTATTACAGCACGACCGCCTCATGCCATCGCTAGCTGACGTCATACCCCTTATCTCTGACTCATCTCGATGACGTCATTTCTCTTATCTATGACTCGTCTCGATGACGTGTACGTACCGGCCCTAAAGTGGCCCTACCTATATAAACAGGGTCTTGTACTTAGTTAGACTTCACTTTAATCTACTAGGTTTTACCCAGAACATCCTTCGCTTAAGACCCCCAATCTTAAGCGTCTGTATCGATATTCAAGTCGGAGACACTCTCTCTAACTTGTCTTAAGAGGCCTTACATTTGTGAGGTTACGACTCGGCTTTAGACGTCACTCTTATCGAGTGTCTATTGTCGCGCCTATCCTAGTCGACCTACGGTTCACCGTAACATTTGGTGCACATTGCTCTTCTTCAAAGGCCAAATGGTCTCTCTGGACTTGAGTGAGGGATGCTTTCATAGTCCTTGATGATCCAGTATCCAGAATATGTGTCTCGTGCACACATGGGATCATGGATAAGTGTTTCTGCTTTGTAGAGGACATCATCAAGCACCTGCAATGAGCATTGAGAGCAGGGAAGTGTGGGAACAACACTCACCACATACACTGTTACCTTATTGCTGCACACAGTAGACTTGTGGTTGAAGATGTGTAAGAGCTAAGGAAGGTGTGATTATATGAGAAATGAAAGAAAAAACATAACATACAGAGTAGACAACAGTGGGACAACTAGCACCAACCAGTAGCAAAAGGTCTGGACAAAAATGGTTGAAAATCGGGCGCAGAATAACTGCATATTGAGCTCATCATCATAGACGACAAGCAGAGCCTTGCCGATGTTAAGCAGATGACAGCAGGTGCAATATAGAGGAAGTGATGACAGTGAGAAATAGCCAGGAACAAGATTTGGCATTAGGTGGGCTGTCACATTTAGCCTGAAACAAGGAAGGTGAGTGTCCCCAAGGTACTGCTGGTTTGCTGGTATATTTGCTGGTGTAGTAGAACATAGCTATGCTCTACTACTTAGTAACGAGATAAGGTACCTGACATAATTACTAATTAGTAATATTGATGGTGCCACTCAGGTGACTTAGGTGTGTATCTCTACAGTAGACATCCATCTTAACCAGTCTTGCTTAGCCAAGTGGTAAGTGTCACAGAATAGAAATCTTTTATGTAACCAGGTTCAAAACCTGGTCAACAATCTTTTGTCCTTTTACCATGCCTTGAACTTTCAAACATTCACTCATGGATGGATCCTTCAAAGCATATCTTAAGTGTCATAACCAACTGGTACCAGCAACAAATTAGACATCTGTTTCTCTTGGACTGTACAGGTTTGAAACCTGCTAAATGAGAGTTTTTTGTTTTCTAAACATGCCTTGAAGATTCACCCATGGATGGTTTCCTCAGAGGCTCATCTCAACTTTGTTCTGGCCAAAGTAGTTCAACTACCACAACAGAATCTAAATCTGTCTCTTGCACTATGGTGCTAGTGCAGGTTCAAAACCTGCTGACCAGAAGGCTTTTTTTTCATCAGAATGTACCTTGAAGATTCATTCATGGTTTCCTTGGAGTTCCATCCCATGTAGCCTTAACTGGTCTTAGCCAGGTGGTTACTACAACAGAATCAAAATCTGTCGCACTGATCACAAGGTGGAACACACTGACATTCACTCATAGATGGTTTCATTGGAACTCCATCATAACAGGTTTCAGCCAAGTGGTTACCATAACAGAATCCAAATCTGTTTCTCTTGGATTGTGTAGGTTCAAAACCTGCTGAATGACAGTTTTTTTCTATCAGAACACACCTTGACATTCATATTAACTCATGGATGGTTTCCTCGGAGGTCCATCTTAACTAGGCCCCATCATTGCACTGAAACTCTTTTTTATGTGATAATTTGTATATGTGTGAAGTTACCACAACAGAATTTAAATCTGTTTCTCTTGGACTGCACAGGTTTGAAACCTGCAGAATGACAGGTTTTTTTCTCTAAACATGCCTTGAAGATTCACTCATGGATGGCTTCCTCAGAGGCTCATCTCAACTTTGTCCTGGCCGAAGTAGTTTGACTACCACAACAGAATCTAAATCTGTCTTGGCACTAGTGCAGGTTCAAAACCTGCCAACCACAAGGCTTTCTTCTATCAGAACACACCTTGAAGATTGAAATCTGCTCTCTCAGGTGGTAGGGTTTGAAATCATGATATTTCCTCATTGTCTAGTTCTCTGGAAGTTCATCTCAAACTTGCAAAGTTACCACAACAGAATTGAAATCTGGTTCTCTTGGACTGCATAGGTTTGAAACCTGCGCAATGATAGGTTTTTTTTTCTAAGCATGCTTTGAAGATTTGCTCAAGGATTGTTTCCCCAGAGGTTCATCTCACTTCATCCTGGCTGAAGTAGTTCAACTACTGCAACAGAATCTAAATCTGTCTCTTGGACTATGACACTAATGCAGGTTCGAAACCTGCCAACCACAAGGCTTTTTTATATATCAGAACACACCTTGAAGATCCACTCATGGTTTCCTTGGAGGTCCATCTTAACTGGTCTTAGCCAGGTGGTCACCACAACAGAATGAAAATCTGTCAAACTGATGACAAGGTCTTTTTTCCTGGAACACGCTAACATTTACTCATAGATGGTTTCATTGGAAGTCTATTATAACAAGTCTTAGCCAAGTGATCACCATAATGGAATCAAAATCTGTTTCTCTTGGATTGCATAGGTTCAAAACCTGCCAAATGTTGGTTTTTTTCTACCAGAACACACCTTGTCATTAACTTGTGGATGGTTTTCTCAGAGGTTCATCTTGACTAAGCCCTGTCATTGCACTGAAACCTCTTTTTTATGTGATGATTTGTATATGAAAAGGAATCCCCTTCACACCCTGCGAGGGTCATCTCAGAAATATCAGATACAGTGGCTCAAAAAACTGTCTGCATGTTTTGACATTTTTCACTATCTATGATATTGTGTGAGAATGAACAAATGCCTCAAGGACATGGTTATACCACATTGTAGTATGGCTTCAGGGCTTTCATTTGAGCCCTACACCGTGGGAATCGGTGGAGATATGGTGGAGACATAAGGCTTATAAAATGATGACTCATGTGGACAGTTTTTTGAGTGTATATTAAAACTATATAAATCATTATTTATGACACCACAAAAATCATGCCACTATTATATAAATTATGAAGTGGTGTCATTATGTTATTTTATGACTATATCTAACTATATAAACCAGAATATCTCATGTATCATAGTCATAATCACTATGAAAGCCATCTCCTCTGCTCAAAGAGATAATATCCTCTCTCTGTCTTATGCTGGCCTCTCTGCTTGCCAAATTTTCTCTAGAACTGGAGTATGCAAGTCCACTGTGGCCAAGTTTATCAAAGAAAGCCACCCAGACAAGGAAAACTCTTGTGGAGGACGTCCATCCAAGCTTACCTCTACTGACAAAAGGGCTATTATCCAACATATCACTACAGGAAAGGCTGATAATGCTGTCCAAGCCACCCATTATATCAATTCCACCATCACTACCCCTGTCTCTTCACAAACTGTGAGGAATGTTCTCAAGGCAGCTCATCTCAAGGCAGTAACAAAGAAGAAAAAGCCTCTTCTCTCCATCAAACATAGGCAGAGAAGACTAGCCTTTGCCTTAGCTCATCAACACTGGACTGTAGAGGACTGGAAGCATGTTATATGGTCAGATGAGACCAAAATCAATAGGATTGGGTCAGATGGGAAAGGTATATGTATGGAAAAAGAAGGGAGATGGCCTAACAGACAGAGAGGTTAATGAGACTGTCAAGTTTGGAGGAGGTTCTTTAATGGTATGGGGCTGTATGGGATGGAATGGTGTGGGAATGCTTGCTGAGGTTGAGGGGAAGATGAATGCTGAGCAGTATGTGGACATTTTAAATGACCACTTGCTGCCTAGCTTGGCAGAATCAGGGATTAATGAAGAAGATATCATTTTCCAACAGGATAATGATCCCAAGCACACATCCAGAAGAGCTAAGGAATGGTTTGAAGAACATAACATCAATGTTCTTGACTGGCCAGCACAGTCTCCTGATGTCAATGTCATTGAACATCTCTGGGGAACACTCAAGAAAAAGCTTCAAGCCTATGAAAACCCCCCTAAAGGAGTATGGGAGCTTTGGGAGAGAGTAGCAGTGGAATGGGGGAAGATCACAGCTGAGGATTGCCAGAAATTAATTGAGAGTATGCCTAGAAGGATAGAGGCAGTAATTAAAGCCAAGGGAGGTCATACAAAATACTAGAATACCTGGTTATTATTGTAAAATACTTGAGTCAAAAAACTGTCTGCATGAGTCACCATTTTGTGAGCCTTGTATCTCCACCATATCTCCACCGATTCCCACGGTGTAGGGCTCAAATGAAAGCCCTGAAGCCATACTACAATGTGGTATAACCATGTCCTTGAGGCACTTGTTCATTCTCACACAATATCATAGATAGTGAAAAATGTCAAAACATGTGGACAGTTTTTTGAGCCACTGTAGCTGAAGCAGACCCACAACACCATTGAGAGATATCAGAACAGTTGATTGGGATGTTATTGGGATAATGAGAATGGTGCTAATATTCAGGGGGAGGCAGCAGAAACTCAGTGGCAACAATTTATTAATGCCAGCCCAAGCAACAAGGTATGTAAATATGCTCAGATCTCCAGCTGCTCCTTACCTTTTATTTTGAGATGATGAAACCATTCAAAAATGCTGGATGGGGATTTTGGCTCCAGATGTTGGAGATCATGCCAAATAGGAGTGGTGCTGAGGGCACTGCTGCCTATAACCTGGCTTCATTGGCCACACAGGCTTCAGAACCCATCACTGAGGCCAACACTGAGGCCAGTGGATCAGCAGTTGCTGCTGCTAGCACTGAGGCCAGTGGTGTTGCTATGGGGCTTGCTATTAGTGTGCCTGGTGCTCACAATGACACCAGTAGCAAAGGGCCTGTGGCTGCTGGCTTTGCATGGGACCAAGTCATGTCCACCCTTCCATTCACTAACCCTGGAATCATATCTGGCAGTTCCATGAACCCCCCCTCCCCTATCTTCAGTTGCAGCCTCAAATAGTAGCACCAGAAAATGTTCACATTCCAACATGCTCTTTTCCTCCAGCACTACCCAAACTTCATTATCACAGATGGATTCCCCCACCCTTGACAAGAAGCCAAAGTTGTCAGTACATGGTAGCAGCACCATGTTGTGTGTCACTGGTCAATGCTCAGGCTCCAAGGATGCCAAGGACACCACCAGCACTGCTGCATTTATGAACCTTCAAGGTTCCATAAACTGTCTGACAGACAGTCTCAGAAATATGCTGGCCAGCACTGATGAGAGTTGTGTAGCAAATGAGAGATTGCAGGCCTTGGCTGTGATGCAAGATGACAAGCACATCTTGCCAGCTGACAAGGTCACCCTCATGAACATGTTCATGAGGAGCCCACCAATTTGTGCCACATACTTGTCCAGCAAGCTTGAGAATCATCTACCTTGCCTGCAATCAGTTATCCACCAGGCTGCCAGGGAGGATTATGGCCTGCTGTAATCATGTTCTTCATTTGTGTTCTTCATGTGTCATTCTGTATTGCAAGTTGTTTGTTTTAGCTGTCACTCTTTGATATGCAGCACATCTTCGTTTGTTGTACAATGTACACTACAATACATTGTGAATGTTATAGATCATCATTGTCCACATCATCCTCACTCCCATAGTACTCATCCATGTCTTCCTCTTCCTCTGGATCTTCATCAATATCTAAGGAGTGAAATATGTCTACTAAATCATGCTCATGTAAAATTCTCTGATAGTCCTCCCACATCTCCATGGCCATGTGATTACAAAACATGTTTGCATTTGCATCATCACCGACAATCATACTATCATGTGTTACGGCGAACTAGGATGGGCATGACGACAGATACTCGATAAGAGTAACGTCTGCGATCGAGTCAGGCCTTACAAATGTAAGGTTCTTAAGACAAGTCAGAGAGAGTGTCTCTGGCTTGAATATCGGTTATCAGACGACTTAGGATTGGAGGTCCTAAGCAAAGGATAGTTCAGGTGAAGACCTAGTAGATTAAAGTGAAGATCTATCTAAGTACATGACCGAGCTTATATAGATGTAGCCTACTTTAGGGCAGGTATGTACATGTCATCAAGACAAGTCAGAGATAAGGAAACGAGTCATCTAACACGTCATCAAGATGAGTCAGAGATAAGGAAATGAGTCACCTAGCGACAGCAGCGGCAATCATGGTGTAATACAGATATAGTAAAGGGTTAGTCTAATGATGGCGCAGCGTGGTGCGGTCATGATGTAATACACAGGTAGACAGAGAGAAAAGAGATAGGGGTAGATGTGACTGTAACATCATGTGCTTTGTTGGGTTGCCCTTGATAGGTGGGGTTGTCATTGAAGACAGCTCTCTGAGGCAGAGGCCCTTCACCTGGGTCATGGACACTTATGTAGTTATGTAGAGCACATAGTGCTGCAGGAATGCAAACTTGAATTTGAATCTTGTACTCAGGGGATATTAAAAGGATGTGAAAGCGCTGCTTCACAACACTGAAAATATGTTCAATGACATTGCAAGCAGACACATGATGAATATTGAATAATTCTTCCTTGTTGACAGGCCTAAAAATATTATTGGATGAGCTGGACTACAAAAGAGAACTGTTAAGTTTTACCTGACACTGGCACAACCCCATTTGGCCAGATGGTAATGAACACCACAGTAAGGGACCAAAAGTTGTTGGCACAAGGGGAACCCTAGGTCTGCAAGAAGATATTTTCTTGGTGGGATATCCAAGCTGTTATTACAAGCTTCACCCCAGAGCCATGGATCTGTTGTTGATCCCTCCCATCCCGTCAGTGCAAAGGTAAACCTAAGGTTGAAGTCACAGATGAAGAGACAGTTTTGAGAGATGAAACCTTTTTGGTTGTAGTACAGGTGGTGGCTGGCTGGGAAAATGCATGGATGTGGCTACCATCAATGGCTCCAATAGCATCCCAAAAGTATGGCCAATGTTTCGGATTATCATGAATCATGCTGGAGACAGGTGCATCAGCAACAGGAAGGTGAACATGAGTGGTGTAGAAGGGGTGGGATGCAAATATATGTAGCATCTTTCAGAAATATCTATCAGGCAGAGTTAGCTGAGGTGTGAAACATACATGAAATCACAAACTTCGAAATAGTAGTGTTTGATCACTGGAATTGTTCTGCAATGTGTCTGATGGTTAATCCTGTTACACAGGTGTACAGAAAAATAGCCAGCTGCTCTTTGAGCAACACATAGCATGAATCAATGTGACCAAAGCCACGAAGGTCACGGACTAAGCTCTCAAAGACATGAACATTCACACCAAGTTCACAGTGGATATGCTCTGGATGGCCAACAATTAATTTGATTACCCACTCTTGCCCTGTGAGGGCTAATGTATGGTAGGGCTCAGGGTCATCTGGGATCTGCTGCAGAAGGATTTGTGCTGTGGCAGCAACTAGTATGCTAAGGAGAAGGGCAATATAGCAAAGAATGTGTTGGTGGACCGAAGCTCATGCTAGATGAGCCTGGTCAGGGTGAGTCTGGTCCACAAGTTGGACTAGACAGGTCACAAGGGGTGCCTGTTGAGTAAAAAGGTTAGCAACCAGTGGATGCATGTGTCCTGGGTCCATAACCATCACTACTGCTGTGATCTACTACTATGATCCATGGCCCCATATGTTATCACTATTGATCTTACCAGCTACTTTCAGACTCAGCTTGTATCTCTGTAATGTTCATGCTACCCACAATTTCATTCGGTTTGCAAAATTTTGGTTGCTGAACGGGCTCTATGTCTCTTCTATGATATATGTATTCAATGTCCTGCAGGCGCTGGGGTAGGGGTGTAGACTTGTGACCAGTCTGATGTACATCCTTTGAGAGTGGGAAATCTTTTTTTTTTGAGAGGCCATATTGTCTTAGTGGCAACCACCATTGGCTGGCCCCACTTAGATGGCACTATAGCACCTGATTTGAACTGATGCAGATATTCAGATCTGACCAGTATAGCATTTTTTCAGGCAGAAGATTGCTATCTCTCCAGGAAGAAATGCATTTATGCATACCCATTGCTGGATTAGGCAGGTTATGTGGGACTAAGCAGCGCTAGCACTACCCACTAAAACTCCCTGGTGGTTGTTGTAGGATTTGAACCCACGACCTTCTACTAAGGCCGGCAACTGCCGAAGCAATTCCAGAGTTGGAGGCATATCCACTAAGCCATCCGTCCCCGAGAGTGGGAAATCTTGACGTAGCGCCACTCGACTTGTCCGTGGTTATATAAGCCAGGCTGGTATCGAGCCTAGTAGGGGCTTCCATCATAGTCATCCTCGGTCACAGCATACCATGAGCCGTCGGAATATGACACTTTTTGCCAGGTCGCGCAGCCGACGCTACTAAGTACTCGCTAGTGCTGCTATACAGCCTGTACTCGCCTCGCCGTCTCTCCACGACCATCATGACAACTGTTATGCAGCAATCCTCTAGTAAATCCGACAAGCGCGTCTTAATTTCTCTCCATCAGGAAATCACGAGTTCACTTTTCTAGCGTTTTTAGCGCTTAAAGCTTCAAAACAATGTCAAAAGCATGTATATCAGCAGACGCCATGCAGATGCCTCACCGATCAACGTGTACATTGCGAGTACATAGAATCCACGTGGGCAAGCGTGTAGCCTTCACGATGTCTGTCCTTCGGGACAGCCGAAAACGCGCTTCAGAACATAAAACCCCACGATCAAACTACGCACACAGCCTAACACGCCACGAAGAGAGCAGTCAACTTATCTCCGAATGGACTGCGCATCCAAAACGGCCGTTAGGAAAGGCGGACAGATGGGGGTTCTTCCTCACATGGGGCATCCGAAGCCCAGGGATGTAGACAGGGCAGGGGCCCTATCATGACAGACTAGTGTCCGACATAAGGTATTTTGCCCCATTGATATTGACAAAAAAAACTTCACGATGACATGCATACTGTGTTGGCCAGTTGTCGGAATACAATAGGGCAAGGAAACATTCCATATACTGTGAACCCAAGAGCCAACAACCGGTGAGATTCACCTGTGACTCACCTATCAGTCGTTCATGCCGTATTCACGGGTCGGTGTTGTCAAGTACTGATCACTACCCGCCAATGATGCGCTAAGCCTAGCAGGCGGTGGTAACAACCTCCCTCCCTCTGATTTCGTGCCAATTGGCTAGAATAAACATCAAAAAGTGAAAATCGCACACGCACAAGGTAGTGTAGGGGGCAGATTTGGTTCTGCTGAATATAACCGGCAAAACTCTAGGCGCCTAGCTAAGCTATGCAGACTTTGTGTACGACATTCCTAACGATGACATCAATTTTGCCTCGTCCCATCTTTCATCCTTGCCATTGTAATTAACCACCTCAACCTCACCTAGAATAGCCTGTGGTATTATTCCTTGTTCGACCCGATCCAACTCGTCAAAATCAAAAGTGTTTCCCTCGAGCACTTCAACTCCTTTAATGTTCTGAAGTTCTTCAGTCCTTTTCAACTCCTCGAGGGCTGCAAACTCAGCAGTGATATCGTCAGGCAATATACTCTCTGGAACAGCAAGCAAGTCATTTGCATCGCGAGGCTCGGTCGAGAGTGGAGGTGCCCATGCGAAGGATGCTTCAAGATCCTGTGTAGTCTCGACAGCAATGCCAACCTCTTCACGAGTGTGCATGTGAGCATGTTGACGGCAGGTGGGCTTCCCAGCCTCCGCAGCTTTCACAGCACTGATGTCGAAGGTTTACACGAATTTTGCCGAGTGTTCCAAATGTGTGGTTCGGTAGGTTGCTGTCATGACCCTAAATTCGAGCACCTGATGAGTTATCAGTGTCGCCACAATGTTTTCATTTCCAGTAGTAGCGATTCGAGTTATTGTCAACTCGTTCCAGGCGCTCGAAATTGTCCTTGATCGGTGATATGAGGGGCGCCCTCCAACATTCACCATCTTACTTTAAGGAGGTCGGTTTTCATGCTCTCTTGAATTCCAACTTTGTTATCAGAGATCTAAATTACATCTCCGCAAGTCTTAGATACCCTGGAGTTCTGCCAGGTTCTGCCACCCTCCTTTCGCGTGAGTTCTGCCGAGGACCAGGCACAACCAGTGTTGCCAGACCGGTTGGCAAAACTGCCGAATTCTGCCAACAGCGCTAGCACAAGGTCACCTATCACTGCGTCAGTGGGCCGGCCGGAAAGTAACGACGGGTCATCGTTAGTGCCAGGACACGATAGGAACACAGTCATTTGCCATAAAGTCGTCCTCCACACTAACTTGGAAGTTAGGGATTGATCAAAATAAAAGTACACGGACCGCAATACTAAGTATGTATCCGGCTCTGTCACAAATTCTGCAGCCCTGCAGCTGGCTAAACGGCATTCGATCCCATTGACTTGGTCCAGTTTACAGTTAACTCCCTTGAGCGGATACCATTCGAACGGTTTCGTCTCAATCATTCTGCCAGTATCTCCAAAAAAATGCCTCGACACCCTCTTCTGTGGAGTATAAAACAGGTAGCACCAACAATCGAGTTGCCAACAACTACTCTCCAAGTGGAATCAACTTATCATCATGTTTATCCGCCTCTCTACTGCTTTCGTCATGCTTCTCGGCCTGACGGTCCTTGTCAGCGCTGAAGCACCAGTAAGCCTCTCCTCGCGTCAAATCTTGTCGTATTGACATACGACGTCCGCAGGTTCCTCGTGGGACTTATAGACCCAGGGACCTTGAGAATGAACCACCAGTAAGCCTCTCCTCACGTCGAATTTTATCATATTGTCATACGACGTCCGCAGGTTCCTCGTGGGACTTATAGGCCTTAGCCCGATGCCTGAGGTCCTTATGACTCACGGCATACTGTACGAAGGGAAACTACTGCGCGGGATTGGGCCTTTATGCAGAACCAGTTACAAGGGGGAACATGGGTGGTGCTTACAAGTATACGAGTCAATTTGAGACGCTAGGTGCATTGCCGACTGTTTGCCTGAATCTGCGTGTCTATCGAACTTGTGTGAAGTCCAACACCGGGGACAAGTACCTGCAGGTATGCTCGAATGCTACAGACAGCACAAGCGGAATTGACAGAGTGAAACTCACCCTGTCATCCGAATCGTGGTAATAAGTACCGGAAAACAACAAGCAACATGCCTTTTTTGTTTCATTTTGTCACGTCCGGTCGTTCACAAATACTGATCCTAGAACTTAATACAATCAGACGAAGACCGGCTGTGGGCAATATTCTCAAGTCCCGCGATGTCTAACCTACAGCGTGTGATTTGCCCCTGTCGAAACTGGGAATGTGAGCGTATTTCCGCCTGTCGAGCCAATGAAGTTGATTGCCTCTCTACACGGTCGATATCGACGTAGTTGACATACAGTCCATCACCAGGTAAAGCCACGCTATGCATCCATACATATGTCTAGACCGGATGTCGTGCAAAGGGTTAGTCGGACATGCATGAGTATATGGATGATGCTATCCAAGGTTGGTTACACACATTTCCTACACGGTTTTATCGCAATCATCGGAACGCATCGCGGTACCGAGTCATCTCAACACCAGAAGAGTGAGCAAAAGACAGTGCACTGGGCTTCTGCGATCGTGTTGTCACGGCTTCGATAGCATCAGATGCGAGACATGAGCTGCAGACGATGTGCAGAACGAATTTCTCGAGCGTGAGGTATGTGGTATTTTCGATCTCCTGTCATAGGGATATTCAGTATCGTCGCTCTTCAGTAAGGGACGGGAGAAAGAGGGTACGTGCCTCTGATATCCGTTTGATGATTGCTGGGTAGTCCACTTGGTGCATACCAGATTGCTCGTAGAATATGATGTTCGTGATCACCTTCTGCTTTGCAAGGCGTTCTGGGGGATTGACGCCAATCAGCACGGGCATGACAAGGTCTTTGACCAACACTCTTGCAGCCTGCTGCAAACTGTCTTTGCCTCTGGGTGTAATCACCTCAACCTCAAAGTCGTTTGCAAGTAAAATCTGCTTCGGAAGGCCGATGACGACGCGCACGGCGTCCACATTCTCTCCAGCTAGAGCGAACGCTTTCTGGGTGACCTCATGCACGAGTGAACGAACATCCGCATAAGATACCGAGAGCGCCGAGATGGCTTTGGTGAGATCACCATAGTGGATGGAGTCTACGACGTTGTCGGATTGGCCGGATATGTCAAGGAAGGAGGGTTTGAGATGGAGGTGGACGGTGATGGAGATGGGCTGTTCACGCAGGCGTCCCCAGCAATCTGGGCCAATGTTTGCCGTGAGCTGGATGGTGTCGACGAGCACGACATCAGTGGTGGTGGGCAAGGACATTGTAATAGTCACACAGCTGCCGTTCGGGAAATTCCGTCGAAAGTTATGAAACTGTTTCTCGCATCCCGGCCCATTTCTAATTTGCTGCTGTCCATTCTCAAATACTCTGATCTCCCGTCTTCCTGTGTCCTGACCATCTGCGCGACCTCAAGGAACCGCTCCGGAGTCGACGTCTATCTTCAAGGTGATATATCCCGTATTTGGTGATTCCTTTATTAGTATCGTAGCGCCGCGTACGCGCCAAACGTTCCTGACAAAGGAATCTCCTTCATGTCAGACGAAAAATGATAATGGGCCAGAAGAATGCATGCAAGGTAAGGACTCTGGCCCAAGTCAGGATCCGAAAATGATGTAACCTGCCAGCCTCGCTGAAGCCTCATCGATGGATACTCCTTCAGTCGTTGGTCTATGAGTCGGTCGATATCCTGCAGGCGCCGCGGTAAGGGTGTCCATTGTAGTCACATCCTCGGTTGCAGCATACTATGAGCCGTCGGAATATGAAACTTTTTGCTCAGGTCGCGCAGCCGACGCTAAGTACTCGCTAGCGCTGCTGCCTACTCGCCTCGCCTTATTCGTCTCTCCACGACCATCATGATATCTATTGTGCAGCCGTCCTCTAGTAAACGCGACAAGCGTATCTTAATTTCTCTCCCAAACCATGTAAAGCTAGTTTGCTGCAGTCTTCTAGACGACTTCGATCTCATCACCAGCAGTTGTTCTCGGGCTACTGATCGGTCCATAGTTGGTTTCACGCTTCAACGGTCATCCGATGACACGAAGGCCACCCTCATACCATATAAGTTGGGGGGAGTTTACGACCGACTCAATTGGCAAGATTTAGCAGACCTCCTGCTAGAGATTCCTCTCCCAAGCAGCCTTCCTGGGGGCGTCGTAGCCTATTTGAGAGCAGAACCTCGGGTGAGTTGTCTCTTCTACCTTCTGTAGTAGCACCAACTTATAAGTTTCTAGCCTTTGTATCTCCCCGGGTCAACAGTCGCAGACTCCGACACAGAGTCTATTAATCCCATGGTACCTAATAAGTTATTTCACTACCCAATAAATTGCTGATAAATATTCTTTGTACTTAACAATAGGATGATGAATGATGACCGGGGTCCAGCTCGCTTCTCATGGGAAGGTTCGATCGACCTTTCTATTCCTGCCGTTAGATACATGAAGACATTGTGTTCGGCAACTGCATGTACAGAAGCCACCGCGGTGATACCATGTCTATGTGTCAGTTTGTTGACCACCAGACGCTATGCAAATCAAAATTCATATGCCCCCGTGAACGTTTGAATTCCTGTTGGTGGCGATAAAATTGCTACGGCTAATCGACAGCATGTCTGATCAAGGACCCAGGGCTAAGCGTATCGTGACACTTCTCGCAGAAGTTGATTGATTACGGGTAATTTGTCGCTTCAGGTTGGTATTGTGTACAAGCGTCCAAGGGTATTGAAAATGACGCTTCCAAAAAATGTCAATAGGAAACTTGTAGCAAACCGACCGATTATTGGGATGCAATATGATTGAAACCCTGAGCAAAACAGTAATGGAAGTAACGACAGGACGCAATCAATTAAGAAACATAAAACGAGCACCCAGTCCATATGTAATGGAGCAAAAAACCGGTCGCGATTCTAGTTCGCGACTCATCCTCGATGAATGATATAAAAAGGACGATGAAAAAAGGAAAGTGCTAGTAAGTAATTGTGAGGCGATGCATAATGAGTCTTGAGATGAAGGATACAAGATTATTGTTTGACTTTGACTTGGCGAAAATGCGGAAGTAGCAGAGAAGAGGGACCGGTCCTGCGGTCGACTGGATCATGATCATTGACGAGGAGAAGCAAAGAGTGACAGCATTTTCTCTGCTCCTTCTTTGTACTTCTTGAGCTTTTTGTTCTTAAGCTTCTCGGGCTCCTCGGTGTGAGCGGCCGGGGCTCCCCTCGTCGATTCGGGTGAAAGAAGGGTTTCTGGTATCGTGTCACCGTTTGACTGATCCGACGATAAACTTTCGCCGACTGAAGTCGCCGATTCTTTCGATTTGAGCGACGGGGACATTGCTGTTGAACTCGTGCCCGAAACGGAAGGCGATAGGAGGCCACCACTTGATGCCGATGATAGCGTGGCGGATGTGGAAGGAGTGAGAGTTTTTGCAGTAGAACCTGACTTAGCGGAAAATGATGATGGCGGAGACTTTGCACGAAGGAACTGCCTGGGTGTTTTTCGGAACTTCAGCGCAGGTGCACGTCCACGGTGCTTCTCTGATGGACTAGGTGACTCTGCCGGGTCGGTACCGTGAACATCAGACTCTTTAGACATGCCAGAAAATGAGCGTCCACCCATCCGCTGCGAAGGGGTTGATGCTTTGCGGAATACGGCCAACCGGTACCGGTCGACGACACCCCGAGCAAACAAGCTTGTGCCCTTGGTGCCATTGCGATCCTCGCCATCTCCAGCTTCAATGAAGTCCCAGTCCTCTTCCTCTTCCTTCTCCGTACCTTCTTCCTCATCAGGGCCATCGGAAAGGAAGCGATCAAGCGCAGGGACACCAGACTTCTCTCGGCGATTGCGCGTTGTGCGATGGGTGCTCGGTCGAGAGGCGGCTGGCTTTGTGACCTTCGCCTTGACATCCTTAGCTGGTGGAACAGGCACAATCTCCTGAGGCGGCGACGTGGGAGTAGTCGGCAACGGTGATTCTTTGAGAGGAGCAGATGTCGGCTCTGAGGGTGCGATAGGCTCAACTAGCGTTGCAGGTTCCTCAATCAGTGTTGCAGTGTCCTCTTGCGGCTGAACGATGATCTCGGTCGGCTGCTCCACTGGCAGAACTTGTGGTCTCGCTTCAGGAGTCTTCGGTTCTGGAGTCACTTCATCAACGACAGGTAACACCCCCTCGACTTCCGGTTGTATGGGGGTATCCGCAGCATTTGCAAGAATCTCTGGTATCTCTTCCTCATCAGTCTCTTCCCGTTCAGATTCTCCAGATGCGTCATCATCGTCATCATCGTCCAGGATAACAGAATGCCGACCCTTGAACGAGTACCCGTCAAAGACATCGACACTCTCGTCAATTGGATGCACTGATGGGCTACGGGAATGTGAGGGCGTCGTGTTTGAGTCCTCGCCTTCCCCATCTGTAGGCTCGGCGTCCGTTTGGTCACGGTCTGTATCAGTCTGTTCCTGATCGTTCGGGTCGTCAATCACTGGTTCCATATCCAGGAATGTGTCGTCGAAGTTCTGGGTATCACTTGCATTGGATGGATCAATAGGTGGGATATAGGGGGCTAGAGGGATAACGCCAAGTAAGCACATCATATCTATCTATTGCAGCAGCGAATATGCCTCACGTATATAACGCTTGTAATACACGTGCGACCAGTCACTGAAGGGGAGGAAATCAGAATCAGGAAAGTTGGCCTCGTGATAAACTCACATCATGGAGAAGTACGGGTGCCGCTTGATCCGCGGCTCGCACATCCTAAGTGCAGGATTTCGTTGCAAGAGCTATGCGAGGGCGACTATAAATGACTTGCAATCATAGGCAAGAAGTATCACCCACCCCTCTAATCAAACTCTTAGTATCTTGGTCAATCGCTCTGTCCTCAGGAAACTGCAGCTCGTCCTGCAAGACTCTGACATACATGTCGGAGTGGTTATTCGCCCAGAATGGCGTCTGTTGTGCATCTGAGTAACCGTCGGAACTTAAAGCCAGGACACTTACAATTCCCGTCAACATCTCATAAAGCATGGTGCCAAAACTCCACCAATCAACCTCGTAACTGTATGGCAGTCCTTGGATCACCTCTGGAGCCAAATACTCTGCTGTGCCACAAAAAGTCGTCGTCGTGTCCATAGGGCCAACAGTCTGCCCATTCCATCCCACTACAAGGTCCTGGCTCTTCTCGCCCTTCATCCAGGGCGGCGTCGCAGGCTCGATGCCCGGAGCTGAATAGAACTCACCCCGTGTGGGGGTAGGAGGCGCGGTCGTTGCGGCTACACGGCGTGGGAACTCTTTTGAGAGGCCAAAGTCTGTCAGTACGATGTGCCCATCTGCACCAATAAGGATGTTTTCAGGTTTGAGATCGCGGTAGATGACGCCGGCTGCATGTAGGCCCTCGACACCCTCGACTATCTCCGCGGCGTAAAATCGGGCACGGTCCCGACCTAGCCTACCCCAACGTGCAAGCTGCGTGGCAAGATCACCGCCTGGGTGGAAGTCCTAGGAGAAAATGCCATTAACGTGCGTATTGTGCACTTGTATGAAGAAGCATACCATGACTAAAAACAGATTCTCCTTATCATGAAAACTCCACCACAGCTTGACAACAAATGGGTCTTTCGACTCTGCTGCCATCCGTTTGAGTACGGCTTGTTCGGTTAACGTGTGCTGCAACTCCTGATGCGCCAACACATGACGCTTCGTGATTGCCTTCAGGGCATACAGATCCGAGCTCGTCTTGTGTCTCACAAGTAAGACCTTGCCTGCACACCCCTTTCCAAGGACACGCATCATCTCAAAGTCATCAATGACAACTTTGCGCTTTGAGCGCTTCTTGGGTTCCTTGTTTGGGTCAGCCGACTTGGTGCGTTTCTTGCGCCGCCCAGTGTTGGTGCTGATCGAAGAGTCATCGCCCGTCTGGGAACTTGTGCCATCCTGCAGTGTCGAGGAGGTGTATACTCGCGACAGACGACTGGCTTTATCGGGATCGGCAGAGTGGGAGCGAAGTATCCGGGAAGCTTGGACCTCTGCAACAGGCGTAGAGACAACTGTCTCTTCCTCATCAGTTGCGTTAGGAGGTGTGAGTTCTGCCTCTATGGGTGCAGGAACTGCTTCATCCACAACGACGATGTCCTCAGGCGCTTCTGTAAGAGGAGCCTCATCCGCAAGAGGAACTAGACCCTCCACCTCAACAGGAGTAGACTCTGCATCCTCTTCTTCCTCTTTAATCCCCTCCTCTCTCAAGTCACCGACAGCGAAATCGTTCAGATTGACTTCACTCGCAGTACCGTTGACACCATCTACCTCGATTTCGCTGACGCTGCCTGAGCTGACATTTGTGGTAACATTGGAGCTCCCATGCGCTGCCAGATCAGAACGCACACGCTTGATTGCGCGCTCTACACGCACGCTTTCGAGGTCATCGGTGCGCACACGTACAAAACGCTTCCATGCGCGGGCCTGTCGGAACGTCGGTTCATTTGAGATAGTGGTGAGATATGCAGCAAGGCTCGTGACTACGTTGCCCCCTGAACCTGTGGTGCCCGCTTCTGTAAAGGGGTCGCCAATCTCGTGCGTGGGTGAAACGATAGGAGTGATGGAACTGGCGCTGGCGATGCGTGTAGATACCGTACGCGCTACTTTGTTGCTTGGTGAGGCAAGGCGGGACAGCGTGTTGAGAAAGATATTCCGCTTGATGGGCTGGGACGCCGAGTCTATGGGCAACTTGGGAAGCCTGGTGCCTGGGACGGAGTCTGCAAGCTTGACGTGCAACTCGACGACCTCTGTGGCAGTGCGGGTCAGGGTGAGGTTGTGCGTGGAAGCTGCGGAAGAAGGAATATCATTAGCAGGTTCGTTTATCAAAGACATGTTGCGGGAATTAACGGGGCCTCAGGACATAAAACCCTGGACGGCAATCACATGGCACTGTCAATTGCACAGAATGGCAACCCGGCTACCTCGGAAGCCAAACGAAAACCCAAATGCGTAGGTAGTGAACCAACTCGTCTGACCAACATGGTGGAGAAAGAGTGGAGCGAAAAATGCGAGACTCACTCTTTATGTAAATGCTATACGAGTGTGCATCATGTGGAGTCTCAGCGACGCTGACGCTCCAGGGACCTTCATGAGCATCAATCCTGACCGGTGGTCTTCTAACAGGACGGGTATGAGCGGCGTCTATGGACTTCATACTGCGGACGGAGTTATTGGGGGTCGTGTTTATGGTTCTGACTATGCTCCTGATGTGCGTGGGGGGAACTTGAGAGTGAATCAGAGGAGACGTCGGTTTGCACTTGCACGTTCTTGGCGGGATTTGCGCTTGTATTGAAAACTTCTTGTGGTATCGATGCTGACTCTACTTGTGGGTTGACGGGGAAGGTAAGAGTCGACGGAAGAACGGCTTCGGTTGAAAGACCCGAAGCCAAGGACAGATTTGAAGTTTTTCTTTGAAGCACCGCGCTGATGGAAGGTGGCGGCTACACCAGGCATCCGCGGGAATAAAAATTGGCGAGGTTTACGAGAAAAGGGATAAGCAAGCCGTCTCTCTAAAGTCCTAGGTGAATCGGAAAGGGAGGTTGTGGGTTGGGTATGTGACTTCCGGTGAACGGGGAGTATGTGGGAGTGAAGGTGCAAGAGAGAAGAGCAGACGACAAAGGGATTTGGATTCTGTGACAATTGAGAAATCGATTAATTAGGGCGGGAGATATTATGGGTAATCGTCGCGCGGCGTTGGCGTGAAAGGCCACGAGGAGACCACGGGGGAAATGAAAAGATGCGTTTTAAACGGTGAACGATACCGTCCAGGTACTGACAATCAATGATTTTGGTACTGACTTGACAGAGATTACTGGCAGTTAATACTGCGGGACCTTGATCAAGGTTACGGTTGAAAAACTGCCAGATATGAACAAACTGAGTTCAGATTTCTGCCTCGAGGCTGCTGCTAAGAGCTGTGCAGCAACACGGTATATTGAACCACAAGCTGCCTAGGCCAAGTTACTGGAAACGCAAATAACTGCACTTGTGAGAGTATAAGAAAAGCAAGATTATAAAGTATTAAGGAAAGACTGAGTCAATGAATATGATTGACTGTGAGTGAAAAAATGGATTTGCTAGCTGGAGTTAGTTTAGTTCGCTTGGTTGATGGGTTCGTTCAAGTGGTTGTCTGGCCTTGCTTGGTCACAATTAATGCTCGAAGCTCTGCCGTAACTCAAAAAACATCCCTCCGTTTTGTCTCCCCTTCTCCGTTTCTTCCATCTATTCTTATTCTATTTTGTATTGCTTCCTAGAGCCTTTCTATCAAGCCTCAGAGCAAGTACAACGCCAGAACGGGACCGCCCACAGAAGTGAACCACACTCGTCTCCAGGCCCATTCGAACTGGCTGAGAACCTCGCGAAATAGATACCGGACACCATGATCACCTTAGAGATAGCAAAATCACGGATGTTTGCGAGCGCCTAGCAATAGCCAGCAATCCTGTTCCCCTTCCAGCTCACTAGCTCAAGGTGCAACGGATGAGACCGAACTGTAACATTACAAATTAGTATCATATTCACATCGGGCATATTCTGTCGCAGTGCTGTTGTTCCTGTGCGAAACACACAGCTCTTGCTACACAGATCACAAGACCCATCAAAAGCCATTCACGTGTACGTGATCAGTACTTGCATGAAATAGGGCTAGCTCATAACTTACCCCGCATGAGCAGGATTTCATCTGCGTGACGCAGGACATATCGTTGAACAATTGAACTCCTCGGTAACATCGCGAGGCATCTAATTCATGGCAAATTCTAGACTCGTAGATTATGCTCATGTCAAAATATTACAATGATGAACTGCCGCCCATGCCGTCGGCGATAGACTGCTAAAAGCGTCACTGTAATTTCAGTTCCTCGGACCTAACAAAAAATACGCACTAGGATGCGATCTGAGCTGTATGATACTGTGCAGCACAGATACCGACCCACGCAACCAATAGCTCAATCGTAGCTGATAACGCAGTGATACGAAATCAGTCACGCTATAACACCTGTGTGTGCAAGGGGAACCACTCGTCCAATCAGCGCTCATTGCTTAGCATAGAAAAGACTTGACACGCACCTAATAAAGCTCTATGGTTCAAACAAAGGTGGTATAAAAACAGACCCGAATGCAATGCACGTATACTTCCATGGTGTTCTATCAATATAAGACAAGACAAGAATGCCTACAGCTGGACAGCACAAACGTGCTCAATAAGAACTTCGAACCATCACGGAGCGATCCGTCAGAAACGTGCAACGCAAGTAGTTCGACCATGGAGAAAGTTGGGTCACCATAATCCGTCGCAGAGGTCCTGAATTTCCCGTATATCGTTCTACAGACAACAAGTCAGCCTGGTAACACATGCAACGCGAGGCGGAAAGCAGTGTCCTGCCATAGCAGAATGGGCAAAGATTGCTTTCTGATCAAGCTGTGCCCAGTTGCGGCATTCCCTCAGAATCGTACGACTCGGCTAGATTAGCATGTCCTTCAAGTAAGTGTTGACGTTGATCGACAGGCGTGGCAAGCACGAGGCTATCCTTCAGATCAGCGGCGTACTGCGACCCTCGGTTCTGCGTGCTAGAAGTAGGAAAACGTTAGCATTGCGTCACCGCAATGAGCATTCGGAGGTGAAAAGCTTTCAATCAGATAACTCCGATATCCCAGTGCACTGGGGATTCCCGGTTTTTCTGACTAGACGAGAGGACTTCGGGTGGTCAAATTTGAAATCTTGAGAAGAAACTACTTGCAACGAATCTGAAGTTGGTGGCTTGGCAGATGGTCCCGCGTATCTTGACAATTGTTTGGTACTGCCCTTATTGGTGTTAGCACCACTGAAAACCGTCAGGCAGAAGGTCCCCTTGAGGATTTCGGGCATAGTACTGCATCTCGATCGTGTCATGAGGATCCCAGACCTTCAAAATCTAAGATATCTTGCTCACTGCAATCCGAGAAACCCGAGAAGAACGGGAACAAGGCCCAATGACTCAAGTGCGGACTTTTATAGCTGCGGTGACTCGATGCATATCGCGATAGACAAGTGCAATTAAATGATGATTACGCATACAAAAATTGGACAGTATTAAATTTCAGAACGTAAGTGGAAACTACTTTGCGAACCAATTCCCTACACATTAGGCTTAGAAGACCTAAGATCCGGCGATTCACCTTGTGACGGCTGTTGACCACGCGCAGAATCGGTTGCATGAGCTGATACAGCAAATCACTGCTGCTGACCTGAGGTCGCAGGAGCTTTTGTTACCTGCGTAGTTTGCCCCCTGCCTTCAGCGTCTCCTGTATGGGTGTGACCATCCAGATCGTCGCGCGTGAACTCAAACACCATTAGCCCGATCGTGTAGGAGAGCACTGAAAATATCCCTTGAGACACACAAAAATGAAAGGGGAAAAGACGCACGGATAATGAAGATGATATAAGAGAAAGCCTCCACAACCCTAAACTCGTTGCAAATCTTATTGGAAAAGCTAGAGACTGAGAAGTACAGGCGAAGGTAAGATGATCAGACAACGCCCCTGTTCAGAAAATATGGCACTTACAGAAACTACAAGCACCAGCGAAGAAGTGTACGCGAGCCGCATGAGTGGCGTTGGCTGCAGTTGCGAGCCACAGAATCCACATGATAGCTTGAGAAATAAATAAAGCCGTAAGTACTCATCAAGATATCTGAGAATTAGGAGGTACATACTTAACCAACCAGCCTCGCCTATGATCCGTTCTTGTGAGATGTTTTGGTCACGCACTAGCAAGGTATTGACTACAAGACTGAGCGATGCGACCCATGAATCAGTGCTGGCTCGGCCGATTAGGAAGAAAACGCACATGACAGGGAACGTAAGAATCGTTAGGGAAGAAACCGCGATTGCAAGCGCAGCAAACCGCCAGTAGTCTGTAGTTCGGATGGCGATGAGGTGGCCACTTATGCCGAGCACCACGACCGCAAAAATGAAAGCGAACGCTGGAAAAGATGAGCTAGTCCGCGATGCGGGAGAATAAGTTACGACGCACTCAAGATGCACCATCGGACAAGCTTGAGAATCATGTTGAGTGAGTGTTGAACGTTGAAGGGATAAATAGTCTTGAAGAAGACAGTTGTCTTAAATCAGAGCCCATTCAAGCCCCTGTATGATAGAATATACTCCTAACAGGTCTCGGATTGCTGACGAAGCGTCTGACGTCAGAGCTAGGTAGATTGATCTTGGCATTCATAGAGTATGATCTGCGCGCCTCCTTCGTCGTCCGGTGGTTGGGATAACATATAGATGAAGCGCCAGGATCGCGTTCGTGCACGGGAAAGTTTGCAGGTCAAAGCTGAAAAACTTCCCAGTTGTTTTGTATCAGCTTCCATAGTTTTGCTGCCTCTGCCGAATCAGAAATTCAATTTCATATCAACTGCCAGATAATGAGATTGAAGATTGATCATGCACCGAATTTGGCGGGGGCTGACAAGATCAGCATTAGCGGCTGATCTGAAAGTCAGGTGACACAAAGTGACCAGATAAGGATCAAATTCCAAGCTAGCGATCGGTGACCTTGAGGTAGTGTCCTCGAGCTCTTCCTCGTTATTCGAAAGTAGGTTACACAATGAACCAAGAGAAATCGTCACTCAATGTCCTAGATCTTCAAGGTATCAGCATGAATAATACAAGAAATTGCATGTAGATTTGATGTACCGTTGGGAGACTAGAACAAACGATGCAATTGTGGCATGTTAACTTACCCTACCCATAGTAGGTGAAGATTGAGAAATAAAGGGTCAATAATAAATATAGCATGGTGTGAACGACCCCCCCATGCAGCGACCTCCCGCCTCATCCAAAGACAGCAATCCCCCTGGGACGGCGACCTTTTCTAAGCGTGCGACGTGTTGAGCACAGGACCAAACGTTCGTCAGCTACCTACCCTGAGGTGAGAACCATCATTTCGCTACTAATGTCACCATGGCGCTAATCCTTTTCTCGCTTCCCCCTTCACAGCTGGTTGAAATTCAACCAACACCGAATCCCTTAAGGCTCTGCGTCACATACTTTTGCAGCTCCGAAAATGTCCCCTGACCCCATGCTGGAGCCTACGGTCCCTGGAGAAGAGCCAGAGGAAGTTGACGAAGGCGAGGAGAGCGACGAATATGAGGTTGAGGTTTGTAAACTACTTCCTGATATTTCTAAACTCGTGCTTATATTTTGTGCATTTGAACTCGCTCTTGTCCTCGTACAACAATTGTGTTTACCTCTTTTCGATTGCTCCGTCAACGTTCCATGATAACAGGGCGAAGAAGAAAACCAAGGTGACTTGCCCCACCCAGTGGGAGCTGAAGAAGACGATGAGGAGGAGGATGGAGAAGAAGAAGAAGGTGCCGCATCAAGGGTATGTTTAATCCTGGTCTATCGCCTCTTGCAGAAAGTTGAGTCATTGGTACAGAGTAAACCAAGTTTGACGGCGCTACTGGTTGGTGAGGTACGTGTACATTATTTTCTTTCTCCATGGAAAAATCATGCAATTCTTCCAGAATGGCACGTCAGTCTCAGCTGCTGCTGCCGATGATGACGAGGACGCCGAGGACGACGACGAGTATTTCGAGGAAGATGAAGACGAGCCTCCTACTTCTGCTGGCGGCTTGAAGCGTTATGCGGATGAAATCAGTGAAGCAGACGAAGAGGAGGAGGAAGAGGCAGATGGCGGAGCTGCAAAGAGGGCACGAGTTGGCTGAAGAACATAAAAATGTAATAACAACACGCTACGATGCGACTAAGTCTTATTATTTACTATTTCCTGTTTCTCAGAAGATGTTGGCTATACTAGTGGGACATCTAGTATCTACAGTTATGTACTTACGTAGATGTAGACGTACTTGGCAGACCCCCGGTCTCTTATCCTGTAACCAACCTAGAGGTGTACGTATAGTCCACTCGAAAATTGCATAAATAAATCAAGTAAAATTCCAGTTTGCAAGAATAGATTCAATAATGAGATCTGTCTTTTTTTGGGAGGGTGTCGCTGAATATAGTGAGACTAGCTAAGGTAAACCACAGTATATGTGCAAAACTGCCATTGTTTTTGACTTCAAACGTTCAACATTCAATATTCAACCACCACCCTCATCGACCAGTATGTCTGAAACACGCACAGAGAGAACAGCAAAAACAGATGATTGGTAATAGCTACAGTCATAAAACGTGTGTCTGACCTAGTAATTAATTGAAATTGAACCAGCTCAACGAATCTACGAAGAATATATATATCTAATTCTGTATGACACGCTCGGCGATGGTCTGTTTCATGCTGTCTGGCGTCAAAATCAATGATGACAGCAGCATGGGATGTCGCGAGATGCCTGGGATGCAGATAGTGTTTGGATTTGAGAAGGTGACCTGGAGGGCGTGTCTGGGTGTTGGAGGTGCATGCAGAGGCTCGGTGAGGGTGCGGCATGTTGAGAACATTTCTGAATGATGTCAGTATGATACTTAGAAAGTATTTATCTTGCTGTATTCACTCTACAGATGTGTTGTCGCCATGGGGCACTGCAGCATAGCGAAATCAGAGCTTGCCAAGCCCCTATTCTACTATGCAGTTGGCACGCTCGAAGAAAGATTACAAGTGGAGTGGGTGTGATGGAAGGCTGGAGAGAGGAATTGACCCCCTCACCTAATATTTCCGGTGCGTTGACGCGCGTCGCGCCGTCATAGAACTTCGTAGTAGGTGTGAGCCATATGATTATATGCGGAAATCGGAAGCGGTTGTGGCGATGGCCGTTCGGACTGTTTGTGAGGACGAGTTGTGCTAAGAGTTGAGGAGGAATTAACGAGGGATACAGAAGACTAGAATTAGACCATATGCAGCGCGTGTAGGGGTTGCCTGGGGTGTACATTGTGAAGGACGGTGACGGTGCACGAAGGTACAAAATTGCCGGCTCGGGACATTCCGTTAGGTTAGGTTTCGAACACCGTCAGGACTTGTTGGAGCGTCAAGTGCCAACTCGAGAAGGTGGGAGAGAATACAGGGAAGCTGCGAGATGGTGTGCAACAACATCATGGGACGGTGCTGGGGGTATGAAAAGGCACAAGACAATGACAATGCGAGATGGTGCTAGACAGTGTGAAAAGGCGCAGACAAGGCAGGGAAGGTATGAGAGCATGCAGGAGGATGTTGCAGGAATGCTACTCAAAACGGAAATCATATTAGTTAAATAAGAAGAGAGAGAGACTTACATGCGAGGTAGTGGCAAGTGTGCAAAGGGAGCAAGTGTAAGGTATGATTATAGTCAAATGAGAGAGAAACAGAAGAAAAACTTACCGTGGAGGACACGAGACGGAGTCGGAAGTGATTAACAAAGCAGAAATCATGTGGGGAAGGTTGCGGGAGGACGTAGTAGGGAAGCGGGAAGTGACAGAAAGGACAGAGATCACAGCAGGTATGCCGCATGTGCTGCTGCAGGATGTGCAGGAGGCTGCGGGCAGAGTCAAAAAGGCAACACGAATTTAAAAACAGCCATGAGCTTTTATGATCGAGGGAGAGGTGTATGTACAAGCTCGACACTGCACATTAGCAATACTGGTAGTGAGTATATCTTAGCTAGGAGTGAATGAGGATGGTACTTGAGAATATGATAAAGTTGGGACTTGGCGAAAATTCCGAGTCTGCTTCGCCCCAAGTTTGTGCAGGACGTTGTTTGCGTGGCTTTCAAGGTCGTGGCGAATTAACCCAACGGAGCTGTTGATTTCGGAGTAACAAACGTGCTGACGGCGAATAGATGACTGCCCAAGGATAACGCGCTGATTGAGCCGCAGAATCAGGATGACAGCATATATAGACCGCTTTTGGACTATGATCAAAACAAAAGGTTGAACTTCGAATGAACCTGAGGCCATCCACTCGGCGATTTTCGGACAATCTCAACACTTTGTCTTGTTTATGCTTTACATATCCAGCTGTTCAATATTCTAGCTTTATTGAAAACAGTACGGGATCCATAATTCATTTATATCGAATGCAAAAATGATCAAATCAACCTCAGGCCTGCTTCACTTCTTACGGTGTACATACGATCTATTGTGAACATACTAATCCGTGGGGCTTAGCCCAATTCGGCTGATGTCTTGATTAGTGCGAGAGAGTTGCCAACAGATCCTGGTTCCTTGGCATGAACCTGCACTTGAATGGTTTAGGGTGCCTTTGTGTGCGTGTCAGAATATACTTTGGGCTCAAAGAGAGACGAGTTACCAGAGCACACCAACATTGTGGTATTCCGGAGGAGGTGTGAACTCTTTCCCTCTCTCATCAAGCGGTTTGGCGATTGTGAACGCAGCTAGGATGCAAGAAATATTGAGGAACAACGTGGCTTCCGCAAGATGCGACCCTGAAACAGTATGCCACCGTTCAGCGGCGGCTTGGATAGTATCATGTAAAGGACACGCACCAGGGCATCTACGGCGCCCGAACCCAAAGAACCACTTGCGAGGGTCTGATTGGGGCGAGGGACCGAGGAAGCGCTCAGGCTTGAACACCGTTGGGTCGGGGTACATTTCTTTATCCCGTGACATGGAAATAAGGTTCGCGATGACGGATGCACCCTTGGGGATGCGGTACCCTTCGTAGACGTCATCCCTCATTGCGTGGTGCGGGAGCCCTGCGTCGCCGCCGCCGCCGAGAGTGAGCGGGAAGTAGGACAAAAAAAGTCATGCGGCTGACCTTGCGGAGACACAGGTGCCCAGCGGAGGAGTTCCAGGGCGAGCGCTTGGACGTACGGAAGCTTGTCTCTGTCCTCGAACGTGGGAAATCGGTCCTGACCCACTACGGCATCGATCTCTGCCTGCGCAAGCTTCTGCGCCTCGGGATAAATCACCATCGCCAGAATAAAAGACTTCATAGATGATGCTGTCTGCTCATGCCAATGATTGTTTCAAAAGTCACATGTGTGAGGATGATAAAGATATCTTACGGTGTCAGATCCCCCTCCGTAGATCACCTGACCGCACCTCATGGTAATATCTTCAACTCTGGCACTGACCGTGGACCCATCCTCTGGAAGGAGTTGATCTGAAACGAAGGAACGCGTATAACCGCCGCTTTGCTGATCGGCGACAGTTGATTAGGACTCCGGATAACGCGAACTCGCGAAATTGCTTAGCAAAGCTTACTATTTGGTCTTTGGTCCAGTTAAATGGTATTGTGTCAAGGCTACCCAACTTTTTCCCGTAGTCAATGGCCGCGCGCTTGAAACCTGCTCCTGGAAACCACGAAGGTAGGAAACGCACTTATGGAAGGTTAACTAGCTTAGTTTTATAACAACTCGAAAAATGAAAGGGGGGCTTACAGAATGGCATCCCTTCAACCCACCAACGTCCAGGCAGGGATAGTATGGCATTGGATTCAAAGGCTACGCTCAACATCTTGACGAAACTATCGTTATCATCGGCGACCTTCCAGCCGTATGCGAGATTAAGGACAATGGCCGCTGTGTTCCTGCACCTTCGATGAGAAACGAGTAAAACAAGCAATCACGAGAATTTTTACCTTCTGATATGATCGGCGAAATGGTCAGGGTTCTTGTGCAGACCGTTAAGCAGCACACGACATTCTTCAGTTTGCACCGACTGGTAGTTTAGTATAGTGCGGGTACTCAGACCGTTCTTGAGGGCCGTGCGATACTCCTTGAAATACGGGTGATGGAAAGATATGTTGAACGGGTTCAGATTGCGCTTCGCAAGTTCTATCATCCATATTTTTGGACGATCAGAATACGTAGTGGCGCGTACATCGAGCAGTTCAGTAGCCACCTTCAGGGAGCTGAGGACTATGAACTGTCGATTGGGCACGCGGAAGGATAATATGGGTCCTGTTAGACATAGGTCAACAAGTCTTGCAGCAAGCGGAAAATCGGATAATATGTACCATAGATTTCAGCCCACGTGACATACGTTCGCCAAGGCTCGTCCTTTGGCAAAAGTTGATGGGCATTTCCGATAAAGAGCTTCGAAGGTGGCCCAGGGGGTAGTGGTAATCTACCGCGTCGACGGCTGTAGACGAAAACTGCGGCTGCAGCCACCAAAAGGATGATTACGCCAGAAGACATGTCACAGATACTAGCAACAGATCCTGGGTCATCTACGGTTCGCTCTTCGAGTTCTTATATCATTATCCTGAGCATACTATGATATAAGCGATGTGCTGTCACTAGTCAGCTACTACGCTCTCGCAATATCGCATTATGAACGCAACAGAGGCAAGATGGACCGACCGTTTGGCTGGAGGCCTCAAGGTTCCCACTACCAAGGTAGTGGGTTTTGCCAGTGCATCCTCGTCAAATGGGTTTCTGCTCCGAGTCGGATTGTCAAGGCAGGCGTCTTTAGTCAGCGGAGATATCACACCAAAATCGGAAATGATTGAGGTCACGTGCCCTCGAGCCTCGCCATCAGTTTATAGCTAAAAACTGTACATCACATCATGCGACCTTTATGCAATACCAGCGCCTCAAATAAAAATTTAACTAAACAGATATGTTCAATACACAATGATTACAAATTATAGACATTCCAACTCCGAAAAAGACCTGCTCAAGGTTTTTCCCCCTCCCTGGACTCGGATCACGAAGTTCAAGGTACGAGCAATCACCGGCTACCGTTCAAACTGATACCACATGAGGACGTGAGCTCTAGTCGCATCCTCTCGTGCGAGTCGGACAAAAGAAATGCATCTAGTACGTGGCGTAATGTATGCGTGAGACCAGGTTGCACAATATGCTTATCAGTGCTTATCTTATTCATCTTTATGCTGATCCTTTCGTCAGGCAATGCGTTGCAGGAGAAATGTCTGCAGGATGTCTCTCCGACGCCCATATATTTACTCTGCCCATTCCAAGATGACGACTTTTTAGGGACCGTAACAGTGCCATGTGGGACGCGGTAAGCATTCAAGTTGGCGCTTCGTAAACTTGCAGCTCCAATGAATGCTGTCGTACTATACTCGAAAGGTGGTAGGCAGACTGACCATTGATAAGCACGGTGTTCTTGAAAGTACTATGTGAATGCGATTGCTGCTATCATCTCGTAACTTGGGGTTCAGGTCTACCAACATCTCCTCCAGCACTTCCACTATCTGCCTGATGCAATCTTTTAGTACCATCGATTTGCCTTCCTCCCCTCTAGAGTCTGCTGCCTTCCTTTGCCTTCTTACTTCTGCATCAGAGGTGACACCTCCCGGGCTTGAACTAGCGCTAGCTGACGTCCCCACATTCAAAATGCTTGGCCTCCACTTACCGAAGCAGTAAAACTTTTCCGCAAAGGAGTAAATCAGACTGGAGTCTTATAAGGGGGTGAGGAGGCTGAATAGTGATATTTCTATGTCTTTGTCATATCGGGTTAGTGCAAGCACACGATCAAGTACGGTGCGATAAGGGAAACCTGTCGTATCCGCCCGCTTTCGTTATCACCATCATGGGGCCTAGGCCTGGTGAGAGCATCCTCGCCGTGACAAAGACTGACCCAATACGTATCCTTCCCCTGGATTGGGTCGTAGACCAGCCCTCATCGCGAGTGGTCCGTGCCATCAACTCCCTTTCTACATAAAAGGCCTAGGAGTAGTGATAGCTAAACACTAGCAGAGGTAAGGCGGTTGGGGTAGCGGTAAGCCCCCTGACGAGACCCTTCGCGAGGTCGAAACCGCTTTTCTTTTTAGACCTTACCGCCTTACTAGTCGTTCCCTCCCATCCCCGACTGCACCCAATCTTAGGAGACGGTGATCAGCAGGTTTGGTGCATATCGATGGTCAGCCTGTGCCCGCGACGAAGACCACAATCTATGCCTATCTTTGGCAGAGGCCTCGTTCCTCGGCCCCTATTGCAGGGGCCTAGATTTCCAACTTCCTGAGCTGCGCTACATGACCCTTCTAACATGCCAAATAACGCATTTTTGATATTTATTATAACACGGATCTGAAGATTTCAAACAAATTTATATAGTCGTGGATGAACCCAGGACGCACAAATTTTCCGGAATCCATCCGGGGCTAAAAAATCTGCTCACCTGGCTTCATTGCCACGGAGTCCTGGAAAACGAAGTTTTGAACTTTGGATGAGATGTAATCTAACTTGCGTGAATCCACGATGTGAATTTGATTTGATAGACAACTCAGATTGGTCGCAATCAGTAGCATTATGGCCGACACCGGAGGTCGGAATGTCTGCGTCCAGTCAGTCATATACTGAAACTAGGTTATAACGGTACAGTACTATCATGTAGTAGAGTCAACAATTCGAATTACAGCTCTCGAACAATCGAGGTCAAATTCAAACTAACATCGCCAGCCATTATCGGAGAAACACCACCTTCTCCTTCGGTGTTGAAGCAACCCAGGCACCGATATGAATGATGCCCAATCCAACACGTTCCATTAAGCCCTCGTTCTCGCCTAACCGCCATCACATGCAGGAAGCACCCACGGTAACGCTCGAGATCGCAGACGCCGTCCACACCATCACAACGGGAAAGCACGATGAACTCGATAGAAGTTGGCGGGACAGGGATCAATGGCAAAATGACAGTACCAACCCAAGTGGGAGGGGAAGACGTGGTGGAGATAATATTAAAGAGACCATAGTGGTCGGCGGCACTTGATTCCCCGTTTGATTCACCACCTCGCCTTGTAATGTCAAAGTCGCTGGAAGTCGTGCGGAAAATGAGGGTGCCTGGTTTTAGCGGTCGATGAATATCCAGTGGTATCTCTGTTGGATCCAAAATCCCTCCCGGAGAGGAATATGGGGGCTGCTCTTCATCTATCCAATAAACCCGTGAAACCCTCCGAACATCGAGCGGCACTATATCGCCACCGTGGTCCACGATGTACCAAGCATCAATAAGCGTCTCATCCACCGACGTCTGGCCGCGACGACTGGTAACCCGAGTCTGCCTATACACGTCCTCCGATGTGTAGATAACAGCACCACGCCACGTCGCCCATGCCCAAGAAGGCCAAGATGAGCCGCCTCCTTCAGCAAGCAAACGACGAGCACGAGGTGTATGTGGATCGTGTTGCCAGAGAAGCGCATGATGCAGTTCCGTCAACATCATTCCATATTGAAAAGCTCTGGCGGGGTCACCCAGTCCAAATGCTACCACCAAAGCATTTGTCACTCCAGTGAGAGCATCGACAATGTCTGATTCGACGGTGAGATTGCGTCGTGTATATTTCCCAACGGCAGACTCGTAACTCATGAAGGAGTCAGTTGAGGATGGGAAATATTCTCCCCGTGGATACCTTACAAAACTGCTGGAGAAGTCGGCCTTACTTTCCGCGACAATATCTTCACGGAAGACCTGACACTGGCATTCAAAGTAGACCTGCTTCTCAGTGAAGTAAATCCTTCGGCAAGACAGCGCGCTCTCTTGATAGGTCCAACAACGCGTGATCCAAGCGGACAGTGCCAGAGCCTTCTCATGTGTTGGAAGAGTCACAAAGAGATGAAGTCCTTGAATGACTTCGATATGTGTTTGTGGTGTTCTAGTTCGTGGACGGTATCCTGGGAGAGGGTCTCGGACTGTCTTGCCACCAGCAGCAATTAACGTGAAATAAGACAGACCATAGACCAAATCCATAGCATGCAGCTGAATGGCCTTGTCCTGTGAATCATCTTGAGTGATGCATAGAGCGTCGATCCATATGTAACGTTCACCAAGCTGTCGAACGAATGAAATCGAGTCTGTGATGGTGTCAGGGAGGTTTGCCGCGTCCAATCCGCTAGGCATGGAGCGCTTTGCTATATTATCCTTCGTCGTCCAATAGTCTGCGCCGTTGCCTCCCCACACGTAACTGAGGGCGACGTAACGACAGCCAGAAGGTGCAGGGATCACGGCCATCGATACTACGTCCACCACTCTCACAAACCCCGGCAGGTTCCTGTCCACTCTCCAAACATTCCGACATTTATCTCTATGGTTCTCCTGACACAACTTAATCCACTTCTTCACCAGACCGATATCCACCGCATTCTTCACCCTGCGACCGTGAAGATCGACCGGTCTCCCAAACTTGAAAGCATCTTCTTGCATGAGGTGAATTATTAGCGAACCCGCTGCGCTGAAAGCAGGATGGGTCTGCCAAAGGCCGTTCCCAGTGATATGGAGGCGGCGGCCATAACGGAGTGGGGGATAAGGTCCCCTTCGAAGTGCACCGCAAACTATCGTGTGCATGCTACATTCAATCTCTGAGAGATCGATGTGAGGAAAGTTCTCCGTAATCCGTGTTCGACGGATATACAATGATATTAGGCGGCAGAAACTGCATTGGTAAGATTTTTCCAAGATAGATGAGAGTGAACCGAGTGGAATCGCCTCCAGTTCATGGATGCCATAAAGGAATATCCTGTAAAAATCCAGCTTTGCGCAGACGGAACAAAGTAATACGTCATTTTCTAACGTGGCAGAAGAAGTCTATTCGCCCTCTTCAATCAGTCTACTGCACTGGGTATGCGTAAATGCCATCGAACTCCTCACCTGAAGCTCAATTGGTGCTTGATATCGGACTAGGAGAGGTGAGGATTCAGAGGTCCCAGCGGATGCGACATTCGCTTTGAGTTTGAGTTTGCGTATGCGGACGACCAATAGCCAGACGGCCCAAATCCCAAGAGTAGTCCCTCCAATAATTCCAGCAAGGGCCAAACTATGTGTGGAGACCTGACCACGGTGAGTCGCAATAGTACCAGCGGTCGGAGCACCACCAGGTAGTATTGATGTAATCTCTTCAGGATTACTTGAATACGTGAGGAATGAACCAACATAAAGGCGATACCTACCTGACCGAGTTGCGCTACTGAAGGGAGAGATCATGAGTATGGGCTCGCAGAGTTCAGACCCACGACGGCAGTACCACGAGTCGCTCGAAGGGCAGTTCAGTCAGACAGGCTGTGTTGTTGGCGATCTTCTTATGTAAATGTTACAACAGTAACTTGACAAGGTGAAGGCTAAGAAACGACACGCTTGACACGTGTCTAAAAGCCATGTAGTGGCTTCCGTCGAACATTGTGGGGATGAAATCAATGAAAGAGCACAGACCACTTAAGCGGAGCCGCTGCAAGAGAACTTCAAAACACTCAATCAGTTTTCCCACCAATTATAGAAGGAACGACTAAAATCAACTTGAAGTACATTCGGATTATTTATTTTATGATGGCAGCTGCTGGCAGTGCGCGCTGGCATAATGCTCTCAAGCTCGCCCTGCAGAAGGAAGAAGGGATGAAAAATGGTGGGTTTCTAACAACACTTCATGAGACGCTCAATCTTGATGTTCGGACTAGCCTTTCAGCTCGCAACTACCGACGTTAATAACGCTACTCCATACGTTCGCAGCCATATCCTCAGGGACCACATCATCCACCCATCCTTGCCTTCTCTGCCCCTGCTCCTCACAAGCACAGACATCCGTACTGCAAAGATCACTCAGATCAAGTCCAATCCTAACCATCGCGTAGAAGCGCACTTCTGGATCAAAGCCACGAACGAGCAATTCCGCGTCTCTGGGCGTGCGGCTATCTACCCCTCACCTAACCATAAGGAGAAAAAAGGAATTGAGGGCGTGGGAGAGGTGTATGATGCATTCCGGAGTCAGGGGTGGGACTGGGAGGACGAGCGGCGGAAGCAATTTGATAGTGTCGGTGCGCATATGCGCGCATCCTGGTGCCGGCCTATCCCGGGTTCCCCCATAGACTCTTACAGCGATGCAGAGAAGTGGCCTGTCAAGGTTGCGAAACCCGGAGAGGAAGGATATGACGCTAAGAATTACGAGGAGGCCCGAGGAAACTTTGCTTTAATTCTGATTGACCCCGTTGAAGTCGACTATGTCGAACTGGGAGTTATGCCTAACCGGAGGACGAAGTTCGTTAAACAGGAATCGGATGACGAGAGATGGAAGGAGGTGATATTGGTCCCATAATCTCCACCTGGACGTCAATCTATTAGACTCGGGAAGCAGAAAACGCTGTTACAAGGAAAATTCCAGAATTATCTGGGACCATAGACCGTCTCTAGCACAACATGTACGATACCATTAGAAGCACATCATGCGCCTGTGAATTCAACAGAAGTCAAGCACTTGGTATAACTCGACGCCTCTGATGGCTTCGTTCTACAGGATATGTAATTTACCCAGCCCGTCTTCCTACAATTCGTGATTGTTGATAGGTAATTAGAAGCTGCGCCAAGACACTACAGCCTTCATACCAATTCAGTACAGATCGCCCTTATCGTCCAATGAGCTTAATCTCGAGCGCACGCAGCGGAGGGTAAGTGACAGCCGAGAAAGCAGCTGCGAGCTATATGCAAATCTTATGAGCGCGTATTTAATCAGCCAAAGAATCAATCATACCTCGAACCCAAGATCAGCGCCGTACGCTGCTCCTGCCATCTTACCAAGCGGCCCTGTATACCACACCTACGAACGAGTTGATATGTATCAGTATACGAGGCCGGGGTAGGAAAACGACATACCTCTGACATCCCAACCACAGCACCTGCGATTCCAAAGCACATTGAGAGTACACCTGCTATGCCTAATGGCAGCCTTGAAGACATGGCGGGGTCAACGGCATCTTCACCCAAAACCAATAAACTCACTTTGACGGCGTATCGTAAGCATCCAAATTGTAACCCCCAAGCGGCCCGTTCTTCCGCCTGAAGATGAAATGCTCCTCGGCTACGATCACGATGAAGAAAGCCGTCCAGTAACTGAGAATACTGAGGAAATTAGAAAGGATGGCGCTGAAGTGTTCGCGGCCTGCAACGCCTGCTACGGTATATACGACGAAAGCGATGAAAACCCAGAAGAAACGCGGGATGACGGCGAATGGGCGTCCGAGGGCTTGTATCGACAGACCGGTGGAGTAGGTATTTGGGATATTGTTGGCACTATTCCTGGATTAGTAAATACAAGAAGGTATTCACCCGTTCTTACATGACAGAAAGTGCAAGAAGGACAAGGATGAATTGACCAAAGTGACCCCAGGGAGAAAGAACTTCCGCAATCAGGCCGCCTGTTGAGCCGTCTGCAAACGCAGCGATGTATGCGGGATCTGTGATTGTCATGAGGGCTGCGCCGAGGATCTCGACGAAGCAGATAGGAATAAAGAGGCCGAAGAAGGTAAGCAGGAATACGCGCATGGTTGGCGTATCAGCCGGTAGCCGGCAATTGTAATCTGCGGCGACTGGAGCCCACTATTGGATAAAGGTTCACAAGATTTAGCACCTGATGTGATACATGAGATGATGGCTGGACGCACCCCTGAAAATGAGCCGAATACGATTCCGCCAAAGCTGAGAATATCTGCTGAGAGAGCACGCCCTGTGTCCTCGAAAGGTTTTTGCGCGTTTATGTCATATCCGGCTTTACCGCCAAGACCCCAGAGGAAAAGCATTATGACGCTGGTGACCATCCATGCGTAGCGCTCGTAGACGTGTACCATGTTGTATCCGATGAAACACGGGATGAGGCAACATACGCCAATGATAATGATGCCGACGACGAGCGGAAGGCTGCCAGGATTGATATTGGCGAGCGTTTGACCTCCGAGAATGACAGCTGTTGTGGAAAAGCCGAGCCTAGGTGTGATCAATCAGACAATGTGCATATAAACGAGAATCTTCTCACTGAGTGAGGATGTTGAGGACCGAGTAGATGGTGCCGCCGAAGTATCCTGAGCTGAAACGGGTGATAATCATGGTGCGGAGACCAGTTATGGGGCCTAGGGTAGCGATAAATGCTGTTGCAATGCCACCAAGAGCGCCAAAGCAGACAATAGTTGCTACAGCGTTGCTTGAGAGAATAAGCGTGGTATGGAGCAGCATATGCTGAGTGACATACCCAAAACTCAAAGTGAAAACGGACTGTGCGAGCACCCCGACAGGAATAGTAGTCAATACTGAGTTAACGGACCTACGCAAAGATCAAGGGAAGGGAACATTGAAAAAAAAAACAATGCGTTGGATCAGGTCGGACTGACCACCACATGAGAAGACTACATTGGGCTCAGGACAGGCATACGAACGCAACATAACATACGCACTTGTTCCAAGCATTTTTCGACTCTCTCTGGTTTTCCGGTACACGCTCTACTCCACGGGCCTCGACACCACTGGCAAAGAGTTTTGAAAGAAGTGGACCGAGGATACCAAAACGGCTCGCAATCACGCGATCTGGCGCTGCCTCAGCATACGCAACTTCATCTTCAACCGAGCTAAGGGCTTTCTCCTTGTCTTCCGAGTCTGTGGAATAGTCTGGGGGAGCAGACATGGTGCTCGTGGGGCAGGGTGTGAAGGCCCAGCGACGTCGGCGGGCCGGTTGTTAAATGATTTCCAGCGCGCATCACTTGATAGAACAGATCCATAAGAGGCTATCCATGGTGCCTTTCCTATTTACGTTTTGTTGACTGATTTCTACCAGATGATGACTCAGGGAGTTTGGGTGCACGCTGCAGCACTCATGAAATGGCTAATGGAGCGATTACCTCGATACGATGTTCTGAATCTGCCCATGCACTTCGAATACGCCGATGGCCAGATACCTTCGCGCTGCATTGCGGCTGCATGATACAGTTGAATATTAATGTTGATAGATAGCAGTTCACTTGCAGTGTCTTTAACAAGTATCGTGATGACATAGACCTATTTGGACTAGTACTTGTACTCGGCATGTTGGAGAACCCGAATGATGCGGCGTCATATCGAAACCAGGGACGGGCGCGGCAGTTGAAACTTGATGCAGATAGGCTTGCGAATTGGGCGTTTGGATTGGGGTATTTAGCGATTATTGTAAATCACGCATGGTATTCACGTAAAAATTTCTGCAATGAACATCGTGCTTTGTACCATGAATTCTCCAACATCAAGGATATCTGATTCCAAGTGTACGCAAAGGGTCTGCAAGGAAACGTCAGATGAGCTGTCAGCTCATTGAAAAAGGGTATAATTGAACAGTTTTAGGATCCTTGGCGTATGTCTCGGCTGTAACACCCATTCGTGAGATATCAAAGAAGAAGAAAGCATATAACGTACAACAAACATTCATCTCCTGTATCTCCGAGGCAAGGTGAAAGGTGACTATGCTTGCCGCTAGTGCACCATAGGCCTCAACATATGTTAACACGACTGGTCAGCCGAAGGGCACTTGTAGTACGAGAAATACCATGGGTATAATCTAATAGTACAGGGTTTATTTGAAGTAGAACACAAATTAGTTGAAACTCACTAGTAAGGCTGGACTAGACTGGAAGACGGAGCGAACAGTGTGTTGAGCAGGAACAGACATTACATTGTACGCGTATTCGGAAGGTGTTTCTCACGCCTTCATACACTGACAAGACGGTGGACACGTCCAAAATAACACTCGAGCTCACTGTCAGTCACGTCATTCAGGTCATCATAGCAAATGAGGCACCATGTTACACGATCGTATTTGAAGATACCACAGAGAGCCCATCCACGCAGGAGCTTAGAGTCTCTCGAAAGGTACTGATAAAGAGAGACTAGACACGTTGCGCATGATTATTGTGTCGACAATTAATGGGAACTCTCAGGTATGCTCCTTGATATTTCATGTAGACCGTATGATGTCGATCATACAATACATGGAAACAAGCAGGAGTAAAAAAACTAGAGGCGGGTCCCAGGTATGATGAGAACGGGAAACTCAAGCAGGAGATGACTCCCGTCGTGTACGTGTATCTTCTATCATCCTCCTACCGCACATATACTACCCACCTTACCTAGCAATACCATCCGAATGTGCACACTAATCTTGGGTAGGCCTCGGAGTACAGGCAACTTCTAATCTAATCGATCCACGTGTTAACGGTCAAGTTTTCCGAGGCGGCTGCGAGTGTTTTCTACGCACTCATGAAATTCCTTGGCGACTCGAATAACTCCTCTGCGCTGGACGTTGTGGCCTTCGTCCGGTTTGTTTTCCCCTCCTAGTCCCCGCACCCACAGCGAAATTCTGCAGCTCTGGTAGTCCATATGCGAAAAGCTCACTCAAATTCGGACAGAGATCAAATCCGGCAAAGCCTTCTTCAGCGTCCTCTGGATTCTGTGCGAGTACGTCGACGGCCGTCAGACATCCAGGCTACATCCCGAGGACATCCGCACAGTGGTTGGCGAAGCACTTTACGTGACTCCGGAGTATTTTGACTCATCCCGCTAGCCGATGCCAATCATGACTAACGCGCACTGTTAAGTCAGTGCCTGTACAGCGCCGCCCCTCTTGAATTCAGGTAGAACTTCTGTACCAGGCACATCAACGGCGGGCTTATATCGATTAACCGACGTGTTAGCCACGAGATTCAGAATAGTGCGAACCGCTCCTTTCTTTAATTTCCTCATTTTCACAGGCCCTTCCGTCCCCTGAATACTTTATCGCCTGCGTGGGTTTTACATAAACTTCTGGAACGCACATAACTAATGATTTAATGCAATTAGTCGCCCGGGCGAATCCGATGTCAAGCCGTATCTTGATTCCTTGCAAGAATATTTCTATTTCGGAAGAAGCAAGACTTCCAGGCACCAGCAGTGGGCACTATCGCTGCAATCCATATACCACAAAGTATCGAGTGGTTCTTGGGAGAGTCATTACGTTGTGCGATTCCCGATGAAGGAGTGCCGGCAAACAAAAAAATGAAGACGCAGAATGAGGGTGCAGTCGAAAGCGACATCCAAATCGAACGCAAGAAATGCTCAGCATCACCTGGTATGGCTGGAGGCAATCGTAGCGCGTCACAAGGCCTTGGTTGCATTGCTAATTTACCCCACCATAACGCGTTACGGGGGCCGGCTGCCAAGTGTAGGTATGTTGTAGAAATCAAAAGATTCACCACAAGAATGACTAAAGCTAATTTTTCGTTGCTGTGCCACCTTCCTGCTCATGTTTACTGTATATTCTCATTAATATTGTCTTTTGCTGCGAACAGTCCATACCCGTCACCTCGTTGTACATCACGGACACAAGATCTGCACTGCAAAATCAACCCCACTGATGCTCGTAGCAAGTCAAAGTTCTGCCCGCGAAAGCTTGAACCCAAGTTTGAGCTAGTCACTCAGAGCTATGCCACTCCACAGGCCTATTTGATGGTGCCACTGGTAACTGGTTGCCAACTTGCAACTGTGGCACCGTCACGCGCAATCCACAGTTGCCTCCATACAGCATGAGAGAAGCTACAGCTTCAACGGCCTTCACGTGGGAGGAGTGTGACCATCATGTAGCTGTATCTACGCCCATATCGTTTCGATACCAATGGTGCACGTCAACATAGTCACCGCTACTTGATGTGCAAAGGTCAAATTCACCCAAGTACAAAATAGCCTATATAAGCTTAGCTAGTTTTGATTCAATTAAAAATTCCTCTGGAGAAAAGTCCCATTTGCCAAAAGCATCGTTTCTACCACAGGGATAAGGAATCGAGGCTTTTCCTAGGGGGAGGGGTCAAGTGCTTGGGCAAAAGGTGTAGCTAGTATTTGTGAGCCTGCGTTACGTGGACGAGGCACGACTTCGAAGCGACGCGTACGGCAGCATATTCTACACGACCTTCAGTTCGATTTAAAATTGGATATTTAAAGTAGTGTGCTTAAGGAAAGAATGATTAGGTGCTCTTTCCTCAAAGCCTGACTGCGGGGTGGAGTTGTGGATCCACTTGAAGTCCCGGCCGTCAGATGTAATTTTAGTAAGCGGTCGAATCGTGACTCCGACGGAAGGCAGAATTTGGCTGTGTATGTCACCGTTGGTGATTTCCTCCTGTCTTCTCATGTCTGCCCGTATCCTGCCCTAGGCTCGGATGAGTAACACGCCAAAGCTAAGAAAAACACAATAGGCTTCGCACGCCGCCTCAAAACGCCCATGCGACAAACGGTCCTGAATGAAATACTAGTCATGCTAGTTTGAATTGCAAGTTACTGACCAGTAGTTTGCTCACGGTGGAATGCTCGTAGAGCCGTTCAAACGGTTGCTGAGCACCAAGGAATGTTGAATTAGAGAGAGAAGAACCTGATCATGTACGTCGACTATATATTCAATCGTTACATCATCTATACTTAGAGAAAGCTTGTACAATTCTAACCCTAAACTCTCCCAATTCTCCGCGTCTCACGGCGGGCGGTATCACTCCTGTGTGTTGCAATGGACAAATCCAGATCGGTATACCAACTGCTGCGTATTCCCTGAACTGCGTCCTCGAGGTATATATAACAAGCTCTCATAGAACCCTCATCCCTTCTGGTACGCCCGCAGTCATGGCATTCACGGGGAGTCTGTTCCTCCGGCAATTTACAATACTGTGCTGGAAGAACTGGATCGTTCTCTCTAAACATCCGTTCGTGAGTAATATGCCGTTTGTGGAATGTTCACCACTTTGACGATGGTATAGTTGAACATCCTGCGCTGCTTGTTGTTGCCGATTGGATATGGAAGTACGTCTAGCCCATTCTCAGTTTCGTCAATATGGTACATGCTTACAACGGTTATGAAGTTTTTCTTTCCGTCGCACAGACATTCCTTTTAAAGTCAAACAATGTGAGGAATATTTTTGAATTATTCGATTCTATCGCCTCACATTCTTGTAGTATGGGTTTGGCTCTCCGATCTCGGTTTACGATCTCCAGAGCCAGTTTGACGGCTCTCTAACCTTAATCTGGGCTGATGGAACCGATGGTGCTGGAACATTCTCTGCGGAACAAGTCATGGCGCGCATCACCAGTAACTTCACGTCAAATCAACTCCAAGCGGTTAAGCAGGTTGCGACACCCGCAGACATTCCAACACAATGTCCGCAAAACTTCGACTTGTCCTCTCAGTGCTTTGCTGGTATTGCGTTCAATTACCTTCCAATGAACGCCACAGATACGACACCAATCAACTACACCATAAGTGCTGATGCTGGACTCGTCTACATCAATGTAATCAGTCATACTAGTGATTTCGAGACACGTATTCTGCCGTTGCAATGGGCAATAGACCAGGTATCTCATTCGCTTGCTCTCTTTTCCTCTCAAAGTGTTAATCGTTCACCTCAGGCAATCATAGAGCTTAGATCTGGGCAGGGAGTACCCACTCCTATGGAATGGCCATATAGTCTGGAAACCAACCAACAACAGGCCACGGATATGAGACTTAGTAAGTCGTTTCCATTCGTGGTATGATCGCATACTGACATATTCCTGTCTCAGGTTTCATTAGAGGCATCCGGAATCTTCTTGTCATTGCACTGTGAGTCCAACCCATCAACTGATAATCCTGCACCTCTAATTCGGGTCTAGGTTTATTTGTTATATCGGGATTGCGTATCATCTTCCGGGGGCATTCACCAGCGAGAGAGCTAATCTTCTGACCAGCCACATGAAAGCTATGGGTCTACTGGATACTGCCAGAATAGCGTACGTCACAACTCAAAAGGACCTGTCAAACATCAAGTTTCACTGATTACTTATGCCATTCAGATCGTGGCACGTTAGTATCTCTCTAGCATATCTTCCCGCATGGGTTGTCGTTTCTATCATATGGCACTACCGAATTTTCAGTGCTACCAATGTCGGCCTGGTGCTTGCTGTGCATCTTTTATTTGGATTCTCGCTTGCCAGTTGGTCCTTCTTCATCGCAGCTCCTTTTGGCAAGAGTCCTCAACTTGCGGCTGTGGCAACTACATTCCTCAGCATCATATTTGCTATCCTCGCGCTAGTCTTGAGCAGAGCTAGCACGATTGTGGCGACTATTCTTACCATAATCTTCCCGCCTGGATACTACGTCTTTGCGATCCGTGCCATATGTGGCTGGGAAAACCACCAGATTCCAACCAACATCCTGAAGCCAGATCCGGATAGCAATCTAATTTTGCTGCCCCTGATCATTGCCGCCATTGTACGTGGTGCATATTTCTCGTGTACATTGTCTTAACCTACCTATGCCTAGATTGACGTGTTCCTATGGCCATACTTAGGTGTCCTGCTCGAGAGAAGGCTCTATGACGCCAGAGAGCCGTCCTCGGGCTTTTGGTCATGCTGCCGCAGGCAGAAAAAGGCTAACATACCTCCGCATCCTGATGGAGTTGCGATTTCTGTTAGGAATTTGGGAAAGACGTTTTCCCCTTCCATGTTACACCGTGAAAAGCGACCGGCCATTGCCATCGCGGACTTATCTTTCAATGTTCCGAAGTCTGGTATCTTCGTTCTTTTGGGATCAAATGGGTGAGTTTTGCTTTACCTCTGGCAGATTGGAAATATTCCTAACAATTATGGGGATGGTACAGCGCCGGTAAGTCAACAGCATTATCAATCATTGCAAATCTCCTCGGGCGCAGCACCGGAACTGTTACCTTTGAGGGCGGTGTCTCTCGTCCTCCCCGCGGAACGCTTGGCATCGTGCCTCAGAAAAATGTTATATTTCCTGAACTCTCTTGCTATCAAACTCTCCGCGTATGGCGCGCAGTGAAGCATTCTGCTCAATCGATAGACAAAAACGAAGATTACGAGCAGCTACTGCGCGACTGCGATCTCGGCAAAAAGATCCATGCCAACGCCAGTACTCTCTCGGGTGGCCAGAAGCGCAAGCTACAGCTCGCTATTGGACTTGTCGGAGGCTCCAAGATTGTTCTTGTGGATGAGTGTACATCCGGCGTCGATCCATTATCCCGCCGGGCGTTGTGGAGGACTTTGACGTCTGTTCGCCTCGACCGGACCATCGTGTTCACCACTCATTTCTTGGACGAAGCTGATCTGTTGGCCGATAATATAGCCATTTTGGCCGCGCCAGGCAAGTTGGTAGCTGAGGGCACTCCTGTTGCTCTCAAGTCAAACCTCGGGCAGGGATACAGCGTCCAAGTCATGTTCGACTCCCCTGATTTGACTGAGAAGGACCTTCCAACAGAAACTTTGGATCGTATTCGCCAAATTTGCCCCCAGTGCTCCATGTCACTCTCCTCGCCGAGCCAGGCGTCATACCACCTCAAGTCGAAGGATCCTGTGGTTGTGGAGAAGGTCCTCCAGCTCTTAGATCAGGAACGCGATGCTCTCCACGTCGCATCCTGTGATGTGTTGGGGACGTCCATTGAAGATATCTTCCTGGATCTCATGGCCCGTCAAACTCACGGTGTCTCCCTGGATAGCACCGAGAAGTCCATTTCAAGTTCAGGTGGCATTTCTGAGCCCATCCTGGCTAAGTTGACCGACGGCCCATCTGCTCCACCTGGAGCCCTTCAACTTACCGATGGGCGACCTCGTTCTCCTCTTAGTCAAGCTATGACGATATTCTATAAGCGCGCATTAATCGCTCGCAGGAGTTGGCTGACGCCCTTGTTGGTCGTGCTCATCGCGGTTTGCGGTTCATGCATCCCGCTAGTCTTCCTGTCTGGTCAGGAAACAACATGCACCACAAAGTTCCAGAACGAGTCCGTCATTTCGTTGTACTTCCCCGAGTCGCCTATCTACTATTCAGCGTCTGGACCTGGTACCCACATCTTGGAGTCACCCCCGAATATCATTGCACTTCTCGGAACAACTGCCTCATTCCTGAAAACGGAAAACATCCCCAACAATGCTACATTCGTCTCAACAATTAACCGAGACTACCTTAACTTGACGTTTGGTGGGATATCGATAGATATGCAGACGGGTGATTCGTTATTCGCGTGGGAGGCAACCCCGCCCGGTTTAACTGGTCCGACCATGATGAATCTGGTGACAAATATACTGTACAATCGGGCGTTGAACATATCTGGGAACGTTGCAAGCACGCCAAGCCTCATTTACGCGAGCTATGCTGCTTTCCCTCATCTTGCTGCAGGGACTCTAACTGACCTCAAGTGGGTGGCGTTCTTCGGAGCGGCTATGGTACGTGTTGTGCAAGAATTTCATATACATAGAATCATGCGCTAATATCTTGCTTAGGCTGTCTTCCCTGCGTTTTTCTCCCTCTATGTCTCAAGAGAGCGAAGATCAGCCGTGCAAGCAATGCAGTTATCGAACGGTCTTTCAAATCCCATTGGGCTTTGGATTGGCCACCTCCTGTGGGACTCGATATTCTCGGTGACACTAGCTACAATCATTATCATTATATTCGCTGTCGCTACGAATCAGTTCAGCGGCCTTGGTTTCTTCGTATGTTTACCTTTATTTTTTTCGAGCATTGCAATTCACTAATGCATTCCGGCAGTGGCTCGTCCTAGTTTTGTATGGCATCGTTGGCGCATTATTCGCGTACTGCGTGTCGTTGTTCATGTCGTCACCACTGACCTCTTTTGCAGTGGTGGCAGGATACCAAATCGTCATGTATATTGTGAGCTCTTACAGTTTCTTGTGCGCACCACCACTAACGCAGGACTAGATGTACTTGGGTGGATATCTCCTGACGCTGACGTATGCGGTACCGTCTCAATCTGGTACCATCATCACGATCATCCGTAAGGCGTCGTTATATGTGCATCTGTGACCTGGCGTTTTAAATGATCCTTTTAGACTTCACGTTCTCGGTGTTATCACCAGTGGCTAGTATTGTAAGTTGCATTATTTTCTTCGTGCAAACTAGCCTTCACTATGTCACAGATGCGTGCGGCCTTTGTCTCAGTAAATCTCTTCTCGCTGCTTTGCAACGGCACAACTCCCGTGACTACGGGATCACTTGGTGACATTCTGCGTTATGGAGGTCCCATCGTCTACCTCATCGTATATGGTCTTATCCTGTTCGCTATTCTCGTATGGGTCGATTCTGGGTCAATCATCCCTCGTCGATTCCTCAATACAAAGGGACGACGAGTGCAAATGGATAAGCTGCAGGCCAACTTTGAGGCCAACAGACAAGACGTTGCCGCTGAAGCGCGTGCGGTGGCACACTCCAGTGACGCGCTGCGTCTTCTCCATCTTACCAAGACATTTGGGGGCAATAAAGTCGTTGATGACGTGTCTTACGGGGTGTCTCGGGATACCATTTTTGCTATGCTTGGGCCTAACGGGGCTGGCAAAACTACAACATTCAACATGATTCGTACGTATATCTGATAGGACGATTACATTCTGAGGCTCATTTCCGCGATTGTGTTATCTAGGTGGCGATATTGTTCCGGATATGGGAGATGTGTTGATCAAGGGGGTATCAGTGTTGACATCTCCGAGGACTGCACGTCTATCTTTAGGAGTCTGCCCGCAGTTTACTGCAATCGACTCTCAGTTGACCGTTCGGGAACACCTCATGATCTATGGACGTCTCAAAGGCCTGAACAGGGGCTATGAGCTAAAAACAAATGTCGAGGCACTCATGGTTGCTACATCATTACATATGTATGCTGACCGACTAGCGAGTCAACTGTCCGGCGGGAATCAGCGCAAGCTCTCTCTTGCTATCGCCCTTATTGGTAAGCTCTTAAACTTCACGTGCATGTGATAGCTGACGTGGACACATGCAGGTAACCCCTCTGTTATTCTCATTGATGAGTTCTCTACGGGAGTGGATGCGAAGATGAAGAGAGACATGTGGGGCACTCTCCGAAACGTCGCTGTCGGAAAAGCAATTGTTATCACGACACGTACGTTTTATTTGAAATCATCCTGACCTTGCCTCTAATTCAGATGGCTATCTAGATTCCATGGAAGAAGCTTCAGCTCTGGCAAACAAGGTTGGCATAATATCTAAACAATTACTGGGTAAGCACATCGTTCGCTATGATATTTGCAATATCTTATCCCCTTGCAGCTGTTGGTACTATCGACAGCCTGGTCTCGCGTTATGCCACGTACCAAGTGCATTTCTCTTGTCCAACACGAGAGGACGCGATTAGAGCTCAGGTTCTCATGAGTCAGATTCCAGGCTCCCGTCTAGCCGACGATGTTGCCACGCGCTTCGAAGTTCCTATACAAGAAGGCCCTGGCAGCGGACTCACCCTTGCGCAATTATTCCATATTCTCTCATCCCAAGGCGATTTCCAGGAGTACAGTGTAGAAAAAGCAACACTAGAGAGCGTGTTCCTGAAGGTTATTAGAGGAAATAATGTTTTAGAGGACGATTCCCCTAGAAGACGACGCAGGTTTCGATTATGTTAGGGCCGTAAGTTGCCCAAGTATCTAATTAGACAGACTCGGACTCGCACGTACTTTGGCATGGACAATGCATGCATTTGTTGATTAATAGTATTAGTGTACCTTTACGATCATTGATTTCGGTTGAGCAAGTACTTGCTTATCATGCTAGTGTCATCAGCTCAGGTTGCCATTTGCGAAAGTGGTATGAGTGAGTCAGAATTCCGGTAACAGAACATTATAGGCAGCGGGGACAGTCGACGCGCGAAGCTAGGTAGAGCAGTTGATAATCATTAAGCACTGCCGAAGCCTTTCTTTGCCATGTGAACACCCCGCTGCGCAGAGAACATGTTTCGCATCAGTAACGCCACTCACGTGGCAAGTTCCTGGCTCTGGCCCCCTCGGGTGTCCATTTGGAAGATTGGGCCTCAATTTAGATTCAGGCTTACTAGCCTGCTGGGTGTCACTTGATACAGCTGAGAATATTCTCGCAATCTAACGAACGCTGAATTTTAATTCATCTCCAGAACCCAGACTGATACACTGATATGCTCTTTGTGAATAGATATAGATAAATCATGACAGGCATCCCAGACTTACTATTTGACGATCCCGTTGACCCACGGCATGTCCTCTTCTACACAGTTCATGACCTCATACACTAACACGTTTTCCAGCGACGTCGTTTGCGTTTGACGTGATTCCTAAAATCTCGCGAATCAAAGCATTTGGTAGTGCGTGTTCCAATGGATGTTCTCGAAAGAATGTGTATTCAAGTGTGCCGGGGCACCCACGGGTATGACCGCAATGAGATTGTACGTTTTAAGAAATCGCCTTGTAGGTGAGACGAAGAGATCTAGTCTAAGCTGATTGGCCCAGTGAGTCACTTGGAGATGTTGGTCACTGTCTCCACGCCGTCCCGGAGTGGAATTGATACCAGTTCTTGCGCTACTGAGAGTCATATTGCAATGAGTGACGACGAAGGTGGCAATGCGATGCGGATGCAGTCGCAGAATCAGGGCAGACGTTGTTATACAGTTATAACCATGTTAATGACAAGATGCTGGGGTCGGAAGCATTGCTGAGGCGACATTGACGAGGCAGGGGACTGGCAGGAAACGAGGAAATGTTGTCGAAGAGCGTAACGAGGTGAAATGAAGGATGAACAATTTTCATTGGCTGGTTGGTGGGCAAGAAATTATGTAAGCGGGCATGCGGACCAGGACCTTAGTGAGACTGGCAAAGTCCCAGGCCCAGGTCCATGCGAGTCGGGGATTCGTTTCGATAGACGTAGGTCGGAGTATCCCAGCACCATTCTTCGATCTAGTTCGGCATAGTTGCCCACCCTACCACTCCCTTTACCATACATTGTAACATTGTATCGTCGTTAGTGCAGTGTGAATATTAGATCATTTGCCTTGGTGTACCGCACACTGAGAGTCAGTGCACGATCGAACTCGTAAACCGCCGGTTTCCCGCGGGCCCTCCATCCACCCCGAGCTGACGCTTGGATCAGCACAACATGATTAGATCGTGTCACTGACTCTAGAATTGGACCTTGAAGCTGGAGGGGATTCATTTTGGTCATTCTCTGTGATAGGTTTGTGAGTCTAGATCTTGCATTGCCCCTTCGGGTTTAACTTTGCCTGTTCCCCCTTATTCCCGTGGCCGCAGATGATTATGATAGCGATTCAAAAGGTGAGAGGACCTCTCCCTTCTCCAACTTACTTCTTACACCCCTACTTTACTCACAGTAATTGACCACTCGTACTGAGTAGAGACTATAAGCCAGATCCTCCAGAAACCTGCGAAGCAACTGTTTGTGAAAGCTCAGTAGTATGTCGTCTCTTAAGTTCACTCACTGTGGATGAGCGCTTATGAAATCCACCGCAAGCTATGAGGAAATTTACAAAAAGCATCACCAAGAAACTTTCTGTAAGTAGACTGCTATTGTCCTGATTCTGAACATGGCTGACTTTGTGCAGAAACCCTTCAAGTTTTCCCGCAAACGCATTCCTGCGGACCAGAACGTCGAGCCTCAAGGTGCTTCATCGAGTCAGAAAGTCGAAGTAAGTACTCGAAATCGTAATCCCAGTCTTTCAGTTTTTTTATTAGAGGCCCAGGACAAGTCACATCCGCATTCTTCCACCGACGATAAGCATCCCGCCTCATCTGAAGATCCTAGTGACTGTGTCAACCAAGGTTCATCTAGGGAACCTGCCTTGAAGGTACCCGCATCAGTTATCTGGTTTTCGTCTCTTAATTTTCTTGATCGCGCAGGTTCTCGACTCCCCCTCTGGCGTGGAAGAAACCCCTTCTCTCAAATCGGTTGATGCTGAGCTTCGGAGTGCCCATGAGGATTTAGAACGCATGAAAACACTCCGGGGACCTACTACTTCTATGGCATCCGCCGTCTTCAATGCCCCAGCAGATCTCTCTGCCGTGGATGATTTCCAGACCACATATCTCCAACCTCTCAAAATTTTCAACACTGTCATCGAGAATATCGCAAATGTATGGGCCGCTCTCCTTGATTGATAACAAACTAATCAAGTTATAGGTGCATCCATATGCGAAGATAGCGTTGGGTGTGCTGTCTGTTGCATCCAAAGTGCGTTCATGTTGCCCAGAGATCTGCCTCCCGCTCAGATGTCATAATTCTATGTAGATTATAATCGCTCAGGCAGAGCGAGACAAATCGATCCATAGCCTTCTCGAGAAATTGGCTGAAGTTTACCGTTTCATGACTCAGGATGACAGCCTTGGCAAAATTGAATCGATGCGCGGTATTGTTGGAAATATCGCTCAGCAGACTCTCGAGTGTGCTCGTTTCATCAGGGATTACTCGGAGACGAAGAGCTTCTGTGAGTCGTCGGGCTACTGCATTTCACACATGAATCATAAACTTACTATGATCATAGGGAAGAGAGCCGGTAAAAACACCGTCGCAGAAACGGATGATATGATCACACGGTACAATGGCGCCTTGGATGGCCTTATGCAACAATTTCGGGATCAAGCTAATCGGGACGTAGCTGTCTTTGTCCAGTTTGCGGGTAAGGATTCATACGTGCCTCTGATTTTAGATGTACTCATACCCTTAAAGGTGAAACACTCGATCTCAGTGGCATGGTTTATGCAAGGGGCGCGGGAATACTTACTGAGAAGCAATGTCTATCAGGTACTCGCACGGAAATTCTCTCCCAAATCACCAAGTGGATCAACAGCAGTGGAGATTCTGTTCCGCGTGTAATGTGGCTATCCGGCCCTGCAGGCAAAGGAAAATCAGCCATCGCCCACACGATTGCAAACTGGTTCAAAGAAACGGGAGGCCTTGGTTCATGTTTTTGTTTCGATCGGCACAGAGAAGCAGACCGTCGCCACGAAAAGATTTTCTCCATCATCGCGCTTGACCTTGCTGATCGTGATCCTGGGATGAAACGAGCGTTAGCGGATGCAGTCAAGGATGCGAACTCGCTCAAGAATACGACGGACATTATCCAGCAGTGGCGCGGGCTTCTCATGGAACCGCTCAAGAAGCTCTCTGCATCAAGTGTAGGGCCTGTCCTGATCGTGATTGAGGCACTAGATGAGAGTGGTGGACTAGAAACGCGGCGTAACCTCCTCCGCATGCTTGCCGGTAAACTTCAGGACAAAGGGCTTCCCCAAATCATGGAACTCCCCTCCAACTTTCGGATTCTCGTCACCTCACGCCCACTTCATGATATCGAAAAGGAATTTGAAGGTGCTGATCATATTCTACGGTTATCCATGGACGATATTCCACCAGAAGTCGTGAAGCGCGACATTTACGCCTTCGTATCTGAGGAGCTGAAAGAGCTATCAGAATTTCGGGGCACACATCTTGCAGACCTCGCTGCGAAATCAGACGGACTCTTCGAGTGGGCGCGTCTCGCGTGCGGATACATCAAGGAACCCTATTTTGGTTTATCTCCAATGGACTGCTTCGATGCTGTTATGAACTGCGATCCTGGGGAATGGAAAAACTTGTTGTATGATATGTATCGGCTCATGTTAGAAGAAATTGCGCCAAAGGATCAGTATACAAAAGCCCGGTACCAGCAAGTAATAGCGATATTTCGTTCTGTGATGGGACAAATACTTGCCACAGCCGAACCGCTCCCTTTAGTTTCATTGCAAGTTATGCGACATCATTTCCCGGAGGATCACGACCATTACCAAGTGGATGTAATGATAAAACACATAGGAGCCCTCCTTAGTGGCGCTACCGACTCACATACCCCTATCCGACCCCTTCATGCGACCTTCCAAGAATTCCTGACAGACGAATCATCCAGCGGGGGCTTCTTTGTCGAGAGAACGAAGGAACAACAACGCGACCTTGCATTTGCGTCACTACGAGTGATGGAACATGACCTTCGTTTCAATATCTGTGATTTGAAGTCGTCGTACCTCCCTAATTCCCAAGACACGGACCTGCCTCAACGAATCAAAACATCCATTCCCCCACATCTGTCCTATTCCTGTCGATTCTGGGCTACGCACGTGTCAGCATCGAACTTCGACTCGGAGCTCTCCAACGCAATAAAATCATTCTTCGACGATGAGCGACTGCTCTTCTGGGTTGAAGCACTCGGCCTTCTCAACGGAATCAGTGGCGCGATAACCGTGCTTCCACTCGTTGCCAAGTGGTTGAAGGTGAGCACATGCCTACCAGGCAGCGTCGGATGAACATCTTACAATCAACTACAGAGCCATTCTGGATACGAAGATGTGCGGTCCACCGCAATGGATGTGCAAAGATTCATTCAAGTGTTTGGGGCCATGATTTTGCACAGCACGCCACATCTGTATTTATCAGCGCTACCATTCTCACCCATCAACTCCACCATGGCTACCAATTTTGCTGCAAGATTTCCGAACAACCTTCATCTGGTATCCGGACGTCATTTGAACTGGACGGCTGTCCAGATTGTGATCAGCGGGCATACTGATCGGGTTTCCTCAGTCTCGTTCTCACCGGATGGTACTCGCATCGCGTCTGGTTCTTGGGATAAGAGTGTGCGGCTGTGGGATGCAGCGACGGGACAGCCATTGGGTGAGCCCTTGCGGGGGCACACTGAACCAGTTTTGTCAGTCTCGTTCTCACTGGATGGTACTAGCATCGTGTCTGGTTCGGCGGACAAGAGTGTGCGACTGTGGGATGCAACGACGGGACAGCCATTGGGTGAGCCCTTGCAGGGGCACACTGGACCGATTTCCCCAGTCTCGCCCCCACCGGATAGTACTCGCATCACGTCTGGTTCGGGGGACAAGAGTGTGCGGCTATGGGATGCAACGACGGGGCAGCCATTGGGTGAGCCCTTGCAGGGGCACACTGAACCGGTTTCCTCAGTCTCGTTCTCACCGGATAGTACTCGCATCGCGTCTGGTTCTTGGGACAAGAGTGTGCGGCTGTGGGATGCAGTGACGGGACAGCCATTGGGTGAGCCCTTGCAGGGGCACACTGAACCGGTTTTGTCTGTATCGTTCTCTCCGGATGGTACTCGCATTGCATCTGGTTCGGTAGATAACACTGTGCGGTTGTGGGATACATTGACGGGACAGCCATTTGGCGAGCCCTTACGGGGGCACACTGAATGGGTTTCGTCAGTCTCGTTCTCACCGGATGGTACTCGTGTCGCGTCTTGTTCATTTGATAAGACCGTCCGTCTATGGAGTGCAGTAGAAGTGCAACCATCCCCCGAGTCCAGAGAGCCAGATTCCTCCGCGTTTGCGCTGCATCGAAGCACCACACCTCCCACCCACGAAAGCCGTATCATGTCAACCAACACTTGTAACGATCATCTCATTTGCTTCTCGTCCAGCCTGGAACACGCCCTACCCGACCCCGCTGACTTAATCGAACCCACCCCTCATCATAATTCTAATTCAACTCCCTTCTTGCTGCATGCTGATGGATGGATTATGGGACCCAATCACCAACTCCTTTTCTGGGTGCCTCCCGCTTCCCGACATGCGTTTTATAATCCTTGGACTTCATTGGTGATACCCAGAGGATATCCCGAGCTTGATTTGAGACGCATGGCACACGGGACGCACTGGTCGAGTTGCCGAGATGCGTGAGTTCTTGATATTTACCATTCGTCCACGCAGCTACTAACATCAATCCTGCTAGCTCCATGTAACGATGATTTTATTGCCGCAATATCGAGTGTACCATCTGATTCTTTAATTCCTTGTCGATTTTATACCCAGCACCGAACCTGAATTTATAGTTGTCCGACTGAATGATATCCTGAAAAGCAGACTGGGTGAAATTCAGATGTGGTTGCTGCTTTGTGAGAGCACGTACCGAAAACTAATTTCATCAGACGTGGTTGCGCCCTTGAAAATTCATGCGGATGTCGACGTTCCAGCACGGAATTGAAGGAGGATTCTTTATTTGAATGAAAACATATAATCATTGGTTCAGAATGGTTGGTGGTCAGATGAAGCGCCCATAGGCGCCCATTACTCAATCCGACTCCAGTTGAACTCCTACTACTTAGCTTCTCGAATCTCATATGAACTTCCAGACATTTGGTCCGAGCAGACAATATGTCTTCAGTGAAAACTTCGGTTCTTCAAAACGACAATCAACGTCGAGACTCGAGCTTATGACACACAGGTATCTCCATTCCTTTGAATGTATCCTTCGCGATCCCAACTTGCTTGCGCTTGCAAAGGCACGGCCCTAGATGCCACGACCTCCACCATGGCGCAATCCCCCGCTCTAGCAACTAAGATAAATTCTAACGCCCTTCATGAGCTTGGAGGGTCAGCAAAGGAATGTTCGATCATATCCTACTCTCCAGATGGCCGACAAATGTTCTGTGCTCCTGACGTGACAAGACCGTTCGGCGATGGGATCTACAGGCGGTTTTATATGTAGATCGATGAGGTTGAGCACATTTGGGGTGAAGGAACGAGTTATCACTGTTGGTGGAGATTTTTATTATTATGGCAGCCCGAGCTCAAAGCCTAGTACAGAAGTTGAGACGGGAAGAATCGTTTCAATGCAACTCGCAGAGGATCAGCTACATCAACATTTCTGCGAACAACACACAGCTGGAGGACAGGTCATGGGATGATAGAATGTGGATATGGAACTTAGATACTGGCAAACTCATGGCCGGTCACCCATATACGCGTCACTCCGCGGTACCTGACATCTTGCTCCGGTTGGGCCTGTGCAATATGCGAAACTCACCATGACAAGGTATGTGTTTATCCGTTATACATCGTCTGGGCACTAATATTCTCTTGAAGATCGACCGAACCCTCAAACATTGACTTGAAGTATGCCACCCATTGATTATCCACTGTGCTAACAAGAATGATCATTGTAGTCTAGATGTTTCCTTTCATATGATCCTTCGCCCTATGTCCCCAAGGCATCTGCCTTCAATAGACCCGTAGCGTTTCGGGTTTATTTAGCAGCCACAAAACTATGTCCTCCTACTTCGTTTCAAGCCGCTATTATCCCTACCACCTAAGGACCACCAGGTTGGGAACGACGTATCCTACCTCTTCCAAAAATATGGAAACGGATTCGTTATTCTCGATCTCCCAAGGCGATGTCCATTGTAAGAGAAGCTCAGCAGACGTCCTCAAGATCTGCCAGTTTGGAACGGTGTGTTTCCACCTCTTGGTAACATTTGGACGCGCATTTGTCACTCTCAATCCCACTGGGCGGCATCGACTCAACATGTCCAGATAGCGACCGCACAGGCTAAAAGAGTGACGTTCAGCGTATTCATTCTCAATGACATATCTTAGGAAATTCCCAGAGGACTGTAGATTCACGTCCACGACGCATAACGACAGCTCAGTGTTCTAGTGGTACCAGGGCAAATCCCTGTTCGCAGTCGGCGTCGACTCAAGAAGGCTCGGCTCAGGTATCTAGTGACATTAGGCATAATTACCAAGGAACCATAGCTCGGAACGACTCGGCACATTCTGGGCAAGCCAGAGGACCGGGATAGCGTTGATTCAAGGATTGTCTATACGGAGCGGGATACCGAGAGCGTCAAAGCATACAGATGCTGGAATATTTTGTGGAATTGGTTGTACTACAAAGGTGAGTTTCTTTACATCTGGAATGGACGTAGTCAATTCATGCATCGCGTCAGCGTTCTGACATCGCTCGTCTCCTGCTTGATTATGTTCTATGTATCGCATACTTTACGTCAATATGTAAACTTGTTCTCCTGTGGCTCTTGCTATGCCGAACGTATCAATGCCACATATTTTGTATGATTTGCGCAGAATTGACGTGATAGATATGATATTTAACAAAAAAACAGAGCGCATGGTGTAAGGCCAGTAGACATTGAAACATGCTAATGTTGGCCTACATCCTCCAAGGATTATAGCTAGTCTCTCTAGTCGGCCCTTCTTCATATTGCATGGATCAAGTAAATTACCCTCGTGTCTCGTCCTCCAAGCATCCACACAAATGCCGAATTTCCCTTAACAGCCTGAGAGAACACTTCCTGAGGTGACATTGACGAGGTGAGGGACCGGCAGGGGGAGAGGAAAGGTCGCCGAAGAGTGCAACGAAAGAAGGTGGGTGGAAGTGTCCAAACAGGTTTGTGCGATGGAAGGGGTGGGAAGCTTAAGGAGTGGGCAAGAAGAAAGCGAGCGGGTTAACGTTGGGATCTGAGATCTAGACGCGATGGCAGGCTGGAGGGATAAAGTTAAGGTTGTTAGTGAGAAATTAGACGTAAGGGACTGACAGTCCCTCTCCACTGGCAGGTCCCTCCTCCACTAACGTGAGAATCGGAGATAGACATAGCGGTATGGAAGGAACCGACCAGGTTCCTCCCTCCAAAGATCCGTGAGTCGGGGAAAAAATCGACGTTGCAACAAAGTAACAACTTGTCAAGGAAATAAAAACCCACAAACCTTTTGATATAGGCGTTTCTCCTCCACTTCGGACCCGGAGCGTTACTGAGTTTGATCCCACGCATGCCGTCCCTACCCCTGCCAATTGACGATCCCAATTCCGCGAGGGAACCTAAGTAAAAGTTCTAAAGTTCTGTACGTCCAATGCCGGCAGTGCCAATTGAGGTGTACTGTAAGGCGTGCTCAATTCTTACGATGTCAAGTTCAAGGTGTGTCAAGTCCTACCGTGCCTTAAGCCAAACAACATAGCCGACCGGCAAGACTAGACGAGACTCCATTTGGGTTGCCGAAGCCAAGCTTACTGCGTCTTATCACCCCACCATCGCATAACACATTGTCCTCGTTATGCAGCGAAAACGAGAGTTCCATGATCTCTTAAATGTCCTTTCTGCCTCGTCGTCTATGTTGGGCATCTCAAAACGCGCTCGTCTCGAACTTGAGCATGTTATTTTCCCCGATGGCGACAATGACGACCACAGTCATCATACTGCCGCATCTCTCACAAGAACAAGCACAGCGCTTCAAGTATTTGCAAGTATGCTGTCTGGTGTCTCACGCGGCCCATACAATCAATGGAGAAAATGTTTTGAATTCTGCTGAGCTGGCCAGACTGAGATTTTCGACATGAATACAGGTATGTTTTGTATTGGATCATCAGCGCTATCTTCGCCAAGATCTTTCAGGGCCCACCTTCCTTGTCCATCTGCTCGAACAAAACCCCATCTTCCAATTAACTGGTGGAGTGGGGGACCCCTAGGCGAGGGGCGGAGTAGCAGCCGGGTAGCACCGTAGCTTAGTCAGCCACTCAGTGTCCTTCGGGCTTTGTCGTAGCGTAGTGCTCTTCACCACTTTGCCTTGCTCGCGACACGCAGGCACACAGTCGCGGATACACCGCTCCACTGGCAAGAGACCACAGCGCGCAGTCCGATATCAACTGGCGTGCTTTCTCCTTCGGTACGGCTCATGCAGCGCAAATCCACTCCAAGCTGCCCACAAACTTGCGATTGGATTCAGAACAGTGTTCCTGTACTGCCGGCTAAGTCCTCTGCTGAGCACCATTGACGTCTTGTGAAACATTATAGATGCCATGTGAAGAATTAATAGTGTTGTATACTATGTTCCGTGCTGGATAACTCATCACTGGTCAGTGGATGTCATGAACTCTGCTGACTTCAAATCAGTTTCCTTTTTCATAGTTTACCAATACTTACATATCTTCCGCTTCGGTTCTCTCCTTTCTCAGTTTCGTGCTCGTCTGTTTTGATAGGTATAGCCTACACACTTGTATTTGTATATTCTAACGTCGTCTGTTTTGATAGCTGTTGTGGTTGTCGCTCGGCGTCTCGCCTCGGCTTTTCTCTCTCTGATAGTGGACTACAGTGAAGTTTCTATGTTCAAACATAAACTTTGAAGTTCATCGGTGTGTTCACTTCGGTAGCTTCGGCAACCCAAATGGAGTCTCGCCTAGTCTTGCCGGTCGGCTATGTTGTTTGGCTTAAGGCACGGTAGGACTTGACACACCTTGAACTTGGCATCGTAAGAATTGAGCACGCCTATAGAGTTACGACCGTAACTTCGTCACGTGTCCCACCCCACAGCGAATCGAACCTATTTGATGTGACGGTCACACTAAATTTCGGGGGGCGAAGCTATTTTGTGACACGCGGTAAAACAGGAAAAATCGCCAACAACAAAACCAAAAATTGCTACGGACAGTTAGACACGAGATTCATTCTGAAGGGTCAAAATTGATGGACATGCTGAGAAAAGGCCAAACTCACATGGATTGCAGCTGCCAGGGCGAAGCTAACTTGGATAGGTCACACGTCGCAAGGGCCTACGAAGCTGCGAAGCTAAGTGTGACATGGTCACACCCGAAAGGGCGCGAAGCTACGGTCGTAACTCTACAGTATGTCCTAGTGACTGCTTTAGCTGACTAAGCCGCCTGAAAGTTTGCCAACCTCACATCACTTGCGTTTGCACTGAGTTCATCTCAACACCAGCAGTCAGATGCTTTCAGAGTCCTAAATTGCCTGGACTCGGAGGACTTCGGGGATAAGGGCACGTGTGTTTAGATGCGCCGTAACTTATCTCATATCATGCCCAAGGGGGGCCCCGCGCCCGTGATGCGGTGTTTCGAGAGCGTAAGTCGCAGAAACTGACCGGTGACATGACAGCTTATCGCTTATTTCATCTACTTAGGACAATGATGATATAAGAACTCAGAGCGCAATCCGTAAAAAATCGACCCACCTGTTATCTGTTACATGTCTTCTGGTATACTCATCCTCTTCGTGGCTGCACTGGCCACAGTTTTCTTCTACAGTCGTCGACACAGTAAATTACCACTACCCCCTGGGCCATCTCCAAAGTTCTTTACCGGAAATGTTCATCAATTGCCAAAGAAAGAGCCTTGGCTGATGTATACCACGTGGGCTGAAAGCTATGGTGCACATTATCTAATCTTCCGCTTGCTACAACACTTCTAACTTATGTCTCGTAGGGCCCATATTCTCCTTCCGCGTACCTAACCGGCAGTTCATAGTTCTCAACTCCCTACAATCAGCTACTGAATTACTCGATTCACGCGCCACTACATACTCTGATCGTCCAAGAAGATGGATGTACACAGAACTTGCGAGGCGCAACCTAACCCCGTTCAACATATCTTTCACTCACCCGTATTTCAAGACGTATCGGACGGTCCTCAAAGCCAGTCTGAGTTCCCGCACTATACGAAGCTACCAGTTGCTGCAGACCGAACAATCTCGTGTGCTGCTTGATGGTCTGTACAAGAGCCCTGAACATTTCGCCGATCAGATCAAAAGGTAAAATTCTCGTGACTGCTTGTTTTGCTTGTTTCTTATCGAAGGTGCAGGAACTCAGCGGCTGTTGTCCTTTATCTCGCATATGGTTGGAAGGTTACCCAGAATGACGATTATTTCATCGGTATCCTGAAAGAAGGCTCAGAAATCAGTGCCATGCTATCCCAGCCTGGACGTTGGTTGGTCGAAGCGATACCATCATGTAGGCCCTCTTTTTAAGTTCCGGGCATCATAAAACTCAGCTAGTCGACCTTCCATGAGTGCGTTTCCTACCTTCATGGTTTCCAGGGGCAGGTTTCAAGCGTGTAGCATTTGACCTCGGGCAAAAGTTACGTAGGGTCGACACAATACCATTCAAATGGTCCAAACAGCAAATAGTGAGCCTTGCTAAGCAGTCTTGCAAGTTCGTATTATCTGGAATCCTAACCGATTCTCGACCGAATCAGCGCAGCGGCAGCTACACGCATTCCTTCGTTTCAACACAGCTCCTTCCAGAGGATGGGTCCACGGTCAGTGCCCAACAAGAAGAGATCACCAAGTGGTGCAGTCAAGGGATTTATGCAGGGGGAGTTGACACCGTAAGATATCTTTTATACCCTCCCTCATGTGAATTTTCGAACAATCACTGGCATGAGTAGACATCATCATCCTTGACGTCTTTTGTCCTGGCGATGGTGCTTTATCCCGAGGTACAGAAGCATGCGCAGGCAGAGATCGATGCCGTCGTAGGTCAGGACCGATTTCCCACATTCAATGACAGAGACAAGCTTCCGTACATCGGAGCACTCATGCAAGAGCTCCTCCGCTGGGCACCCGTGGCTCCCCAAGGTCAGCCACATGACTTTTTCGTCCCACTTCCCGCTCACTCTCAGCGACACAGGGCTCCCGCACCACGCAATGAGGGAAGACGTTTACAAAGGGTACCGCATACCCAAGGGCGCAACCATCATCGCGAACATTCTTGCCATCTCACGGGACAAAGAAATGTATCCCGACCCATTGGAGTTCAGGCCCGAGCGTTTCCTTGGTCCCTCACCCCAATTGGATCCACGCAAATTCATCTTTGGGTTTGGACGCCGCGCATGCCCTGGTGCCTATCACTTACATGACGCTATCCCAACCAAAACTAACGACCGCATCTTATTTCAGGGCTGCATTTTGCCCAAGCCTCCTTGTACCTCAATATCGCTTGCATCCTTGCTGTGTTCACGATCGCCAAACCGCTTGATGAGAGAGGAGAAGAGATCACACCTCCTGCAGAGTTCGAGGATACTGGTGTACTCTGGTAACTCGACCCTCTGAGCCTGAAACGCATGCTTACACACCCAAAGGCACCCCAAACCATTCAAGTGCAGGTTCATACCAAGGAACAAGGATTTGATGACAACTCTCTCACAATAATCAACATATCGGCCAACTTCAGCCAAACTCCACTGATATGTAGATTATAAGTAGTGCGGTATTTACATGATTGCTTCGTTCTGAGATATTTCTAACAGCCATGTACTTTTATCTTGTCAGCAGCCATGAATCTCGTTGAGTACAGTCAGTGTCGACTGGGACAATACTCATCTAATTCATCCTTGTCCCATGTCTGCTCCCGTTGTTGGCATTTCGCTATGTTCCCGTTTCCTGTCACTGTCGCGTTATAACACGCCACTATGTCTTATTGGTTCGCAGTTGGGTCTTTCCCTCAGGCTTGGACTGGCTTGGACTAGTACGCCTTCATCAGCTTGCTTTCTCAACTCATTGTCTGTCTGAGTCTGATGGAAGTTCCGACAACTAGTGTGCAATACTAGTAAGTCACTGCCTGCTGAACGAGAGTTTTGACTCTTGTTCAATAGTCCTACCGGTGACAGCCTCTGACGGGTAGCTGCAGAACTTTCGTTTAAACTCCTGTAATGACGTTGGTTTACTCGAGCTAAATGCATCCTGCGAATCCAAGTGAATCAATATACTCCTGCAAGGCTTTTTTGGTCATAACGTGGAGATGGTTTACATACTAACTCTCACAAATATAGGTATTCCTAGTCTTTCCCTTTCTATGGAGAAAGACGATGGACATATACCACTCGGCTGGGTCGTCATTCTGTCATGGATTCGATGATGACCAAGGTTGGAGGTCAGGTGGTGACTGCGCAGTGATGGCGTAGCGGCATAAAGTACTACTCTCACATAGCATAGCCTATAAAGGTCGGCTACAAGTTCCCACAACTCTCACTCTTTAAAGCATTCTCTAGTACCACTGGAAGTATCCACTCTTATTCATACTACCATTCTAACATCTCCATCATTATGCCTGGAAGTACTCTTCCTCCTTTCCCGAATGATGTTCGGACACATCCACTCTTGATTATTGATTACGAGCTCATCAAAGCTGGAGACGTAGAGGAAGTAAATCGACTGTGGGAGGCAGCGACGACTATCGGATTCTGGTAGTACGTCATATTTAAGTATTTCGTTGAATGCATATCGGATCCAACTCTCTAACAGTTTAAAGAACCACGGCGCAGACAAAGAAGTCAGCGACATGTTTGATATGGGAGCTGAGACAATGGCCCTGCCCCTTGAAGAACGTATGAAGTTCGAGCAAGGAGATAGCGGACAATCTTTTGGGTTTGTTTTGATTTAATTCACGAGCGCCTCTTATCTTATCTGGGTTCCTTATCAGGTACAAGAAAGCAGGGGCTAATGCGATTGATGCAACTGGTAGGATTTCCAGGTTGATATACAAGCAGTAGACTGACGCAAACACAGGCGCATTGGACGCTGTCGAATTCATAAACGTCTCTAAAGATGATGCTCTGGCATATCCGCAAGTCGTTCACCGCACCTACCCATCAACCGTCAATGCTCGCATGGAAAACACAATTGCACCATTTGCCCGCAAGGGTCTCGAGGTGACATATGTTGTATTGAATATATTCAATGACAAGCTTGGACTGCCGAAAGGGACTTTGGAGAGACTGCATGACATGGAGGAACACAGTGGTAGTGAGACTAGATGCATTCGTAGCCCTCCTGTGCAGGTCAAAGAAACGACGAAAGATGCTGTACTAGGTGCCCATACTGATTTCGGCAGTCTGGTGGGTATCTTGACACATGGGCCACGCTTTTTTCATCAAACGTTACCAGAGCTTCTTGCACAATCGCCTCGGTGGACTCCAAGTGCTCCCCCCAGGTCACGACGAGTGGTCCTACATTCGAGTGAGCACGAGTCTAGTGCTCGCGTACACGTGCAACAGAACTCATCTACTGATAGCCCATCCCTGGACATGCAGTTTGCAATGTTGGAGATGCGTTGTCTCTTTTCAGTGGAGGCATCCTGCAATCCAACATCCACCGTGTTGTGTGCGTGCATGAGTACCTGAATTTTCAACCTTACTAATTTATCGAATGACCATGGAAAGTCCACCTCCCGGTGTACAGGCTGAATACGAGCGATGGTCCTTGGTTTTCTTCACCCGTCCGGGCAATCCGAAAGTTCTCCGGGCACTTGTTGAATCCAGCCATATTATTGCAGAAGCAGTGAAGAAGCAACCTGACAGAAACTTTGAGACTGGTTCCACTGCTGCAGACTGGTTCGCGAGAAGAGTCAAGTATCAGAGGATTGGTAACAGAACGGTAGGCACCCCTTCAATGTGTTGCAGCGGATGTAATCATGGATGCCGAAATATCACAGGGTCCAGAATCTTGGGCTGCAAGCCGAGGGACAGAGCATACTCCGACGGCAGCCTAGACTATGAATTGTCTGTCCCGCTCAATAGCCAATCTGAAGCAAGGTCATCGCTGGCGACAGTGCCTAATTCAGACAAAGGCAGTCAAACTTCAGGCATGGTGTTGTGGGGGAAAGGTGCTTGTATCGAGATTGTAAGTCGTAGCCTCTGTAGACTGTCGTGTACGTAGCACCAGCACCATGAAATAATGTCTCGATTCTAGTAAAGACTGGCACATCAGAAACAAGGAGAATTTTCGAACGAGTGACAGCTAGACTCTAACAACAAACAGAAAACAAGACATACCGGCCTAAACAGGCGAGCAACGTCAAATGTTCGGAAATCTATGAAATGAAACATCAACCACGTACAGTCGAGCAATACAACCACGCTGAATCTTGCGTACATTGGCAGTGGCACTCACGCCAACTTGCTTTTGATAGTCTATCAGACAGTCACTAACATACCAAAGCACACGACAAACCAAGTAATAACGCACCATCATTGACTTCCTCGCCGCCCATCGCTTCTCAGCGTAATGCGCAGCACCCTTCAAGTCTGACCACATAAATAAGGGTATGACAAGTGCCATGACAGGGATCCCGATCCTCCAAAATCTGTGGGCATGCATAGGTCAGCCTCAAGTGTTGTGAGAGTTCGAGACAATAGAACACGTACAAGACGTCGGAATTATTTTGAACACTCCACATAGATTCAAAATTCATTCCCTGTGCAATACGTTAGACTCGGTGGGGTAATCGAAGTGGGAAGAAACACACAAAGTAACCTGTGAGCAATGTCAGCGGAAGGAATATGATAGTTGCAAGGGTGAGGCGGCGCCTGATAATCAATATCAGCTCGAAGCATGCCGATGAAGTATATGCACGCACATGACTAAGTTCATCTCGTATGATTTCATCTGTCACTCACATCAATCAACACGAAAAAAATCGAGACAAAGCAATTACGTACATTGAACGCGTAGTTGATCAGGTTTTCTGCGATCCCTGCGAACATATCCATGCTTGTAAGGATATGTTCCATATGATCATGTACGTCTGCCTGCCACCGCATCTCAGCTCAGCCAAAGGAGTAAAAACAAGTCACGACACACCAAGTATATTTTACTCTTATGGGACATGAACCCCTTCACTTTCTCTCTCCTTTGCTCTTGGACCTCCTTCTCAGCAGACGAGAGCAGTGCAGCACACCGGTCCTCGTCGTACCGCCGTAGCCCATAAATGACCGTCTTGAGAGGCCCAAGGGTCCGCTTATGCAACATCAAATCACCGGAAAGAATATGCACTGGTTTCAGGGCTGTCAACACAAACAGAAACAGACAAGGGGAACGACACGCACGCCTTGAAACCACTTTCATATCTGGCTTCATCAACACATCGTATTCCAGCTGCAATATCTTCTCATGAAATGCATCCACTACCTCGAGTGCAGAATCCACAATGAGGTCGAGCAGACTTTGAACGAGCAGACTGGGGTCTGCGGATGCACGCAGCCCCGTGTCGGGCTGTCGGAGACGCGTCATAATGGGACATGCGAAATCGATGAAATTGGACGGCATAACAGAGATTACTGTGCCTGTGTTAGGTAGAGTCAGCTATGATCACTCGAAATTGGGATGCAGCTCAAACTCGAAGCATATACGTCAAATCAAGAGCAAAAATGCGCACAAATCGCGGTATATGCATCGAAATAAAAGCATATAGTGACTTGATGGTGAATGTCGGCTCAAAATCGGGATATATGGACCATCATATGCGCGACCCACCCGATGTGTATACATTCCGATGGGCATGAATTAATGCAAGTCAAGTCAAGTAGGCCAAGAAGGAAGGACGGGGTATGACAGTAAACAAATACAAAATAACACAATCATGAAACAACTGGGAAAATGAGTCCAGGACTCACCATCTCTCAATAAGAAAATTGATATTGGGTGAATGGAGACGTTTACGCGGCCTGCCTTCTTTAGATCTGTGAGAGTTATCTGAGCTTTTTCCCTGCGTTTTTGGGACTGCACAGCGAGGACGTTGCGATGAGTATTGGTTTGGAACTGCGTCGATCAAGAGGAGAGTAGAAAAGAGTAAAAAAAATTACCGTCGACAAAGGTGGACATCGAAATGTGGTGAGTCACGTCGAAGCAGGTTGGAGATAAAAATGAAAATACAATGAGGGAAAACACAAATGCGAGAGACACAACGCACCGCGCTCTCTTTCCGTGTAGCAGACATAAGTGGGGTTAAACCTTCTTCCTTGACCCTTGCCGCACTTTCCATGTCAGCTTTCGCTGACCTTCTGTTCCTGACAGTGCTTCCAAGTCGCCAGGTTGCAGGCGCACTGCTGCCATATATCGTGCGATCTTCATCACCAGCCTCTGCATGGACGTCGTTATCCTTGAAATATTCCTTGTGGTAGTCCCCTGGCGTCATTGGACCTGGCGAGGAGCTCCGTGGTGGGTCTTCGTCTTCCGGTGTGTAGGAGTTTGGAGATGAGGAGGAAGCGAGTGTGTGAGATAAGACATGGATAAAGAGGTGTTGACTGTAGTAGTCCGTTTTGGAGCGCGTGTGTCCGCATTTGTGCAAGACGTCTTCGAGAGCGAGGGGGTGAAGGTCTACGCACGATGATTATTAACACCTGGCATTGAGTATCACGGGCACTTTACATACCATATTTCAGGGCAAGCGCACTCATCACATCCCAGCTGATGCCGCACACATTTATCCACCTCACCTTCACCCATGACTCCCTCTCCGAACTTCTCTCATCGTTGAACATTTGGACAAAACGCTCATTATCCATCTTTCCAAAGCTGCTCCTCACGGTACTATAGTCAGTGATCTGGATCTCGCAACGCTCGCGAATGTGCGCGTAATGGAGATACGCGGACTGCCTGCGCGGGTCAACGCCAGGTTCTGCACCGGCGAGACTGAAGCCTGAAAGGACGGTTGTTGTCCGGTGCATGGAAATCACTTTGCGAACACATGCACGGAAGCGATCTTTGGGAGTTTGAAAATGGAGGGCAGGAGCACGTTTTGGCCGCAGTGAGGCCGGGATTATTGATGATGGTGCACGTCGCCAAGACTGACTTATAGGTGCAGGCTTTTGGGAGGATCCATTGGAGGATAGAGACGGTTCAACGTCACTGGCAGCAGGAGATGCGGAACGCGGTGCTGGACTCAGCGATGTCATGGATTCGTCCTCAAGATCAGGCGTCAAGGAACGCTTGTCAGAGTCCGTGAAACTGTTTTCGCGAGGCATGGCAAGTTGTAATCTAGTGTATGGCACACTGGAGAGTAACTCGGCTCCAGAGTGATAAAAAGCCGCACGGCTACAGGGGTGAATGGATTTCTAGAAGACGTATAGAAAAGGATCCGAGTTAAGAAGTAGTATGAATTTGGGAGACATTGAGTTGCGCCTTGCCTCCAACAGGAACGTTGAATCCAACGTACTTACGTCGCGAGTACGTTATAGGCAAGTTACAGCTGGCTGCCAGCATTATGTAAATTTGCCCGAGTCGTTTAGGTATATGTGATTAGGCTAGTGGCGAATTGTCTAATCAATCATGATTGACTGAGTTAGATGAGTCGCACCGTGACCGAGTCTCAGTAATGCACCAGTCTACCAGGACCCGTCCGAGTCACAACTCCAGTCACCGTCCCCCCCACTGTCTCCATCGTCATCATCGCCCTCATCATCGTCATCGCCTTCATCATCGCTATCGCCCTCGACGTCCTCATCATCCTCAACCCCCTCGCTGCTTTCATCATCCTCCTCAACTTCATCCTCCTCACTGCCTTCGTGCCCTTCATTGCCTTCCACTCTTTCGTCATCACTGTCTTCATCGGAGTCCTCTCTTTCAACCTCCTGATCGATTCCAGAGGAGCTGTCGTTGTTGTCGGACCCGTCGCTTCCATCCAGGCCAATGACCTCATCACGGTCAACCCCTTCGTTGCCCTCGTCATCCTCGTCACCCCTCTTGTCGTGTCCGTCGTGCTCGTCACCCTCACTGCCATTTCCTTCGTCACTCTCCTCTCCTTCGTCGTCCTCCAGACCCTCTCCTTCCGTATCCTGGTCGGGTCCAGAGGAACTGTCGTCATCTGACTCGTCACCTTCATCACTATTACTGTCAGACCAGTGCCCACACCAATTCCCAGACCAGGTCCCAGGCCAAATCCGAGACGGGTTTCCAGGTGAATTCCCATCGTCGACGGCATCGTTTGGATGGAGCTCGCAGTATTGCTGATGTGCAAACAGCACAATTTCTCCGATCGATGGTCGACTGACACGAGGCAACCAACACCGCTGTATGAACTCCCAGTGCACGGGTGCAACTTGCGAACCCTTGGGGGGCTCTGGTTTCTTTCCTCTGACGACATGTCCCAACACTACATTATCCTTCTTCACATCATAGTAGGGTACCTTGCAAGTCAATACCTAGAGCATTCGCAAAGTGAATAAAGGTTTTTTGGCCGAAAACTCAAATTACTCACCTGCAAGACGATGCTGCCAAATGAGTAGATGTCACACTCAACGCTGAGCGACACCGACGCATCATCTTCTTCATCACCTTCGGGTATGTCATATAGCTCCGCGGCTGCCCATCGGATATGTCCTCTGATGGAACTCGTGAGATAGGAAGTACCGACAAACTCCTCGATCATAGTCGAGAGACCGAAATCAGTGACACGTGCCCGACCGTTGCCATAGATCAAGACATTTGACTAGAGAATCGGGACATCAGTAATGAGGAATACCGCTCTGTATGTCGCCATACGCACTCCTGTCAGATCACCGTGTACAATTGATTTACTATGGACTGATCCTTGTGAGCATTTGAAAAAATCAGGTGGAGTGAAGGACGACTTACGATATTGCAACCCAAGGGCAATATCGGTCAACTGACGTGCATCAACAGATCAATAAATGTCTAGAAATACTCGCGAGCATGGGCTTACAAGGGTGAACTTATCTTCCAATGTCAACGTGTCTTCCTGGCGCTCAAGAAAGGCCGTCAAAGTTCCATTATCAGCCCATGGGCAAACCATTGCGAGATAGGGTCCGAAGTCAGTTGCTACTCCCCAGAGTGGAAGAATACTGTTGTGTTTGAGACGGCCCCAAACTTTCAGCTCGCGACGAATTCTCTATGCTGAGTTTATTGTGGAACCACAAAGTATTATTGAAAGGGACGTCACCTTTCTATTCTTCTGCATCAACGCCTCGTTATCAGACTGTAAAGCACGAATGGTCTTTACTGCTACTAGTACCTTGGTTATATTTAGGAAGATACATGACGAAGTGCACAGGCTGGCCTTACCGGGACGGTCTCATCTGGCTTCGCTAAACAACACTTATAGATGTCTCCATAGCCTCCGCAAGTTACAGGAAACGGCGACCTATTCTGGAGTTCCTTGGTGAGATCTTGCAGCAAGCCTGAGGAAGAATGTGCTGATTGTTGATCGGCATCACTGGTAGGTTCATCTGTTGTTGTTGTCTCCAAAAGAAATGGAATAGAAGTCTGTGGGTAGCTACGTGAGTCGGATGTGTATGTAATTCGATGAAGCGAAGGTCCATACACTCATGAGAGGCAGAACTTGTGTGGTATGCGCGAAGAGATAGAGGGACTCCAGTCAGCTACATACTTTTAAAGTCTAGGCCGCGGTTGCGATTTCGGTATCGTTGCCCCCTGGAAGTTCCAATGCAGTACTTAACAAGGCATTTACGTACTGCACAGTCCATACTAGTAGTACTACTAGTCATCGTCTGGAAATGACTTTCTGAGGGGTGGCCAAATGACTCAGATTAGACACGGACACGTATGGGACCCCATGCACCGCTAGTACTATCAGTGCGACGGTCGTGTCGATGACTCGACTCGGAGTTCAACGATTATTGGGAGTTATTGTATGTCGTAACGACAAGGTCGTTATAAATTCTTGCACAGACTTGGGGCACAACTAACGCACCTATAACAGCCCGGAAATTTTCAGTAGAGCTCTGATCTATCCAGAAGATGACTGATTGTTATCGCTGTAATCGCTACTTCAGCTCCAGGTCTGCTTACAACTAGCATGTCCGAGACTCCAGCAATCACTAGAAATGCCGATATTGTCACGGTGAAGCCGATTTCAAATCCTGGCGGGGACTCAAAGAACATTATGTTCAGGGCCATCCCTGATGCCAGTATTGCAAAGTCCATTTCGACTCCCCGTTGAAGTTACAGGATCATTACGAAGGCGATCATGTTTGCTGTAACTCATGTAACAAGGTTTTTCAAGAACGACTTCGGTCTGCACGAACATAATCGACAGAAGCTTGAGCACGCCGACCTGTACTGCATTGCGTACAGAAAGCTTTTCCAGACTACAAATGGCCTTCGCTCTGTAAGCTTCACTCCATTCTTAGATTTGGGAAAAACCTGACCTAGACGAACTAACATCAATCGAACTCTAGAAAACACCAAACTTGAACCGTCAGTGACTTGGATAGCACCCGCCACCAGGAGAGTGCGGATCGTTGCCCTCTCAATAGCTCCAGACCTGCATCACAATTTAAAACAGCAAGTTTGTCACATGTAGTTCTCCATGGCTTTTCGTCTCCATAGGCTATAACTGACACTTCTTTTTCAGTCCTCCGTTCATTCGAATGTTATATCCACATTGTTTCTTTCGTCACAGATAATATTAATCAGTTTATATTCTTCTACTATTTTTATTTATTCTTTAGCTGGCATCACCGCCTTACTTATTACAAGTCACTATCTGCGAACCTTAACATCCTTATTGACTCATAAACCCATTATAATGTCCGGCGGTTCTGGCTAAAGCGGGTTTCTTAATCCCCTTCAGTTATACATGGTAGTCATACCTAACATACGTCCTCCGACATTCATGACACAGATATTATTATTTGGTGTTCACCAAGGAGAATCCATTTCATACCGATAGATCAAACCGATATCTCGGTAAACTGGTATATCAAAATTTAACAGCCTTTTTTTCTGTCGCAAATGATCATATTGTAACAACACGAATTAAACTTGTAAGCACAGTGAAGATTAGGACTATAGAAGCATAGGAACCAGCCGACAACCGTGGACTGGAGCTTAACGCCACATGTGCCTTGGCCCTATTGAAGCCACCGGTGTTGACACTATCCTATCAATCCTATCAATCTCTTCTCATTGAAGCCGCTGGCGTATTAACACCGTCCCATCGACTGTCATGAGCCAAGTACATCACAATCACGATGACGCTCTCGCCTTCAAACAAGTAATGAGGCCATCCAATGACCCCCAGATTTCATGGCAGGATATATTCGACTGTTAGCGACGGTAATCGTCTCTCCGTCTGTTTGCAGCCCGACCTAAGCTGGAGTGATACCACGTTTGCATCTGAATGGAGGTATGAGGACATGTCATATCTTGATTTCAAATATTTCTTGGGCCGAGAATCGGTCCTACGAGAGCTTCCCCACCGTTTGGCGCTGATCAAGGTTCTCCGCATTGCTTCTGTACGGACATATCAGCCCTTTGATAAGACGAAAACAATTATGAATGATGGTTTGACAGGATGGTGGCATCACGGGGCTTCGGGGTTAAGGCTATAGCATATAGAATGGCTTCAACGGGTAACAGAAGCAAAACCATCATGTCGCAGTTCTCCGCATATGCTTCTATATGGACATATCAGCCTTCTGATAAGAGACGGAACATGATAGAATGATAATCTGACAGGATGGTTGTATCACGAGGCTCCGGAGTTCAGGCTATATCATGTGGAACGGCTCTCAACAAGCGACACAAGCAGAATCATCATGGCACAATCCACTCCTCGAGTTTGGTTGAGTGAGTTGGTGCATGTAACTCCTCACCGTGCGGGTCACTGACTGATCGTAGTCACCGGGTCTTCCACTGGGTTCGGCAGGGCGATGGTCGAAGAGGTCCTGCGTAATGGCGAGATTGCCGTTGCAACTCTGCGCAAGCCCTCCGTCCTTGATGATCTTGCAGCCAAATATCCGCGCACTCAGCTCCTAGTACTCCCCCTGGACGTGACGAACGAAGCGCAGGTAAAATCTGCCTTCGCACAAGCCAAGGATGCCTTTGGGCGCGTCGACGTCGTATATAACAACGCCGCGCAGGCGGTTTTTCAGGAGGTGGAGGGGACGTCGTTGGACCGTGCCAGGAAACTTATGGATATCAATTTCTGGGGCGCGGTAATGGTAAGCTTTGAGGCGGTCAGATTTTTTAGAGAAGTGAATCCGAAGGGCGCTGGGGGAATGCTGGTCCAAGTATCGAGCATGGCAGGGACCACCGCAGTCCCGCTGATCGGGTTCTATAGCACCACGTGAGTGGGATGGTGCTATTTTGGTCGAGTGTTGCTGAAGAATTTTGTGTTCATAGGAAAGCAGGTAATGTTGTTTGTGGCAGACTTTGTGACTTTGACTCACCACCACTAGCCTTGGATTCATTCACCGATGTCCTGGCACAAGAAGTACTTCCCGCTTGGAACATTCGTGTGAGTAGCTGAAGGAATGACAGTCGCAGACCGCTGAGTGGCCATACAGTTCGTGAATGTTCACCCAGGTTGGACACGCACGCCTATTGTGGAATTTCCATCAAGTGAGATGCCCGAGCCTCCAGCACCGTATGCATCGGAACCAACAGCCGTAACAATGAAGATTCGTGCTGGATTCGATGCGTTCACCATAAGTGACGCACTGGCTGACGTTGAGGTTGTGACGAAACGCATTTGGTCGGTGACGCAGATGGACGATGAATACTTGCGCAAGGGTGTTCAGGAGAGCATTCCAGGCCTTGTGAACGTGCATACGGGCATGGACTCGCTGGAGCGTGTGCATGCCAAGATTGGGCGGCTGCAGGGTGAGCTGATGTGGAATACGAAGGTTCATTATGAGTACTAGTAAAGTTCTCGTGCATGATTCCCATGCACTCCCGAACCAAGCCTGAAATTCTCAGGCTTGCCTTCAATTATCGACGTTGTAGCTGTAACGTTGTACCAGTATTACTGTGGTATTTCACTCGATTCGACCACCTGGGTTGCCCTATTAATAAGCCTTATTATATTTGGTAGTCACGTGTCCCGCCAACTATAATTAGGCTTGGATCCGTTAAGTCTCAACACCAGCATTAAATAGTGCCCCAGCTCTCCAAAATACCTTTAAGAAATACTGTATCTACCTCACTATGGTGGGAGTGGGCGCACAGGCCTGTTTGGCAACCAACCTGCCTGGTATTAGTTGCGTCATCTGTCTATTTTAATCTGGCACCTTCTGCAATGCCTGCTACACTTCCTAATTTGAACCAAGAGGCTTCTCACCTCAGGCAGTACTTCTTGGTGCCAATAAAGGGTCTTTCAGACCCGGTTTCTATGTTTTGGGAAACTGGGCTGAGAGGCCCCTTAGCCGGGAGGATCCTCCATATGTAAATAGCTACATTCTAAAAATATAACTCTTCGTTGCCCTCCTTTTGTGCACCTTCACCTGTACTTGACCATGTTATGCATAATCATGGCTTATTAGACACAGGCCGTCATGCATGGTTACCTGTAGTCCTTGACATTATGCATAATCCCCTCGACTGTATGTATAGTAGTGTTCTCCATAATGCATAATGCCCTTGACTGTCATATATGATGCTTTGGATCTTCTCTTTCCATGTTCCTGGCTGCATCCTTCTATGATTGTGATCTCGGAGACTTGCCAATCAAAGATTATATATAGCACTACTAATACATCCTTCTAAAATCAGAGACTGATGCAATCACTGATTATATATAGTGCTACCCCACACATCAGAAAAAGAAGCCTTGAGATTAGATATGTTATCCTACTTGTATTCAGGGCACCACTACTGCTGGGGGTAAGCTTGCCACAGGAACTGCACACCATTTTCTTAGGCAGTTGTCCTGCATCATGATCTGAAGGGCCACCTGGCACTTCGCATATGCTTCAAGGCCTTCTAACTCTGCAATGTCCAACCCAATCCTCCAGCTTGCCAGATCCTTCCACCATGTCATGTGCCAGTTGAAGAACATGCACACACACCACATCTCCTCCTGGAGAAGCTCTACCTCTTCTGTCCAATGATGTGTGCATGCCCAAGATTTACACCACTCTACATGTAGTGCTGTGTGATAGCATTTTAGCTCATATCAATCTAATAGACAATTTCTTACCATCAGCAAGAACGGTCTCTCCTTCCCTGTCTCCAGTGGTGATGCCACATGCCTTCCAAATCCATGATAAAGTTTGATTACCTTTGGATTGGCCTACATGGCCATCAGACATTCCCTGAACATGCTCAGGTTCTAGCTTGAGTAGATCATCTCTCCAGCTATGTTCCTGCAAAATGTTGCCAAGGATAACTAGTGCAGTCCAGGCCTGATGGTACTGCTCTGCATCTGTCTTGATGCTAAGCTCCACCTTAGCGAGAACTCCCGCTGCACGTGTATTGGCCTGTTGGCCACACAATTGATTGGCTTTGAACTTGTATAAGTGGCTGCGCAGTTGGAGGTGTCGACAGAGGTCATCGAGAGTGTCATATGCTTGTGCCTGTTGCAGTTCCCATTCATATCTGCACAAACGTTCCTCACAAAACTCGTTTTAAGCCCTTTTGAGCTGGGATGGCAACCACAGTTTGACCTTGTAGGGTTTTTCTTCCTGTGAGCTTATGGTACTAGCTGTATTGGATGTGCGAACATGGATGACTGTAGGCATGTATAATACCTGGACCTTGCACCATTGCTTGATTTTGCATTGTAGTGCATTGCTCTGTTCTTGCAATTTTGTAAGCTGAAGGTCCATTGAGTGAGGACCCAAGGCAGCATACTCTCTTTCCAGCTGGTGTCTAAAACATTGAGATAAAGATGCAAGGAACAAAAATATAAACTTACTGCTGGTCCTCTATTTCAATACCCAATGACACAAGAATGCTTGATGATACCTCCATATGCAGTGAGTAGTTGAGGCCATGTTCCAGGTCTTCTGCTTCCTTCTGCGAGAGATGCAGTCGTACTGCTGTGGGAATCATATTTCAGCTGGCCAAGCTGCTGAGTGGAGAGCAGTATGTTCAGCCCATGGGATTCTGACTTGGCTCAGTGCTCAGAGAGTAGAAATTATCATCAAAAGGGACTGTCATTCAGGCTGGTACTGACACTAGTGAAAGAGATACATGCTTAAGTAAGCAGCAAAAATGCAAACATAAGCTAAAGAAAGTGAGGGTAGGTAAAGATAAGTAAAGTAAGTAAATCTAAGCCCAAGGAAAACTTGACTGTCACAAGAGACATAGCTGCAAAAGAATGAGAAACATAAGATCAACATAAAAAAACTAATGCACTTGTAGTTGTAACCTTGAAGGGATTCGTCTGTGATCTATTGGCTTCCCAGCCTTCAATAGCCAGCTTCCACCGAGCAACTTCCTCTGGTCATTCTGCAACCAATGTATCATTGAAATCATTGAAGTTGATGAGGTGCTGATCACGTTGAGGTATGGCCACCACGAGCTTTCGGAATAGACTGATGTCTTGATGCCAAAATGTTAGTAAGAGATTCCGATCACACAATGTAGGTTCCACTCATGAAAATTGGTCACTTTCTTCCAGTTAAAATCTCCGAAGTGATTGTCGAGGGTGTTGCAGCATGAGCCAGGGCCCATCTCCCAAGTGCTTGTTGCTACAGGGTTAATGTTTGCCCACCTGCGTTCTGGTGCCTCCCCATTGGTGCGTCCCATCCCTTTGATAAGGTTGTGTGAGTATGTGACTTGGCAGAATGCAACGTGCACGGGAAGATGGAACTTGGGAACAAGGAACACGAATTCTTTGGTACTGCATTCAACATGCATTTGATGTGGGTATGTAGCCATATGATCCCATATATTCTTGCTCCATTGACACGCGATATTGTAGGACACGTTGAGTGTGACTACATCCTTTGAGTATTGCAGGGTAGAGAAAAATAAATAGTCCATATTAATATACCTATAGTACACATTGAGTGGTGCAATGACTCTCAGTAAAGCTCTCGCCTACCTCTCACCCTTCTGGAGATCGCCAACACTGCAAGGACACTTCATGTTGTGGCATGAACAATCAACAGTGCCAGCCCCCATTACTGCCAAACCGCAAGAGTTTTTAGTCTCGGCCAAGTTTACAGCGTTATGGCTCGCACAACTACTTTTCTGTATGACAAGTGGGTGAGTGAGTATGATACAGCTAAGATAGATGGCTGCACCTCTTGTGGCTGCTTTCCAGTGTCATGAAGAAACTTCTTGAATGCCTTCTCTTTGACGAAGTATGCCCAGCCTTTGTTAAGACTGGGGTCAGTCTTGTCGGATGATATGTTTTTGCATGCCAGTCGGAAATTAGCATCAATTGCCAGAAATAATGAATATTTCCATCTAGATCATTCTGTGAGTGAACACACCACATGGACTAGACCAATATATGACATACCTTTCCTCAAACAGTGTATCTTCCCAGCTGTTCAGAAGGTTTTTGCCCAGTTGGGGGCAAGCAGGACATAGCACTGCACATGCACCATGTTGTGTCACCTCAACCTCACCAGGGTCATGGCCCTATTGTGCAAACTCAACAATGGCTAGACACTTGTTAAAGTGCCTAACCAAAAATATTGTTGTAGGTTGATGCTCTGCCTAGCTGCTATACTTGCAAGCAAGAACGTTTGACCCTAAAGGGAATTGCTACTGAGAACAGCCAATGATACTAAAGACCCAAAAGTGCGCAGAGCACAGGAACAAGTGTGCGGGTATGTAGAGCGTGGGAATGTGGAAGTGCGGTCGATGAGTGGTTGATGAGTGGTCGATGCGGATGCTAGGATAAGGGGTAGGGAAGTCTTAAGGCATGGCACAGGTAACAAGTGAGGGCAAGGGTATTGATTGCATGGGTAAGGAAAGTCAAGACAAGGTGTCCAGGTATAAGGTAACCAATAGGGGCTAAAAAGCGCGCACTAATGGTGACTGCTCCTAAGTAAAACCTAAGGGAAGGAAATACTGTAGAAGGGAAGTAAATACGAAGTAGTCACCCTAGGCACTTTATACTAGCTAAACCCTCTTGGAAATGGAAGGGACAGGACAGACAGGCAGTAGGAATATGTAAAGACATGTAATAAGACTGCAACACTTGTTACAACACACGAGGTGAGGCAAAATACATACCAATGAGGTAGGATGGACAATGGACTGACACAGGACATCTGTAAGGTAGTCTGAAGGCACGGGAAATCAACTGCAGGTATGCGCGCAGCATGGGAGTGAATGCGCAGGTCCGCAGAGCGCGGGAATACGCATCCGGAGCGGGTTGAGTGCGGGAAAAGCGGTCGATGGTTTTGTAGCTTTCCATCACCTATATCAAAAGATGGCCTATTGCAAGCCTAGTGGGAATATGATTGTCACACCATCCTGAACGTTTGAGTAGGGTGAGGTTTCACCATTCCTTTACCATCTGTAAGAGTGCATTATAGCGATCCTGTGAGCCATTGTAAGCTGTTATTAGGAATGAATGAGTCAATTCAAATTGAGAACTTACCTTTGGTGGGTTAACACCTGTGTTGTTGGTCAAGCATGTGAGTGTTTGCCAATACTCGAAAGTGGAGGCCTTTGATTTGAAAGAAAGAATGTGGAAGTGGTGGAGAAGTTGAAATGTTGTGGTAGTCTTTGAATCCAGTGTAGTTGCTGGGAACCAACACATGTGAAGGAGTTGTGTCATATGAGATTGAGCTGTTTGACACTTGCAGAAGTGGAGTGTAATATTGTGCACTCCATTGATGTTGAGGACCACAAAGTTGTTATGAACCAATGATGGGTTAGAACAACGTTCACCAGGGGGGTGTCCAAGTTGAACTTGCAACCCAAGATCCTGCAGGTTAGTGTCTTCAAAATGTTGGCTGTTCCAGTACTGTGCAAGTCAATCAGTGCAAAGTAGTGAGCACTGCTGATTCCCACCTACCTCAATTCTGTGGGTTGGATTTTCTATATGCCTTTCTACCGTGCATGCCTTGCAATAGAGCTCAGTACCAAGACAATCCTCACATCGAAATTCAGGGGCATTCATGCCACCTGCAGAACCTTGACATGCTTCCTGAAGTAAGAAATCACTGCGACCCTCCAGATGGAGGAGTTCTAAAAGAAAATGTTCCTGATCATCCATCCAAGTCAACAATGGGTTATCCTTCAAAACAACACATCAGTAATTGTATCCAAGATAAATCATCTTCACTCACTCCTAAATGTTGATTCCACTGTGAAACTTTCACTTTGAGTGATGTTTCAGCCAAGTGTTGATTGTAGACGTTGTCTTTGTTAGAGTCCAGAAGAGCCTCGAAATCAAAGGTGAAAGTATCTGAAGTATGTAAAGCAGATGGTGGTGGCACCGTGTGAGAGCCTCTTGGAGCACCAAAGTACTCTGTCTGAGTCGAGACCTGTGCCAGTCCCTTCAAAGTGTAAGATTGATGTTTGTGAGTTGAGACTTGACTGTTTTCTGGATCCTCAGCCTGAGTAGTGTTTTGCATTCACTGCTGAGATGCCTGATTTTTTGCATTGAGAACATACCAGTTATGCATAAGCTTGTCATGCTCGTGGCATCATTTTCCCATGAGGACTACAGCATTGAACAATGAGGATACACAACAACATACTGCACAGGGATCATGTGATGTTCAACACTAGATGCAAAATACATAGACTACAGTAATCACTTGCCAATGCTAAGCGCTAATTGCCAATCAAGTGTCCCTTTGTGAAGAGCTTCAAAATATGAGTCTACACATAAGTCCATCTTCTGGACCATTTGCTCACATGCCTGGATGCAAAACTGTAAGATGTGAGTCACCAAACATACCCCCACTCATAGTTGCTCAGTATAAGGACCCTCTAAGCTCCCAGCTGATGTGGATAAGCCATGTGCTTTCTCCAAGAGTTTGTGTACCTCGCAAACGTTGTCCTCATATTCAGGCTTCAGTGAATTCCATCCTTGATGGTCAGCAGCACAGACAGCATTCAGTCCTTCAGACTCCAATCGTTGATACAGATTGGAACCTGGTTCATAACCAGCATTGAACCAGATATTGTCTAGCTGATTAAGTAGTTTGAGTGTCTCCTACAAACAGTGTGTATTAAAATTTGACAAATCAACCAAAAATGATTGACTCACATCTGAAGCTCCACCCTGGTGACACCAGTGAGTGTGGGATTTGACATGTTCTTGCTGCCGATTCCTGTTGATTGTGAGTTCAGTAGTGCATGCACAAAGAATGAACCACATTACTAGACTTGCCTGGCATAGTGTTTTTTCTTGGATTTTAAACGAGCTTGATGGGATTGCTCAGTTGTGTTGTACTTGCATTTCCGAGTCATGCAAGGTGTCAGTCAACTGGAATGTGTGAAAAGGCATAGGTAAGCTTCCGCACTTGAGTTAGATTTCATGTAACACCTCAGCCACCACTTCAGGACACATTAAATTGTAGCACATAAGTCTCATTGCAGCTGCAAATACAATAGTTTCAACAGTCTGATTTATATCTTGTGGACAGGTAAAATGAGCTACTGTATCAGAAATCTCCCAATATTACTATGCCATAGACTCACAACCCAATAGAACTGAATTTCAATGAAAGCATATTGTACAAGTAAAAACCTCAGGAGCAAACAAAAGATCACGACTTTGGGACAGCTGTTAATCCATCTCCCCAAGCTTGACATTCACAATTCTCTCAATATATATATGTAAAACATGTGCTGGAAATCTATGTATCAGTCCCTACAGGAACATTGCACAACTACATCACAAAAGTTGCTCCCTCTCTCCTGCACAGCTTCACTTTCTGTTGCAGATGTGATAGCGGTGGAATGTGTGGTGCCAGTGACTGGTATAGTGAATATATTAATCAGTAAACTCTGGGGTAGCACTATCAAAACGTACTGGTAGTGTCCGACTTGGAGAGGCCTGTTGCAATGTGGCTTGAAGTGATTGCTATACCACAAGCATAGCAATTGCGGCGGTGTTCCCAGAAAATGCATGCTCCATATTCAGTCTGTGGACTTGGCAGCTCTGCTGAATCATGTCCATCATGTGCAGCAAATATGGCTATTGATCAGGAGTGTGATGAGCCAAGATTCAGATTAATTGAAATATTGAACATACCATTTTGGTCACTAATTAACGTCAATGCTCCTCCCAGCTCACACAATGTGAACACTGGGGGGTCACCATCATCATATCCCTGGCCTGCAGCAAAAGGTCTAATGAGCTGTCAGATGAATGGTTGAAAATAAAATTTACAGCTTTGATCCCTAACCAACGACAATGCTGCAGCCAGCTCATTTACAGTGAATGTTAATGGGGGTGGAAAACAGTAAGCCATATTGTTGTTCCTTGGGCTCTGCATTCCAAATGAGGTGGGTAGAGTGTGAGTAAAAAATAGCAGATGGCAGTAGTTACCAGGCAATTTCAACTCCAATCCAGCGAATACACTTGCTGATTGGTTGAAGATATGTGGTCAGCATTAAATTTTCAGGCTTGGCTTGCGAGGACCGCACAAAACCTAAAATCATGCTGCTATTCAAAAAAACATGTACCTCACCAAGGCAAGTGGTGACAATTGTCTCATCGAGTGATCATTAATTTAGCTCAGATAGGATGGCAAGAACAGTCTGGACCACACCTGAACAAAAGGAGTTCCTTGAGATGTACTATAGTGGGTTTCTGTTAGCACAGCTACAGGCCAAGGTTTCCCAATACTGGGATCCAATATACCTTGAATGGTTCAAAAGATGGCCTGAAGAGGATGTAGTGTTTAAAAATACTCCTGCCAGCAATCCCCATACAGACAAGGAAAATAAAGTTCTGGGGGCAGCACTTCAGAAGTGGAGACAGGTAAGCACTGCCCTCATGATACCCTCATCAATGATGTACATACTGATATGCTCAAAACAGCAAATACAAACCTGGTTCAATTATAGGTCCCAATGAAGTGGCCATTCAGCTGTGAACTCAATGACTAAAGTCATCCAGAAAACATTAACCAACAAAGCAAAAGGAACTTGGGTTCATACCCCTGCCGAGATCTTTTCGACCATTGCCTATAAGGAGGAAGTAAAAGAGCAGGTTCAAGATGCCATTAAGTCTGGCAAGCTTGTGACTAAACAGGAAAAATTGTCAGCTATTTGAAAACTTACATGCGAAGCATACAAAGCTGCACTGCCAGAAGTCCAAGCTTTGTGTGAGGAGAAGGTCCAAGAAGAGCACAAAGCAAAAGTCACACTTAATGTGCAAAATGAAAAATCTGAAAAATCTGCACCTACCAATAAACAGTATGCAACATAAGTTTCAGCTTTTGCCTGTACACCAATTTCCCATTGCTTATACATTATTACCAGCGCTCTCCAGGAGTGTACTGCTCCCATTGTGCAGTTCTTGCAAGTCATCAAGGACATGTCAGGGTGGGAATGGACTGTTATTGGTGCTGGGCCTGACCCTCATCTTGGTGGCCAACTAAATGTGATGAGGTGCGTCTCATATTTGCTTGCTCATTTTCAGAATGCTCAAGACTTCTTAGTTACCATACAGGAGTGAATGGAGATGGACACAATTGGAAACAAGCCACCCCAAAATTCATTGAGAAGCATCTCAATCCATACTTGGAATTTGTTGGAACACTGTTTCATGAGTAACGTTTCCGTTTGATGCACACATACTCATTGGATTCAATAGCTGAGCATGTCAGAAAGTCTCGTGCCATGGATGTCATCACCCCACTCACAAACAGTCTATCACCCATGACTTCACTTGCAAACAGTCTACCACCCACGATTTCATCTCCCTTGGGTGAAGGATCTGGGTCACTGGAGGGTGCATCATCAACTGTGACTCCAGCATCACATGGAACTGCCCTGCATGCCCCCCTCACACTCTCAGACACCCTGCAAGGTGTTGACTTGTCTCAGATGCAGACACTCTCGGACACCCTGTGAGGTGTCAATTTGTTTCAGATGCAGACACTCTCAGACACCCTGTGAGGTGTCGAGTCATCTCAGATGCAGGGACTTCTGCCTTTCAGCAACTTCCTTGGCCTTACCTTTGACAATGAAATGTCCAGTGACTTCGGCACTGACATCTCCATGTCCCTCAATCCATATGATGCCAGCTTCACCAGCACATCAGCATCTAATTACAATTTCACTCTACCTGCCCACTCCTTGTCATCCAGTGAACATACACTGGCATCCACTATGGGAGACACAAGCGCTGGCCTTACCTTTGACAATCAAATACCCGCTGGCTTTACCACTGACACCACCATGTCTTTGGATCCCTATGATGCCAGTGTACCCAGCACCCTGGCATTTAACTTCGATTTCATTTTACCTGCCCACTCCTTATCATCTGGCGCAACCACCCCAGCATCCACTATGGGAGACTCATTGCCTGATCTTACCTTATCATCCAGTCCAATGCCATCATCTAGTCCAATTCCAGAAACTCCCATTACCTCATGGAGGAAACAGATGTACAGTACATCCACATCTGCCCTCATAACGCCCCCTCGCCTTTGCTTCCGCAATACATCTGCTATTGTCACCCCATTACCGTCTTTTGCTCCCTTTCCAGTATCAATGGAAAAGTATAACTTCAGTTCCTCTACATACCCACCTGATCCTCCAGTGGTTCCAGCTGCTGGAACAGCTCAGGTTTTGGTGCCACCAGTAGTATCCTCTGCTAGTGGTTCTGGCTGTGCCAGGGACTTGGATTATGCTCTTACACCCTCCACTGTTGAGGTCACCCAGGTTTCAGAACAGCTGGTGCTCCTCCATTCTGATGTTGGTAGTGCATCGGGCTCTGCTGTACAAGCCGATGACATAGTTGTTCCTGCTGTTAGGAAGACAAAGCACATTGAAGGTTCAACAACTCTGCTAGGCTGCAGAGCTAAAGAAAGAAAGATGGCCTCTATCTCTGGGGTGAGAGGAAGGCTACTGACTCTCTAGATGTTGGTTGAAGTGCGCCGAGCGATGTGTTCAACCCTTAAGGGAAGCAAAGAAAGCAAGATCCACTGGGTGATGCCAGATCAACTCTGGTGAAGTGTGCTGAAAGTGCATGTGCAGGAATGTTGAGCATGTAAGAGTGCGAAGCATGGGAATAAGGCGCATGCAGTGCGCGAATGTGTAAAAGACTGGTGAAAGGCGTTGTGCAAACACAACAATGGCTAGACACTTGTTAATGTGCCTAACCAAAAATATTGTTGTAGGTCGATGCTCTGCCTAGCTGTTACACTTGCAAGCAAGAATGTTTGACCCTAAAGGGAATTGCTACTGAGAATGGCTGATGATAATAAAGACCCGAAAGTGCGCAGAGCACAGGAACAAGTGTGCGGGTATGTAGAGCGTGGGAATGTGGAAGTGCGGTCGATGAGCGGTCGATGAGTGGTCGATGCGGAAGTGCAAGATGCTAGGGTAGGGAAGTCTTAAGGAATGGTGCGGGTAACAAGTGAGGGCAAGGGTATTGATTGCATGGGTAAAGAAAGTCAAGGTAAGGTGTCCAGGTATAAGGTAACCAATAGGGGCTAAAAAGCGCGCACTAATGGTGACTGCTCCTAAGTAAAACCTAAGGGAAGGAAATACTGTAGAAGGGAAGTAAATACGAAGTAGTCACCCTAGGCACTTTATACTAGCTAAACCCTCTTGGAAATGGAAGGGACAGGACAGACAGGCAGTAGGAATATGTAAAGACATGTAATAAGGCTGCAACACTTGTTACAACATACAAGGCAAGGCAAAATATGTACCAATGAGGTAGGATGGACAATGGACTGATGCGGGACATCTGTAAGGTAGTCTGAAGGCACAGGAAATCGACCGCAGTTATGTGCGCAGTGCAGGAGTGAATGCACAGGTCCGCAGAGCGCGGGAATACGCATCCAGAGCAGGTTGAGTGCAGGAAAAGCGGTCGATGGTTTTGTAGCTTTCCATCACCTATATCAAAAGATGGCCATTGCAAGCCTAGCAGGAATATGATCGTCACAGCGTGAAGGCATGAACTAAGACTGCTGAGTGATGACTGGTGATAATAGACTGAGCTGAGGACTAGGGCAATGACTCTGATAGATGCTAACTCATGATGGATTCTAACTGCTAGATGACTACTGGATGGTGGTTGCTATATTCTGTGGTGGTGTATGAAAACTTCCTAGGCAACAGGTAAGCTGTGCCTAGGCGCACTCCCAGGGCTCGGAAGCGAACAGGGAGCGCTCTAAGTATGTAAATGATGTAAATAAAGGGTCCATGATGAAATAAGATATGGTATGATGCTAAATATGAGAATAAATGAAAAGGGACGCACCAGGGGACTGGTTGGACGATGGATGGATGCTTCCAGATGCTGTGCGACATAAGGCGACCAAGCGCGTGCTAAGCGCGTGCGCGGGAATGTGTTGTGTAGTGTGGGAATGTGTTGTGCCTCTGGCACATTTTGTGGGAAAGTCATGGAGGGTGAGTTGTACACTGTACCAATCGTCGTGAGTCGTAATATGGGCAATATATGCCTGGAGGAATCTCATTCCCTACAACATGCGCCAGCAGACGACACGTTTGGCACAGGCTGATAGCATAGGTGGCCATTCTCAAAAGAGGTTTGTGATTTTGGGTGTTTATTATTTGCAAGCGCAAACACTAACTCAATTTCTAGGAGGAGAAAGGCTATGTGATACTACACTACATTTTACAGTGGCTCAAAAAAGTGTCCAAATGTTTATGCATTTTCAAGTAATTAGATAATAGCACTAGAGGAGCAGAGAATAAGGATATTATCCTTTGAAGCAGAGGAGATAGGCTGTATGATGATTATGTTAAAGTTCATGATGTTATGTGGGTTCATATATATAAATAATATTAAAATAAGACCAAATATTGATTATTGTACCACTTCTATTAAGAATAATATCTGTGAATGGTTGGATTTTGTGATTTGGATATAAAGTCAAAAAAGTGTCCAAATGAGTCATGTGATTAGAATTACCATATCTTGCCTATATGTGGTCTAGTTCCCACGATATATATCTCAGATTATAGCTATGATGTCAAGCCTTTAGACATGTCTATATGCCTTTATATTGTACTCAGGTGCTGGCTTGCTATTATCTAATTACTTGAAAATGCATAAACATTTGGACACTTTTTTGAGCCACTGTATGTTCCATCGATGTTTACGTGTCTTGTGTTGTTGACATATTGAGAATATGAGCATATTTCTTGTTGAGACTTCGCATTTTGTGAGATGAAAGGCAGATTTTCAAGGCAGATAAGACATAAGCATGAAATTTTGCATGATCAGGCACAAGAGCAACCAGTCTTATTAATATTTTCAAGGCAGACAGGACATAGCATGAATATTTGCATATCTAGGCACAAGAGCAGCCAGTCTTAACACTCAGGCAATACTGATACCTAGAGATGAATTGAAATTCCACTGATGCGCAGAGATCAACGAGGACTAGACCATCAAAGGTATCAAAGGTACAGCAAATGTAAAATCTCGATCTCCTGCCAATTCGGGGTGCAGGGAACCAGGGGATATAAGGCATGTCCCGCCAAGAGTGTACAAGAAGGGGGATGGGCTAAATTAGGCTAAGAACTACCAATTCGGGGTGCAGGGAACCAGAGGATATAAGGTGTGTCCCACCAAGGGTGTACAAGAAGGGGGATGGGCTAAATTAGGCTAAGAACTGCACAAAATGGGTACCTGAATTGAGAAATGGTGTGGCGGATCATCACTGGCAGCATTATGCATGGTGGGGATCCATTATGCATAACAGCTCACCCATCAAGGACTAGAGACCACCATGCATAACCATGCAGTTTCTTACCAGACATGGTTATGCATAATTTGGACAGTATAGCCTGGCACCTTGTTGCCCTCCATCAGGATGATCCAAAGCATCGCACAGCTTGGACCCTCTGTACTATCTACCATACCTCTATGCTTTTTGTGTTCTCTTGCAGACTCTTTGTTGTTTATTCTCAGTTCTCCTCCTGCAAGACCTCATCATGCCAGTGACTCCATGTGCAGGGACCCATGCAGCTCAACTCACATCCTCTGGACTGGGTATGCACTTTTCCAGTCCACAGAAACTCAGAGACAAATGAAAAACTCAGGTGATAGTTGAAGTGCTGGGTCAGAAGGTCAAACAGCGCCAGTTACTTGCCAAGATGGCCAGTCTAATGGCAGGCTCAACTCAGTCTCACAATACCTCATCTGTTCAAGATGGGCACACAGAAACTGTAGCCCTCAAGCCAGACACTGAGTCCACTGATGCTTGGGAAGATGTGTTTCATGATGATGATGTACTTCTGGTCACTGAATCTGCCAATAACTGTTCTCTGTATTCACAATCCACACTGAGCCATCACATGCAACCCAATCTTATGTCCACTCATTTGTATGACAGCTGGAAATCCCTTATTCCCACTCTTGTCACAGTACAGCTTGACTACACTGCATGGACACTAGGAGCACCTCTTCAAAGGATACACACGCTGGCCTTATCTTTGTGCTGCTCACATACATGTGCACAAAAACACACATCCATTGTTTGTCTTTTTTTTGGACTGTAAGTACTCACGTATATAGCATGTTTAATTGAATAATCCAAATTGCTGTCAGATTTTGTTTCCATTGAGGTCTTGAGCTGTAGATGTGCTACCCAAGCTCAAGTCCTCATTTTTCATGGCTTATTCCCAATGGCTCCCTCACAGCCTCACATGGCAGTGTCTGTTGAGTTACTCACCTTTTATTGAACCCTTTTCGAACACTCTTGTGATGCTGTCAATGTGCTTGCCTCTGCACTACACACCCACTATGTACGATGAGGATTCTGCATCACGAACTCAAAGGTAAGGATCCTGTCTAAACTGCATATCAACTACTCATCTTAATGTTGTAGGGCGTCGTTATCCAAGAGCCCTTCCGATGAAGCCTTGGTCAAGCTATTCAATGGTTTGACCTTCTACAAGTAGAAGTCAAACATTGGCTTGAAGATGCTCTATCAGCATGTTGGGATCATGTAGAGGCTGAACACCGGGAGTCTTGGAACACTTTAACCTCCGAGGCCACTGCACCAGAACCACTCATTCCTCGCGAGCATTGTGCCTCTGGCCTTATACAATGATGTCCTGCATGCTTTGGGGGGGTAGCATTTGGTCGGGACCTGAATGAAGGAGGTGATGTACATGTTGCAACTGATGGAAACTTCCATCACCAGCATTGACAATCAGCTGGTGATTCACCACACTTCTACAACACCTCGTATTTTCTTTCAAAAGTGCAAGTTGACAGAGCCCCTTCAGTGACAAACTCCATATTATATGGGTCACCCGACCTACATAATATCCCATATAAGACAGGCCAGTGGACTATGGGCCAATGTTATGTATATATCCTTGATGTTGACGGGTGGGCCAGGAGGGATATTATTTCCAATGGGGATGGGTGGGCCCATCTATGCCGATGTTATAAATATCCTTGACGATGGCGGATGGGCCGGAAGGAATATTATTATAGGATAGACATATATTATAGACAGCTGGGCTGAAGAGAGATGTATGGTAGATATTATTATATAGATGGGTGGGCCAATGGGGTGGGGAAATATGTATTATATATATACGAGTGGGCCAACATAGGGTATATTAGATAGACAGGTGGGCTGATGGAGGGGGATGTCATATAAATGGGTGGGCCAATGGAGGGGGATGTCATATAAACAGGGGGGCCCAGATACATATCATTTAGACATATGGGCCGAGGTATTGGTATACTATATGGACATATGAGCAATGCTGTTGCACTAGTTTTGATCCAAGTCATCAACGACATTCAGACTCAGATCCTGTCAATGTCAATCAAAGTCAACACAGCAAGTACTGAGTCCCAAAACCTGAACATTGAACCCTGAACATCAAAACCCAAAACCCAAAACTTCAAAACACCAACATCAAAACTCAAAACTCAAAACTCAAAACTCAAACATTTTTATGACTGTCAAGTTTCCAGTCTTGAATCACTGAGTCCCAAATACTGAACGCCAACACCCGAAGTTGTGTCAGTACTCGGACTTCAGGACTTGGTGATTCAATACTCAAAAGTCATACCAATATCTGAATTTTGAGTTTCAAGTTTCAAGTTTCAAGTTTCGAGACTTGAATCACTGAGTCCCGAGTCCTGAACATCGAAACCCAACACCCGAAACTGGAAAGTCATACCAATATCTGAATTTCGAGTGTCAAATTTCAAGACTTGAATCACCAAGTCCTGAAACCTGACACCCAAAACTCGAAAGTTGTCACAATGTATGAGTTTCAAGTTTTGAGTCTCAAATCACCAAGTCCTGACTCCCAAAACCCAAACATTGAACCCCTTATATCGAACCCCGAAACCTGAAACTCGTCAAAATGTATGAGTTTTGAGTTTTGAGTTTACAAATCAACACTCAAGCCTCAAAACTCATACATTTTGATGAGTTTCGAGTTTTGGGGTTCAATATAAGGGGTTTGATGTTCGGGTTTTGGGACTCGGGACTTGGTGATTTGAGACTCAAAACTTGAAACTCATACATTGTGACAACTGTCAGGTTTTGAGTTTCAATGTTTGTTTCTAACTTTCAGGTTTCAGTACTCGGTTCTTGAGACTCAGTGATTGAATAAATGGACTGGCAGAGGTAACATTCATTGAAAAACTTGTATATATGTCTATCACTATGCAATTATGTAGCCATGTCAACCTCCTCAGAAGATGCTTCAACCTTCACCTCAACATCCATGTCATTGGAAGAATCATATTCTGGGACCAGGTTGCCTGGATCACCTGGGTCCACAATTTCACTGGATGTATCTGGAACCTCTGGTTGAACAACCTGGTTGTACTCAAACAGGAGGCCCTCAATGGCAGAGGCATCCTCAAATTTCGGGGGTGTGGGCATCATCTCTCCAATCGAGAGATCAATGAGAGGAGGGAGTGCAGATGCAGATGGTGACATGGACAGGGGGACAGATTGATCAAGCAACAAGGATGTTGCATTGGGTGGAGGTTTGGGAATTGGGAATGTGGGACTTCATGGAGGCATTGCAGGGTATCAATCTTACCATCCTGCTCTGCCACATGAGCCTCGAGAATGGCGATGTGAGCTGTGCCATCCCAAATTGCAATTGCCATGGCATGGAGATCCGGCATGGGCAGGTCAAGTGCTACAAGGGAAAATTAAGGTCAGACAGTAATGAAATAAAACTCAGGTGACTTAAAAGCTGGTGCAGGTGTGGGTGCCTTGACGGCAGTGATGGTCTTGCTGCAACCACACATCTGGGTCTTGGGGGTTGTCACAGCCACGACACCCAGAGTTCTGGACTTGCCACGAGACTGACTGTGAGTCTGGGCCTTGTATTGGGAGGTGGGGGGAGCTTTGGAGGGAGCCTTGGAGGGTGTCCTGGACCTTGTGTTCTGGGTGGTAGAGGACCCATGAACACATTTCAGCAGGGTACCCATAGTCACTGGGATGCACTTGACCTTCTTTGTTGTGCAGCGGACGCACAACATACACAGATTCCCGGTCCTCTTGTCCAACTGAGTTGCACAGTCCCACTTTAGCTTGGTGCAAACCTGGCATGGGTTGTTCTGTGGGTTGTGTTAGTGAATGGACACTTGTCAAATAAATCAAAGTACTCACTGGTCTGGGAATGAGAATATCACCTCCATTGATGACTGGGGGTGCCTCCACTGGGCTTTCGGGAGTTGGCTGGGAGGGCTCAATGACTGCTGGGTGACTGCCAGCAATCACCTGGTACATTGTTAGCATACACCCGAGTCCCAGACACATAAATGTGACTTACTGTAGCAGGGCCAAAGGGCTTTTTGGTTGGAACCTGGGGTGATCTAGGCGAATTGAAGAGCCAGGGAAGGACAATGTCTAGCACTCCACCCAAAAATGGCTACAAGAAAATGTGAGCCAAGTCAAAGACTAACCAGACGACATACCTGAATACTCATGTCTTCCTCATCTTCCAAGTCCACTAGGGGCTTGGATGTCACCCAGCGAGAGGACTTTGCACACTTGCAAGTCTTCCTCACAGACTTCAGTGGTTGGGAGGGGGGTCCCAAAATCATGGGAGACTTCCTCTTCTGACTCCCTTCCACCTCAGGCTCCAGGTCAGCATTGACAGCCTTACCTTTCCCCTTGTCCTGGAACTCAGTGCTGGTGCTGGTGGAGGGACCAGTGACATTGCTGGTGCAGATGGGTGGGGAGGGAAGGTCCACTGGAATTGGACCTGTGGAGGGAGGAGCAGCAACTGGGAGATCAAAGGTATGGTCACCTAAGGCCTCCCAGGTGAGGAGCTTGGGGTGCCAGACATGCTGCAAGAGATGGGGATTGTCGTACCCAATGTTGTGCCAGTTGCGCCAGACCTGGGGAGTCATGCCCTGGACACACAATAGCTCCTTGGAGCATGAAAGCACAATGCCAAACAGGGGTCCAGTCTGATAGTCCTTGATCACTTGAGCCTGCCTAGATGTTAGAGAGAAAAAAAGAAGAAAAAAAGAAAGCTACATACCACAAGTGAACTGACCTGTGTTGTCAGAGAAAAGTGGCTGTTACCTGGGGGAATCTGCCGGGCACTGCTGATGATGGCCATGATCTGGGCAGTGGATGCCTTGAGACTGGTCAAAGAGTTGTCAACTGGAGTGGACATGATGATTAAGTTGAGAGATTTAAAGATCTTGAAATCGGGTTGAAATCTGTTATCACAACAATGAAGTTTCAAAGGAAACAACACATTTGATGGATGATTGATAAAATCATTGATTGTTTGTCTTTGTTTGGTCCTGGTTCAACTTCTGGCAGTCACTGGTTTTGTGTTGAACTTCGAAGTTTTTTCAATTATCAGTCAACAAATCAGTAAGTTCCCCACACAACATGAGTCCACAGTCTGTTACAGTGCCCCACTCTTTTTCTTATCATCACTGCTGACTCCTATATGGCTGTACTTCTAATGCTTCCATTTCACTGTGCTATTTCCCCATGGTCTCCCTTATCTCTGACTCATACTTGTTTTCCCATGAACCTTCCTTTCCTAGTGGTAGTTACCCTTCGCCCAGCTTGGTCTGTGCACAATTCCCTTACATATATAAAGCCTTAGTTACTGCTTGTATTTTCTCTAACTTGAATCTACTCAGTTCTCTCTGATACTTGAACTCTAGCTCCTTGGGAAGGAGGCTAGCCATCTGTCCCATTTGAACTCTAGATCCTGTGGGAGTCTAGACGATTGCTCCTGAAGGAGGCATTGACTCAATAAGGCTTAGTCCTTGATCAACCCTGATCTTGATCTCTTTATTGGAATGATGCTCTATCCGAGTTTGTAACAAAAGATTCAAGTTTCCTTTGAACCCCTCCATCTGTAGGGCTTTACCTTTTGAAACCATGAAACTGATTGATTGCCAAAGTGGCACCTTCCAAGAAAAGCAAGAAGGCTTTCTCTGAACGATCCAGGATCCCATACAGTCCCTATCCACCCAACTCTCCTAGATGAACCTCTTTGTCATGAGGATCTTTGACACTCCCTGCACTCCTGTTCTCCCTACTATTGCTGTCCCAGGCCTTCATCCATTACACACCACACTATCGTTTCTCATTTTGAAACAAGTGCACCAGCACCTGTAGAAGACAGAGATGAAGAAATCCCTGATGCTCCGCCCATTGAACCAGTAGCACCACCTAGATTCCTAACCCCTGAACCAGACAGACACAGACTCTGACACTGACGACGACATGCCTAAACCAATTGAAAGAAAGATCTGCACCCCACCTGACTTTGATGGAAACCAAGATGGAACCTCTAGGTTCCTCCGCCTCATCACACTTTATCTAGATACAAACAACAAAATCTATGATACCAACACTAGAAAGATTGCCTTTTCCCTTTCTTTCATGAAAGAAGGCACAGCCACAGCATGGATGGAAGACTTCATTAAACATGCCCAGCAGCTTGACCCCACATCCACTCATGGAGAAAAGAATGGATATGGAACCTGGGATAAATTTGTCTCCCAGTTTGAAGAAACCTTTAACCCAATCAACTCAGCCAGTACTGCGCTTCATAAGCTCCATGCCCTTAAACAAGGCAATGACTTAAGCAAGTACATAGCCACTTTCCGACAGCTCTGCAACTAAGCTGAGATCTATAGCTTCAATGCTCAGAAAGATTACTTCCTCCAAGGCCTTAAACAGCCACTCATCACTGAAACTCTGCAACTCTGGAGAGATCCCTGACACCCTTGACGGAATAGTCAAGAAGGTGATATCCATCAAGAACTCCTATCAGCTTCTCCTTGCCCATCGACCCCAGAATAACAACAAGAACACATGATTCAATGATCGCCTGATCCACCCCACACTTCACCCCCAGGAACAACAATCCTGATGCCATGGACGTTGATCATCTCTCTGAGAATGATAAAAGAGAGTACATGAAGCAAGGAAAATGCTTTTCCTGCTGGAAAGGTTGGTCACAGATCTAACAATCAAGAATTCCACCCCCAAAACAGAGATGCCAGAAAGAATAACTATAAAGGAAAGCAAACAGTAAGGTATACAGCGCCTAAAGAAGAAGACACCAGCAAGATCGAAGACCTCGATGATGATGAAGATCTCAGTGCCCGAAGAATGGATTTTTGAACCAGGAGCCTACCACAATGTTAGCCACTCCTTGTATCGATGTATGTATCGCACACAATGTAGGAAAAACTAAAGAATTAAGGGTCCCTGGCGACTGTCTTTTCCTCCATACACCCCGATAAATCATTGCAAACCACCTGCTGTTGTCGACTGTGGCGCAGCTGCCACATTCATCCATTGGATGTTTGTAAGAAAACATAGAATCAAGATGCATTGTTTTGAAACCCCTTTCCCTATTCGACCCGCTGATGGAAAGATCTCCAAGGACCCCATCACCCATTATTGCCATCTCGCAATCAAGATCGATGACCAACTCATGATCAGAAAATTTAATGTCATGAACATGAGCAACAATGATATGATCCTCCTTGGGAAGCCTTGGCTTTCTGCCATGAACCCTGATATCAACTGGGCTAAAGATACCCTTTGACTTCCTTCTACCCCCAGATCACTTCAACTAGAAGAGGTATTCAAGAAGAAATGGGGCTTCACTCCTGCACCCCGCAGAAAAGTCACAATCAAAGAAGAAGAAGACCTGGAGCAATTTAAGCCTGCCTATGCTCCACTCCCCATAAATGGGAAAAGAACTCTTGAATGACAAAAAGAAAAAAAGAAAGAAGAAGAACCACTTCCACCTCTTTGGCCAGATCCTGACGAAGATCCACTACCCCAATATGACACCAAAGATGATGTCTGGGATGACATTCCCACTGAACCAACTTTCCTTCGAAAGGTCAATAACCCTGTCACTTATCCCATCAACAATGATGAAGTATTGATTGAATATGCCAAAGACGGCTCTTCTATTACCCTTTTCAAAAACCTCTCCTTTGACACACCCCTCACACATGATGGCACATCTGCCTCTGAGATCCGATGAGCTGCAGCTCTATCCCCTTTAAGAAACTCAGATGTATACGTCATCGAGGACGACCCAAAACTCGTCAACAAGCAACTCCACACAACATCTCAACCCTCTGACTGTGATGGAATGAACGTTACTTGCAGATAACAAGGGATGCTTCAAATGCAGGAAGTTCTACATGTCACACAGATCAAGAGAGTGTCTGAACGGCGCACCGGAGGCCTCATCCTACAAGACAATTACCAAAGTGGATGCAATTGCAGCCTGAACCAAGAATGAAAAGTTGAACAGGTCTGCACTTGTGGCTGCCATTGCACCTGTGATGGCTGTGATGCCGATGTCTGTCTTGGAGGAATTGTCTGACTCGGATGATGACACATGTGTAGCCCCTTTTGAAACCACCCATATCATGTGGCCCTGTCTGTTGACAGGACCCTCCTCCCCTTCTTTTGAGCGCATAGACACATTGATTGACCATGGTTCGCATTTAGTTCTGAATAATGAGGACATTGTGAACAAATTGAGTCTACGAAGGCACAAACTGCATTCTGAGATCCAAGCAAACTCAGCCTTTCTTGCACTGTCTATTTCTCTTTTGACATTCTCCGATTATGTTCTTTTGTCTCCTTCTTCACTGAATCACGATTGGAGCTCTCATACTATACACACAATTGTAGCGCCTAATCTCATTGTACCCCTCCTCTTGGGGGGACCTTCCTTATCGCACAATTGCCTCCTCATAGATCACAAACTTCGCACTTGCATCAGCAAACCTTCTGGTTATGACCTTCTGAACCCACCTGTTGTTACATGACATACACATGTACCCTTGCCTTCAACTTGAGACATATCATGACTACACAAAAATGTAATTCATGAGCTGAAGGGTGTATTAATGGAATGCCTCAATAAGTCTGCAGAACACATGACATTGATCATGATCAATGTCATAGCAATGCTACGTCAATGTATTGAAACTCTCGCATTTGTCAAGAAGAACAAGGACCAGCTGAACTGACTAGACACTGAAATGTGAAAGAAATATGAAGACTGATTCCCAAACGACATACCACATATTGACCATCTGCTGACAGACATATTACACTGAATCTGACTGAAAGATCCCGAAAAGATCATACAATGTCGACACTACAATATGCCGAGAAAATATAGGGAAGTGTGGAAACAGCTCCTTGACAAGCACGTCACAGCAGGACACCTATGCCCATCTTCAAGCCCATATGTATCACCAGCCTTTCTCATACTGAAGAAGGATCCTACAGCATTACCAAGATGGGTGAACGATTATCATGCCCTGAATGCTAACACTGTTCCAGATAATCACCCCCTGCCTCATATAGATGAAATACTGTGTGATTGCACAAAAGGAAAAATATTTGGTAAAATAGATATGACTAACTTGTTCTTTCAAACCAGAATACACCCTGACAATATCAAATACATGGCAATCGACACTCCAAAGGGACTCCACAAATGGACTGTGATGCCTCAGGGAGGAAGAAACGCTCCTGCAATGCATCAACGACATATGTTCATGGCATTATGACCATTAATCGGCAAAATATGTCACGCTTATCTGGACAACATCATAATCTGGTCACAAAATGTCACCAAACACATCAAGAACGTTCAACTGGTACTCAACGCCCTAAGAAAAGCTTGTCTATTCTGCTCACCTAAGAAAATGTTGCTTTTCTGCAATGAGATCAACTTCTTAGGCCACCACATCTCCATAGCAGGCATTGAAGCTGACACGTCAAAAGTAAAATGCATCTTGGACTGGCCTACACCCAAATTGTTGACGGATGTATGCACATATTTGGGACTGGTACAATACCTTGAACAATTTTTACCTAAGCTAGTGGACCACATGAGAATACTGACACTGCTGACCACAAAAGCAGCCGATGCAGAATGGCCCGGATGGATGATGACACACCAAGAGGCATTTGATGCCATCAAACATCTCATGACAAGTTGAGACTGTCTGACAACCATCAACCATGACAATATTGGCAAGAACAGGATATTCGTCACCTGCGATGCAAGTGATTGGAGGACGGGAGGAATGCTAAGTTTTGGCCCAACACCAGAGACGGCATGCCCTGTAGCCATCGACTCTATGCAACTTC